GTTTTTCGTCTTGCGAGGCATTCGTCTTGCGGGGCACCACTGTAACCGTCTTGCAAAGAAATGTTGCCTTTTGAACTGCTAGTGTGTAGTAGGGATCCAGCATCAAAAAAAGGAAAGGAAAACGAGATGTAGGTCACAACATTATGATGGAAGATTGGGAAAAATTATGGAAAACTGATTTAAAATTTACAGATTGTTCCCTGTTGAAGGAGAATTACATGAAGATGATGTACAGATGGTACACGACACAGTGCAGTTAGGGAAAATGTACAAAACTAGTTCAAATATATGTTGGAAGTGTAAGGAAAAGGAGGGGACATTTTATCATATGTGGTGGGATTGTAATGTAATTAAAAATTTTTGGGAAATGATATACAATTATTTGAAAAAAATGTTCCATTTAACATTTGTTAAAAAACCGGAAGCATTTTTGTTAGGGATTGTAGGGAAAGATCTGCCAAAAAAGCTGAAAAACATCTTCATGTATGTGACAATGGCCACGAGAGTTTTAATAGCACAAGGATGGAAGACTGAAGAAACCCCAACTAAAGAATTATGGCAAGAAAAATTGATGGACTATGCAGAACTGGCAAAACTGACATATGAGCTACGGGACAAGGATAACTGTGACTTTAAAGATGAATGGGAACCCTTTACAAAGTATTTGAAGATGCAACAAAGTGAACTGGACTCCTTGGCTGGCTTTGAATAAACATTCACAAACTTTTTATTGATAATAAACAGCTAAATAGTTTGAGGATCTATACAACTGTGTAACATGCAGAAAACAGCATTCTTAGAGAAAACAAAGACTGGAACTGAGGGAAGTCGGGGTGGGGTTTGTGTGGGAGCGTGGGGGGAGGGAGGAAAAATGGGGGGGAATAAGGATGATATGTTTCTGGATAATATGTTTTGTTTAAATTTTGAATAAAAAAAGTTTTTTTAAAAAAGGAAAGGAAAACGAAAGGCAATTTTGCATCAAACCTTGACTATCCTTCTCCTCCTCTGATTTCCACCATGTCTGATAATCTGTCGTAAAACGAACTTGAAAGCTTCATTATCACCTCATTCATTTGCAGGAGAGAGGAAAGCCCTACAGCTTCCCTCGCTCTGCAACGGAGCATCATGCCATTGATTCCGCTTTGCAAAAAAATTAAAAAGATATCGGGCTGCACTCCCTCGCTCCCGCCACCCACGACTGCCTGGGAGACCAGCATTCAAATCTTCCCTAAGCCACGAGACTCGCCGGATGACTGTCAGTCGCCATCATTCAGCCTCGCCTATCTTCCAGCGGGGTTGTTGAGGGTAAACAGGGTGCCCCCTTTTGCTCCTGGTTGGAAAGGCAGGAAATAAATGTAACAATGATTTAAAAAAGAAAAAAACAACCCTAGATTCCAGAAACAAGAATCCTTCTCTTCTCCAGTGCAAAACTTGACAGCTGTCAGAAATATCGTTTTCCTAGGCATGAAGGCAAATTTACAAGTGGCACTAACTACCTGACTTAGGCGAGCTGAGTGGGACTTGAAACTTGTAGACCTGGAAAAGTCTTTAGGGTTGTGAAGGCCACCCCCCCCCAAAGGAAAACGAATCAGCCAATGTGGGATTATCAATGCGCAGCGCCCCCTGCTGCTTATGATGGCAATTGCCACAACGAATGCCCTTGCATTGTACATGCTCTCCCAGGGGAATTTTCATTCAGGCGGGGGAGGTTTCTATTTCCGTGGGAAACTATGTGTGCATGTTGCTTATGCAAGAAAGTAATCTAGACAGCATCTTAAAAAGTAGAGACATCACCTTGCCAACAAATGTCCGCATAGTAAAAGCTATGGTTTTCCCAGTAGTGATGTATGGAAGTGAGAGCTGGACCATCAAGAAGGCTGATCACTGAAGAATTGATGCTTTTGAATTATGGTGCTGGAGGAAACTCTTGAGAGTCCCATGGACTGCAAGAAGATCAAGCCTATCCATTCTGAAGGAAATCAGCCCTGAGCGCTCATTGGAAGGACAGATCCTGAAGCTGAGGCTCCACACCTGATGAGAAGAGAAGACTCCCTGGAAAAGACTCTGATGTTGGGAGAAGGGGAGAAGGAGAAGGGGACGACAGAGGACGAGATGGTTGGACAGTGTTCTCGAAGCGACCAGCATGAGTTTGACCAAACTGTGGGAGGCTGTGGAAGACAGGAGTGCCTGGTGTGCTCTGGTCCATGGGGTCACGAAGAGTCGGACACGACTAAACGACTAAACAACAACAAAATCTTAGGAGTGAGTCAGAGCGATCAGCTCAGGAGTGGCATCACTCAGGACTGGAGCAACCTACTGTTGGGCACCTTGCCTTCAACCCAGCCTTGGGCACCAGGAAGCGCTTCAAGTCTTTCTGATGTTTTTTGAGGCTCACCCATCAGCGCAAACCCTGTTCTCAGCCACCCATCTTACGGGCCCTTCTCTACAAGTGTTTCCCTGTGTTCTTCAATTTCGACAATGCTTCTCAGTTGTCTGGATGGAAGATAGAAAGTTGTGTGTGTAGAAACTAGCCTACTATACAAAAAAATAGCATTTGTTGCTCCGCCCACTTTTGCCTCTGGCACCGCCCACCACAGGCATGTGGCCCCTGGAACAGGCATAAGCAAACTTGGCCCTCCAGATGTTTTGAGACTACAATTCCCATCATCCCTGACCACTGGTCCTGTTAGCTAGGGATGGTGGGAGTTGTAGTCCCAAAACATCTGGAGGGCCAAGTTTGCCTATGCCTTCCCTGGAAAGTTGCCCAGAGGTGAATGCAGTCCTTGGGGGTGAAAAAGACTTCCTGCCCCCAATCTCAGGTATTACACGGCTTTAATTCTGTGGGAGGAGGCGTAGCTTCCTGGTGAAGCCTTGCAGCCTCCTCATGGAAAAGCACCAATTTTTGTGTGGAAAAAAATTCTTCCTTTCCCCTTGAGCCTGGCACAATCAAACCAGGCAGGTGAGATACCTTTTTTCCTGGAAGGCAGGAAGAAAGCACAGCTGTTTTTCTTAACAGCTGCATGTGGCAGGCAGAAATCCAGCGTCAACTCTGTCTTGCCTTTGCAAGAGTGACACGCTGCTGCACCTGTTACCGTATTTTTTGCTCTATAAGACTCACTTTTCCCCTCCTAAAAAGTAAGGGGAAATGTGTGTGCATCTTATGGAGTGAATGCAGGCTGTACAGCTATCCCAGAAGCCAGAACAGCAAGAGGGATTGCTGCTTTCACTGCGCAGCGATCCCTCTTGCTGTTCCGGCTTCTGAGATTCAGAATTTTTTCTTCTTGTTTTCCTCCTCCAAAAATTAGGTGCGTCTTGTGGTCTGGTGCGTCTTATAGAGCGAAAAATACGGTACATTTCTGCTTGACAGGTAGTCCCTTAAACTGCCAGGAGCCTTCCTGAAAGCAAAAACTTCCTTATGCGACGAAAGACCAGACAAGGAGTTTTGCACATCTTTTATGCCTGGTCTGGCCTGCTTTTGGGTGCCTGCAGTGTGTCCTATCAGCAAAGAGGTTCGATTGATGTTAGCATGAGACGGCAGGGCCTTTTCCGTGGCAGCATTCCAGTATGGAATTTCCTCTACTAGTGGCACACTTCAGGCTTTGAAATTCCAGCAGCGCCCTGCGCAGCACCAAAATTTGGCACCCCAACCCCCTGCCTCTCACCTTCTGTTGTTTGTCATTGTTGTGGCAGCCCCTACAACACCCTCTCTGTTCAGCACCCATTGCGGGGAAAGCATTTGCACTCCCCATAATCCACCTCTGCCTCGAAGGCAGTGGTTTTCAACCAGGGTGCCGTGGCACCCTAGGGTGCCTTGACTGATGGTCAGGGGTTTCATGGGCTCTGTCCCTCTTTCCTTCCCTCCCTCCTCTGATGCCCTCTCACATCTCTGCCTCCCAAAGGCTTGCACAGCTGTTTTTTACAGCAGACCTGACTATAAGCTCCACAGGCGAATTGTGCCTCTGGGAGTAATCTGGGGTGGGGGCATCTGGGGTGGGGGGCAGCTCTGAGACCAGAAACAGCAGCAGCAGCTGCCTGAAGGACTCCCAAGGAGAGGGGAGAGGAGGCTGAGGGTACACTCCCCAAGGGAGGGTGTTTGAAAAAAATTGAGAGGCTGCCAGCTCTGCAGGCAAGGGGTGACATAACTGGGCTCCTGAGCCCCACAGGGGTGCCTCAGAAAGAATGTAGTTGGTCAAGGGAGCTGTGGACCCAAAAAGGTTGAAAACCTCTCCTCTAGGGAGATTGGACTGGCCCCATCCCTGATGACTTTTAGGCAGGCATCGAACCCATCTTTATTTCGCTTGGCTATTAACATTGGTTTTCATTTAAGGGTCACACCCATTTAAACACACACACACACACACACACACACACACAAAGAATCCTGGGAACTGTAGTTTACCACCCACAGAGCTGCAATTCCCAGTGCCCCCCTTTTTTAAAAATAATTTTTATTACATTTTCCATTTTAGCGATCCAATCAAATATTCCAGATTATACAAATACATATCATATAGTCCGAATATTCTGCCAAATTATAAATTTTTATTGGGGCTGCCCATGCTTCAAGTTCGGGGGGCCTCTGATCATCTTATATCTCTACTGCCTTGAGTTTCCAATAGTTCCTTTAAATCTTTCTGTTGTTAACCTGCAATTCCCAGCACCCTTAAACTACAGTTCCCAGGATTCCCGGGAGAAGGGGGAACTAAGGTGCTTCAGAAATCAGGTGTGGATGCTTTAATATTTCGTTTCAACTCTGTGACGGTTTAAACTGGGAGCTTTGGGGGCGGGGCCGTTGCCTTCTCTTTTATTGTACCTCGACTTGAGGGCCAAAAGGCGGTATAGGGTTTAAAAGTGGAATGAGCGAGCACCGGAAAAGGAATCCCCCCCCCCGCCCCCAGCCTCTCCCCTCGGCGCGGGCGGCGGGGTCGTGTCTCTTTAAGGGCCGGGGGAGGCGTGCCCAATCCTGGCTGCACCAGCCGCTCCCACATGACACTGACATCAGCCGCAGCCGCATCCCGGACCCGCCGTCGGGGCTGCCATCGCGCCCCCCCCCCCCGCTCCAGTCTCCCCCCCCGCCATAAGGCGCTCCAGCCCGCCCAGCTTTCCTCCTCGCAGCCATGTCCGCCGGCCAAGCTTACAACGAGGAGAAAGGCGGCTCCTCCAGCCTGGGGGAGCCCGAATATGGGCACGATCCGGCCAGTGGAGGGATCTTCTCCTCGGATTACAAAAGGTGGGGCTGTCGGGGGCGCGCCTCCCACCCGATCCCAGGCTGCGTGTGCGGGACTGAACCTGTTTCTCCCTCCCCTCCTTATTTTATTTTATTTTTTGGGTGGGGGGAGGAAGCAACCATAGCTGGCTTGGATGGGTGGGGGGGGGGAGATCAGGATTGCTCCCTTCGTGCCAAAGGCAGGGCTTTCCCCCGGCCCCGGGTCCATCCGCGCGCGCGCGCGCGCGCTCCCGCTTGGCGATTCGCTTGGCCTTTGTTATGGATGGCCCAGATTTCTCTCTCTCCATCCCGGGGATGACGCGAGAGGCGCTGAGCCAACCTGAGCGCGCCACCTGCGCCCAGGCGAGGCTGGCACCGGGCGACGTGGGCCCGGAAAGCTTCCCCTGCCCTCCAGCCTTATAAAGATTTTGCCAGGGAGAGGAAGAGCCGGGGCTCTTAGGGCAGCACCTGTCGGGTTGCTACCGCGGGGGCCCCCACCTGCCGCCGGCCGGCCTTCTTACTTAACCACCAGGGCGTGGCACCAGCTGTCACCTTCAAGGCTCGGGGTTGCTCCCTGCAGAGCTTAGGGAGGTGGTGATAGAGGGAGACAAGATTAGAAACCACTTGGGCTCCACCTGCCATTGGGTACCCAGTGCCGTAGCAGGGGTTGCCGGCACCCCGGGTGGGCAAGTGTTATGCTCCTGGTGGACTGGGGTGGGGTGAACGGAGCCGCCCTCCAACTGGCTCCCCGCCTGCTCCCTCCATCCACCTGCCCACTGGACTGACCCGCCTGTTGCTGTGCCTCAGCTGCCAGGGCTCCTGCCTGTCGTGCCTGATTGTGCCCCTCAAAAATGTGGGCCCAGGGCCCCCTGGCCCCTCACACTACTCCTCTGGTGCCCCCTACTGTTGGCCTCCCTTTTTTCCAGGCTACCAATCCCAGGGGGCATTGGCAGCCTCTGGGAGGATGAGACCTGGCTCCTTATTCCTTGGTACGTGGAGTGTTGGAGTGAGATTGTTCCTGTGGACAGGTGCTCTTTGCTCGTGCTCAGGGGTGCTCTTTTCTGAGGGTTTATCATGGCTCATGGATATTGGGAGTTGTAGTCCAAGGACATCTGGAGCAGCACAAGCAACCCGCTCTTGTTCCACAGGGTTTGTTTCTCAAGATGTTGCATTGAGCAGGGTGTGGAACTAAATGATAGGTCTGAGGTTCGTTTTCAACTCCGTGACTCTATGATCTGCTTCCAAGTTTCCTAACCCTTCCAGAGGTGGCCTAAAATCTATTGTTAGGCTGTTACATGAGCATGTGCAATAATGGCTTGTGGCAAACATTTCAGCCATGCTAATATGCTAATGAAGACAGGAGTGCCTGGTGTGCACTGGTCCATAGGGTTACGAAGAGTCGGACACGACTAAACGACTAAACAACAACAATATGCTAATATGCTAATATGCTAATATGCTGCAGTGCGAGTTCGATTGGGGGGAAAATTTCTCAGTTTAGGTCAGGGAAGGTTGGTCCCACCTACATTTGTGCCGCAACCACACCATAGACTTGCAGCTCTATGACACTACTTTAAACACTTGCTGCTTTTCCCAAAGAGTCCTGGGAACTGTAGTTTGTTAAGGGTGCTTCTTAACAAATAGGTTCCCTATTCTGCTCAAAGAGCTACAATTCCCAGAGTTCCCTGGGAGGAGAGTTTAACTATTAAACCACTCTGTAGCTCAGTGTGGGATTAGGGGGTCTCCTAACAGCTTCTGGTGCCTTCAGTAAACTATAGTTCCCATGGTTCCTTGGGGGAATCTGTGACTGTTTAAAGTGGAATCAAAGTGCTTTAAATGTGCAGTGTGGATGTGGCCTTGATTTATGGCCTTTCATTGGCTAGGTGGGCACTGAGAGAAGCACCTAGAAGCAAGAGACTGGCTCAGGTGCAGTCAGGTGGAATTGCTTCCCTCTGGCTGTCACCTTCCATCAGCTCTGACTGCTGAAGTTTACGTGGCACTGCTGCACCTTAGGAGACCAGATGCCCTTTGAAGTTAGACCTTTATTGGACCGGCCCAAAGTATAGCTATGTATAACTGACAGCTGCCTGTTCTTGAAGCTTTGTGGACGCAGACCTGAGCGGTGCCCGAGGCGTGCTGCTCAAACCCTCCCAGAATAAAAGCAGTAACTATAAAATAGTTTGGCCAATGAGAGTTGGCTGAGGAATTTGCATCCCACTGGACTCTCATGAGGACTACTCACATGACACTGGCACTACTGTAGGTTTCAGTAAGCCTGTGTGGCAGGGCCAGGCAACCTGTAGTCAGAGCTTGAGTCTTAAAGCCCCGGGTGTGTGAAAATGCTCTGTGCAGATGCCTGGCAATAGTCATCTGTTCTTCCTCTGGCAGTGTGCTGGGTGGGGAAGATGAGAGAGAGGGTGGTAGTAGCAGAAAGCAAGAGAAATGGGGATGATCCAGAGAGAAACAGGGTGGCAGAATGAGAGCAGAGAGGGGGCCAGGACCACCTCTGACTCTGGCTTCACCCATTCTGGGCTTCGGATCTGCCCACCACCAGCCTGCATGCCCCCCTCCAGTTACCCCTAAGGGAATGTGGGCCTTCGCTGGGGAAACGCTGGCCCATTCCCCAATGTGCTGACTTGCCTCTACACAGCCATTGAGTTTAACTATCATGTGCATGCTGGTGCCATGTGCTTAACTCTTGGGCTGGGCAAAATATTGATATATTGTCCCAAACTGGTCTGAAGTCTATTGTGATATCAGTTTTATAATTTTTGACCTGGCAATATATCGCAAATCATGATGTGTGTGTGTGTGTTCACTATGCAAAAATCACAATGTGGGAAAACCCGTGAATCTGGCCAATGCTTCTCTCGATTCCTGCAGCCCTTGCTAACTTTGCCAGCTCAATTCTCCCCTGCCATCTGCAAGAGGCAGCAAATCACAAGAGCAGGCGCCGGCAAAAATCATGATGCAGGAAAAGGCGTGAAGCCAGCCAGTGCCTCTACATAGCTCCATTCTTATTTCAGACATCATGATATATCAGTATATTGCAATGAGATATCACAATGTTGTAAACCAAATATTGCCCTACTTAACTCATCATGGATTGGCTTTTGGCACCCAATCATAACTGCAGTTTGAGCACTTGGAGGTAGTGCCAGAAACTGACCTGTACTGAGTCCAGCCCAAGGGGTTGGTATGTACACAGCTGACTCTTGTCTGTGGTGCTGCATGGATAAAAGCTGGCTTGTAGAGCAGCTTAAAAAATAACATCTGCCATGGTTGAAATGGGTTTTCCTTGGTTCTTAGAGCATGATTCTAGCAGAAGCTAATGGATGTTATGGGGAGAAACTATTAACCTGAATCAGGCCTTCCTGGCAAATGAGCTTGTGGGTAATTGGGTCTCTGCTATTCACTTGCAATCTTTACACTCAAAGTGGTTGTCTAGTTGCTAACACTCTAGATCAGGCGGGAGCCTTTGAACTACAACTCCCATCAACCCCCAGCAAACCTAGCCCAGTGAGGTTCCCCATTCCTGACAGAAGGGGTTGCAGTTTGTGCTTTTCTGGCTGAACTCGACCTGGGGTTCTTGGGATTCTTTGAACTCAAAAGTTGCGGAAAGGTGGCATGTTCAGGATATGCATCATTTGTGTATTCTAAGCATGTTGAGATTCTTGCATTGCAGGGGGTTGGACTAGATGACCCTCAAGGTCCCTTCCAACTCTACAATTCTATAATTCTATGTGATGAGCGGCACTGGGAACCCATGTCAAGGGTTGCCACAGCTAGTACAAAGAGATGCTGTCAGTGTTTTCCAAGACTAAGGAGAGGTACCGTATTTTTTGCTCTATAAGACTCACCTTTTCCCTCCTAAAAAGTAAGGGGGGATGTGTATGCATCTTATGGAGCAAATGCAGGCTGCGCAGCTATCCCAGAAGCCACAACAGCAAGAGGGATCACTGCTTTCGCTGCGCAGTGATCCCTCTTGGTGTTCTGGCTTCTGGGATTCAGAATGTTTTTTTCTTGTTTTCCTCCTCCAAAAACTAGGTGCATCTTATGGTCTGGTGCGTCTTTTAGAGCGAAAAATACAGTATATTCCTATGCTCTCATGCAAGATGAGCAACAGACAGGGCACTGTAAACCTATGGTCCTTTAAAACTGGGACAGGTAACTTTTTTATCCTGAGGGCCTCATTTCCTTCTGGGCAACAATCTGAGAGCCACAGACTGGTGGTGGGTAGGGCTAGAGGCAAAGTGTGGAGAGGAACAAATGTGCATTTTAGCTTCCTAAGGTAGACTAGTTTCCACACACACAAACCTCTTTAGACTCCATTTGAAGAGGCAAGATGCATTATCAGAGTTCAATGACATATTCCAGTCAGGCAAAAGCATGTTGGCTATGAAGCAGGACCAGCGGGGATTGTGGCTTGGAGGGAGTTTCAGGGGCCAGGCAGAGGGGCTTGGGGGGCTGCATTTGGCCTCTAGGCCTGAGGTTCCCCAGCCATGCTTTAAATTTATGGCAGTGCCCTATGATACCACGTAGGTCTTGGAAAATGCAAGATGCAATATGGATTTTCTTCTTTAAAGCCCTAACTAGAACCACAGTAACTGAAATATAAAAACAGCATGAAATACAATGAAATAGATTGCAATGGATTGCACAGCAACTGGGGGCATTTGCTGCTGATCTATACAAACCAGGAACCCCTGGGTACACAGAAAGGCTTCAGGAATTCACTGAAACCACAATGTTGTTGCTACCTGCCTAATGCCTACAATGAACTCAGAGTGCTGAACGCTTTGACCAAATGAGACGACAGGGAGAAGGCCACCTTTTAGGTATCCTGACCCTAAATTGTTGGGAGCTTTGTAAATAAAAAACAGAACCTTAAACACGGCACAGTAGCATATTGACAGGCAGTGTAGTTCTTTTAACAGTTATGCTATATGCTGGCAGAAATTAGCTCCGCTCAGCAAGCAAGCTGCTGCACTCTGCATCAGCTGCAGTTGCCAGACCAACTTTAAGAGAAGCCCCACTCAGTGTGCATTGCAATAATGCAGTGTTGAGATTGCTAATGTCTGAATGACTGGTTATGTTATCCCTGCCCCAAAAAGGTCGCAGCTGACCATACCAGCTGAAGCCGCTAAAAGGCAATCCTGAGTGACGGAATGAGGACTACACCCAGACTTCAAAGCTGTGCCTTTGGAGAGAGTGCAACCCCATCCAGAACAGGCAAAGGACCAAATTCACTTTCCACTAGGCATCACTGCCTGCCGCTGGAGAAAAAACACAATCCTACACATTACAGGAAAAACTCAAAAGGGATGTCAACCCAGGAATGCCGTCTGCTGCAACAGGCCACATGAAACATTTAATCTCACCCTGCCAATTAAATTTAAGGAAGATTGTACATGTTAGGGACATGGGAAGCTGCCATATACAGACTGAGGCCATTGATCCGCCTTGCTTCTCACTATGCTGAGTGGCAACAGTTTTCCAGGGGTTCAGACAGAAATCCTCCCCAGCCCTACATTGAGATGGCAGTGATTGAACCTGAGGCTTTCTGCATGCAAATCTCATGCTCAGCCTTTGAGTGAAGACTCTTCCCCTGGCTGTTGTTTAAATCTACAATAGGTGGATTTAAGAGGTAGCACCTTCCTGAAGTGGGACTTCTTATTTAGGGGATTTGTGTTTTAGGGCTGCAATGCTGGCAGTTGTAGCTCTGTCTCATCCGCAACTGCTCCTGGGTGTGGGGAACCTTTGGTCCTCCAGATGGTGCTAGACTACAGTGCCCATGATCCTTAGCCATGCTGACATGGGGATGGGAGTTCCCCACACCTACCTTATATAATAAAAAGTTGCATCCGGGAGCATTTGTGTGTTCGAGATGCTCTGCTGTTGAAGCTGATTCAGGGAATTTTAGTGCAGAGATGACCGAATGAATAGGAGGGCATGTTGTGTCTGCTATTATGGAAACCCTCTTTGTAGTACTAGAGAGACTTTCTGGAATTATGCTGCCTGGTAAATATTAACATTTGTTTTCAAACAATCTTGATAGACGGAATGGTGTGTGATCCATAGTTGACATCTAAATTAGTGATGCTTTTGCAGAATGTATTTGGCTTCTGGGAGCTACAGGGTGGGGCGACCAGCTCTGCAGGCTTCCTGCCACCCTTGGAACAGAGGTTGCTGGATTCCAGCTCGCATCAGTCCCAATCAGTGTTATGCTGCTGGCTGCTGCTAGACTTTGTGTGTTCCTTATTCAAAAATCCAGATTCACCCCCTTGATTGTTCTGCCTCCCAAGTTCTTGTTTCGCAGCATTTCATATTATTTCCTCGGAGCCTGCAGCTGCAAGGACAGACTAACCACTTTCATGGTTCGGGTAAGAGCTGCTCTGGTACATTGGACAGCTCACTGCTTCCAGAAAGCGCGCCTTGATTTGATTTGCCTGCTTGTTCCACAGCAGCAAAATGACAGGAAGTTTCCTCCTTCTCCATCCCTTCCCTTTGCATTTCAGCGAGAAAACTGAGCTTCTGTTATGGAAGTGGGATCTTCTGCAACATGGTGTGTGTCTTTGTGTGTGCGTTTTGGCCCCCCTCCACTTTATCTGATTAACTTTGGAGGCTGTTGCTTAATAATAATAATAATAATAATAATAATAATAATAATAATACTTTATTTATACCCCGCCCATCTGGATGGGTTTGCCCAGCCATTCTGGACAGCTCTCAACAGAATATTAAAAACATGATAAAACATCAAACATTAAATACTTCCCTAAACAGGGCTGCCTTCAGATGTCCTCTAAAAGTCAGATAGTTGTTTATTTCCTTGACATCTGATGGGAGGGCATTCTACAGGGCAGGTGCCACTACCAAGAAGGCCCTCTGCCTGCTTCCCGGTAACCTCACAATGAGGGAACCGCCAGAAGGCCCTCAGAGCTGGACCTCAGTGTCTGGGCTGAATGATGGGGGTGGAGATGCTCCTTCAGGTATAATGGGCCAAGGCTGTTTAGGGCTTTAAAGGTCAGCACCAACACTTTGAATTGTGCTCAGAAACGTACTGGGAGCTAATGTAGGTCTTTCAGGACCTATGAGCTGCAGATTGAGACAAAAGCTTTGGATGCTGCTGAGACTGTAAATCATCAACAAACAGCTAACTGCACTAATATCCTCCTTAGGGCACTCCCCCAGCATGTCGTGGACTGATAATGTGGAGGTCTGTGCTGTTCCCTCACTAGCTAGCAGCATTCTTGACAAGGTAACTGGAAGGGACATCACTCATGTGGACATGTGTTGGGTTTTCTGTCACCAGGGCCTGGGATGGATAATGCTACTATTACATGGATCATTTGTGTTGCCTCGAAAGACCATACACTACCGCCAGAGATGGCCATAGTTGAAACTTGCCACATGATGCAGAGGTTTCATGTAGTAAGCAACATCATGTGCCACAGATCATGCATGAAGGAGGCAAGGAGCCATCACATAGTAGTGTTGGGGCGGGGGAGGTTGCAGCTTGTGCCTGCAGATGGTAGTAAATATTTCAGCTCCAAGAGCATGCATTTGGAGTCCCTGGCATACAGAGAAGTATAGAGACATCCGGCTCAGTTCAGAACAGCTAGATGGCGGCTGGGCAAAGACCTCTGTCTGAGACCCTGGAGAGCCACTGTCAGTCAGAGCAGATATACAGTGGTACCTTGGGTTACAGATGCTTCAGGTTACAAACGCTTCAGGTTACAAACTCCGCTAACCCAGAAATAGTACCTCAGGTTAAGAACTTGGCTTCAGGATGAGAATAGAAATTGCGCGGCAGCAGCGGTAGGCCCCATTAGCTAAAGTGGTGCTTCAAGTTAAGAACAGTTTCAGGTTAAGAACGGACCTCCAGAATGAATTAAGTTCTTAACCTGAGGTACCACTGTAATGGGAAAGGGTCAGAGCTTGGTGGTGGAATCATAGAATTGTAGAGGTGGAAGAGACCCCTGCAGTACAGGACTCCTGCCCACGGCAGTCTCTGGTGGGCTCGAGCCACCAACCTTCTGGTTAACAGCCAGACATGTACATGTTCTGCATGTGCTCAGAGGCACTTCCCTAGCCAGTGAGAAGACAGACATGGTGCAGCTCTGGAAGGTTTAGTTTCCTTTGGATAAGACCGCCAGGACCATATAACACTGGTCCTAAAGGATCTTCACTGGCTCCCAGTACGTTTCTGAGCACAATTCAAAGTGTTGGTGCTGACCTTTAAAGCCCTAAACGGCCTCGGTCCAGTATACCTGAAGGAGCGTGCCCACCCCCATCGTTCTGCCTGGACACTGAGGTCCAGCTTCAAGGGTCTTCTGCTGGTTCTATCACTGCAAGTAGTGAAGTTACAGGGAACCAGGCAGAGGGCCTTCTTGGTAGTGGCGCCCGCCCTGTGGAACACCCTCCCTTCAGATGTCAAGGAAATAAACCACTATCTGACTTTTAGAAGACATCTGAAGGCAACCCTGTTTAGGGAAGTTTTTAAGGACTGATGTGTTTATTACATTTTTAGATCTGTTGTAAGCTGCCCAGAGTGGCAGGGGAAATCCAGCCAGATGGGCGAGGTATAAATAATAAAATTATTATTATTATTAGACAGATTGAGACTTTTGATGCCTTTCACTAGGTGGGGCTATTCATCCATCTAGTCCAGGCATAGGCAAACTTGGCTCTCCAGATGTTTTGGGACTACAACTCCCATCATGCCTAGCTAACGGGACCAGTGGTCAGGGATGATGGGAGTTGTAGTCCAAAAACATCTGGAGGGCTGAGTTTGCCTATGCCTGATCTAGTCCAACCTTGCCTGCACTCACTGGCAGCAGCTCTCCCTGATCCCAGGCACAGCTCATTTCCTATGACTTGATTCTTTACCAAGGATTGAAGCCAAGACCTTCTGCATGCAAGACGCATGCTCTGTCTGGGCTGTGGGTTCCTCCCTTACCCTCTGCACTTCTATTTATTTTTTTTAATTAATATTTATTAAAGTTTCAGAAAGAATAAAATCACATTAAGAAACACAAAAATTTTAACAAAAACAGAGAAAAATACCCCATACAAAATACAAAGTACAGAATAGAAAAAAGAAAAAAAAGAAAAAAAAGAAAAAACAGAAAAAACAGTTAAAAATAGTTCCGTCCTTTCATAACCTCTTTTAAATTTACTTGTTTCTCGGACTTCCTCATACCTCCCTCTTTTGTATTCCAATTCAGTTTGTAAACCCAGCAATTTCTTACCCTCCTTTTTAATTCCAATTCTTAATCTTGATATATTATGCCATTAGATTTTTACCTATTTGAACCTGTTTTTCCATTTCTCTTAGTCTTTTTGGTCCTAATCCTTAATCTTGATACATTTATAACTTTAAAATCTGTTCAGCTAGAAGCCACTTAACTTCAATCCAACATCACTCTAACATTCATTGATTTTACAGTATTTCTGTAAATAGTCTTTAAATTTCTTCCAATCTTCTTCCACCAACTCTTCTCCCTGGTCTCGGATTCTGCCAGTCATTTCCGCCAATTCCATATAGTCCATCATTTTCATCTGCCTACCCTCTGCACTTCTAAAGGGTGGCCTCAAGATGGCAGTGTTCCCTGCCCTTTGAATAAACGTAAAGGGACCCCTGACCATTAGGTCCAGTCGTGCTCATCTCGCTTTATTGTTTGTTTGTTGTTTGTTTATTGTTTGTTGCTTCCGGGTCATGTGGCCAGCATGACTAAGCCACTTCTGGCAAACCAGAGCAGCGCACGGAAACGCCGTTTACGTTCGCGCCGGAGCAGTACCTATTTATCTACTTGCACTCTGACGTGCTTTCGAACTGCTAGGTTGGCAGGAGCAGGGACCGAGCAACGGGAGCTCACCCCGTCGCGGGGATTCGAACCTCCGACCTTCTGATCAGCAAGTCCTAGGCTCTGTGGTTTAACCCACAGCGCCACCCGCGTCCCTAGCTCTATCAGTACATAACATCTGAATCTGGAGAGGCTGTGTGCAGGTCCTGGACCACTGTGGTGGGATGGATGAGGGAACATAAGTTGAGCTTGAAACTTGGCAAGATGCTTGAGGCCCTGTGGGCAAGTGGTTCCCGAGAATTTGGTTGATTGCTTGACCAGGTCAGGGTTACAGTCCCCCTGAAGCAGCAGGTATGCAGTTTGGAGGTGATTCTGGACCCACCTTGAGGCCCAGGTCGTCTCAGTGCTTCTTATCAGCTGTGACTGGCCCAACAGCTATGGCCTTTCCTGGACTTTGGATAATTTGCCCACAGTCGTTCAGGCTTTGGTAGTTTCAAGACTGGATTACTGCAATGCACTGTACTTGGGGCTTCCCTTGTGCTTGACCCAGAAACTGCAGACCATGGCAGCATAGAACACCTCGCTTGGAGGCCTGCACTGGTTACCAATTTGTTACCAGACCAAATCTGAACTGTTGCTGTTGGTGTATATAAAGCCCTTAACAGCTTGGGATGAGTTTACTCGCAGGACAGCCTTGATGTCTTCGATCTGCAGAACTTGCATTGTTATAGGTGTCACACATTACCTGTTCTGTATTTTAAAGAAATTGTTATTTCATTCCTGCGGCACCTAAACATTGGAATTTCCTGCCTACTGACAGGTGCCTCCACTGTACTCTTGCCAGCATTAGAATGTTTTTGCTTAGAGAAGCCTACCCAGACCTATAAGATGTTGATGGGTTTTAATTGCTTTTTAGTTTACTGCTGGTTTTAATCGTCTTTTAAATGTTGCAACTACTTGCTTTTCTCTGGCTTTTGGTGATAATTTTAATTTATTGTAAACAAATGAGAGATTTCGTTATAATCAAGTGGTATATAAATTGTATTAAATAAATAAATAAGAGCGTATGAGGGCCATAGAAGAAAAGCTTGAGGTTCACCACCCTAATCAAAAATGTAACACAAGGGAGATGGAGGCATAGTTTACGCAGGGATTACTCATTCCAGGTTAGCTACTTCTTACCTTGCTTTATGCTGCAATCCTGTATGTTCAGGGATGGGGAGCCTGTGAGCCTCAAGATGTTATTGGACTTCAACTCCCATCAGCACCATCTGCTGTGGCCAGCAGTGAGGGATGATGGGAACTGTAGTCCAATATCTGGAGGGTCGCAGGTTTCCCACCTACTAATCTACTTCCTATGTCTCCCCTGGCAATATCTCATGGAACGTCTTTGTTCTAAAACCAATTATTGTGTGTATTATTTTTTTTTAAATGACTGCTGTTTTGCACGAAGTACTCTGAAGTCAGCTTTGGTCATATATAGGCTTAAAGGTAAAGGTAAAGGGACCCCTGACCATTAGGTCCAGTCGTGACCGACTCTGGGGTTGCGGCGCTCATCTCGCTTTACTGGCCGAGGGAGCCGGCGTACAGCTTCCAGGTCATGTGGCCAGCATGACTAAGCCGCTTCTGGCGAACCAGAGCAGCGCATGGAAACGCCGTTTACCTTCCCGCCAGAGTGGTACCTATTGATCTACTTGCACTTTGATGTGCTTTCGAACTGCTAGGTTGGCAGGAGCAGGGACCGAGCAACGGGAGCTCACCCCGTTGTGGGGATTCGAACCGCTGACCTTCTGATCAGCAAGCCCTAGGCTCTGCGGTTTAACCCACAGCGCCACCCGCGTCCCATTACACAACATTTAATACGAATCCATGCAAGATTCCATACATTTGGGGTTATACCCTTGGCCCATCCATCTCCACTTTCAGTAGCAGCAATAAGAAACTTCTAAATGTAGGAATCCTACATTGCTGTTGGAGAGGAAATTCAGAGCCCAGTCCTATGCATGCCTAATCAGAAGTGAATCCTGCTGTTTTCAGTGGGACTCACTCCCTGATTAAGTGTGCTTGGGATTGCAGCCATAGGTTGTATTGATGGAGGAGGTAGGGCTGGGGTGTGTGTGTCTAAAGCAGGAATGGGAAACCTATGACCCTCCAGCAGCCGCTTGGACTCCAACTCCCATCAGCCCCAGCTGCCATGGACAATGTTGAAGGATGATGGGAGCTGGAGTCTCAGCAGCATCTGAAGGGCTGCCGGTTCCCCAAGCCTGGTCTAAAAGCTTATCACGTTGAACGGGGCAGAACAGCACATGTAGAGAAATGTAACAATCCACCAACAAAGAGAAGTGTGATTAGGGAAGACGCTTATCAGCAAGTTCTGTGTTCCATCAAATGTAACATCAAGATCTTGCAAGAATAAGTTCACACACTGTATAGCCTTGAGGCTTACGCTTAGAGATTGAAGGCCTGGGGGAAGAATTTGAGTGGTTTCCCCTCCCGATTTTTACATCCTCAGCCCTTCACATCTTTACTTAACATTGGTTATGGCTGAGTTCTTTGCTGCTCCCAATGTTGAGTTGACGGCTCCGGTCCTAACACCGCTTACCTGGGAGTAAGCTCCATTGTATTCCACAGGACTCCTGAGTGGACACAGTTAGGATTGCACTGTTAAGTAGGGGTAGGCAGATTTGCTTCCCTGCAAAGTTTGAATGCATGCTGGTTTGAAACAGTGGTGAAGATGAATGACTGTAGTCTCTGGAGTTAAGTTTTACGGAGAGACCCTCTGTTGTTGGCATCCATCTGTCTAGGGAGACAATGGAGGGGTGTGCCTTTGGGAGCAAAGTCACATTGTCGGAAGGTTACAGCACCTTCTGTGGCTGTAGAGACTATATAGGAGAGACATGTTTTGTTGCAGCTGGGGCAGAAGATGATGTTCGGTTGTGCCTCTCTCTGCTCTTCCCAGAGGTCATTCCTCCTCTGGTCGCTGCTGTGGATGCATAATCTGACCATCCATCGCCAAGCACTGCCATTGTCAATAAGGGATTCTCATACAGCAGCGTTAATGTTGCTAGCCTTCGTGTCATGCTTGCAGACATCACAGAGATGATCTGCCAACAGGCCTGGTGTCTGAAGGCAGCTCCCCGTAGAACATGGCCTTGTGGATCCTGCCATCTTCCATTCTGTGGACATGGCAATGCCAGCGTGGATGTCACCGAGACAGAAGTGCAAACATTCTGGGAATGTGGCCTTGGGAGAGCACATCTTTGAGACTCTGTCCTTTGAAGGTGACCCGGAAACTACAACTAATCCAGAATACGACAGCTAGACTGGTGACTGGGAGCGGCTGCTGGGACCATATAACACTGGTCTTGAAAGACCTACACTGGCTCCCAGTACATTTCCGAGCACAATTCAAAGTGTTGGTGCTGACCTTGAAAGCCCTAAATGGCCTCGGTCCAGTATACCTGAAGGAGCGTTTCCACCTCCATCGTTCTGCCCGGACACTGAGGTCCAGCGCCGAGGGCCTTCTGGCGGTTCCCTCGCTGCGAGAAGCCAAGTTACGGACAACCAGGCAGAGGGCCTTCTCGGTAGTGGCACCCGCCCTGTGGAATGCCCTCACACCAGATGTCAAAGAGAAAAACAACTACCAAACTTTTAGAAGACATCTGAAGGCAGGGCTGTTTAGGGAAGCTTTTAATGTTTGATAGGTTATTGTATTTTAGTGTTTCGTTGGAAGCCGCCCAGAGTGGCTGGGGAAACCCAGCCAGATGGGCGGGGTATAAATAATAAATTATTATTATTATTATTATTATTATTATTATTATTATTATGTGCTTAGGTGTAACGTGGTAAAACAGTCTTGCTGTGTTTGGGGTGGAGGGCTCCTAATTCTGCTGAGTGGGGCTCTGCCCCAAAGTCCTGCCCTGATGGCTTAGAGAAAGGCAGTGGAGGGTGTTCCATCTGGTTGAATGCAGGACTGCCTCACCAACCTCAGCCTACCCCTAGCCAGGCCCTGCCTGCCTGCCTTCTTAATTCCAGTGTGTGTGTGTGTGTGTGTGTGTCTGTGTGGCCTTGCCTTTATAGATCTCTGCAGGAAGGAGGATATGGGCAGGGCGGAGGGGTAGATAACTGTTCGGAGGATGGATGGTCCAAGAATGCAATAAATATTCTTTTGCTTATTTAAAATCTTTCTCGGCAGCCTTTCATCCATATACAGTGGTACCTCGGGTTACATACGCTTCAGGTTACAGACTCCGCCAACCCAGAAATATTACCTCGGGTTAAGAACTTTGCTTCAGGATGAGAACAGAAATCGTGCTCAGGTGGCGCGGCGGCAGCGGGAGGCCCCATTAGCTAAAGTGGTGCTTCAGGTTAAGAACAGTTTCAGGTTAAGAATAGACCACCAGAACGAATTAAGTACTTAACCCGAGGTACCACTGTAATACATAATATGGTAATAAATCATACGGTCAGCTGCATTGCAGCCACCTTATTGAAATGCAATGCATTTCTTTCCTCCAAGAAGCAAAAGTCGCCTCCACATTTCATGTTCACAACAACCCTTTGAGGTAGGTAAGGCAGAGAGAGAACGACTGGCCCAAAATTCGCCCAGGAAGCAGTTTTGGAAAAGCAGGCATTAGAACAAAGGTGTAGGAGTGTCGCTCCCCATCTGTAAGATGAGCTAGTTTATCCATGCCCACCCCCTTACAAAAAACAAAGACGAAACAAACGATCCTATTGGTCGGGTTTTTCGCCCACGGGGGTTTGTGGGCTCCTTGCTCACGACGCCTTCCCTCCCCGCGGGAGCGAGGGATTCCCGTGGGCGTTGCCTGATTTTTCTGCAGGCGGCCGCCAGGTGGCGCTGCTCCTGCCTTCGCCGCCGCTTCAGCGTCCCGGGCGGGCGTCTAAGAACCGGCTGCTGCTGCTGCGTCTGGTTTCAGGCGAGAAGGCGGCGGCGGGAGGGACGGGGCCGCTGGCTGGCTGGCTGGCTGGCTGTCGTCGGAGTGGTTGGGAGCTGCAAGAAGACCCGCCCCCAGCCCGGCAAGCCAGCGGCAGCGGCAGACGTGCTAACGTGGCTGGCCGAGCAGGGGGAGGCTGAGCTTTCGAGGGGGCGCACGCCAGGGGAGGGGGGTCCATGCTTTCCCTGGCCAGCTTTCCAGCTTCAGCGACCCCCTGAGTTTCGCGACTTGGGAGCTAAGGAGCAACGGGAGTGGGGACTCCCCCCCCCCAAGCAAACCTTGGCTCCGCCGTCGAGGGTCGCCCGCTCTCCCCGCTGCTGAAAGGCGGTCCGTGCGCCCCGCGTCCCTTTCGGAGATGCAGAAGCTGCTGCAGCAGCTGCCCGCCAGCGCGGCCAACTTGGTGAAGTCCCAGCAGACGGCGGCGGCGGCGAGCGAGGAGGCCAAAAGCCCCGTCTTGGTGCCCGACGGCGCCCAGCAGAGTTGGTACAGCACGTTGGAAGGCGATGAATCCAGGCAGCTCAAGGCGACCGAGCAAGACGCGGTCTCCCAGCACGAGAGCGGCCTCGACGGCAGCGTGGTGCAGCCGCTACGGTAGGGTGGGCTGCCGCCTTGGGGGGCGCGCTCCCCGCGCCTTCTCCGGCTAAACGGGCGAGGTTATCAGTCGCCGTCGTCGTGGTGAAGGGTGCTTTAAGGGATGCAAGGAGGCAGGCTCCTCCCCAGGAGGTTGCAAGGGGTAGGGAGCCCTTCGCAAGCCGGAGGCCGCATTCCCACCTGAGCAACTTTCCAGGGGCCACATGCCTATGGGGGGGCAAGGACAGAGGCAAAAGTGGGCGGGACAATGAAAATAAATTGTATCTGTTCTGTAGGCTGGTTTGCATGCACTTTCTCACGCCCTTCTCAAAATCTCCATCTGGGAAAGCAAGAGGCACTTATCAGTGTTCAAGGACACATTCCAGCCAGGCAAAAACACTCAAGGGGGGTGCGAAGCAAGCCAGAGAGGCATGGGCGTAGGCAGGGGGCAGCAGCCCCCCCCCGCCAAATCAAGTACAGTGGACTCTCGGGTTGTGAATGTGATCTGTGCGGGATGCATGTTCGCAACCTGCAGAGGTGCATGCGCGGGTTGCAGTTTGGCGTTTCTGCACATGCGCAGAGCACGATCTGCACATGTGCAACCGCTGAAACCCAGAAGTAACCCATTCCGGTACTTCCAGGTTTCGGCAGTCTGTAACCCGGAAAAACACAACCTGAAGTGTCTGTAACCCGAGGTATGACTGTAAATAAATAAAAATACTTAACCAACTGACCAACTGCATCACAGATAACTCTGTACTGCCCCTCCCCAATATAATGCCTGCCTCCCCTAAAATAAATTCTGGCTACGCCCATGCAGAAAGGGCTGCAAGCTTAGGAGGGGGTGAGGCATGGAGGGAGAGCTAGGTAGAAGGGTTTGGAGGGCTGCGTTTGGCTTGGTTTGCCAACTGCTTTTGGACTACAACTCCCATCATCCCTAGCTAGCTGAACCAGTGGTCAGGGATGATGGGAGTTGTAGTCCAAAAACAGCTGGAGAAACTAATTCCTATCTTGCTATATGCTGCACTTCCATATATTCAGGGGCTGGAAACTTGTGGCCCTCCACATGTATGTCATTAGTCTTCAACTCCCATCAACCCCACCTGGCATGGCCTGCAGTCAGGAATGATAGGAGTTGTAGTCCAACATCATCTGGTGGGCTAGTGGTTCCCCCTTCCCATTGCTAACCTCTCATTGAACTCAATGGGACTTCAAGCAGACATGCAAACCACCTTTTCGGTATTCAGGTGTTTCTGCAAAGGTATGGGCTGTTATTCCTCCCTTCTACTCTGTGAATGCTTAGGGGAGAGTAATTGTCAGTGTAGTAGCTATTTTGGGGTAGTTAGGGCAATCCCGCCCAGTTAAAGTAATGTTAATCAATTAATTGTGTGAGCTTTGAATGCACAAATTAAGATTTGTTGCTTATAAACAGAGGTTGTCATAATGGGAGATGGACATAACATAACAAATGAGATGAGGGATAGAACAAAATTAAACTTTTTTTTAAACAACTTTGTTAAATTAGAGGGGTTAACCCAGAGAATACAATAATTACTGAGGCCACCTTAAGCAATTATAGACTGAAAAGTCCATCGTACCAGGTTTTTTGATACTAACTATTAACCATGTGTAAATAAGATAAACAATATTTCTAAAGGGAGGGGGGTGTACTTTGTGGTGCTAGCACTTTTTTTTTTTTTTTTTGCTGCACCACCATGTATGCGTCTGATTCAGCAGGTAGTGTGTTGCAAGAATGGTTCTCCTATTTATTCACTAATGCCTCTGAATGCCCCTTGCTGTGTTTCACAAGTATGGGGAGTGCTGCTGCGCTGTACTCTTGCCCTGTTTGGTGGCTTCCCACAGATATCTGCTTGACTACTGTGAGAGCAGTATGCTGGGGTCTTTGGTCTGATCCAGCAGGGTTAATCTTTAAATTACCTTGTGCAGGAAGGAATGCAAGTTGTCATGTGTCTTCTATAGTTCTTCTTAGTACTTGGATGAATACTTTTTTTAAAAAAAAATCTCTTTGGTTAATTGAGCACACTTCTTTTAGTTGTTCAGAATATTTTGTATGTATTACATTTAGCTAATTCATTGACCAAGGCTGCAATATGCTGACCTCACTTACCCAAATGTAAGTCTTACTATGAAAACTTGACTTCTGAGTAGAGGTGGTTAGGACTGCAGTCTAAAACTGTAATTCTGAAGTTGCTTACAGGGGAGCAAATCCCATTTCACACTGTGATTGACTTCTTGTTTTGTTAAATGTGTCATGGAACGGTCCAGTCCCTGATTGTCTTAGCTACTTGGACTCCCCTATCTTCTACCAGCTTGGTCGGCTCTTATGACTGGAGAGATGCTTTGGCATGATGGGTCAAGCCTCGTGGAAGCTCCCTGTGGTCATCCAAAGCAGACACCAAAGGGAATACTTGGAGACCGCAGGCAGTGGTGCAATTTTAGACCAGGGTGAGGGACTGGATCCTTATCTCTGCCCATCCCAGGTAGGCCGAGTTTGAAATCAAACTTTGCAGTGCTTTGCAAGCCCAATTGCATCTCTAGCAAAGCCCTGGCACCAGACTTTGTAAGCACCGACAATCGGCTTTAGACTGGACATTGTTTGACCAGGATGGCCTTCCAGGCCAAATGGAGAGTCCCAATGAGGCCCATGGGCTGGAGGTTGCCCACTACTGTTTTAGATCCTGGACTTAATGGTGCTATTGGATGGGTGGGTAGCGCTCCTGAGATGGCGATGTGCATTACATGCTTCAAAATGTGAGCATGTGTTTGAAGGGTGTCCTTCTGCTCATTCTGCAGAGTGGGCCTCTGACCTTCTGTCCCCAAGTCCTATCCTGATGGTACCACTGGAGGCATATATAGAAAGAGAGACTTAAACGCAACTGGAAGGCTTTTGCATAGATGTGGCAGAAGCTGAGTCCTACTGGCTGGCCAGTGTTGTGCTTCCTCCATGGCTGGGGAGATAACCTGTAGCCTCCTCCTAAGGATGCCAGCTGGCTATGCATGATCTCAGCCTGGAGTTTAATGCCTGGCATGGACACGTTTGTGAAATGCCTGGCATTGATGTTGCTGTGGCAACTGCCTCTGAGCCACGGATTCTTTTTCAAGCTGCTGTGAATAAATTCCGGAGGGGGATAAATATTTCACAGGCTGCTGTGGGTTTGGATTCCTTTTGTGCAAGCGGTTTGCCAGGATCGAGTTTCTCTCCCTGCCTCTGTTCCTTTTGTGTCTTTGCTCCTTCAGTCTCCGCTGGAGGAAGGGAGGCTTCCTCTGGGAAGCAGAGTCTGGAGGAACTCTATGGTATGCTAGTGAGCTGTGGCCCTATGAGGAGTGGGGATATGGCTCAGCAGCCCTGTCCCATGCATGTGTGGACGTAGCTGGGCTTCCTTTCTCAACTTGGCTTTGCCAAAGACTTCGTTCGTTGACCCTCCTGTGAAAAGGGCAGATTCCATGCTAGGGGTCATTAGGAAATGAATTGAAAATAAAACTTTCAATATCGTAACGCCATTATACAATTCTAAAGTACAACCGCAACTGGAACATTGTGTACAGTTCTGGTTGCCTCACCTCAAAAAGGATACAGTGGTACCTTGGGTTACAGATGCTTCAGGTTACAGACTCCGCTAACCCAGAAATAGTACCTCGGGTTAAGAACTTTACTTCAGAATGAGAACAGAAATCGTGTGGCGGTGTCACGGTGGCAGCCGGAGGCCCCATTAGCTAAAGTGTACCTCAGGTTAAGAACAGTTTCAGGTTAAGAATGGACCTCCAGAACAAATTGAGTTCTTAACCCGAGGTACCACTGTACTGTAGAGTTTGAGAAGGTTCAGAAATGGCAACTAAAATGAGTGATTCTCCTATGAAGAAATGTTGCAGTTTTTGGCACGTTTTAGTTTAGGAAAAAAAGCAAGCATGAGGTGACATGATGGAAGTTTGCAAAATGACACCTGACATAGAAGAAGAAGAAGAGTTTGGATTTGATATCCCGCTTTATCACTACCCAAAGGAGTCTCAAAGTGGCTAACATTCTCCTTTCCCTTCCTCCCCCACAACAAACACTCTGTGAGGTGAGTGGGGCTGAGAGACTTCAGAGAAGTGTGACTGGCCCAAGGTCACCCAGCAGCTGCATGTGGAGGAGCGGAGACTCGAACCCGGTTCCCCAGATTACAAGTCTATCGCTCCTAACCACTACACCACACTGGCTCTAGAAGACCTGCAGGGACCATCTCGTCCAACCCCCTTCAGGAATATGCAGCTCTCCCATAAGAGGATCGAACCTGCAACCTTGGCGTTACCAGCACCACGCTCTAAGCAACTGTGTTGTGCATGATGCCTTGCTAGCTCGCCGTGCTCCATCCCCTGAGCCATCAGCCACTTCCCTTTAGCATTGAAACTAGACTTGGGATGGAGGCAGTGGACAGAGAAAAGCTCTTCTCATGAAGTTAGAACTGGTGGACATCCCATGAATGCTAGAACTATAGACCTTACTCTGAGGTAGAGATGGCCACAAACTTGGGTGGTTTAAAAAAAAGGATTAGGCAGATTCATGGAGGAGAGGCTCACCAATGGCTACTAGCTATGATGACTGTGCTCTGCCTGGACAGTCCAAGACTATAAGGCTTCTGAATGCCAGTTGCTGGAAAATACAGGAAGGGAGAGTGCTATTGTGTTTAGGTTCTACTTGTGAGTTTCTGCAGGTATCTGCATGGCCACTGTGAGAACAGGATGCTGGACTTGATGGGCCATTGGTGCGATCCTGCAGGATCTTCCTTTTTAAAAAAATAATAATAATTTTTATTTGGTTTTACAAATATAGAATTATAACAGTACAATACAAAATACATATCCATATTTAGAGATTTGTCCGAATCTCTGGACTTCACACCTTCCCCTCCATGGGTCTTATTGTCACCCTTTTCAACTGCATATTATTTCATAATCCACGTTTAGGTCTCTCTATTTTGTCCATAATATTTGCTCCATTACAAGTGTTATTGAAATCTTACTAGTGTTTTCATCTGCTTACAGTGGTCCCTTAGAAATTTTTTTTAAATTTCCCATTCTTTGTTGAAGTTTTTGTCTTCGTGGTTCCTGAGCTTTCCGGTCAGCCTTGCCATTTTGGCATAGTCCAACAGCTTAATTTGCCATTCCTCTCTGGTAGGGACTTTATCTTCTTTCCATCTTTATTCTTCTTTCCATCTCTGAGCTAGTAGTATCCTTGCGGCTGTTGTCGCATGCATAAAAAGTATTTTCTGCTCCTTTGGAATATCAGTACCACAATTCCTAATAAAAAGGCTTCTGAGTTTTTTTTACAAAAGTTTTTTAAAATATTTTTTCCCCATTTCATTATGTGAGGAAGAGTATGGTTGCTCACGAGTAAACAACCAGGACTCCGACCTGCCTTTTTACAGGTTTTATTTGGTGCAAACTATGTACAGTGCAGACATCCAGAGTCCATGTCTCCCTCAGTCGCTAGCAGATTCCGAGAGTGGGCTTTTCCTGTCCCCCCCCCCCAGCATAAGAACCTCGACACGCCAGGTCTCCACCTTTTTCCCTTATGCTTGACACCCCTGCCAAAACTAGGCAACGGAAGTTGCATCTCTGGAAGTTGCATCTCTGCGTCCCTTTTCGTCTCCCTGGGATCGGTGCTGGGGCTCTCAGATAAGTCTGTGAGCCTTTGCCTCCACTCTCCCCACCTTTCTTCTTCCGTTTTGCTTGAGACTTCGCTGACACCAGTCTCTGACGAAGTGTTACTGCTGATCAAAGTGCATAGCTGTCAAGTGTCCCTTATTTGAAGGGACAGTCCCTTATTCCAGCACCATGTCCCGCTGCTGTCCCTTATTGATGGATGTCCCTTAAATGTCCCTTAAATGATGTCCCTTAAATTTCAAATGAAGCAGCTCCTCTCCCTCCCTCCCTCCTGCCAGCCAGGGAGGAGGGAGGCTCCAACGGTGTTGCTTGGCTGTGTTGCTCACCCAATAAGAAGTCTAAGAACGGCTGGGGGGTGGAGCTTGCATGCCTTGTGTGTGGCTAGTTAATGCAAGCTGAGGGGTTTTTTGAATGCTGGACGCCATTTTGTTGCACGTGCTGCTGCAAACTTTGCAGTGCAAAACCAGGCCGGGAGCCATCTTAAGTTGAGGCTGCATAGGCCTTGTGGTGCATGTGATTCAGATTCTATTCAGTTGAACCTCTGGTTACAAAGTTGGTTGGACAGTGTTCTCGAAGCTACCAGCATGAGTTTGACCAGACTGCAGGAGGACAGGAAGACTGGAGTGCCTGGAACAGGTGTGGCTGCAGGTCCCTTATTTTGGCTGCTGGTCCCTTATTTTCAAGGTTGCTGGTCCCTTATTTTAAAATCTGTAAGTTGACAGCTATGTCAAAGTGGGAGGCTCTCTGTATGTTCCTACCTCCCTCCCCCCTCTTGATGGCAGTCCCCTGACACATTATATATCATTTCTGGGATCCTGCAAGCTCTTCCTAATTTCTTACATGAGAGTGTTCTTGTGCATGAATCCTGCAGGCACCCGGTCAGCCACTCTGAAAACAAGATGCTGGACTGGATTGGGTCACTAGCCTGATCCAGGAAGGCTCTTCCAAAGTTCTTATATTCTTACGGAACTCTTATGCAGAGAGATGGATCTGCCTTGGAATTCAATAACATAAGGAGTTTTATGCAGAAGACCCATTTAGTCCACCATCCTATTCTCACCAGTTGCCTGTGCGAAACCCACAAGCAATATTAGTGCAATATTAGCATGGGCACTTTTGGATTTGTTAGGGTTCTGGTCATTTCTCTCCCCCCGGTCCCAGATCAGTCCCCCTGCCCTGGGAGAGAGAAGGGAAAAGGTACCATATATACACTTCGCTTTTCCAGCAGATCTGCATCAAAGTTGAATCCAGTAGAACCAGTCTGAGCCTTGAGAAGTGCGTAGAGCTGAAAGAGGAAGTGGGAAACTTCCTCCTTCAACTTTTATGTACTTTTCGAGGGAGAAAAAGATAACCACCCTTAGTGCCTCATAACTAAGAGGGAATTGTGTGGGTTGTGGTGGATCTGAGGCTTTGTGGGTGTTGGAGGAAGACCTCAAGGAGACCCTTGCACTGTGTGGCAACCTCTCCATGTTTCTCACTGCTCTTCAGGTATCTGGCAAAGTGGTCTCCAACTTACGGAAGCATCTGCATGCTTACCTGGGAGTGAGCCATATTGAACTCAGTGGAATTTTTATTTCTTTTAGTAGGATGGTGCTGCAAATCTGCTAGCCTTAAAAGCGGCTCTAGATCCTGCAACAGTGAGCACCGCTACTGCCTCCCTGGAACGTATCTGTGCCCATGGCATGATTTTTCTGTATGTTTTGCAGACATGATGACCTGAAGGAGATGCTGGACAGCAACAAGGATTCTCTGAAGCTCGAGGCCATGAAGAGGATTGTAGCGGTAAGTTCCCCGCTTGCGACTTGGCTACGGCGTGAGAATAGGGAATTGTACTCTTGGGGTGAAACCTGGAACAACCAACTGAGTTTTGCTGCTGACAGTCTTTGCTGTGCATGCTCTCTCAGTGTTTGGCAAAAGGGCCCTGCCATCCACTTGTACAGTGGTATTTTGGTTCTCAAATGGCTTGGCTCCTGAGGCGCACCCAAAGTAAAGGAAGGATTGAACTCTGATTAATAAGAATACACACAGAGGCTTGAACCAGCAAGACTCTGGGAAGGGTGCGTATAATAATCTCTCCCCCCTACCCCTCAGCCCAGGTCGTTTTATTCACAAAAGAACTTTTTACAGAGTGTTCGTAAGAACCAATCAGATTTCTTCTGAGCATTTCAACAAACCCCACGTGGGGACAAAGTTAAACTACAAACACTAGTTAGGCATGCATACTTTTGGGTAAATGAATGAAAACTACAAAGGAGTGCATTCAGCAACCCTGGAGGTCATAAACAATCAATACACAGGATAAGAAGGATGGCCAGGAGGACAGCGATCATTATCACCTTTATGTGAGACTTGTTTCCTGGCCCTAAGATTAACATCCTAAGATTAACATATCAGAAAAGCTACAGCAAAGAAACTGCCACTGTCTTTAATGACCCAGGATGCCTGCCTGTCTAAGTGTGTACGTGACTTGTGAAGAAAGAGAAATGGAACAAGGATGCAGAGGTGTGGATTGATCAAGAATCATATCAAAATAGTTTAAACCCAGCCGACGCAATGCTTTCATTGCTGACACAGATGGCTTACTCTATATTTGTTATAATTCCTCATAGCAATCCCACCTGATCACTACAGGCTCCCAAACAAATCGGCTCTCGAACGCCGCAAACCCGGAAGTAAGTGTTCCGGTTTGTGAACGTTTTTTGGAAGCTGAACATCCAACGCAGCTTCTGCTTGTCTGCAGGAAGATCCTGCAGCCAATCAAAAGCTGCGCCTTGGTTTTCAAATGGTTCCAGGGGTTAAACAGACTCCCGGAACGGATTAAGTTTGACAACCAAGGTGCCGCTGTATTAGGCCCTGGCACTAATGCCTGCAGCGTTGCCCTGGCACTTAATAGGTTGTTCATTGTGCACAGCTGTGAGCACCACTCCCTGCCCCACCCAATACTCCAAAATTTTGATCTGAGGCCTCGATCCTGAGAGTCAAACCAGACAAGATATTAGGGCCCATGATGCTGTTTACTTAAAACACACATTTGCACACTTGCTGACTGAATAAATAATGCCAGGTCCAGAGGCCCAATTTGTACCATCTTCACTATGCATTTAAAGCAGGATCTTACTACTTTAAACAGTCACAGCTTCCCCCATCTACGGGAGAAGAAAAGGCTAAGGAGTAAACCCTACACAAATCCAGAGTGGAGTCCCTAAGAGGGTTGGATGGCGCCTTGTACGCCTCCTTCCAGCGACTCTTGCAGCCAAGCTGGTGCCAAAGGGATTGCCCTGCTTTCCTCTGGACCACATGAGTGAGGCCAAGAGAGGGGACTTCTTGTCTGGGCAGCCCAGGACCTCCAGCCACAGGCCTGTGTCCCAGAGAAGTCACTTCAGAGCTGCTAACACAGCAAAAAGCTCCTCCAAAGAATCCTGGGAACTGTGGTTTGTTAAGGTTGCTGACAGTTGTTAGGAGACCTTGTGCCCCTCACGCAGTTCCAGTTCCCAGAGTGGTTTCGCAGTTAGTAGCAATTCCTAGGGAACTCTGGAATTGTAGCTATGGGGGTGGGGGGGAATTGGGATCTCCTAACAACTTCCAGAATGCTTAGCAAACTACAGTTCCCAGGATTATTTAGGGAGGTGATACTGCTTTAAATACAGAGTGCAGGTGGGCTGTCTGATTGAATTTTTGAATTGAAAGATCCACAGTCATCTGGTCAAGCTAAGTGCAGGAGTTTTGTAATTCAAGTGACAGATGACCGTCATGGCTCTGGTTCAGCAAAGGAGAACCCACTCCTCATTTTGTTTTGACTTTCCAGGCCCCATCAGCAACCAGTCCTTTCCCTGAATTTTACAGGGGTTCATCCTTTCTCTATAGCTCCCCTGCACTGTCTTGGAGAGGAACACCTAACCGCTGCAATTTTAATGGGCTGCTTGGGAGGTCAGGAATAGCAGTGGGCGATGTGCAGTTTGATGTGTTTCCTACTATAAAGATACTGGAAGTGACAGGGCACCAGTGTACACACGGGAGGCGTGGTAGCAACTGACCAATTTAAAGTGGAGGTGGATTTCAGATTTCTTGACTAGCTACCCCACTGCTGTTTCTCCTCTCCCAGATGATTGCACGAGGCAAGAATGCATCCGATCTCTTCCCAGCTGTGGTAAAAAATGTGGCTTGCAAGAATATAGAGGTAAGCTGCTGTTGTTATTATTTTCCTTTCTTTTTATATGCTGCTCAATGCTAAAATAGGCAAAATATCATACAATCCCTTGCAGACAACGGCAGCAGCCTCGGGCAGTTTCTCCAGGTCTTTCTCTGCGGTGGCTGCTTTTAGCTTGTACAGATATTCTGGAAGAACATGGGGCCCTCTGAACATTGTTGGACTCCATCAGTCTAGATAAGTCTAGATAAGACTTTTCCCAATCTAGGGTGACTAGAGAACAGCTATCCAGCCCACACGAGACTTTTAATGCATTGATTTCTGTGCAACAGAGGGACTCTCAGAGAACTGCTGTGGTTTCCTGGAAAGAAGGTTGCCGGGTAATTTGAGCTGGAATAGCAGGGATTGGGAACGTGTGTCCCTCCAGATATTCCTGGACTACAGCTCCCATGGGTCATGCTGGCTGTGGCTGATGGGAGATGGAGTCCAGCCACATCCTGAAGGCTACAGACTCCATGTGATATAATGTCATGGCTTAGAATGGGAGCAACAAGCCAAGAAGTCCCTGGTTCAGTTCCCCATCCCCACTCCTGTCCAATCTATAATGCTTGCCCTACCTTACAGTGTTGTTTTACAGATTGCTGAGATCATGTACTAAGATTTAATATAGTGCTGAGTCCTGATTACCTCAGGGAACATTTCTTTCCCACCCAACTAATGTGTTTCTGCTTAAAATCTCATACTGCATGGAGGGTGACCACTCTTTGTGGCAGCCCCAGAACTCTGTCTCACAGGAAGTCCATTGGGGTCCTTCCCTTTTGTCTTTAGTTAATTCTATTGCTGGTTCTAATTGTTTTGAATTTCTTTTTGTGTTCTGTTAAGATAATTACTATGTAAAATGCATGTAAGTAGATTGTGAGTCAGTTGTCTTCTATTTATCTTTATGCATCCTTCTGGAAATCAGCTCCAAAAGGCACTATAAATGTTTCAAGTGAATAAAAAATAAAAAAGGAAGAAGTGTTTTGCTTTAGAAGTGCCGTTGCTGTCCCCATAGAGACTAGGTGACCAGCCACTCTCCCCCTAGGCATTGAAAGTGATTCCAAAGTGCAGCCATGTTGGGCACTATAATAGATGGTCTTGAGGAGAGTGTGGCACAAAGGATTCTGGGAGAAATCCACTCTCCTGGAATGCTTTTTCAATGGCCGGACATTGCTCATAGTGCTAAATTGAGGGTAGGACACTGTGGTCCTCCAGCTGCTCTCAAACTTCATTCCTATCATCCCTGACCTTTGACCATTGTGGATTTTGCTTATTTTCCTCTTCCCTCCCTTTTCCAGGCCAATAGAAGGTGCTTTGCTGTACCAGCACTTCCTCCTTGCTGTCATTCAGAAAGCCTTCATTGTAGAGTTGGCAGGGGGGAACTGGTGGCTTGCTTAGTTCCAACTAAGGATGCTTTTCCTTTGGCAGGTGAAGAAGCTTGTGTATGTTTACCTGGTCCGATACGCGGAGGAACAGCAAGATTTGGCCCTGCTCTCCATCTCTACCTTCCAGAGAGGACTCAAGGTTGGATGCTTTTTGGGGGGGAGGCAGAGTCTAAGCTTTGCTTTTGTCATTGAGAGTTGCTCTAGGGTGGAGCGAATATATGACAGACTTCTCAAACTGCTTCCTGAGGTCCAAAGTGGGCACTTTCCACCTTGCAAATAGCAGGAGGTGGGGAGCTTGATTGGGTGTGTGACAGGGCAAAGGCTTCATGCTCCCCCTACAGTGGAGGCTGGTCCATTTGGATGAATGGAGCACTGCCCCATTAACCTCACTCTGCCTTCCTCCAGGCCCTACCTGCCTGCCTTCTTACTACCTGGGCAACTCAAGATCCAGGTCAATTTCAAATAGTTATTTAGAGAGATAGCTGGATTGCCTATGCTTGTCAGCTTCCCCTTCCTAAGTCTTGGTAGTTCTCTTCAGCAGGAAGAAGAATGGGACCAAACTAGAATCAGTTGATTTTGCTAGTCATTGGCTCTAGCGCCACCTACTGTTGACCTCCCTTTTGCCCTACCACTCCCAACGGCCGCCAGTCATCGCTGCCCTGCTCCCAGCTATTGTTTTGTTTTCATTTTTACAAAAGGCATCTATACAATGCCAAGCTCCATGGCAAACATCGCATCTAGTTTGATCATTAGATTATTCTGTGTTTTCAGAGGGTAACCTCCCCTTGCCCCCGCCCCCAAACATGTAACATTTCCTCTTTGCCAAGATGGGCAAACTAGGCTTCCTAAGATGCTGCTCTTTTTGTGAGTCGGGTTTTAATCTTCTACAACCATCGTTGCCAAAGGAGACTTGGGAGTTGGTCTCTGTGTCTCAGTTGACAAGCTCAGGTTTCCTGCTGGGATATAAATCAATCAGGCAGGGCTGAGTTTGACCGAAGGGAACATGACACTTGCGAACAGAAGGAGAGACCTCATGAAAGAGATCTGGAGGAAAGGGGTCTTCTTGATGTTGCTGGGCTATTTTACATTGAACTGGCTCCCATGTAGCTTGAATGAGTTCCTTGTGAATATAGAAACACAGAAAGCTGCTTTGCACAGAGTCAACTCTTGGTTCATCTAGCACAGTTTTGTCTACACTGACTGGCTGTGCCAGGGTTTCAGGCAAGACTCTCTTTCAACCCTACCTAGAGATGGGCTTTCTGCATGCAGGGCAGATGTTCTGCCACAGAATGAATGAATATTTACTGCTAAAAGCTATAAGCCGTCACAATTGGTCACAACGCATAGGATACAAATAATTGATTTAAAACTGAACAACAGCAAAGCAAGCATACAAAAATGCAAAAATCACTCTTGCATAAGTTTAGGATCATTGGACAGCCAAAGGTTCCACATCTCTGGTCTAATGTAAGGAGATGGCAAGAGGAGGAACCAAGCTAAAAAAAGGTAAAGGGACCCCTGTTCATTAGGTCCAGTCGTGGCCGACTCTGGGGTTGCGGCGCTCATCTCGCTTTATTGGCCGAGGGAGCCGGTGTACAGCTTCCGGGTCATGTGACCAGCATGATTAAGCCGCTACTGGCGAGCCAGAGCAGCTCACGGAAACACCGTTTACCTTCCTGCCGCAGCGGTACCTATTTATCTACTTGCACTTTAACGTGCTTTCGAACTGCTAGGTTGGCAGGAGCAGGGACCGAGCAACGGGAGTTCACCCCGTCGCGGGGATTCGAACCACCGACCTTCTGATCAGCAAGTCCTAGGCTCTGTGGTTTAACCCACAGCACCACTCGCGTCCCTAGCTGTATGTAAAATACAGCTTAGTGGTTTTATTCTTTTGCCTCCCTAGCAAGGAGTTGTCTCTCCCAGGAACAGATGGTGTTGTGGCTTAGGGACGAGGAACCTTTGATCTTTCAGCTGCTGCTGAACTACAGCTCCCATCAGGCACGGCAAGCATGGCCAGTGTCCGCAGGTTGATGGGAATTGCAGCTGAGCAACATCGGAAGAGCCAGGAGTTCCCCGCGCCACCTGTAGATTTATTGGGATGGAGGTTATCCTGAACCCCTTCCTGGTGGAAAAAGTCTGCTAGGCTTGAGTGCCTGATGCAAACCTCCTCTTTGCCGCAGGATCCCAATCAGCTGATCCGAGCCAGTGCCCTCCGCGTTCTCTCCAGCATCCGTGTGCCCATTATTGTGCCCATCATGATGCTAGCCATCAAGGAGGCGGCTTCTGACATGTCCCCCTATGTACGCAAAACGGCGGCTCATGCCATCCCCAAGCTGTACAGGTAAGTGGGAACCTCTTCCTTTCACTTCTTCCAGCCTCTTTTTAAGGCCCCGGAACCCAGACTGCCTTTACAGACTTGCAGAACCTTCATTCATTTGTGCTATTGCAAAGTGAAAGCAGCATGCTGTGTTTGCATGCTGGAATTCCATGGTGCCTTTTCCTTTTCCTAAAGCTCCTTTTGCACCATTGCTTAACTAAGGTAAAGGTAAAGGGACCTCTGACCATTAGGTCCAGTCGCGGATGACTCTGGGGTTGCGGCGCTCATCTCGCTTTATTGGCCGAGGGAGCCGGCGTACAGCTTCCGGGCATGTGGCCAGCATGACTAAGCCCCTTCTGGCGAACCAGAGCAGCACACGGAAACGCCGTTTACCTTCCAGCCGGAGCGGTACCTATTTATCTACTTGCACTTTGACGTGCTTTCGAACTGCTAGGTTGGCAGGAGCAGGGACCGAGCAACAGGAGCTCACCCCGTCGCGGGGATTCAAACCGCCAACCTTCTGATCGGCAAGTCCTAGGCTCTGTGGTTTAACCCACAGCGTCACTCACAACCTCCTAATTCCTGTTGCTCAGGAATTGTAAACAAACAAACAAAATCAAGTGCAGTTTTTAATGATTCAGTTTGACTTCCTGATTCAAAATGGCATCCAGTTGTATCCAAACATAGAGGAAAACCTGCTCCTTCATCTCAGGAGCCATCATGCAAAATCCGGTTATGATACATTTGGTTGGTTTGCATCCGTCTGTCTCAGAAGACAATGGAAGAGTACACCTTTGAGGGTAAAGTCAAACTGTTGGAAACTAACATCGCCTGCTGTGGCTGTAGAAGAGACAGTTTTGTTGTGCGGACGCATGTGTACCATGGTGTTCCTGCTTTCTGCGCTTCAACCTTACAAGTTGGAAAGCTAGACGATAACTCCATTATTTTCTCTCCAGCAGGCTATAGGATACGCCTTCCTCCACCCCCAGAGACAACTAAATCGAGTGCCACCTCGTGACTGAAGTGTATAATAACACTTATTGACACTGATTTTGTCTTTCTTCTTTTCAGCCTTGATTCAGACCAAAAGGACCAGTTAATAGAGGTCATCGAAAAACTTCTGTCAGATAAAACAACTGTGAGTAAGCAGGGCATATCTGAACCATTTTTTTAATTTGGGTGGGGGTGAACACATTGATTTAAAAAGCACTAAAACCCGCAAAGTTCTTGTCACACCTTAAAGACCAACCAATTTATTATGACATACATTTTTATAGACTAGAGTCAAATGCAATTCTCTAACCCAGCAATGGGGAATCTGTTGCCCTCCAGATTTTGGACTACAACTCCCATCACCCTTTACTGGCTGGGGCTGATGGGAGTTGGAGTCCCAACAAAGACTGTAGAGTTTCAGGTTCCCTTTCCTTGGTTTAGTTCATGAAAACCATAGTAAATATGTTGTTTTTTAAGCTGCTGCAAGACTCCTTTTGTAGATTTTCCTGCAACTAACCCACCCCACAACTACCCCATGGAATTGTTATTATTTTGGGATCTCTTTCCTCCAACTACTCCCATCTCCCCAGTACCTAAGGCTGTTGCTTAATTTTCTAAGCAGGCTGGCAAAGTTTAGCCTGTGAAGGGCTGGGTGAGGTGCAAAGATGTTGCACCTTGCCTATTCATCCTATTTTTTACTGTTGATTTGTTGCCAGCTTGGCACCTGCGTTCCCATGCCAAGTGGGGGATCATCCTTTCAGTGACCCAGATCCTAGGTCTGCAAACCCTCTCCTTTTGGGGTTTGCATGAGCCCCACACAGTCTCTGCTTCGGCGCACCTCATTTTCTCCTCTTTGTTTTTTTATATATAATTTTTTATTAAATTTTCTGTTTTACAATTTAAAATACTCATTTTACATCCTTAAGATATCCATGACTTCCCTTCTTCTCTTTCCATGGTTCATTTTACATATCATAAATCCCTGCGTATTTTACAAAAACTATACCATTCAGTATTCCATTATTACAGCCATCAAAACTTATTTACACTGCTGAATTTATCTTAATGCTGCCGGCGTTTTCAGCTGTACATAATTATTTCCCATATATTCAATGCAGTCATACCTCGGGTTGAAGTTGCTTCAGGTTGAGCGTTTTCGGGTTGTGCTCCACGGCAACTCGGAAGTAATGGAACGCGTTACTTCTGGGTTTCGCTGCTTGTGCATGCGCAGACACTCAAAATGATGTCATGCTCATGCGCAGAAGTGGGGAATCGCGACCCGCGCACGCGCAGACGTGGGTTGTGTTCTGCTCTGGATGCGAACGGGGCTCCAGAACGGATCCCGTTCGCAAACTGTAAATGTTTTCCGATCTTCTTTAAACGTATGTTGTTCTTGTTCTCTTATTCTATATGTGAAGTCTGCAAGTTGTGCATATTCCGTCAGCTTAAGTTGCCATTTTTCTTTGGTTGGGACCTCACTCGCTTTCGATTTTGGGGCTAACAAAACAGGGGCTGCAGTAGTGGCATACGTAAACAACCTTTTCTCCTCTTTGTGTTTCCCTTGGCCAGCTGGTGGCTGGCAGCGTCGTGATGGCCTTCGAGGAAGTCTGCCCCGAGCGCATTGACCTCATCCACAAGAACTACCGCAAGCTGTGCAACCTGCTGATTGACGTGGAGGAGTGGGGCCAGGTGGTGATCATCAACATGCTGACGCGTTATGCTCGCACCCAGTTCCTCAGCCCCAACCAAAACGTGAGTGGAGCAGATAGGAGAGAAGCCCGTGCGTTCGCTTGCCTGGGTTCTGGAGATAAGTTATCCTGAATCTGGGGCATGGATGTTGTCGCTCAGAAGGCCACAAGTGAGCCCTTGGTTATATTCAGCAGGTGGCATTTTCCATACACAGATGCATTTTTTTGGAGGGGGAAAGCTAATAGCTCAGTGGTAGAGCATTGCATGCATAAGGTCCATAATCCCCAGCTTCTCCAGGCAGGGCTGGGAGAATCACTTGCCTGAATGTCTGGAAAGGTGCTTCCAGTCAGTGTAGGCAGTACTTTTTATTGTCATTATTGTTATTTATGATATTTCAATAATTTTACGATCATTTTAACATTTCAGAACGTGACTTCCTTCCCCCTCCTTCTGCGGTTCCTTAGGTTTATTTTTAATATTTTCTGCAAATCCAAATTAACTTAATTTGCTCATTTAGTCATCGACTTTAAGTATATAATCTTATAAAACTGCAGGTTATTACAATAATCCTGCCAATATTCTTATCTGTTTACAGTTTATTTGTAAATATTAAACAAACCATTTCCATTCTTTTATAAAACGTTTGTTACAGTCATACCTCAGGTTACGAACGCTGCGGGTTGCACATTGTCGGGTTGTGGACAACGCCGAACCCGGAAGTACCAGAACGGGTTACTTCCGGGTTTTGGCACTCGCACATGCGCAGAAGCGCAAAATGACGTCATGTGCAGAAGCGCTGAATTGCGTCACATGCATGCGCAGACACGGCGCTTCCGGCTGTGAACGCTGCAGGTTGTGAACATGCCTCCCACACGGATCATGTTCGCAACCTGAGGTATGACTGTATTTTGATTTCTTATTTTTGCAATTTCTGGATATTCCATAGGTTTTTGTATCCATTCTTCTTTTGCTGGTACTTCTTCTTCCATTTTTGGCCGTGCCCTTTTCACCATATTCTGAGAATGGGGCGACAAAAAAAATAATAAGCAAAGTGGCATGATCCACACTGGTGCCTCTGTGATGTAGAGTTACCATATTTTTCCGTGTATAGCACACCGCCATGTATAAGACGCTTCCTATTTTGGGGGACTCCAATTTAAGAAAATGGGGGGAGATGGCCCAGAGTTTTTTGGGGGGGGGACGACTAACAAAAATCATTCCCACGACTGAAAAATGCAACCAATAATAAGCAATGCCGGAACTGCTAAGTGTCTGCCCACTTGCAACTAGCAGCCGCAAATCGCGCGCCCAATTGTCGCAGCGGCAGCCAATCCACAACAGCGCTTGCCGCAGCCACCAGTCACCAACCCAATCGCTGCTCACAAGCTCCTGCTTGCGGCTGCAACCAATCGCCCATCCCCCTTCTGCACTACCCATGTATAAGACGACCCCTGATTTTGAACATTATTTTAGAGCAAAGAAAACCTCGTCTAATACACGGAAAAGTACGGTAACTGTTATACCACTGTTTCAACTCTAGGTGGCAGTTATTTTTACAATGAAGCTGCCCTCTGTTAAGCAGCCATTTTTGGCCTGGCCTCTTCTCTGAAACTACCCGTGTGGGGCTTTGAAGGTGACCCAGAAACTACAACTAATCCAGAACGCGGCAGCTAGACTGGTGACTGGAGGCAGCCGCCAAGATAACACCGGTCTTGAAAGACCTACACTGGCTCCCAGTACATTTCCGAGCACAATTCAAAGTGTTGGTGTTGACCTTTAAAGCCCTAACAGCCTCGGTCCAGTATACCTGAAGGAGCGTTTCCACCCCCATCGTTCTGCCCGGACGCTGAGGTCCAGCGCCGAGGGCCTTCTGGCAGTTCCCTCATTGCGAGAAGCAAAGCTACAGGGAACCAGGCAGAGGGCCTTCTTGGTAGTGGCACCTGCCCTGTGGAACGCCCTCCCATCAGATGTCAAAGAGATAAACAACTACCAGACTTTTAGAAGACATCTGAAGGCAGCCCTGTTCAGGGAAGTTTTTAATGCGTGACATTTTAGTGTATTTTTGGTCTTTGTTGGAAGCCGCCCAGAGGGGCTGTGGAAACCCAGCCAGATGGGTGGGGTACAAATAATATTATAATATTATAATATTATATATTATATTATTATAATATGATGATGATGATGAAATATACTGACAGCCTCCTCTCCTTCCCCTGTGTCTGGCAGGAGTCCCTCCTGGAAGAGAGCTCCGAGAAAGCTTTTTATGGTTCCGAAGAGGAAGACTCCAAGGACGACAAAGCAGAGCCGGCGTCTTTGGTGAAGCGCAAGCCGTACGTCATGGACCCTGACCACCGCCTGCTTCTGCGCAACACCAAGCCCCTGCTGCAGAGTCGCAATGCTGCGGTGAGAACCACCATCTCTAGCACCTCCCAGTGCTTATCCTATGGGGAGGCAGAGTTCCTTAGGAACGACAGCACCCCTTGCCACCACGATCTCTGAAATCGGTGCAAGCAAAGAGGAAGGTAGGGCAACCCATCTCTTCCCAAGTACAAGCGAGGAAAGCCCACCATCCCCTCTGCAGATTTGCATACAATTTGCATATGTTAATTGATATGTATAGATGCATGTTGTGCATGTTCAGCTATTCTGTAAGAAAAATTTTCAAAAAAGAGGGGAAGGGGCAAAAGGTCTTTGGTCCAGTGCAGACGACCTGGGGCTTGGAACAGTGCCCCCTGGTGGTTGATTTTATTTTATTCACTTAAAAGCATACATATCCTGCTTAATCTAGGGACACAGGTGGCCCTGTGGGTTAAACCACAGAGCCTAGGACTTGCCGATTAGAAGGTCGGCAGTTCGAATCCCCGTGACGGGGTGAGCTCCTGTTGCCCGGTCCCTGCTCCTGCCAACCTAGCAGTTCGAAAGTACGTCAAAGTGCAAGTAGATAAACAGGTACCGCTCCGGCGGGAAGGTAAACGGCGTTTCCGTGTGCTGCTCTGGTTCGCCAGAAGCGGCTTAGTCATGCTGGCCACATGACCCGGAAGCTGTACGCCGGCTCCCTCGGCCAATAAAGCGAGATGAGCGCCGCAACCCCAGAGTCGGTCACGACTGGACCTAACGGTCAGGGGTCCCTTTACCTTTTTATCCTGCTTAATGTTTCAAAGATCTCTAAGTGGTGTACAGTCTAAAAAAGAACAGGCAATATATCATTGAAGCAAAAATGAAACCTAAAAGCAGTAAAACAGCAATGTAAAGACCTATAAAGGCATGTTGTAGCGAATAAAGCAAATCCAGAAGATTCAGACACATAAAACGAGGTCTGATCTTATGGGTCAGGGATAGCCTGGGCAAAAGGAGAAGTCTTCACAAGGCATCTGAAGCAACAGGTGGTTGCAACTTCAATTATAGCAGAGGGAAGGGCATCCCTCAGTACAGGGGCAACGGCAGAAAATGCCCGTTTCCAGGCCAGGTGATCTTAGTGGTCTTCCAGGCAGTCTTTCTGGTAGATGCAGCAAGCACAAATGAATCTTGTTTCCTTGCTTCCAAGGCCTTGTGGCACAAACCCTTTCTCTCTGCAGGTAGTGATGTCTGTTGCTCAGCTCTACTTCCACCTTGCTCCAAAGGCTGAAGTTGGGGTCATCGCTAAGGCACTGGTGCGTCTCCTCCGGAGCCACAGGTCTGCAAACACCTCCCCTCCTTCTAGTGTCTCTCTCTCTCTCTCTCTCTCTCTTTCTCTCTCTCTCCTTTTCCTGAAGTTGCTCCCTTTTACCAGGAAACATCCCAAGGAGCTGTGCATTTCTGTGAGCGGTTAGGAAACCAGCTAAGCTCTTGACCACAGTTCAATATATCTGCTGTGTCTGCAAGGGACATGTGAGATCTGCAACAAAACATTGCAGTGTGGTACACTCCTGGTTCAGGGTTCTAGCCAGCCTGTGTCTTTTTCTAGAATATAGCTGGATATATAAGTGTTGAGATGAGTCAATGGCCAGGCAAGTGACCAGAGCCAGTCCAAAACCAATACAGAGCTACAATTCCAAAGTTCCCTTGCCAATTTGGTATAGTGGTTGGGATGTTGGACTGGGACCTGGGAGAGTTCAAATACCCGCTCCGCAGTGAAGCTTGCTGGGTGACCTTGGCTGGCTGCAAACCCTCAGCCTAACTGTTAAGTTGTGGGTGAACATATCAGACGACACAGCGATTCTTCAAACAGCTCTTGTTTATTCACAGGCCAGAACAGAACTGAACTGAAGGGTTCAGCCAGCCTGCTTATATAAAGCTCCACTAGAACGCAGCAGTAACAATTTTCTGTAACTATCCAATCACTGAATGTCACTTTCGATCCCTTATTTGCATATGTGGACCTGAGCTATCTACAGTATCCCTCTGCTGGCCCAGGGTGAGAACTTCAGTACATAACACCCCTCCACACCGAGATAAGGCGTTAGTTACAATCGTAATGGTTTCCTTATATACACCACTACACGTAATGGTTCAATTAGGCACAAAAGCATATTGGTTACATTTCACCTGCTTCCATTAGACCGACAGTATTACATGTCCAACAACATAGTCCTTTAAATAAGTTGGGCACTTGGAGGTAGCAGTCGAACCGAGCGAGGTAGGAATCCCATGATTCAGAGGCTGGTGCAAACGGCGGTAGAGACACAAGTGAAGCCATGATTCCAATGCCGATGTGGAGGCGATGGATGGAACACAGTGCTCTAGCCAGAATGGTCAGCTCTGAATTGGTTCTGTTCAGTGATTTCGCTCGGAGTTTCAGCTCAGTGATTCAGCTCCGCTCAGAGGGTGGCTGCATCTGGCTGTGCTCTGTTGTCCATCGATCCCATCCTCGTCACCAGTGTTAAGTTGTGGGTGAACATATCAGACGGCACAGCGATTCTTCAAACAGCTCTTGTTTATTCACAGGCCAGAACAGAACTGAACTGAAGGGTTCAGACAGCCTGCTTATATAGAGCTCCACTAGAACGCAACAGTAACCATTTTCTGTAACTATCCAATCACTGAACGTCACTTTCGATCCCTTATTTGCATATGTGGACCTGAACTATCTACAGTATCCCCTTGCTGGCCCAGGGTGAGATGGTGTACATAACACTAACCTCTAACTCAACCTTGCAGGGTTGTATGGAAGGTAAAATGGAGAGGAAGGAGACAATGCACAGCACGTTGAGCTCATTGAAATGAAGGTGCACTGGGCAGAAGCATATTTATTAGGAATTTTGAATAAGGTTATTCCCAAAGATAAAATTAACATATTTATGTAGGCAACAACGGCAGCAAGAATGTTGGTAGCCAGTCAATGGAAAGGAAATTATATTCCAACAAAGGGGGAATGGTTAAGTAAACTTTGTGAGTACCTGGAGTTAGCACAATTGACGGATTTAATAAGGCATAAGTCAAAAAATTTAATTCAGAAACAATGGAAATGTTTAAATGATTATTTATACAAGCAGGGCTCAAATATGAAAGTTTGGTTGTGTCTAGACTAACCTTGTGAAGAATACAGAGAACATAAAGATTTGATTGATTATGAAAGAATCTAAGGCAGGGAAATGATTGAAGAACAGATGTAAATGCGAGCAAGACAGCTAAGAGAAGTGTGGTGAATGCGGTGGAAGTCTTTTATAATATTTTAACTAAGATTTATATATTGCAGTATTTGAAGCAAGAATTTGGTAATATTTCAGGTTATGAAAAGTATTTTTCCTTTCCTTTTGTCTTTTTTCTTTATATCTTCTATTTTTCCTTTTCTTTTTTTATTAGTTTTCGTTTTGGAAAATATGTACATAAGTGTGCTTACAGTGTTATGTATTGTTCTTTGTTTAATTTCTATTTCTTGAAAAAAATAATTAAATTTTTTTTTGAAGGAAGGAAGATGCACTGTAAATGTAATAGTAATGAACATAGTGCCCTTAAGTGCCTAGGGCAGGACTGGGGCCTTAGGACCCAAATGCTGTTGAACTCCAACTTCCATCAGCGCCAGCCAGCATAGCTAATGGTTGGTGATCATGGGAGTTGTAGTCCAAAAGGTTAGCCCTGTTTCAGGGAGATGTACTTTGTGGATTACCACAAAGCCCTGCCTGAACTTGGGGGTTTCTGTGGCTTTTCAGAAGCAGTCAAGTTTCTGAATACCATAGACTGGAAACCGCAGGGAGAGTCGAGAGCTCTTGTGCTTGGGTCCTGCTTGCAGGTTTCCTACAGGTAGTTGGTTGGCCACTGTGAGAACAGGATGCTGGGCCACATGAGCCATTGGCCTGTGTCACCAGGCTGTGTCTACGTTCTTATGGTTCTGGCTTAGCAACTACCGACAGACATCTCTGGATGACTTTGCAAGCAAAGCAAAGCATGCTGGGCATAGCTGTCAACCGTCCCTTATTTGGCGGGAAACTCCCTTATCCTAGCGCCGTGTCCCGCTGCTGTCCCTTATTGATGATGTCCCTTAAATTTCCCGGGTTTCAAAGGAATCAGCTCCTCTCCTTCCCTCCCTGCCGGCCAAGGAGGAGGGAGGCTCCAACTGTGTTGCTTGGCTGCCCGCCCTGCCCCCCTCTGGCTTCCTCTCACCAGACTCAGCCCCCTGGAGCCCCTCCCCGCCGGGACTGAGGAGCCTTGAGAGGAGAGCGAGGGCAACCATAGGGAAAGCAGTTCAGAGAGAGGAGGCGGAGGCAAAGGCAGGTGTTCCAATAGCTAACCATAGAGGGGGAAAGCGGAGGAAGGACTGCAAGCACTTCTCCCATAGATTTGTAGTGGTAGACTAGCATAGATGGTCTGATCTGCGGGTGCTATTTCCCCGCCCCCTTCCTCCCGCCCTGCCTGATGGAACTGAGAGCTGCAGATGGAGCACGAGAGAAAAGATACAGAACTGCAGCAGCATCTTCGTAGCTTGGACTTCGTTTTGCGTGAAAAGTGGTTGCTGCTTGTAGTTATTCAATTGCAGTGTTTCATCAGCTGATGTCTTGAGCAGCAACCTCTGGAAACGAAGGGCTAAAAACCGGCGCTGCTCTCCAAAATTGTCTGGTCCCTTTTAACTTCGTATTTCAGCTGGTTGACTAAAATCCCTTATTTTGGCTGCTGATCCCTTATTTTCGAGGCTGCTGGTCCCTTATTTTCAAATCTGTAAGTTGATAGCTATGATGCTGGGGGGAGAAGCATTCCCTCATTGTTTGTCCATGCAGCCACTAATCGGAGGCATACTGCCTCTCTGAATACAGAGGGTCTGGTTTTGTCTCTTAATGACCATTGGCAGATCTGAGCTTCATGCATTTGTCTAAACCTTTAAAGAAAAAAAGGTGGTCATCTTTACATCTGCTGGCGGCGAATCCTGCAGTGTTCCTGCCTCGTTGACAAGTCCTTGTCTCTCTTATTATGGCAGTGAGGTCCAGTATGTGGTGCTTCAGAACGTGGCCACCATGTCAATCAAGCGCAGGGTGAGTGCCTGTTTCCTTTATTAAATGGGGTGGGGTGGGGAGGGATTCACCTGGGCTGGGAGATGTGAAATGCCAGGACTCTAGATGTCTGCCACAGCTGCTTCTTCTGCTGTACAGTGGTGCCTCGCAAGACGAAATTAATTCGTTCCGCAAGTTTTGTCGTCTTGCGATTTTTTTCGTCTTGCGAAGCACGGTGTTGGGAAAGTTTTGGAAAAGCTTCAGAAATCACCAAAGTCTTTAAAAACCTCAAAAAAGGCTACCACACCGCGTTCTATGAGTTGCTCCTCGAAGTCAAGTCGCAACTGTATTAACGGTGTTAAGAAAAAGGAAACAAACTTGCAAGACGTTTCCGTCTTGCGAAGCAAGCCCATAGGGAAAATCGTCTTGCGAAGCAGCTCAAAAAACAAAAAACCCTTTCGTCTAGCGAGTTTTTTGTCTTGCGAGGCATTCGTCTTGTGAGGTACCACTGTACTTGAACCAGTGATGGGGAGCAGCCCAGATGACTTGAAGAGAGGTTTTCTGGGTCCTTCTGTAAATCCAGAGCTCACCGTGGCATTTCCCCAAGGATGCTACTGCTGCTGATTCTGCTTCTTTCTCTCTGCAGGGAATGTTTGAACCATACCTGAAAAGCTTCTACATCAGATCCACAGACCCCACCCAGATCAAGATCCTCAAGGTGTGTGAGATGCACCCATAGATGGGTGCTAGGCTGCACTGAAGATAACAGCTTTTTAGTTTTTTGTTGTCGCCTAGAGTAACTCCTCCTTTTTCTCTTCTGCCCTGCTAGCTGGAAGTTCTGACCAACCTTGCAAACGAGACCAACATCTCCACCATCCTGCGTGAGTTCCAGGTATAGCATGACTAATGGGCTGGAGGAAGGTCTTAGCAAAGGAGCTGGAGGTGGAGCAATATGTGCAGAGCCAGGAATGTCTCTGTACTTGCTAAATTCCTAGCATCTTCAGTGACAAAACCTAGTTCCTAACCCACAGGAAGGTCAAAGCACATCACTCGCCCCAAACAAGCCATCAATATTTAAAAACGTATTCTTGCACTGCATTCTGTAACCCAGTTAAGATGGGGCATTTGACTTTAAATTGGGTTTGAATGCCACCGAACTCCTCAACCCATATTATTACATCCAATTTTAAAATGCAAGAATTACATTATACAAAGGCCTCATTTGTACTGTACATTAAAAAGCGATATACTGCTTTAAATGCATACTGTGGATGCGGTGTGAGAGTTCATCTGATCCAGTGTATTGATTCTGGCAGTGACCAGCTAAAATCCACGCAATTATTTTTTTAAAACTACCCTTAAAATCATTATTAAAACACGAATAAAATTATTAAAACTTCAAAAACCAAGATGGACGACCAAATTACATGTCTTTGTAATCTTGCTGAATTAAAAAAAGTTTTCCGCTTGCGTCTAAAGCGATAAAGCAAGGGCACCTGGCTAATGTCAACAGGCAGGGAGTTCCAAATATCAGTTTCTTGCAAATCTGGAAGACCGTTGTGTGGCAGGTTCTGCGGACCAAGGCACACATGGGGCAAGGCGCTGTCTTAAGTAAATTGGTCCCAAGCCGCAAAGGGCCGTATATATATATATATCAATAGTAAAACCTTGAACTTGGCCCAGTAACAAATTGACAGCTAGTGCAGCTGTTTGAGAAGAGGCATTATATGCTGGCAGAATTTCAATCCTGTCTGCATTCTGCGCTAATTGCAGCTTCCAGATCAACTTCAAGGGAAGCCCCACAAAGAATGCACTGCAGTAATCCAGTCTTGAAGTTACCAGTGGCTAAACTGCTATGACCAAAGTATCCCAGGCCAGGAACAGTCACAACAATTTTACCATCCCAAGATAAACTAGCTATGCCTTGTTGTTTGTCCCCAGCATCCTATAATCACAGGGCAGACTGCTTCAAATCAATAAGTTTCTGTTTTTCTGGTTTAAAGGGTTGTGAATGAGGTCATTAGAAAGAGACTTTGGTGACAAGGGGGCTTTGTTTTTGACACATTAGGGGAGACTGTACAGTTTCATTAGCTGAGTCTCCTGAAAGTCAGAGAAATGTGGCTTAAGGAAGGAGAAAAGGGTGGAATTCTCGGAGCTGAATCCCAGCTGTTGTGATTCCAAAGTTTATCTTAAAGACCATTAAAGGTGCCCTTAATCTAGCGGTCCTTGAACAGGGGTCGAATTCTGTTCTATTTTTGCAACTCTCTAATTTATTTATAGCAGGTGTTTATAGCAGGTGTGGGGAACCTTTGGCCCTCTAGGCGTTGCTGAACTACAACTCCCATCAGCTGCAGCAAGCATGGCCAGTGGCCAGGGATGACAAGAGCAACATCTGGAGAGCTTAAGGTTCCCCATGCCTGGGAGAGCAGGAGTGTGAGAGAGCACTATAGCACAATTCATGCACATTATAAGGAATAAGAAACTAGATATGGACATATAGTATATAGGAGAGGAAATGAAGACGGGGGTAGCCTGCAGATTTTACAGTGACTTTTCGACCAGTATAATGCCATGTGCCTAACTGGATGGGCATTGCCAGTGTAACTACATACCCAAAAGAAAACTCTAAGGTCTAAGTTGGCTAGGAAACAAAGGAGGACGCCTTATAACAGCTCAGATAGTTTTGTCCTATTTAGTCCAGCGCTGACTGTTATTTTTATTTACCGTATTTTTTGCACCATAACACTCACTTTTTTCCTCCTAGAAAGTAAGGGGAAATGTCTGTGCGTGTTATGGAGCGAATGCCTGCGGGTGGCTGGGGGATATGCTGCAGTCGTGAGCAGAGGATCCATGGTTCCCCTTCCTTCCCTCCTCCATGGTTACAAAGCATGGATCCACATGGATCCTCAGGATTTTTGCATTGAGCTACTCCAAACTCACTGTCAGATCACATGTCTGTGGCCACAGCATGAACGACAAAAATCATATATCCACTATTTCGTTTAGAATATTTTTTTTCTTGTTTTCCTCCTCTAAAAACTACGTGCGTGTTATGGTCTGGTGCGTGTTATAGAGCGAAAAATACGGTATTTAATTTATACCCCACCTTTCGTTCCAAAGGAGCCCAGGGTAGCAAACAACAAGTGATTAAATCATAAAAGAAACTTTTAAAACAATGTGCAATCTTTAAAACAGATGCAGATTTGGAAAGACCTCTGCTGAAAAAGTTGTTGGGAGAGGAAGGTATCCAGTAGACACTGAAAAGGCAACAGAGATGGTGTCTGTCTAATATGCAAGGGGATGGAATTCCAGAGGCCACCTGGGACTCTAGTGACACAGATCCAGGAGCTCCTCCAGACTGCAAACCCACTCTTTAATGGGGAGTACGACCCCATCCACAGCTGGCAATTGACTCATTATAATGGTTTGGGAATTGCCTGCCCACAGCATCTCCATCTTGCCAGGATTCAGCCACTTAACCAGCCATCATCCAGCCCACCACTTCACACCCACTCCTGATTCAAACAGAAGTAGAGCTAGGTCAGCAGCAGCATGTGGATGAGACCTCATCCTAAATCTCCTGATGACCAATCCCAGCAGCTTCATACAGATGTTAAAACAGCTCTGGTAACAAGGATGGTACCCTGCCGCACCCCAAAGCACAGCTGCTTGTGCGTTTCCAAGCACAATTCAAAGTTTTGGTGCTGACCTTTAAAGCCCTAAATGGCCTCGATCCAGTATATCTGAAGGAGCATCTCCACCCCCATTGTTCTACCCAGACACTGAGGTCCCACACTTGAGGGCCTTCTGGCGGTTCCCTCACTGCGAGAAGCCAAGTTACAGGGAACCAGGCAGAGGGCCTTCTTGGTAGTGGCACCTGCCCTGTGGAACGCCCTCCCACCAGATGTCAAAGAGAACAACAACTACCAGACTTTTAGAAGACATCTGAAGGCAGCCCTGTTTAGGGAAGCTTTTAATGTTTGATGTATTACGGTATTTTAATATTTTTTGGAAGCTGTCCAGAGTGGCTGGGGAAGCCCAGCCAGATAGGTGGGGTATAAATAATAATTTATTATTATTATTATTATTATTATTACCACCCAGCCTTATTCACTCTGGAGATAGGATTGGAACAACTGTGGAAGAGTGCCTCCAATACCCACCCCTCTCAGTTGGCTCAGAAGGGTACCATGGCCAATGCTCCTCTGAGAGATCAAGCAAGAAAATAAGGGTTGCATTCTCCCTGTTCGTCTCCCAATAAAGGTCATCCCATTCAGGCCCATTCAGCCCCATAACCCAACCTGAACCCAGAGTGAAAAGGTTCAAGAAAATCTGTTGTGTCTAAGAGCACCACGAATTGCTACGCCGCAACCTTCTGGATCACCTCCTCTGAAAAGCTGGCATTTGTGGCTGGGCAGTAGTTGTCACAAGCTTTTTCAAAAGTGGTTGGATCACCCTCTCTTTCAGGATGGCCAGGACCACTTCCTCCCACAAGGATGCATTGACCACACTCTGTGTCTACTCAGACATGCCCGCTTGTTGTTGTTTAGTCGTTTAGTCGTGTCCGACTCTTCGTGACCCCATGGACCACAGCACGCCAGGCACTCCTGTCTTCCCCTGCCTCCCGCAGTTTGGTCAAACTCATGCTGGTAGCTTCGAGAACACTGTCCAACCATCTCGTCCTCCGTCGTCCCCTTCTCCTTGTGCCCTCCATCTTTCCCAACATCAGGGTCTTTTCCAGGGAGTCTTCTCTTCTCATGAGGTGGCCAAAGTATTGGAGCCTCAGCTTCACGATCTGTCCTTCCAGTGAGCACTCAGGGCTGATTTCCTTAAGAATTGATAGATTTGATCCTCTTGCAGTCCATGGGACTAGCTTTAATAAGCCAAGAGGCAAAGGGTTCGAGGAGACCCTTTCCTGGGTGACATGAAACTTGTGCACCTCACCAGGCCACATCAACTGAAACTGATCCCAGGAAGTTTGCAGGTGCTGCAGTGAGAATGGATGTGGCACCGAGATTGCTATGAAGGCGAGCAGCCTTACCTTCAAAGTACTTGTAAAAAAAACCACAGCAGGCTTCCGAGTGGCAGCCATGCTCCACAGTCTCAGGCTAGGGTATTCTCCCTCACCTGATGCCAGGAAGGTTGTGCATGCACCACATGAGCTTTGCCACTGAGCTATGGTTCCTCCCATTATAATTATGGTGCATTTGAGGTCTAGCATGCAGCCCGCATGGCACAGGTCCCGCCACACCCATCTCCGCATGGGCATTCCCAGACAGCTCCTTGTATCTTTTTGTTCCCACAGACTTACATCCGGAGCATGGACAAAGACTTTGTGGCAGCCACCATCCAGGCCATTGGCCGTTGCGCCACCAACATTGGCAAAGTGCGTGACACATGTCTCAACGGCCTTGTGCAGCTGCTGTCCAACCGAGATGGTGAGAATCCTTTTTCAGCTAGGAAAATCGGGGCGTGTGGTCCAGAGGGTGGTGGGTTGAAAAGCAAGAGCTCATTTCTTAGTATACACGTTGGCATATAGTTTGTGAAATTTTTGTTGGAGCAGAACTATGTAGAGCACTAAAGCTCTACATTATGGCTGTGAGATGGGCTACACACCCCTGAGATTGCCCAGGGCACAGTCATGAGATCTACAAACTTGGTTGCTTTTGTTGGAAGTTTTTAATCGGAGGCTGGAAGGCCACCTGTCAGGGTTCCTGTAGGAGTGGATTTCCTGTTTCAGCAGAGAGTTGGACCACATTCTCTTTGAGGTCCCTTTCAGCTCTGTGATTCTACAAAAGGAGCATTGCCACTGGAGAGATGAGAGGCAGATTGAGCATCCTTGCATACAGCCTTAACACTTTCCCCATCCTGTTACTTAGAGCTGGTTGTGGCCGAGTCTGTGGTTGTCATTAAGAAACTCCTGCAGATGCAGCCGTCTCAGCACAGCGAGATCATCAAGCACATGGCAAAGCTGACCGACAACATCCAGGTGGGGGCCTGAGCTGGCAGAAGATGCTCTCCTGATGGGTGGGCTCTGATGAGGAAAGGGTGGGGGGAGTGGGAAAGGCTGATCCGGGATCTCGAGAGGAGATGCAGTGCTGTTTCTTGTGCATAGGTACCCATGGCTCGTGCCAGCATCTTATGGCTGATCGGCGAGTACTGTGAGCATGTGCCCAAGATTGCCCCTGATGTGCTGCGTAAGATGGCCAAGTCCTTCACCAGCGAGGAGGACATTGTGAAGCTGCAGGTCATCAACTTGGCAGCCAAGCTTTACCTGACCAACTCCAAGCAGGTAAAGCTCTTTCTGAGAATTAAATAGGAGTGGCAGCTTTCCCGTTGAATGCAATTAGCAGGGTGGGTAGGATTGCTGTCTGCATGCCAAGGGCACATATTTAATATACTGTAACTGGTTACAGTATATACAGTATATGCTGTGGGTTAGAAGGTCGATGGTGGCTGATCAGAAGGTCGGTGGTTCGAATCCCCGTGACAGGGTGAGCTCCCGTTGTTCAGTCCCTGCTCCTGCCAACCTAGCAGTTTCCTGCTCCCGCCAACCTAGCAGTTTGAAAGCACGTCAAAGTACAAGTAGATAAGTAGGTACCGCTCCGGCGGGAAGGTAAACGGCATTTCCGTGCACTGCTCTGGTTCGCCAGAAGAGGCTTAGCCATGCTGGCCACATGACCCGGAAGCTGTACGCCGGCTCCCTCGGCCAATAAAGCGAGATGAGTGCCTCAACCCCAGAGTCGGCCGCGACTGGACCTAATGGTCAGGGGTCCCTTTACCCTTAACCTCTGGTTTTGTGCTTAAGGTGTTAATCATCTCAAGGCAGAGGAACTTTGGATTTGGGGCTGGGGCAAATGTGGCCCTCCAAGCCTCTACTTGGCCCTCAAAACTCTCCAGTGGCCCTGCTTCACATACGCGTTGAGTGTTTTGCCTTCCTGGAATCCTATAATGTCTCTTGCTTGCATAGATAGGGGACGAAGGTGTCTGAGAGAGGGAGGGAGGGTGGGCAGGCCACAGAGTCTTAACTGACTTGGGGAGTTCACCTCTCCAGAGCTGGAGATGAAGTCTGGGACTCATTTTGCCACTGTGCTTCTGAGATGCTCCAAGCACCTCTGGAGCGCGGCTCTGAAACAAGCCTCAGCCAGTTAAGTTTTAACACACATATGTTATTTATGTATTATTTCAGAACATCTCTCTCCCACCTTTCTCAGCATAAATAGATTTCCCAATTCTCTAGCGACTGAATGTGTGTGATAGAAATAATGAAAACCCACACATCCAGCAGCTGTAAAAACAGCAAGAGTGGCATTAAAATATAATTTGTGCAAAAACACAGGAAAATAATGTGGCACCAAAAAGTAGGTCCCAGGTGAGTTCCATAAGAAGGGCAACCCACAATCAGTGGGGCTACAGTCAGGGGGCTGTCACCAAGAAGGTCCTACCTTTGGTCTGTCTGTTTCCGCTGGGGCCGTTCCTCCTCTCTCCCAGCTCCCCCCAAAAGGGGGGTTGCACCAAACACAGAGAAGCAGGAACAAGAACTGAAGCTTCAGAACGGTGCTGGTTTTCGAAAGACATCCATCTTTTTTTATATAAATTGGTTTCTACACATACACACACACCACTCCTTCCAGGCAAGCAAGAAGCATTGTTCAAGTACGGGGATACATTCCAGCCAGGGAATACGCATGAGGAGGGTGTGTCCAGGATAGTGTTCCAAGGGCCAGTTAGAGAGGCTTGGAGGGCCACATTTGGCTTCCAGGTCTGAGATTCCCCACCCCTGAGCTAAGTTCATAGTAGACCCATTGAAATTAGTGAATCTAAGGCGGCCATGCCAATTTATTTGGACACCAAAAAACTGATCCGACTGTGTGGACTGACTTGTGTTTGTGTTGTGGGGGGAGCAAAAGGCAAAGGACATGCCCCATAGGTGCAAGAATGCACTTGAGCGCCATATTTTTAATATTCAGTTGGAAGCCGCCCAGAGTAGCTGGGGAGACGCAGCCAGATGGGCAGGGTATAAATAAATTATTATTATTATTATTATTATTATTATTATTATTATTATTATATTCTGTTATGTCCCTATTTTATTTTAACATACTTCTTAATGCCAAAATAGGCTTCTAAGAAATTTGCAAGGTAAAAAAACCAGTCGCACCAACATTAAAATTTAAATATTCATAATTAAAATACTCAATGAAGCAATCCCATGAATGCATCTTTTTTTAAAGCGCCCTTTTTGCTGTAGTTCTGTATTGGTTTGTTTTCTGCCTCTGGCCTAAGAGACTGTCGGGGAGGCCACTGGCTTGCCCAACTCTTTGCCAGGGCCCAGTTCCTCTTGCGCAATGCGGTCTTCTCTGCCACAGAGCAAACTGCTGACCCAGTATGTGCTGAACCTGGCCAAGTACGACCAGAATTACGACATCCGGGACCGTGCCCGCTTCATCCGCCAGCTCATTGTGCCCACCGAGAAGAGTGGGGCCCTCAACAAGTACGCCAAGAAGCTCTTCCTGGCCCAAAAGCCCGCCCCAATCTTGGAGTCGTCTTTCAAAGGTAGAGTGAGGGGCCGCGTATAAAAGGAGCAGCCGGGGGAACAGGTCATGAGTGTGTTGATGGTAGCACAGCAGGGAGAAATCGGTTCTCATTCAGAATTAACCTACAGGTTATATAAACAGAATTTATAGATGAATAAATGAGTAAGTTAATTTGGAATATGCAGAAAATATAAAAAATTAAGGAACCGCAGAAAGAGCGGAAGGGAAGTCGAGTTTCAAAATGTTAAAATAATTGTAAAATTATTGGGTTAAACCACAGAGCTTAGGACTTGCTGATCAGAAGGTTGGCGGTTCGAATCCCTGTGATAGGGTGAGCTTCTGTTGCTCGGTCCCTGCTCCTGCCAACCTAGCAGTTCGAAAGCACGTCAAAGTGCAAGTTGATAAATAGGTACTGCTCCGGAGGGAAGGTAAATGGCGTTTCCTTGCGCTACTCTGGTTTGCCAGAAGTGCTTTAGTCATGCTGGCCACATGACCTGGAAGCTGTCTGTGGACAAACGCTGGCTCCCTCGGCCAATAAAATGAGATGAGCACCGCAACCCCAGAGTCGGTCATGACTGGACCTAATGGTCAGGGGTCCCTTTACCTTTACCTATAAAATTGAAAATCATTTTTTAAAAAAGAATTGATAGTTAGCCAACCAAGAGGGGTGTTTGGTGGTGTTGCTTAGCAACTGGCATGATCCTTGCTGAGGTAACGTGTGCTCTGATTGGTTGTGTAGTTCTGTGGGAGTTTCCCCCCGTAAGTGTAGTTGTTGAACGTCTCCATGCTATGAATTAGGCCTGTAAATAAAACGAACCCCTCTGTTTGTTTCTCCTCGCATTTTATACTGTTTTTGACCAGTTTAAAGTATTATCACGATTTATGTTCTCTCTGGGCTCCACCTGCTTTACACAAATCACTCTGCCTAACGAAGGGCCACGGGTGGTGGGGAGGCGGCGCTGTTGGGTGGGCCTGTGTGGATGCTGATGCTTTGCTGCTCCTTGCAGACCGTGACCACTTCCAGCTGGGCTCGCTTTCGCACCTCCTCAATGCCAAGGCCGTAGGCTACCAGGAGCTCCCAGACTGGCCCAGCGAAGCTCCTGACCCATCCGTGCGCAACGTGGAGGTATTGGCTTCCCCTCTGCCCAGGAGTAATGGGAAAGCTGGCATTTCTCTGAGAAACATTGTGAAATGGCTTGCCAGCCCTTTGCACCCAAAAGGGAGTCACCAGTCCTTGCTGACAATGGCTGCCAAGGCAATGGTCCTGCCTGCCCTGCCTTCCTTACAATGGTTATAGTAGTAGTAGTAGTAGTAGTAGTACAGGTGAAACTCGAAAAATTAGAATATCATGGAAAAGTTCATTTATTTCAGTAATTCAACTTAAAAGGTGAAACTAATATATGAGATCGACTCATGACATGCAAAGCGAGATGTGCTTCCACTTCTCAGAGGTCCAGTCTTGCTCCATTTGCAATCCTTGTTTTGCTGATGTCCTTGAATATTCTAATTTTCTGAGATGGTTAATTTGGGGTTTTCACCAGCTGTACACCATGATCATCGTAATTATAGCAAATATAGGCTTGACATATCTCGCTTTGCATGTCACGAATTTATCTCATGTATTAGTTTCACCTTTCAAGTTGAATTACGGAAATAAAGGAACTTTTCCACGATATGCTAATTTTTCAAGTTTCACCTGTATAACAAATCAAGGCTTGACATATCCTGCTTTGCATGTCATGAGTTGATCTCATATATTAGTTTCAACTTTTAAGTTGAATTACTGAAATCAATGAACTTTTCCATGATATTCTAATTTTTCGAGTTTCACCTGTAGTAGTAGTACAATTTTTCTAGAAAAAGAGGTGCCGGAACTCGCCATGAATGCCCCCTTTGTTCTCTTAGAATGGCAATGTGCCCACCTGAAAGTTCTGGCGAGTTCCAGCTGAAAAAAGTTTTTGTTGTTGTTCCTGCTGCTGCCCCAGCCACTAAGGGTGGCTCTCAACAAAATATTAAAAACACAATAAAGCACCAGCCATCGAAAACATGCCTTCAGATGTCTTCTAAAAGTCAAATAGTTGTTAATCTGTTTGACATCTGATGGGAGGGCATTCCACAGGGAGGACCCCACTACCGTGAAGGCCCTTGGATGTGGGCCACTCTGATTGTGGACCTCCCATAGGCCAAGAGTAGGGAACCTTTGGTGGCCCTCCAGAAGCTGCTGAACTGCAACTCCCGTCCACCCCAGCAGGCATGGCCAATGGTGAATGGGAATTGTAGTCAGGAACATCTGGAGGGTTCATCACAGCTGCCACAGGCATCTGGTTGGCCATTGTGCTGGGCCTTTAGCTTGATCCAGCTCTTGTGAGTCTTACCCACCCCCCTGCTTTTTCGCCCCTCCTCAGGAAGAGTCAGTCGGCCCCATGGAAAGCAACATTGGGCTGCTGGGCGAGCGGATAGAGGTGGTGTTTGCTGGTGCAGTGATGTTCTTCCCCTCTTGCTCTCATGCTTCTATTTCCTTCCTCTTCCTCCTCCTTCAGTTTTCTTCTCTGCACTGTAGCTCTGACTGTGTGTGCAGTGTGTTCAAACTAACCTTTAATTGACCAGTTAGGACTAATGGATTGATATGCCTTTTGATCAGCTAAAGATTGCCCCTTTCAAAAACAGCAGGTGGCAAACACAATCTTAGCAAAGGTATTCTCATGTTCTCTCTCACCTGGGAGGGAATGCTTTTTCTGAGATGGTGACTTCCATGATGTGTGTGCATTTATTTATTTTGCTGCAGAACTGTTTGGTTTTACCCCAGTGCAAATCTAACCCAATTTTAAGGAATCCGTTGAACAGCTAAGCTGCATTTAACTGGGTGACAGATTGCCTTGAGGCTTTCAAACAATTCTGCTGTCTCCAGAAGTGTAAGCCAGCAGGGTCAGGTGATATATGGTCCAGTACTGGGTGTAGATCAGCGGGGAGCGGGGGACTCATTTCAAGGCCTTACTCTACCATGGAACTTGCTACAGCTTCCTTCCCTTAGATGGAACCTACTTCACTGCGTTGCTGTGAGGAGAAAATAGAATCAACTCATGTTTGCTACTCTAAAGTGGAGGGAAGATAGGATGCAGAACCTCTAGGTACATGTACAGTGGTACCTCGGGTTACATACGCTTCAGGTTGCATATACTTCAGGTTACAGACTCCACTAACCCAGAAATAGAACCTCGGGTTAAGAACTTTGCTTCAGGATGAGAACAGAAATCATGCTCTGGCGGCGCGGCAGCAGCAGGAGGCCCCATTAGCTAAAGTGGTGCTTCAAGTTAAGAACAGTTTCAGGTTAAGAACAGACCTCTAACGAATTAAGTACTTAACCTGAGGTACCACTGTACACATGTCTTCTTCCGGCCATCTCACCAGAGCAGGCCTTAGGGAAAGGCTATAACTTTCTGTGCAGAATGACCCAGATTTAGTCCTTGCCATTTCCTGTTAAAAGGGTCAGGTTGCAGGTTATGAGGAAGATTTTGGACAGCTGCAGTCAGTCACAGGAGACGTAGTACTTTGATCTTGGTGTAATATGCAAGTTCCTGTGTTGCACCAGAACCTGGACAGGCTGTGCTTTGCTGCAGTGCTTTCTGCCTGGATATTATCATCACCATCAGTTTATTGATATACCACTTTTTAGCTAAGGCCCCCGAAGCAGTGAACAGATTAAGAGAAAACAAAATATAGTAAAGCTGCAGTCAATACACAAGTACAGTAAATCAATAAAAATATAAAATAGCAAAAACCCAGGTGTATCATGAACCATGCTCTGTGCATTCGTGAATTGGATTTGTGCTGCCACTGCAAATGCTAGCACAAACAATAGCTTCTCCCTGGAAACAGTTGTGGCAAAGTTCTTGCAGTTGCTGTCCATGAGTGGGACTAGCTGGCTCAACCTGTGAACTTCCTGCCATAGAGCCAAACGTGCTTTGAGTGCATCAAGCAGGATTCCAAAAACCTTGACTAATCTTGGCTCACCCTTCTGAGGGCTGCTCCATAGAAGGCTATATTCCTACATGGATATCAACGCCATGTAGAAAGTGCACATCATATGCCATGTGCACTCCTTATGTGCAACAACTGCATGTTTCTCTGCTTCACCTTGTGCACACATGGCATTAAACAACCTGCCTTCAGTTGCAGCAAACAAGCACATTGCATGCTACAGTGTGACATTGCACACTTATTTTTTTATTTTGTCTGATGCAGAAAAAAAATTAACTCCCTTTGGTATGATGTGGATCTAAGTCTCTCGTTCTTCCGGGCTGTTCTTTCTGGTCCCGTTTCATTTACATGCAGGCCTTTTTAATGTGCTCACTTCTGTGTAGTGAAATCTCTCTCTCTCTCTCTCTCTCTCTCTCTCTCTCTCTCTTTCTCTGCTCTGGCCAGGTTCCAGAATGGACCAAGTGCACTAGCCGCGAGAAGAGGAAGGATAAAGTGGAGAAGCCCTTCTATTCTGATTCAGAGGGAGAGTCCGGGGCAACAGAATCTGCTGACAGTGGTGAGAGGAGAAGGGGCCATTGCTCAGTGTTAGAATACTTGCTTTGCATGCAGAAGGTCCCAGTTTCAGTCTGACATATTTGAGTTTCAAAGAGATAAGATAGCAGGTGACAGGGAAAACCTGTATCTGAGACTATGAAGAGCTGGCAGTGATGAACTAGCTCAGGCATAGGCAAACTCAGCCCTCCAGATGTTTAGGGACTACAACTCCTATCATCTCTAGCTAATAGGACCGGTGGTCAGGAATGATGGGAGTTGTAGTCCCAAAACATCTGGAGGGCTGAGTTTGCCTATGCCTGAGCTAGCTAGATTAATCCATCTGATATGCTATAAGGTAGCTTGCTGTATTCCAGCAGTTTTCACTAGTTTGTAATGGTGAAACACCACCAGCACACAAACACTAGAGGGTGCAGTTTTCTTCAGTCAAATGCAAGCACTTCCCACAATTTATTTCATATTGTCTTGTGTGTTGCCTATCAATGGAAGTGGGTGATCAAGCTTAAACTAGCAGCTCTGACATGCGAGAAGTCTGGAATTCTGAAATCACCACGGCTTCTGCATGTGGGCAGCACGTACCATATTGGGCTCCACTCTTAAAGAGAAGGGACGTAGTATTGGTGTTTTGCAACTTTTTTTTTAAAAAAAATAATATTTATTAAAATTTCACAAGAAAAAAAGCCACATTAATGGAGAAAAAATTAACAATAAAAAGAAAAAATACAAAGTAAAAAAGAAAAAAAACAATTAAAAACAATTTCATCTTTTCCTCACTTCTTTTACATTTACTTGTTTCCCGGACCTCCTCTTACCTCCCTATTTGTATTCTAATTAAATATGTTAATCCAACAATTCCTTTCCCTCCTTTTTAATCCTAATCTTTCATCTTGATATAATATAACTTTAAATTTTAAATTTTACATATTAAAGCCAAATTTTCCATATTCTTTTAGCCTGTACAGCTAGAAACCCCTTAAATTCAATCCAACATCATTCTAACATTCATTAATTTTGCAATATTTCTGTAAATAGTCTTTGAATTTCTTCCAATCTTCTTCCACCGACTCTTCTCCCTGGTCACGGATTCTGCCAGTCATTTCCGCCAATTCCATGTATTCCATCATTTTCATCTGCCATTCCTCCAGTGTGGGTAGATCTTGTGTCTTCCAATACTTTGCAATGAGTATTCTTGCTGCTGTTGTAGCATACATAAAGAAAGTTCTGTCCTTTTTTAACACCAATTGGCCGACTATGCCCAGGAGAAAGGCCTCTCGTTTCTTCAAGAAGGTATATTTAAATACCTTTTTTAGTTCATTATATATCATCTCCCAGAAAGCCTTAATCTTTGGGCACGTCCACCAAAGGTGAAAAATGTACCTTCAGTTTCTTTACATTTCCAACATTTATTATCAGGCAAATGGTAGATTTTTGCAAGCTTGACTGGGGTTATGTACCACCTGTATATCATTTTCATAATATTTTCTCTTAAGGCATTACATGCCGTAAATTTCAAACCTGTGGTCCACAACTGTTCCCAGTCAGCAAACATAATATTATGTCCAACGTCTTGTGCCCATTTAATCATTACAGATTTCACCGTTTCATCCTGAGTGTTCTGGTGTTTTGCAACTTTTTGAGCTGTTGCAGGACCTTAGCCAGATGTTAGCAGAGTATACGCAGAGTTCACGAAAGCAATCGGTTGCAGGCAGGATGGACGAAGAGGAACCAGTAACTTGTTACTTATAGGTGTTTATTATATACAGTGGACTGCAAGTTACTATTTACAGGAACAGAACAGAACACGGATCTTTAACTAGCTCTCTCACCACACGATTCTCACACTAACTCTTAACTCTCAACACTCTACTAACACATTCCATTCTGTAGGCCATAAATCATTATTCCTTTGAGTGAGCTTGACCAATGAGGGAGCTGTCTCCAGGTCTCTATATCTCTAGGCAGATTTTACTCCTTTACAATGTCTTGGCTGTCAGCCAAACTCCTAATTGACTGTGTGTGAAGCTGCACGTATTCAGATTCCCAGCACGTAGTTCAGTGGTAGAGCACATGGCTTTGCATGCAAAAGGTCACAGGTTCAATCCCCTGCCTGAAACCCTGGAGAGCCTGCTACTGGTCCATGTACTGAGCTACTTGAACCCAAAAGTCCGACTTGATGTAAGGTAGACAAAGGAAGACCAAGGAAAGGAGCTGGGCACCTGGGCCACTGAAGATGCAGGCCAGTTGCCAGTAGTTATTTTGAGAATTAGTTGGATTGCCTATGGGACACAAGGATGGCCCATAGTAGTGCAGTGGTGGCTGGTCCATTAGGGCAAGTGGGGCAGTGCCCCACCAACCTCAGTCTGCCCTCAGCTAGCCCCCACCTACCTATTTACAGCTAGTCCCAGCCTGTCATCTTCCCCTTGCTTCGTCTCGGAGGATGACGGGAGCAAAACTAGAATCGGTTGGCTCTGCCTGATTTTAGTCCTGACACCCTGCCTTCCAGCCACCCCACCAGTCTCAATGGGCACCAGCTACTCCTGTGGGTGTTCTAACACAAGGTGCACCCAGCTGCAATGTCTACGAGAATGTGAATGACTTCCGTGCAACAGGGAGGCAGGGTCTTTTCTGTGGTGGTGCCCCATGTTTATGGAATTCCATCTCCTAAAACAAGACTGGGGAAACTCGGGCCTGGGAGCCAATTGCAGCCATCCAGCCCTCTCTGTCTTGGGGCTCCACTCACACCATGCCCTCCCAAGACACACCCTCCACCCTCCTCTAGTCATCTTACCTGGTCGGAATGAGTCTTTGACCTGGGCTAATATCACCACCTTGCCTTGGTGGAGGATGGAGAATGGTGTGTGTGTGTCTGCAGCTACTTTGGTCACACCCACCATGGTACAAGGCCCCTGGGACATTGCTCACAAGTAAATGTGGCCCTCAGGCGGAAAAATACCTGAAAGGTCAGTCTGGCATCCAACCTGCATAGTTTTTAGGATCCAGCTCTTTGTAATTATTTTTTAGCCAGATCTTTTGATCGGTGCCTTCATCTTGAGTTGCACCTCTTTTGCTGTGTTTTACAGTTACTGTATTTCTTATTGCATTTATACAATAAATGCCCCCGCCTTTTTCTGCACAACCTGTTGCATGTGTGTTTGTAAGTGTGGGGCTCCACTTTCTCTCTCTTCCTTTTTTTGCCAGAGCCTGAGACGGTGAGTGGGTCTGAGAGTGAAAGCGGCAGTGAGAGTGGGTCTGGTTCTGGCAGTGAAGAAGAGGAGGAGGAAGATGAGGAGGAGGAGGAGGAGGAAGAGAGTGGGGACCAGTTGGAAGAGGATGAGGAGGAAGAAAAGAAGAAGAAGAAGAGAAAGGAGGCCCTAAAGAAAAGATCCCTAGAGAGTGCTGGAAGGTACGAAAGGAATTTCTCTACCCTTGAAATACAAAAATCAGTTTTTGTTGTTGTATTTTTTATAAGAAGTGGATGTTCTAAGCCACTTTGGGTACAGCTCACTGTGGAAAGGCAGCATATAAACTCAACTAATTATATGGCATTAGATGCTGATGAAAAGAGGCAGTTTTGAACACCCATTTCTAAGGGCATGCTGTGTCCAAATAAAACAAAATAAAAGTTCCAGACAGACAACGGCGTATCCAAGAAAGTCATTCTATTAGCACAGGGGTGAGGAAGCTCTGGTCCACTGTTCAATCTTGGCTCACCAGGGGGTGCAAGTTGGCCTGTAAGGCCATTTCCCCCAAACCATACCCACCTGTCCATCAGCTGATGACACTGGGTGATGTCGGATGATGGGCAAGAGGGATGGGGTTTAATCCTGCTGCATGGCACTTTGGCAGAACATTACCTGCAGAGGGCACACTGGTGAAGCAGATCCTTACAGCCTGCAGGATTGAACCCTCTCCTTATCAGCCGATGAGCAGAGACGCAGGTCAGCTTGGATAGGTGGGTGGGACTGTGCATCCTTTAGTCACCTGATGTCATTGTGGTGTCAGAAGATTGACAGGTGGATGGTCCCTCATCGTCTAGTGCCATCTTCTCTTGGGCTTCAGGCGGCAGAATGTCTTGAGCAGACACTGCATGCCTGCACGTGTGTGTGTGTGTGTGTGTGTGTGTACACACAAGTACAGACATGCAGATTGATCTATGCACCTAGTAGAATAAGGACATTGAAGAGTGAGTTAGTAAAATGGAGTGTACCACTCCAGACTGCAGGTGGGTGGTACCAATGCTTTCCTATGTGTTGGTATGGTTAAAAAACACACAGACCTTTGTTCATGTTGAGCATTAGCATCCGAGGAACTAACTGGGAAGAGATCCGTACAAGCATGCACTAGCTGCTGAGTGAATTGCTGGAGAATTTGGACCAATGACATTGCAATATGCGGATCAGCAGAATCTCCAACCCCCTGCTGCACCCAGGAGGCCCCAGAGAAACTGCCTAAAGCTGCACACATGCCATACACTTAATAATAATAATAATAATTAATAATAATTTTTTATTTATACCCTGCCCTCCCCAGCCAAGACTGGGCTCAGGGCGGCTAACAACCAATAATAAAAACAAGTTGATTAAAATACAATTTAAAAAGGTTAAAATACAGCATTAAAACATTAGGATGCAACCTCTTCACAGGAGGAGAAAGGAAAAAGAAAGGGGGGGGGAGGGAATCAAACTTGATTCTTAAGGTCCTCCATGACTTAAAGCATGTGACTTAGTTGGTTAAGGGCACTGTGAGGGGTAAACTGCAGATCCCAGGATTCATGTGCTTTAAATATATGGAGTGCATGCAGCTTAAGCCTCCATTTTCTTGGTTTTTTTCCTTTCTAACAACACCAGTGAGGAGGAGGAGGAGGAAGAGCGGAGCAAGAAAAAGCTGCTGGCCATGAAAAGGGGCTCAGAATCCTCGTCTGAGGAGGGCAGCCCATCCGAGAGCAGCTCGTCGGAGTCGGAGTCTGGCTCCGAAGCAGAGGAACCCCACTTGGAGAAGGAAGTGAAAAAGAAAAGGACGGTGAGTGGCGTGGGTCATGAAATCTGCCAGCTCCGGTGTCTTTTTGGTGCAGCCACTAAGCTTGGTCAGTCCTCATTGGGCAATTTTATGGGCTTCCCCCTTTCTAAGGATGATTTGTTCCCCCAAGCCTGTTCAGGCCTCCCTTATTGGCAAAACCTATTTGGTGTTTCACAACTTTCTGACTAGTTGCAGGACCTTAGCCAGACCTAGCAGAGTAAACGCAGAATCCACGGAAGCAACTGGCGACTTGGCTGCAGACAGGATAGATGAAGCAGGAAGCAGGAACTTGTAGTTAGGTGTTTATTATATACAGTGGACTATTTACAGGAACAGAACACAGATCTTTTGCTAGCTCTCTCTGACACGACTCACAACTCCTACACTGACACACAGAACTCTGAACACCGAACTAACACATTCCAGTTAGTAGGCCATTAATTGTCACTCCCTTGAGAGAGCTTGACCAATCAGGGAGTTGTCTCCATGTCTCTGTTATCACCAGGCAGACTTACTCCTTCACATGACCTTCTGGCTGTCTGCCAAACCTTAATTGACTCTGTGTGAGTAGCTGCACATACACAGTTTCCCAACACCCCTTTTGTGCCTGGATGGTGCTGTTTTGGCTGTATGAGGACTGGCACTCAAAGAATCAGAGTTGGCTATTAGTAGCATATAATATGTTGGCTTCAAGTGGTGAGTGACATGGATGAGTATGAAGAGTGCTGTGCCTGGCAGAATTGACTGGGTTTAGGACTGGCTGTGCCAATGCAGAAAACACAAAGTTAACGCTTTCCTAATTTTTCCTCTGTCTTGTCTTTCAGCCTCCCAGCAGCAAACCTGCTCCAAAAGCCCCCAAGAAAGGGGTAAAGGAGATTTCCTTGCTCGACCTGGATGACTGTAAGTGTTGCCCCCTTAACAGTTTCCCCCTTCCCAGGAAACACTGGGAATTGTAGCTCTGTGAGGGGCATAGGGGGTCTCCTAAAAACTCTTAGCCCCCTTAAGAAATTACAGTTCTCAGGATTTTCTGGAAGAAGCCATGATTGTTAAAAGCCTAATGATACCGCTTTCAACGTATAGTGTGGATGGGGCCTAAAAGTTCACCTGGTGCCACTGGTTTCAAGAATTAGCACTATTTTTGTTACTGGGTATTTAAAATACTGTATTTTAAATAGTATTTTAATCATTCATTTCATAGTTGTAAACCTCTTAGAAGCCATTTTGCCCAGAAAGTGGTCATGTAAACAATGAAATATATGAACATTCATGGTCAGAATCACAGAGCATGTTTAGGAGCTTAACCCAGTGTTTCTCAAACTTGGGTCCCCAGCTCTCTTTGGACTACAACTCCCATCATCCCTGACCACTGGTCCTGCTAGGTAGGGATGATGGGAGTTGTAGTCCAAAAAACAACTAGGTACCCAAGTTTGAGAAACACTGGGCTTAACTTATTCCCACCATACCATGGTCCCAGCAAAAATCTTCCCCTTCCCCTGACATTCCTTAGGATGGATGCTGCAGTTGACCCCTTCCGTACTTGGGGAAATCATTTTCATTTTAATGGCGGATTCGAATCCTAAGATTACAGAAAATGCAGCCAAGGATCTTGCTTTTAGTCAAAAACGTATTTTTAGAAAACTCTGTTTCTGCTTATTCATGGGTTTTGTCATATTTTGCTTTTAAAAGGTACAACTTGTGTGCAGGTATATTTAGTCTTCCTCACTGCTGAGGCTCTCTTGATAAAGCTTATGCTGTGTTTGGTGTCCATAGCCTGTAGACCAAATAAGATGAAACCCAGATTAGCTATTTACACCAAAAAATCCTGCGTTAAATAGCAGCTGGGAAGTGGAGAAGTTTGCATCAAGGACACAGTGTGGGTGACAGGCTCGACACACCTGCAGCTCTGATCCTGATTTTTTTTGGGGGGGGAAGTGTCATCATAACTATTTTTAGAAGCGCAAAAGCAGACAAATTAAATGCATGCATGCCTCCTCTAATTTGGGAAAGGGATGTAGTTCTCTGGTGATAGAAGATCCCAGATTTAATCCTCAGCATCCCCAGGTAGTTTAGGGCTGGAAACATTCTTCCTGGAAATCCTTGGAGAGGGAGCTGAGGTAGATGGACCAAAGATCCGACTTGCTATAAGGCAACAAGTTCCTGTGTTGATCTGAGATGGGTCTGAATAATTGTTTTCAAAGAAGGTCACCTGCTGTGAATTCACTCTTGTGTCCATTGTCACTGGGAGGAAGCCTGTCCTTGCAGAGATGCAGCAGGTGACGACTCCTTCCGGGGTCAAATTATGCTTAGCAGGTCTGTCTGCAGCTGGCTCATTCAACGACTCCTGGTAGAGAGAGGCTGTCGGAGCCAGCCGTTACAAATGGCGCAGTTTAGCATAAAATAAAGACACAGAGAGCCAGCATTATTTTCAGGATGGTATGAGCAGCTCCTTTCGAACTTCCCTCTCCTCCTGCAGCTTTTTTATTATCCTTTTTCTTTCTCCAGCCGCATGGCCGTTTGCCAATGTCTCACGTTACTTCATCCGGTCAAGGCTTTTATTGCCCCCATCACCATATAGGGTCATCACTGCCCAGAGGAAACACAACTCCAATTAAGGTCAATACATTCCAATACATTGTAAAGCTCAGAGTGCTGGTCAGCCGAGGTCAGGGGGCACCCTGCAATATTACAAGCCTTTGCCGTGGCTTTATGACTCCCACAAGAGGCAACTGTTACACAGCAGCATACTGGAGCCTCATAGGGGCCCATGCTTAAATTCATGTTCTGTGCCCCGGCCAAAGTTTTGGAATGACTGCTTTACAGGTTGCCATAGAGCAGGTGATCTGTCCATGGTGCTGGAGAAACATTTTTGTATACCGTGTGTGTGCGCGCGCATGCACATCTGACTCTAAGCGCTTTTATTTTTCCCCCATAGAGCAGGTCTTGTTGACTTGCCATTCTCTCTTCCCAACCCAAATTGTGAAAGGTCCGGATCTAGGAGTTCATTAACGCCTTTGTTTCCTGCTTCTCTGCCCCACAGTCACACCCCCTCCCCCACAGCCAGTTGCCTCCAGCCCGGCAGTTTCCACCAGCCTAGTGACTGACCTGGAGGGGCTCACCCTGACTGACACTTCTCTAGCGGCTGCTGTAAGTGATCTGAGTTTATTTATATATCTCTCTCAATTTATCTGTCTACCTTTTTAGATCTTCTCTTTCCTCCAAGAAGCTCACAGAATGCGCAATTCTTTCCTCCATCTGTTTGACAACAACCCTGTGAGGTAGATTTGGCCTACAGCGTGTGATTGGCCTAGGCCCTAGGCCATCCAGTGAGCATCACAGTTCAGTGGGACATAGCACTAACATAATGCTACATGAATGTTCCAGCAGCTCTCCCTCTCCTTCCCCACTCCCAACAACCCTCTAAATATCTTCCAGGTGTCCTCCCAACGCTTTGGAGCAGATTTGGAGTGTGTGTAGGGAGAACATAAGGGGAGGAAAGTGAGGGACACTGTTGCGCAAGTGGAAATCCTTGCACTGATGGGATGAGTTAGTTAGGACCTTAAATGAGCCTTTTAGGGTGCAGGACCTGATAATTATGTGGCTGGGGAAAGCTAGAGGCCTGTGATACATTTCCTTAGTTGTCTTTGTCAGGAAAATAAGTCTCCCAAGGTGTGCTGCCCAAGATCTGAAGTGGCTAGTATAAACTATATGGGAATTTTATAGCTCACTAATAAGAGTGCACATTTTGTAAACAGAAGGACCTGGGTTCAATATTTGGCATCTCCCAACTGGGCTAGGAAAGTCTCTGGGCTGGGAAACCACTGCCAGTTAGCGTAGATAAATGCTGAACTAGATGGGCCAATGATATGGCTCAGTATACGGCAGCTCCTTGTGGTCCTGTGCAAGACACATGACTGGCCACGGCTGGGCTGGGCTCTGGCAGCTGCCATGCTGCCTTCTAGTAAGAACTGCACAGGATGTTCCCAGCTTTTGATTTCTAACTTTATACATTTTATTATACATTTATACAAAGAAGAAAGTAGCATTCAAACAAAAAAATAAAAACAGAATGTAGGAAAGGGGGAATTTGATGTTTTGACCATATAAACTAGAAATACCAATATATACTAGATGGCCAATTGTGATGCATAAATTTCAAGAAAGGCTGACCAAATGCTTCTTGTATTTCTGTTAATTGTGCTTATGTTGATATGGTGCCACTTCAGATAAGGAGAGGGAGTGCAAATCATTAACCCATTCTTGTATGGAAGGCGACTTTTCCATCCAGATTAGAAGCTGTTAAAATACCTGTTTCTTTCCTAAGTGGATTTAGGAAGGCGCATCTTGTTCCTTCCTGGGCTTCCTCCTTCCATCCTGCCTCTCCTCATTGCACTTTAGCCTGCCTGAATCTCCCCATTTCTTCCTTCCTTCCTCTCCTGCTTTGCAGATGATCAGTCCTGTGTTTGGTGGTGTGAAGACGTATGAGCTGCTGCATCGCATGACAGGAGAGGGGCTGTCTGTCGAGTATTACTTCAGCCGACAGCCTTTCACCCCTGATTCCCGCATGGTGGCTGTGCAGATCCAGATCTCCAATAACACCGCTGCTGAGGTGAAGAACATCCGTGTGAATGAGCCCAAGCTACTCTCAGGCATGCGTGTCCAGGAGTTCAAGGAGATCGGTAGGATCTATGTGAGCATGGGTACATGCATGCGCTTGGGATTCAGCAGGCAGCCATGCTTTTTGCTGGCTCCTTCTGGGGTAGTCAGTTGGGTTTGAGAATGTTACCTACCCCCTAGCAAGCCTAGCTGATACTTATTTATATATTTTATTCCATTTATATCCTACCTATTCTCCAGGGAAGGGACGCGGGTGGCTCTGTGGTCTAAACCACAGAGCCTAGGACTTGCCAATCAGAAGGTCGCGGTTCGAATCCCCGTGACGGGGTGAGCTCCTGTTGCTCAGTCCCTGCTCCTGCCAACCTAGCAGTTCAAAAGCATGTCAAAGTGCAAATAGATAAATAGGTACCACTCCGGCGGGAAGGTAAATGGCATTTCCGTGGGCCATTTCCCTTTTATGCTAGCCTCTGGGCCATTTGGAACAGCAACATTGGCACTGTTTCTAAAGTTCAGGTCCGAGTGCTGTCACACCAGAGGGAAATATCTGCAGACTTGCAGGAAACCAGAAGTTTTCAGAAGTGCAACCCTATCCCCCCAAACCCACTAGGGGGCTGATCCTCAAAAATCAGCCTAGTGATGACTCAGTGCATTCAGTAGCCATAGAAAGCATTGACTGACATTCGGGTGGAAATGGGGTTTGGAATGGAGTGCCCAGACTTTTTGTCGCAGGTCCAACATGTATTGCGTAATGATACTGGAGGGGTTGTTGAACCCACCCTAAGGTACTTTGGAGCCTCCTGGTGCAAGGGGCGAGATGGGGGCAACCCTAACATCTCACTTGGGTCCTTTTCTCCTGCGCTTGCAGAGTCTTTGGCACCTGGTGAAACAGTCAGTGTTGCTATGGGCATAGACTTTTGTGACTCGACCCAGGCAGCCAGCTTCCAGCTCTGGTGAGTACCTCTTCTCCTTCATTTTGTGCAAAGCAATGGCTGTGTTCTCAGCAATGAGCAGACCAAAGTATCTCCACCATAACAGAATAGCAGAAGCTCTGCTCTGCTCTCAAGAGTACAATAACTCCATATACAGCAATATTTTGCCATTCTCTCTGCTAGCTTCATATCTACCTTGCCCTTGCTACCTCACTACTTTCTGTGCTACAAGCCGAATGTTGCTGCTACTAAATAATAATAATATTTATACTTCTACTTGTTTGTTTGTTTGCAGCAGGTGGGGGTGTATGAGAGAGCTCTCTGCAGGTCACCTTAGTCAATGGTCTGCATGTCATGAATTCTACTCATATTGATCCAGAGCAGATTCCAACATATAGTTAGCAGAGTAAAAACTTAAACACGTTGCAAGATTCCCCCAAAATAGACCAGAGGCAATTAATACTTCATCCAGCAGAGCTTTACTACTACTGAAGGCAAATGAGCATAATGGTCACAAATTCAATACATTCAGGATTGGCACTGGCCATAAGAAATCCAGTTGCAGTAGACTTAACTTAAACTTGCAATAACTTACAATAAGATTAAAACCCTAACACTAAGCATACTATATACAGAACACCACACAAGAAGGAAAGAGAGATAGAAAATGAAACCCTGGCTCCTTCTGGCCCTACTCTTATGTTCAGCATGACCTTGACAGAAAGAGTTAACAGAACCAGTTTAAGCCAGCTGTACTCAGCTTCTCTGAAGGAATAACCTAAACATCATGCACCTGCAGCTTGTCTCTAGGCAGAATAGAAACTTACGTTTCAGCTAGAAACTTCCAGCTTGCACCAGTTTCTTTCACACAGAGAAGCTTCCAGAACCCTCTTGAATTACTTCCAATAGGAAAGATTTCTACACATCAGATCAATACTTTCCATACCAAGAAATGCAAACTGACACTGTGATATGCTGTGGTTTTACTTTCTTGAAATATATATATATATATATATATATATATATATATATGCAGATTAGAAAGAGGCCTGCAAAAACAGATAACGTATCTGTTATCTGCTTCTTATAGAGTGGGAGGGAGACTGACTCATGCAAATACAAAGAGGCAATGAGTCCCACATTTAAGGAGCTGCCACCAAAAATGGATAGATGTGTGAGACCACAGACACAACATTTTGGTTTAAGTTAGAGATTGCTATGCAGAGCAATAAAAGAGCAATTTGAAGTTAAAAAAAGATAAATAGGGGAACAAAATACAAGTGTTTGAAAGTAAGATTTTAAAACAATTTCAGGAAGACAGAGGAAGACAATTCAAGGACAGAAGACTGGGAACATGGCCATATCAGTGGAAACTGGTGGCTGCTGAGACTGGAGTGGGTTGCACCCAACAAAGTCCAACTCAGAGTAGACCCATTTGAATTAATGGGCCGAGTTTAGACGTGTCCATTACTTTAAATGGGTCTACTCTGAATAGGTCTAATACTGGATAGAATCCAATGACAGACAAAGCCAGTTAATTCTGAGTTTTGCCCTCCCTCCTCTTCCCTGCCATGGTCTACAAGAGCAACATTGAGACTAAGGAAGGAGCTGACAGGCAGTGCACACCTGTTGGACTGGTTGCAAGTAAAAAGGCAGGCAGATGGGGGGTGGCTGAGGTTAGTAGGCCAGTGCCCCATTTGCCCTAAAGGCCATCCTTATGAGTAGGAAGGGACGTGGGTGGCGCTGTGGGTTAAACCACAGAGCCTAGGACTTGCCGATCAGAAGGTCAGCGATTCGAATCCCCGCAACGGGGTGAGCTTCCGTTGCTCAGTCCCTGCTCCTGCCAACCTAGCAGTTCAAAAGCAGGTCAAAGTGCAAGTAGATAAATAGGTACCACTCCGGCGGGAAGGTAAACAGCGTTTCCGTGCGTTGCTCTTGTTAGCCAGAAGCAACTTAGTCATGCTGGCCACATGACCCGGAAGCTGTACGCCGGCTCGTTCGGCCAATAAAGCGAGATGAGTGCTGTAACCCCAGAGTTGGCCACGACTGGACCTAATGGTCAGAGGTCCCTTTACTTTTTATGAGTAGGAAAGGTAAGATAACTAGTCGAGGGTATAATAGCTGCAGGATAGATTATAGTGGTCTTAAGGAACTGTCCTGTTGTTCTTGGTGAAGCCAAGCGTCTCCCTTTGTGTTAGCTCATCTTGCGCGGTCTCTTTCTGTTTCCAGCACACACACACGCCAGTTCTATGTGTCCATCCAGCCCCCGGTGGGGGAGCTGATGGCTCCTGTCTTCATGAGCGAGAATGAATTCAAAAAGGAGCAAGGTAAGTGTTATTTCTCCCCCCCCCCGCCCCGTCCCCAAACCAGCTGTAAAAGGAAGCAGGGCAGATTCTTGACAGCAAGCTCCAAACCCATAGCTTGGTAATGAAGACAGGATTGCACAGCCCTCTTCTCTGTTGGCCCATTCTGCCCTGGAAGAGAAGCGAGATCATACTAGGCAGGGGAGAATTGCCCTCAGCCATCCGGGCTTCCCTCCCCTCCCCTCCCCTGAGCCCTCACCCCACTGCCTTGCCCTAGTATAGCCATCTGTGGGGCGCTTTCCCCCTACAAAAAGGCTACCAGACTCAAAATCCTCATGGCTGTTTTCCTGCTACATCAAGGATGCGATCTTATTCACATGTTCCTGGGAGTAAGGCCCAGTGGGCATAGCGGGCCTTACTTCCAAGTGAACATATATAGGATTGTGCTGCATTTTGCATGCAGACCATGCTTCTCTTTTTGTGGGTGTGAGTGAGTTTCCCCACTCCTGTGATTTCCAATGATTTTTTGCTCCGGGTGTAACTGGCCAGCGAGAGAGAAATGGGAGAGAGACCCACATGGGGAGGGCGTTCTTGGCGCCGCCCCCATTCAAGAGCCGCCATCACCCTCTCGGGCTGGCCGTGGCTATGGGGGGAGCACTTTTGGTTGGGGGCCGTGTTGGCAGCTGACGCTAATCATGTGTTTTGTTCTCCTCCGCTGCCTTGTGCATTCTTGCTTCTTCTTTTTCTTTAGAGCAACTGTTAAGGATGGGTGTGGGTAAGTCCCAGCACAGGTAGCTACTTCCTGTGGATGCTGCAGCTGCTGTCTGCTCCTTGTAGCCGTAGTGCTAGCGCTGCTTCCACTGGGTAGTTTCTCTCCTTTTCTAGCCGTAGTAATAGCACTGCTTCTACCCTGGGGACTCTTCCCAACCCACTAGCTGCAGAGCCTTTAATTAGCACTGCTTTCACCGCAGACACACACATCCTTCTCCTAACCTTAGCCTGGTGCAACTTGCACTGTAGACACACCCTATTTCTCCTGCTACTTTCCCGATCCCTTGCCCCTTTTCTCCATGCCCCAACCTACCAAATAGGTCGCAAACAGGGTAATAGAGGTCAGGAGGATGTAACCTTTCTAGCCTGCTTGTGCAATAAAGGATTTCCCGGCAGGCTCTTTGGCACCCCAGCAAGTAAGAATTGTCTCCATGTAACTAGTGCAGTGGACGCTTGGGTTGCGAACGTGATCCGTGCGGGATGCACGTTCGCAACCCGCAGCTGTGCATCTGCGCACGCGTGGGTTGTGATTTGGCGCTTCTGTGCATGCGCGACCGCCGAAACCCAGAAGTAACCCGTTCCGGTACTTCCGGGTTTCGGCGGTCCATAACCCAAAAAAACGCAACCTGAAGCATCTGTAACCCGAGGTATGACTGTATAGAGAAGTTGTTTGAAGGGAGTAGCTGTTGGGTCTCCCCACCCCAGCCTATTACAGATGTCAATACACATGGGGAAACATTTAGGAAAGACTTCACCAACCTAGTGCCTTCTAGAGGTTGTTGGACTATAACGCCCATCAGTCCCCTGGGGTTGATGGGAGTTGTAGTCCAACAACCTCTAGAAGGCACCAGGTTGATGAAGGCTAATTTAGGAGGCTAGCAACTCTTTCTCGGTAGTGGCGCTCACCCTGTGGAATGCCCTCCCATCAGATGTCAAATAAATAAACAACTATCTGACTTCTAGAAGACATCTGAAGGCAGCCCTGGTTAGGGAAGCTTTTTAATATTTGATGTTTTAATATTCTGTTGGGAGCCACCCAGAGTGGCTGGGGAAACCCAGCCAGATGGGCAGGATATAAATAATAATAATTATTATTATTATTTATTATTTCAAAAACTTTATTTTCAACTTTGCAAGGATGATTACAATTTCTACACCATATCAAATTTTAAGCTACTGCCCAGATGTTGCATGTCAGCTGTACATTGACAATACACACAGCAATAGGACAGTAAAGTTAGCAGTTATTAATTAATATTGATTAGCTAATTTTTCTTATGGTTTGGTGTAACCTATGAAGGCGTACCAGACACCAGACTGTGTGACTATTTTTAAGCTTTGCTTACTGAGCTCCACAGGAGTTTATGAGATTTATGAGATTTATGAGACTCCAACAGAAGATGGATGACATATTGGCCCAGGGCTAAGTTTCCAAGTATTGACCCAAAAGCAAGGGGTGTTCTTGGGTCTTTAATAACTTTGTTGGGAGGACCCAAAGGATCTGGCTCTTGATCCAAGTTGGGCAGAAGTAAGGTGAATTCCAGTGCAGCAGACAAGGATAAAGGGGGCTAAAGCTGTAGTCTCCCATCACCCCTGACCACTAGCCATGCTAGCTAGAGCTGAATAGAGTTGGACTTAAGGGCCACAGATTCTTGGCCTTGGGCTAGAGGAAGCTGCATCATCAAAACTGGACAGGGGCCAAGATCCAAAAAGCACAGGCACTCCCACACAGTTGTCCTTGCATCAGAGGCATGTTGTTCTGATTTAGGAGCAAGCGCAGAGGCTAAGAATATCTAGGCCCTGGCAGACAGGGAATGGCTTTTGGGCATCAGCTGACAGAACACACAGGCTAGCTGTTCTGCAACCTATGGAGCATCCTCAGAACTCAATGTGCTAGGCTCTCAGTGAAAGGTTTTGGCATTGAAGCTTTGGTAAGGACACCAATGCCCACAAGGTTCTTTCCTTCTGATGGGCCACTAGGTTTTCTGCCTCTGCAGTAGAGTTGCATGTACTTTTGCATGCTGCTCCCCAGCCGTGAGAGAGACCAGCAGAGGGGTGGAGCTGCTCCTGAGCCCTTTCTGTACCTTCCCCTCCGCCTTCCCTTCTTCTTTTACCTTGGCAGGGCACCTGGCATCCCGTCTGCTGACGAAACTCCCTGCATGGTCCAGCAAGCCTTTTTGGCATGTTAACGCCCGGCACCTAGGCACCACTGCCTCTAATAACACTCCAAGCTGCACACCACTTTCTGCAAGCAGCGGGGCTTTCCGGGACAATTAACCCAAAGCCTCCTTGCTTGGAATGGCTGTTCGTAAGAACGCTAGGAATATAATCCTGTAGGGTGGGGGGATGCTTTTGCTTTATGAGGGTCCCTTCCTGAAGATTAAAAAACACACAAAAATACACCTATACCCTCCCTTGGACACATAGTACACTTCCGTTTGGAAACTCTTGGCTGATATAGATATTACAACATACATCAATCTTATGTCTTCTTTTCAGATAGCCCCCATCAGTACCTCTTGTTCAGCTAAGCTACAATGGGGACTCATTTAGATCCTGGATAGAACGGGGTAGGGTGTGTCAAACTAGAATTGCCCTGAACTCTGGATCTTGTAAGGATGTGCCCTTTGCAGTTCTCTCTGCAGCAATCAGAAGCTCTTAAGTCTGTCCCGCAAGCCTGTAAGATGTGTTGGCAAATAAATAAAATAAATAGGAATCGCTATTCACAGTGGAGTGTAACCACCCAATTGTATTGCAAAACCAAAGGTCAGTTTGATATTCATCAGAATCAACTTGCGAATCTTTTCCCGACAAGTATCACGTAGGGCTGCAGGTGTTGCATTACATATTTCAATGTTCAGGCATATTTAAAACCAAACCAAAAAAACCCCACCCTGCCTGTAGAAAACTAGAATGGCAGGGAGAACAGTTTAGCCTAGCTTTCTGCTTGACATTCTCTCTTTTTTTTCCTATGGAAACTTTTGATCATGCAACATACTCCTCCCACATTTGCAGTCTGAAGTGATTCAGTCCATGAAGTCTTTCCACTTGGCTCTGCCTTGGAAGCCTGCATTCAAATCCTAGATTTAGGGTTTTGAATGCAGATCTGGTTCTAACCGTGGTCAGTGAACCATCTGTAGCGTAGACAACAATAATCCTAATCCAATAAGAAGTAAGGGATTGAATGTGGACAGGTTTAGGCAAAATATTCAGGATCAGGGCCATCCTTATTAAGCAAGTGCAGATGGCTATGTACACTGGGAAGGAACAACACAACAAATAGTGCTGCCGCTGTTCTTGAAGGCCTCTAACACTGCTGCCTCTAACACATTATTATTTTAATAGATACTCTGCATGCATCCAAAATGGCAATTGTATGTAAACATTTATTCACTGCAAATATTTTATATGCTGCTTTTCTGTTTAAATATGCTTCCAAAGTAGCTCCACACACCCCACCAAAAAAGCTAAAGCTTGAAAACTAATTTTGCTTTAGTTTTGTAATAAAATGCTAGTATACTCAGGGAGATGGGAGGAAGGAGACACAGCAGCATTTGGGGGCCCCACCTCCCCGCAGCAGCAGCAAAGTGGGAAACAGTTTATAAGGTCACTGGTTGTATCCACTATCAGATGGCAACCTTTGGGGCTGAGATTTATCTATTTATTTATAAGACGTTTCTAGCCTTCCCATCACCATATGATCCCGGTGTGGACTGTGATACAATAAAATGGTAAAGCAGCATTATGATAAAGCCACTTTAACGCAGCTTCTAAATTATTGTTATTGTTGTTAATTAAATTTGTGTACCACCCTATACCCGCAGGTCTCAGGGCAGTTCACAAAAGCCAGATACAAATAGAGCATAGTCCTATAGTACTCAGCGTTCCGGGTCTTGGGTCTTCTCACTTGCAGTAGGAAAAAAAATCCATTACCCCCTGGGCAGTGTTGGCCAAACTTGGCCGTCCAGCTGTTTTGGGACTACAATTCCCATCATCCCTGACCACCGGTCCTGCTAGCTAGGGATGATGGGAGTTGTAGTCCAAAAACACCTGGAGACCAAGTTTGGCCAACACTGCCCGAAGGGAACAGATGAGTTTTCACCAAGCACCAAAACACCAAAAGTGTCAGCACCAATTGTGCCTCTAGGCCAGGGTTAAAGAACCTATGGCCCTCTGTACAGCGCTTTGCAAGTGGCATCGATCAGCTGCTCATCCACATGGGCAAACACAGGACACCTGTTATCATTGTGATATCAGGAGCTTGACAAGTGGATCACTCCACCCACCTGTCAGACTCGGACTGCAAGGGGTAGGGGAGATAAAAATCTGGTCCACTGGTCAGATCCAGTTCCCCACCCCTACTCTAGGCAGTGGGCAATCCACTGGCAGAGCACCAACATAGAGAAGACCCCTATCTCAAAGGTTGACCATGTGGTGCCTCCAGGTGTTCTTGGATTCCCAACTCCCATCAGCCTCAGCCAGCACAGCCAGTGGTCAGGGCTGATGGGAGTTGTAGTCCAACAACATCTGGAGGACGCCATGTTGGCTTCCCCTACCCTATTCCATATCTCCATATAATGCCCTTCTCTAGGTGGTGGAAAGACAAGAAGGGCATCTCCTCTAGACCTAAGAACATGGGCAGGCTACAACAGGAAAATTTGTACCCTTCAGATATTTGCATTAGCTACTGAGATTGCATTAGTCACTGTGGGCTGATGCCTTTGTCCTTAGAGGCACGGGTAGGGTATCCTATAGGGTGGAGTTGCCCAGAGGAAAAAATTGAATAGTTTGAGACATTTGACCTGCAGATCTCAAGGACAGAAGCAGACATTGGGTGGCAAAATTCAAATCCTTCAGTTGACAATATCAAATGTTTTTAGGGCATGGGAATTCCAGAGTTGCATATGCAACCTGAAGTGGGAGCTGACGGGAAGCTACGCATAGCATAGATCTCCCATTCTAGATTGGGTTGTATCCTAGACAGCCAGGGAAACCTGGACCCTTTCCTCCCAAGTCATACGCTGCCATTTGATGAATTTGTCTCCACCCAGATGTCTACTGTTCTTTTTTTTTCCTTTTCTACCTTCTGTCCTCCAGGGAAGCTAACAGGGATGAGTGAAATCACAGAGAAGTTGACTCTACCTGACAAATGCCAGAGTGACCACGTGATTGTGCAACAGGTGACATCTGCAGCCAACGTTAGCCGTGTGCCTTGTGGCTCAGACAAGGAGTATAGGTGAGGAGATGGCTAAGATCAATGTTGTCTCTGCTGCTTCTAAATAGTGAGGGTTGTGGCCTGCCAGAGGTTGCTGAACTACAACTCCCATCATCCCTCACCATTGGCCATGATGGCTGGGGCTGATGGGAATTGTAGTCCAACAAACACATGGTGGGCCTCCAGTTTTCCATCCCTGTCCTAACCCTATATTTGCTTTCTTGGGTCACTTCCAATCCCCATCTGGATGTCTGACAACTTCTGTTACTGGTTCTGTTCTCAAATATTTACCCTTGATGCCCACAAATTTGCAGCTGTAGTTCCAGACTTTGATGGAACAAAGGAAATGTTGAAGCTACATGAAACCAGGATACCACACATTACAGCTGGGGCAATTAAATTACTGTCTACCTAGTGTTGCGCAAATCTCCCCGAATAGTAACATTTCAGAGCCTCACAGGTCTGATATTTTGCAACATCAGCATTCAATTTTTTCTGAATTTTGGATCTAGCAGCCTTTAGTATAAGAATATCTAGGGCACTTAAAGTCTAGGCAGCTGGTTGCCCTTGAGACAGGATGTGGATTGATCTTCACTTCCTAGGAACACCACCCTCTCTTTAGTCTCTTAGCATTTCGTACCTCTCTAGGGACTGTAATCTCTATTGTCCTAGCATTTTCTGCATAGACAAAAATCTAGACTCATTACTCAGGTTTCAAACCACTTTTATGTGCTATTCTTTTGGGGGCTTCTTCTTAGTGGAAACCAAAGGCCAAACTACAGAAAGGCTTGGCGGATCTTATGATGTCTTCTTTTTGGGAAATGTTCTTTAGGTATAAACAGCCCAATAAAAATGCAAACATGCTGAGGATGTGAGGGAGGGATTATTATTAATAATAATTTCATTTCTATATGGCTTTATATTTTTAAGAAAAAAATATCAAAGCAGTTTAAAGGTAAAGGTAAAGGACCCCTGACAGTTAAGTCCAGTTGCAGATGACTCTGGGGTTGCGGCGCTTATCTCGCTTTACTGGCTGAGGGAGCCGACATTTGTCTACAGACAGTTTTTCCGGGTCATGCGGCCAGCATGACTAAGCCACTTCTGGCGAAATGGAAACGCAGTTTACCTTCCCGCCGGAGCAGTGCCTATTTTATCTACTTGCACTTTTTGGCGTGCTTTTGAACTGCTAGGTTGGCAGGAGCTGGGACTGAACAACGGGAGCTCACCCCGTAGCGGGGTTTCGAACTGCCGACTTTCCGATTGGCAAGCCCAAGAGGCTCAGTTTACAACACATTAAAACATTGAATAAAAAATGAAGAATAAAACATTGCTGAAGAAAACCAATATAAAGCATACATTCAAAGCAACATAATTAACAGGAAACTAAAATATTAACTTAAAGATTTCAAAATAGTACATTACAAAGAAAGTCAGCTACAGAATACACATTTAACACAGCAGAGTTAAGTGGGCGCGGGAATGAAAACATTGCTAAAGCAAGTTAAATATAAAATGCACATTTAAAGGTAAAGGGACCCCTGACCATTAGGTCCAGTCGCGGACGACTCTGGGGTTGCAGCGCTCATCTCGCTTTATTGGCCGAGGGAGCCGGCGTACAGCTTCTGGGTCATGTGGCCAGCATGACGAAGCCGCTTCTGGCGAAACCAGAGCAGTGCATGGAAACGCCGTTTACCTTCCCGCCGGAGCGGTACCTATTTATCTACTTGCACTTTTGTGCCTTCGAACTGCTAGGTTGGCAGGAACAGGGACCGAACAACGGGAGCTCACCCTGCCATGGGGATTCGAACCGCCGACCTTCTGATCAGCAAGTCCTAGGCTCTGTGGTTTAACCCACAGCGCCACAACAGCACAATTAACAAAAGAATCTAGCTGCTGCCAATCCTACCAATGGTGGTTCAGGGTGGGTGGCACCTATGAAAACTCAGGCTCAGCGACCTACATCTGCACTAAAAGACAGCTGAGATGGTCTGTGACCACTTCAGCAGCCTCAGGTTTTTTTGTACCTGGAATCAATCAGGGCACCTCCTTCCCAAGTCAGGTGGAGAAAGGCCTGCAAGGCAGGGAGCAGGTCTTCCAGGACTCACAGTGGGGAATTGAACTTGCCTTCCCTAACCTGGTGCCCTGCAGTTGTTTTGAACTACTACCCCCATCCCATGCTGGCTGGGGCTGATAGGAGTTGCAGTCCAGAGCATCTACATGGCACTAGGCTGGGGAAATTTCACTAACTTGGGGTTTCCCAAACCTGTAGCTATTTTTGGACCACAGCTCCCATCATGCCTGGCCGGCAGCACCAGTGGTCAGGGGTGATGGGAATTGTAGTCCCAAAACAGCTAGAGACCCAAGTTTGAGAAACACTGTTCTGACTACTGCACCATACTAAACCTTGTGACGTGCAGTCACCTTCTTGTTGGGTTGTTTCCCTCTGAACAGGTTCGCCGCCAAGACGGTCAGCAGTGGAAGTCTCATCCTCATCATGCTGGAGAAGAAGGCGGGCAGCGTGGCACAGCTCACTATCAACAGCGAGAAGATGTTGATTAGCACCATGCTAGTAAAGGACATTATCCACTCCTTGACGCAGTGACCAGAATGCTTCCTTCTCTCATCATCACACCCACTTCAGTCATCCAGCTGTCCTTCCTTCCTGGGCTCAGCCATCTGTCTCCCTCCACCCAGCTTGTTGTGTGTCTCCCTGTCCCTATGTAAAATACAGGTCAAAGCTGATAAGGCAATGGGAAACAATCCATGGTAGAAAATAAGGTGCAGCCTCTGATGTGGATAAGAGACATTATTAGCTCAGCAACAAATTAGGGAAGCCTTTTGCAACCTGGTGTGCACTAGAGTTTTTGGAGTACAACTGGAGGGCACCAGGTTACAAAAGGCTCAAACTGGGGTTGTTGGGATGCTGAAGATGCCCTGTGACTCTGCCATCCTTGTTGTGCAGTGAGTCTCCTCCCCGTTTTTCTGTTCTATGGCTCTATTTATTATGGGCAGAGATCGTTCAATAAAAATTATTCCTGGAATTGCAAATTCTGTTTCCTGGCTCGTCTGTATGGTGGCAAAAGTGAAACCTGAGACATCTCCTTTTGTTGCTCTTTCCCCACTACAGCCTCCCCTATGGCTCATTCAACGTAGATCAGAAGGATGAGAAACCACATGTATATGAGATTTCTGTTGATCTAACAATTGCCATAGTATTTTTAAAACACAGTTGGTACACATATAATATTGGTACATATGCAGACATATCTGCCTGAATCATCATGTTGCTATTCCATTATTCGAATACCCAAAACGATGAGGGTTTTAAAAAATTTACCATATTTCCAAAAATGAAATAAGAATCCGTTCCCATTTCTACTCTTACTGTTTCTTTATGACAATGAACTTGAGCTGCAACTCATTTGGGGTTCCTCCAGTTGACCTTATTTATTCAGCACAGAGATGTAACATTTCTGGATATTTTGAAGCCATGTAGGATTTTTTTTTTATTTTAATCGGGGGCGGGGGGGGATGAACACTTTTTGGGGGGGAATAATTTTTTAAAAAACAAAACACTTTTTATGTATCAAAGGTCACTTTGTTACTTTAGGAACAAAAAGTGCATTACATATAAATTTACCATAGAATGATCATGTCTGATATATTAAAAGTATAATTTAGTCAAGCAATACAGTGGTACCTCGGGTTACATACGCTTCAGGTTACAGACTCCACTAACCCAGAAATAGTACCTCGGGTTAAGAACTTTGCTTCAGGATGAGAACAGAAATTGCATGGCTACGGCAGCAGGAGGCCCCATTAGCTAAAGTGGTGCTTCAGGTTAAGAACAGTTTCAGGTTAAGAACGGACCTCCAGAATGAATTAAGTTCTTAACCTGAGGTACCACTGTAATGAGAAACTGAGTTTATTTTTTGACATTTTTGTTAGCTCCATTTATAAGGAAACTAGCATATTTTTTGGTTTTGCCAGTTCATGAGGAGCAGGCAAAAAATTTTTTTAAGTAACCATCAACATTATAGTTTAAAAAATTATATTCTGAAAATTATTGTGTCTCCTCCAGTTCTCCACAGCATCAGTCAGATATAAAGCACTCATTTCTATAACAAGAACTGAGGAAAAGAGGGGAGGGGGAACAAAACTCATGAATACTACATGAAATTTAACCAGTCCCTCTTTCTAAGCCAGTAGTTATCAAACTCTGAGCACACCACCCAGGACTTTCTTGTCTGCAGTACAGTATACAGAAATTATGATGCTGTGCACAGTCTTAGAAGAGACATTGCTTCTGTTGTGAGAGAAGGGAGAATGTTTCCAAGATCTGCAGATCTTGCCATCTGCAGCTTTAGTCTGCGCTAATATTAAAAATGTAAAATATGCTTCTCGGTTAAATGGGGCGCGTGCTTAAGTCTTTCAAAGGATTTTTTTAAAACTCATCGAACTATTCAACTAACCTAGCCTTCCTCAAACTGGTGCCCACCAGATGCAATTCCCATCAGCTGCAACCAGCATGTCCAATGAGGAAAGCTGAACTAACCATTCCAGGCCTAGCAGATACTTGCTATGATGATCCCTGGAGGGCAGGATACTGGCTGCGGAAGGAGAGAAACACCAGAAGACTGCAGGCAAGGAAGGCTGGTCCTTTGAGGCTCTTAAAACATTTTTTTAGTACTCTCTGACCTGGGGGGAGGCCAGCAGCAATGAACGGTTAGGTACAGCTATCCCATGGGCCCTGCTTAGAAGAAGAGTTTGGATTTGATATCCCGCTTTATCACTATCCGAAGGAGTCTCAAAGCGGCTAACATTCTCCTTTCCCTTCCTCCCCCACAACAAACGCTCTGTGATATGAGTGGGGCTGAGAGACTTCAAAGAAGTGTGACTGGCCCAAGGTCACCCAGCAGCTGCATGTGGAGGAGCGGAGACTCGAACCCGGTTCACTAGATTATGAGTCTACCGCTCTTAACCACTACACCACACAGTGCAGCTCAGCAGAACGGGGCGTTTGCCCATTTATGCTGAATAACTACAGTAGTTTTCTCTCTAATAAGCTTGGGTGGTTATTTTCCTCTTATCTTATACTAAATAGTGTGTGAGTGAGAGAGAGAAAGTTACAGCTCTCTGTGCCTAGTGCAGGGTCTGCAACCCGCGGCTCCGGAGCCACATGTGTCTCTTTTACACCTTTGCCGCGGCTCCGGGGCGGATACTAGCAAGGGGAGGAGGCGCATTGTGGAGGCCCACTGTGGCGGGCGCTGTACTGGCTGTGACGTTGCATGGGGGCGGTGCGTGCGTTAGTCACGCACCGTCCCGACGTCACCTTTCCGCCCGCTACATTTTAAGGGGCATGTACGCTGGTCACTGCATTGAAAGGGGGCATGTACGCTGGTCACTGTTTTGAAGGGGAGTGAAGAACACACACACAAAAAAGGTAACTTGTTAATTTAACGTTTATTTCTATGAGGAGGAGTAATTCTGAGGGGTCAAACAAAGAAATAATTTAAAAAGTGACAAAAAAATTATTTTTATAATGACGAGTTTTGCGGCTCCCAGTTTTTTTTTCTTCGGAAACGGGTCCAAGTGGCTCTTTTTGTCTTAAAGGTTGCAGACCCCTGGAGTGGTATAGCACAAGCTTTGCATGTAGATGGTTTTAGGCTTAGTTCTCACCAAGTTAAGAAGGGGGGGGCAGGTAACAGGTAAAGTGCAAGACCTCTGCCTGAGACGCTAGGTTGCTACTGCCAGTGTTGTATTAGTTGGAATTGCCTTGGTTTTGGGGAGAGGACTTCCAGAGACCCCGGCTTTTAGGCTGCAAGCTGATTTACTACTGTATGCAGTTGTATTAAAACTGCAAAATAATAAAAACTCCCCCAAAGTCTAGCAAATTATGGAATTAACCGTGCCAACTTTCCATTACACCCCTTGATGGTTAACTGGTTTATAAGTGTTTTTTAACCATTGATGCCATAGGAGCCAGCTCCTAGGGGCCAAGGTCCCTTTGCCCCCCCACAATAAAAATGTTGAGGGGGCCTCCCTCCCTAAAAGTTAATGGGCATTGCCATTCAAATGGTGTGTGTGTGTATGTACCGCATCATGTGATCAGTTGTGCAGAGTGGGGCTTTTCTGGCCACTCCTAATATTTTATTCAAGGCGGCACAGCTGATAGATGCTAAGAACACCTCCCAAATACACTTCATATGCCATAAAAATGGAGATGGGAGAAGAAATATCAGATGAGAGACCCCGAGGAGGTTTGCCAGACTCGGCAGCCGAAATCACAACGCCCTTGAACAATAAACAGGATGAAGCCCATCTTTTATTGCCCACCAACAGAAGGGGTGCCATCTTGAATAAAATATTGAGGGGGGAGTGCAAGTAAACCCCACCCCGCATAACTGATCACATCACACACACACACACACACACAAAATTTGATTGGCAATGCCCATCAACTTTGCAGGGGCCCGGCCCCCTCAAACATTTTATTTATCGGCCCCCAGGAGTTGGCTCCTATGAACAGAGGTGTGTGTGGATTGTGAGGTTGGGTGTTCACACTACACAAAGGAGACGGAAGGAGCACTTCTTCAACACACAACACACGCTTCCACATAGCCTCCAACTTGGATGGCTTCAGAAGGGCATTAGATAAATTGCTGGAGGAGGAGGAAGCTAAAGCTCCACAGGAGGAGATGGTTTGCCCCTGATTACTGGTTCCTTGGGGGGCGGGGGATAAAGGGGAAGCATACTGTTACTCTTATGTCCCTTGCAGCACTTTTTTTTCTAAAAAAAAAATGTTTGGGTTACTTTCATTTTGACTCAAGAAAATCAGAGTTTTATAGTTCAAATAGGGAAAACTAAATACAGTAAATGGACATCAGGGGTAGCAACAGAACCGACGATTCACCGTGATATTCAATGGAACTGATGATTCACCGTGCTAGAGGAGAAACTAAAAATTTTAAGAATTTTTGCTTCTTCTCCCGTTAGAGTCACAAATTTTTAGGGGTATGCGTACTCCTGCGCCCCCCCCTCCAGAAAAAAGCCCTGGTCCCGTGTTTTTCCCAGAGGAATCTAGCTGGCTATTGGGAAGACGCCACAGCTGTGGTCCCCGCGTGCAGAGGCTTCCTCATAATAATATTTTTATTATTTATATGCTACCAATCTGACTGCGTTGCCCCAGCCACTCTGGGCAGGTGCCAACAAAAATAATAGTAAAAACAACACCACACACTAAAAGCTTCCTTGAACAGGGCTGCCTTCAGATGACTTTTTAAAAAACCATAGCTGTTTTATCTGTTTGGCTTGGGAGGGCTCTTGGCAAGGCGTTTTAAGTTTTTTTTTACAGTGCAGCCTCTACTCAAAGGTAAGGCCTACTGAATCCAGCGGGTCTTGCTCCCAAATCGGCGAGGTGCGCACCCTCAGCTGTTGCAAATTTGTCGTGCAAACCGCCTTGCACCGGGTGGGGAGGTCGACAGCGGCGGAATAAAGCACATATGCATGCATTGCTTTTTTCCAAATAAACAGGTTAGCTTGATAGCTTTGGTGCATTTCTATGGGTGGCGTTGCGCAGTTAAAAATAAGTCTAATTTAAGCTTTTGCGTGGCCATTCGAGCGTGCAAAAGTAGACGCGAGGCACTGAGGCAAACGGCTGATTAATTAGCCGGCCTCCTGTGCTGAAAACTACTCCCTTCTGGCGGGCAGGGAGCGTTTGCAAACTCCTGCACGCGAGGGTGGGGCAGACCCGGCGACGCTTCGCCCGACCCCCCGGGGAAGCGCGCGCGCGCGCGCAGGGCTTTGCTTCTCCCTGTTTTTAACGACGACCCCCTAATTAGCGCCTTTTCCTCCGCCCCGTGGAGGAGGAGGAGGGGAGCCACGTGCGGACGCGCAGGTATAAGTTTCCCGCGTGCAGCGCTCGCGCGGGGTTTCCGAGCGGGTTGCCTTGGGATGGCTTTTACGGTCCCGGTGAGTCCGAGGCTGGACCGAGACGGGCGCGGGGAAAAGGAGGAGGGCGAAGCAACGGCGAGAGGCTCAAAGCGGGGATTGCAAAACCCCCTCGGTGACCGCGGCGGGTGGGCAGAGGGCTGCGGAGGGCGGGGGCCCCCCAGGGCTTTGCAACGCGGGAAGACGCGGCCTCGTAGCCTGCCTAGGAAGGGGGTGGCCGGGCGGGTCTGGCTTCGCCAGCGTTCTCACGTGCTCGAGCCGCGCGCGGCTTCTGGCTCTCCGCGCCACCCGAGTGCAGGTGTTTCGTTTCGGTTTGGGAGTCGCCCAGAGATAGTCGCCCTGGGAACCCTTAGCGGGGCGCGGCGGCGTTCACACGACCTTCAGCGTGAATATTGACTATTATCGTAAGCAAATAAAAGGGCCGTATAGAGGGGAACGCATAGGGGCGGCAACACTCCCTCTCGTCTCCGCTCCCCTACTTCGGTTTGTGTACTAATGGGCTTTGCTTTCTAAGAAGCGAAGTTGCTCTTAATTCCGATGAACATGGGCGTGGAGTTACCTCCCTTCTTTCTTGTGCGCATCTGTGCCTGTCTGCATTTCCCCCGTTGGTTTCGTTTTTCTCTAGCTGGCTCTCCGCTTCTCTTGCCCCACCCGCTTTTCTGTTTCCCAAACCCCCAGCCGTCCCCCCCCCCTTTAGGCTACAATCCTAACCCCAGTTACCTAGGAGTAAGCCCCATTTAATTCAGCAGGACTTACTTCTGAGTAGGCGTCGCTAGGCGCACGCTACTAGTTTGCAAACCTGTGTACAAATGACTGGGAATACGGGCCATTGAACTCGGTGGGACCCCCCCCCCTTTAGGCTACAATCCTAACCCGTTACCTAGGAGTAAGCCCCATTTAATTCAGCAGGACTTACTTCTGAGTAGGCGTCGCTAGGCGCACGCTACTAGATTGCAAACCTGTGTGCAAATGACTGGGAATACGGGCCATTGAACTAGGTGGGACTCCAGTGGAAAGTCTTCGCACGTGCAATAAGTTGCACATCTTTCCTCCCCATTTTCTGCTTCTTTCGCTACAAAAGTTTTTAAACAGCAAAATGATAAAAATGGTGGTATTGCTTGTATGGGTTCTGGCCAGGGCTATTATAGAAAAAGCGGTGCCGGGACTCAACATGAACGCTTCCTTTGTTCTCTTATAATGGTAATGGGGCTCACCTGAGAGGCGCTGGAGCTGAGCTCTTGTGAAATGCTGCCGGGAAAAAGCCCTGGTTCTGACCCACTAAATGAAATCTGCTTGGCTTTTCGGTTATTTGATCCTGTGTTTTGTGGGGGAGGGCTTGCTTTCCTTTGAAGTACTTTTTTATCCAACGCTCACAGTTTCAGTTTGCACCATGGTGGGAAAAAATACCTTTTCTGCTAGTAGACAAAGAATAAGTTCCTTGGAGGTGAGTTAGTGGACGCTAAGTCTAGAAATTCTGAGATAGCTCAAACTTCCCCGCAAAGAGAAGGGACTTCTAAAGCACGTTTGAGGCACGTTCTTTGCCTCAAAGGATTCTGGGCACTGTAGTTTTAGGGTTGTTGGAAATTGCAACTGGAGAGGATACTTGAATTGATAGTGCATAAATAAATTGCTTGTGTACTGCATATGAAACTTAATAAGAATGTACCACTGTACAGGTTTCTTTAAAAAAAAAAAAAAAGGCTGGATAGCTTAACTGATTTTGTATTTCATTGTTGGCCCTAAACGTCAGGAACAGGGGTGGTGGAGTCAGGAATAATACTTGCTAGATGGTGTTATCCTCAGTCAATTGCCTGAAACTCAGTTGTATTCATTAGCTGTTGACTCTAGAAGGGCTGTTTGTGGTGTGTTCTCTGATAGTACAGATATTTTAAAGACTGTGCTGTGTTCAGGTTTTTTCCTTGCTGGTGGTTGTGCTGCTTGCTGATTACCACACAGTAGCTGCAGCAGTGTGTTCTAGGAGAAGCTGGAATTCAACATTGCTGAGTCCTGATTTCATTAAGCGTTCTCGTCCTCATGGTGCAGAAAGCTTTGGAGACTCAAGCACAGAGTCTCAGAAGTTAAGAAACCGTTGCAAGAGTTATGGGGTGCGAGTTTAGATCTGCAGCCACTGCTTTATTAATATGCTGCACTTTAAGCAGTCAAGCCCCGATCCCCATGTCTCCAGGTCTGGTCTTGGCAATATCTGAAAACATACATTTGTGTGCCTGTGTTGGTGTGTGGAGGATGCAGCCTTGAGCAGGCACAGTTGGTGGAATAGAGGACACTGGAATCATTTGATTAATGGTATGAAAAGACTACATTGACAGGAAGCGAAAATGACCCTAGCTCTGAATCACCCACTCACACAAACTTGGAAATGCTAATTTGAGAGTATGCTAAGTATTTGGTTTATTACCATTGTGTGGTGCAAATAGTTGATTCCAAAGGTGTTGTGGCTGACTCCTTAAGCACATTCTGAAAGCGTTCAGTTAAAATTTGTTGCTTGTAGCATCACTTTCATTATGTCGTTCCAAGATGGTTAATCTATTTCAACCCAAGCATTACATACCCTTTGAGGGTGGTGGGAGAAGCCTAGCGGCAGGCAGAGCTGGAGGCAAAAGTGGTCAAAGCAAAGATTAAGAGCCAGTGTGGTGTAGTTGTTAAGAGTGGTAGACTCGTAATTTAGTTTCATGTCTCCGCTCCTCCACATGCAGCTGCTGGGTGACCTTGGGCTAGTCACACTTCTTTGAAGTCTCCCAGCTCCACTCGCATCACAGAATTTGTTCTGGGGGAGGAAGGGAAAGGAGAATGTTAGCCGCTTTGAGACTCCTTCAGGTAGTGATAAAGCGGGATATCAAATCCAAACTCTTCTTAAGAATCCTGCCTTTGTACAGTAGGCTATATTCCAGCCATAGAAAAGTCAAAAGGTGCCTTTCTGTGTTCACACCTCTCTATTCAGGCAGGCAAGAGGCAGGGTGGCAGTTCAAGGATAACCTTTGTCAGACAAAAGCACTTGAGGATGTTGTGTGAAGCTGGTGACTGGTACAGGGCAGAGAGTCTTGGAGCTTGTCTGCAGCGGAGTTTTATTGTGTGTTTGCAGTTGTTTGTGTTTCCATTTAATTTGCATAGTCCCCATGGTGTTACTCTCAAACAACAGTCTCAATGCCTTTCCACTGTAACAGCTTCACACCTAGATTTTTCCGTAACAAGGGATAACTCAGTACAGTACAGGGATAATCTGATAAATTGGGCTCCAGTTCTCTCCATTTAGGCTTGCAGATTGTTTCAGTGTTTTGGGGTGGGGTGGATCCATTGTCACATTCTGGTACTTCCTATTTCCACACTTAGTACTTCCTCAATGCTCTCATTCCTTTTCCAGCCATTCTGGTACCTATTTCCTGTGCATTCCTTAATGGAGCAATACAGTGGTGCCTTGCAAGACGAAAATAATCCGTTCCGCGAGTCTCTTTGTCTAGCGGTTTTTTCGTCTTGCGAAGCAACCCTCTTAGCGGATTAGCGCTATTAGCGGTTTAGCGGCTATTAAAGGCTTAGCGGCTAAAAGGCTATTAGCGGCTTAGCGGCTTAGAAAAAGGGGGGGGAGCGAAAAAAATCGCAAGACGTTTTCATCTTGCGAAGCAAGCCCATAGGGAAATTCGTCTTGCGAAGCGCATCGAAAAATGGAAAACCCTTTCGTCTAGCGGGTTTTTCGTCTTGCGAGGCATTCGTCTTGCGGGGCACCACTGTATTTCCCTCCCCTTGATCCCAAACACTTGTACCAAAACCAGAAAACTGCACAAGCAAACCAAATTCAAAAATTCTGCCTTGGATATTGCACATTCTGGCCCTTGAATGAGTACAAAACCAGAAAACTGCAAAAATGTATGCTGAGAATTTACAGTTGCCTGTGTGCTTTTGTGCAGTTCCTGGGTAGAGATTAAAAGAAGGAATTGAGGTATGTATACAGCTATCTTTATTCCTGCACTGTCAGTACTTAATTTGCATAGAATCAACACACCAAAGCCAGGGGCAACACACAAAAGGGAGCATCTACTATTATGAATGGGAAAGACCACAAAGTTGCTCCTTGTACACTACTCTTTCCCCTCCATTCAAATTACACCAGAGTAGTCCAAATGTGAACAAGCACGCAATGACCAAATGGAGAGGCATGGAGGACTGCATTCAGGCTCTCTGACCTAAGGTCCCCCTCCCTTCTGTGGTGCTAATATGGTCGCTTTTGTTTCCAGAAGGACAGTACTGGAAGGACCATAAAAGATTGCTGGGACAACTCTGACGTTCCGGCTTTGACCACGTGCAGCAACGCAAAGATTTTCCGACAAATAAACGGCATGCTGGGGAACTCACTTGACTTCAAGGGAGTCTGCACAACACCCATTGCAAAAGAAAGAGATCTATTATCAGGTGACTTAATGAGTTGATTATAATATTTTAAAATATGGGGCGTGTTAGTCTGCAGGCTTCTATGGAGTTGTAATATTTACAGTCAATGTGTGAGTTTCCTTGATGGTTTAAATAGCTAGCAAATAAGTTGGTAGCAAGGTGTGCGATCAGGAGGAACAGCTGGCAGAGTCAGATGAGGATTATATTCCTGATACTGTGGGTAAACTTCAAGTTCCCAAGCACACCTGTTCCCTACTTTCTGCTGCATGACCAGACCCATTCCATAGGTAAAGACTGTTGTATTAAAACACAAGCCAAAGTGCACCATCATTAAAATAAAACAAATGCTACTACCCAATGCTTCTAAATGGTTAAAAATTGGCCCTGTCTGATGAGGTTGGAAAGCACACATTTGTTTTCATTTTGTGCTTGTAATGAGCAGTGCAAAAAATAAATCAGAATTGCAGGCATAAATAGTTTTTGTAAAATTAGAAAAGCTTCAGTTTACATTGTAGTTGTGTAGCCGAAGTGCTCTTTTTCTTGAATGTGCCAGTAGATAACAGGCAAGTCAGTGTTAAATTAGTCGTAAATTAGTCCTTAAATCTACAGATAGCTAATCCAAAGACAGTGACCAAGCCTATGAAAATGATCTGAGTCTTGTTCTGCAGCCTTGAGGATTTGGATGCAGGAAGCAGCCAGGGATTTATAAATCTCCCAAAGCTCGAGCCCAAAGTTGGTAATAGTATTTAGAGAGAAACAAAATGCTCCACAAGTAGTTAAATATATGTAAGCTGTACCCTGGGTGCTCATTTAGATAAAATCCCCCATCCTCGCTGTATAAGTACAGTGGTACCTCGCAAGACGAATGCCTCGCAAGACGAAAAACGCGCAAGACGAAAGAGTTTTCCGTTTTTTGAGTCGTTCCGCAAGACGAATTTCCCTATGGGCTTGCTTCGCAAGACGAAACGTCTTGCGAGTTTGTTTCCTTTTTCTTAAAGCCGCTAAGCCGTTAATAGCCGCTAAACTGCTAATAGCCGTGCTTCGCAAGACGAAGAGACTCGCGGAACGGATTAATTTCGTCTTGCGAGGCACCACTGTAAAGCAATTAGCAATTATGTTATTTTTATCAGAAATAACTATGATCTCTACCTGCATTATGTTTGGGGGAAATGGAGGCAGTGGACCTTCTTGGGTCCACATGTTAGATAATAAATATCCAGATGGCTGTGAATTATCCATAGCAAATCCTGTTTTAGGACACAGATAATGGACTGTGTGCTGTTTAGGTCCTTTTGATTTGGCAATTATTTGCATTTAATCTGCACGCAAGTACCAGGCCACTTCAACAGGAGGGTGGGGAAGCCCACCTGTTCATTAGCTGATGTCACTGCAATGCCAGGTGAACTGTTTTCTTTCCCCAAGTTTATATATAGTACTTCTGCTGTATGCCGGCTCCCTCGGCCAATAAAGCGAGATGAGCGCCACAACCCCAGAGTCATTTGCGACTGGACCTAACGGTCAGGGGTCCCCTTACCTTTACCTTTACCTTCTGCCCAAGTGGGTTGAAATCAAACCATGCTGGCAAAGGAAATGTTTCCCTGTAGGGCTTGCTTTTGGCACCCATCTTCTGATTGATGCTGACAGCATGCCCTACCTCTGGCAGGGATTGGCTGCATATGGGTTTCTGATCAGGATTTCTGTAATGCAGTAGAATTCTGGTAAGCTTATTGGCACTTAACAGCAACACTCACTCACCAAGGATCAATTTAGAGTGTACTTAGAGTTCATGGTTGTTTCTTTTTAGTCATGGCTTTCCCTGCTCCACACTTGATGTAACACATGATTTCAGGTGTGAATGGTTTGGAAAAAAAGAAAGCCTGCCTTGGTGACCAGATTAGGATGCCTTCTAATATGCTTTTTTGTTTTTTCACCCTTTTTTTTTTTTTGCTGCTCTGGGCTCCTGTGGGAAGAAGGGTGGGATATAAACTTAAATAAAATAAATAATAATTTGGCCCATGGGCCAAAGGTTCTTCACTGCTGCAAGACAGAACAAAAAACCCACATAGAAAGAGAGAATAGATGGGTTCTTTCCAGCACTCAAGGCCCTACCTTTTCAGAGCATTCATTACGTATCAGATTTTATGGGGCTGTATGGATTTGTTGTTGGGTCAGCCTTAACCTTGAAACACGTAACCATAATATGTGAATGATCTCTTTTAACTAATGTTGGTGGCATTATGCGCACATAGAACTGTAGCCCGCCACCATGCAGGTGGTGGTAAACTCTTATCACACACCCACAGTAGTCATTTGCGTGCAGTTTTTTGACCTTGAGAAGTTAAGCTTTAAAGTGCATTCGTCCGAAAATGCTGTTCCTGGGTCAGTAAAACTGTTGATGGAGCCTTAAATCTCTGCCCGTAGCCATCTCCAGACCCTTTTGATGAAAGTTAAATTCAGATTGTGCAATCCAGACCTGGGCTAACAAGGTCTTTTGAATATTTTAAGAGGATTACTTCTTGGGAGGTTGAACAACCGCTTTGCAGGAGCTGAGCCTTCTTTCATAAAATGAAGCATTTGACTGGTTCTGCTCAGGCGGCATCTCATCAAGCATGTGGGCATGACTTGGTGAAATTTATTGGCTGCATCTACCCACTGTTTCCAGTCATACTAATTGCTAATCCCAGTGGCACTGCCTTCTCTGCCATGAGCCTCTGAAGGATTTATAACCTGGCATCATTCTCATAGCAATATCACTTGATCTCCTGCAGACACCTGGGGAATACCATCTGCTCCTGTTGATGTAAATGCTTATAGGACTATTCAAACTGCAATCTGAAAATCGTAGAGGTGGGCAGGGGTTGCTTCCAAAGCTCATACCAGGTTAATTTCTAAGAGAGCCTCTCCCCTAGATCTTGACTCCTTTAAAGAGACCATCGTGTTTTAGGCAGGCTGAAAATGAGCATGGCAAGTGGACCCCTTAGCCCAAGTGGACATCTCAGCCCACAAACAGCCACTAAGCAACCATGGGATATCACAAAAACATAGTTTTAAAGTTACAAGAAGAAGCCTGGTTTCCTGTAGACTGGCATGCTGTCCTCCCTGCATCCTTCTGTGGTACTGCACAGGAATCATAGAATTGGAAGGGCTTGAACCCACAACCCTGAAATTAAAAGTCTCATGCTCTACCAACAGCAGCTTGTTTTAGAATAATTGGTTTGCTGTGTTTTGAATAACTGGTGTTTGTCCAGGTTTTCATAACTATGGACAGTGGAAAACATAGACCTTTTGGGAAGCGAAGTGCTCAAACATAAAGTAGCAGCCGCGGGGAACCAGGTAGAGGGCCTTCTCATAGTGGCACCCGCCCTGTGGAACGCCCTCCCATCAGATGTCAAAGAAATAAACAACTATCTGACGTTTAGAAGACATCTGAATGCAGCCCTGTTTAGGGAAGTTTTTAATGCCTGATGTTTTAATGTATTTTTAATCTTTTATTGAAAGTTGCCCAGAGTGGCTGGGGAAACCCAGCCAGATGGGCGGGGTTTAAGTAATAAATTATGATTATGATTATTACCTGTGCAAATGCCTAGGTCTGTCCTCCATCCTTTGGTGGAACATGCTGATTCCTTTGTAAGTGGAAAAACAAGGTGGCCCTTATGATGCCCAAAGTAAATACGAAGTTTTAGGGTGAGTTCTGGGTTTAGAAAAAGTCATAGAATCCCAATTTGGTAGCTTTACCTAGCTGATTGAGATGTTCCCTCAGCGAATGAAGATTGGGCTTTATTCTCCAAGGGAATAAGCTGGCACTTGTTAAAAAGATTTAAGTTTTACTCCTTTCTGAGAATAGTATTAATGCTTAACAGGATTTCAGATTGAAGGATTATTATTTCCGCAAAGGAGATCATGTTGAGTGAGCATTCAGAAATACTGGTATATGCTTTGTTTCTCTGCATTTTAAGGAAATGGTTGTTCTTGAGAGTATAGCTCTAGAATAGGCTTGTATAACACACTTGCAGTGTAGCACTTATGTGTAGACATAGTTCAAAAGGTTCCTGCCTGAAAGCAGCTAGTCTGTGGAATATACTGAACTCAGTGGGTCTTTGAGCAGACATGCATAGGATTGCCCTGTAAGGCTATTAACACAAACCTAACCTAACGTTGTAGGACGTAACCTAACGTTGTAGGAGATTGCAGAGTTTAAAGGCTGCACAACAAAGGAATCCAACACAGTTGTGAAACAGCTGTGCAGTCCATTGCACAGCCATCTTTGGTAGTGCATGTAATTTTTCCTTGTGCAACGACGTCCTGCCAGTGCAGCAAATCTACCACTTAGCGACTTTCATTTAGCAGTAGATTTGATACAGCCTGAAGACTTGCAAGTGATAAAATCAGACTACTGTGAACTGTGCAAATGATATCGGTGCAAGTTTGCATCAATACTTTGCAGTTGTCATAATTCTGCAACCACAAGAAAGTTGGAAAGCCATGTGAGGGCACCCAAGCCCTGCCTTTCACTCTTTTCCCAGGAATAGTATAAATTTTATTCAGCATTCCCTCTGGCTCTGAGACTTCAGACATTGCCCACACATTCAAGAATATCTTGGCAACCATGAGACTGCTGCTTTCTTGCTAAAAACTGAAACTCCTAGGAAACAGTTGTGTGCTGCCGTGGTGTTCTGTGGGTTTTCCCCCTGTGCCTGCATGGACCTGCAGCAAACACACTACTAAGTCTATTCTCTAGTTTTTAGGTAATTACCAGTTTCACTCTCAAATTTGGAGCCTTACGCTGAAGTTCCATCATGGACACAAATTCTCCAAGTCATGTTGAACGCTGGTCAGCCCAGTGCACCATTTGTGGCATCCTAATACAGCCACAAATGATTTTTTTAAAAATTATACAGACTGTGATCAGATTCAGATGTTCCTCTGAGCACTTTCACCTCTGGGCTGTGGTTTGGCGAAATCACACGGCTAAATATTGCCCGCCAGGGTGTGGGGACTTTATACGGTCTGCCTTATACCATCTGCCCTTCCCAAGCAATTTTCTCATTTTAAACATTGCTGTTGCAGCATATAGTTTATTAGGCATATTCTAAACATAGATAACAAGGAATTGTGTTCCCCTTTCTCCCTTCTGTAAGAAATATATCAACCGATATTGCCCATCAAATGCCACTTTGTGCAGATTTTTTAAATATTGTATTTAGACCTCTGCTGTGTCTAATAGAGAATCAGTGTTCTGTGTTTGCAATAAGCACTCTAAAGGCATGTACAATTCAGCCACTCAACTGATCCAAGCCCCCCCCCAAAATGTTTTGATAAAATTTCTACCCAGCTAGCATGCATGTTTAAGTCATAGCTTTTAAAATCCCATGAGTTCCAGAATAGGACTTCCTAGCCTAAATTTGCATTCACCTCTATCCCAAAACTTTCAGAGCACAGTCTTTTTTAAAAAAATGTAAATAATATGCAATCTGATCCATTTAGAGTAACATCTCTCCAATTTAATCTTAGCCAACAAATGACAACCTAAATTGCAAGGCTTTAAATATTCTATCAGTTTTTTTAAAAAAAACTTCTGAGGGGGAAGAGAAAAGAATTCCACAGCTGTGGGAGACCAGCAAAAAAACACAGGACTATTCTAAACTTAATGTAATCAGTTATCAATAGTTAACAAAGTTATGCACGAATAGTTAACTGTAAATGTCAGGAATACTGGGATCCAGCAACCTTTGGTTTTCATTTAGCATCCTAAGGGCAACTCACTACCGTTGCAAATTTCGTTTACAATAAAACTCAAAACAAGTGTAATACAGCTTAATTTTTCAAAACATGAGTTGTGGTTATGATGCAAGGCAGCGAATGCCTTATCCCTAAATTGGAGGGATCCTTTTGTGTGTAGAGAATCTTGCTGGGCTGGAGAGGAAGGATTTTATCAGGCGATAATGCATAAAATGCAAGCTGCCTACTACATAAGTGTGGTGTTGACTTCATGTAATACTTAATCATGAAAAATGATAAATGGTTGGTTTATTGATAACTGACTGTCTCCCTCTCACCCCCCCCCCCAAAAAAACCTGGATGATTTCAACAAGAAGCTAATTTTGCATCCTCAAAGATCCTCCTCCTTATTCTGTACTAAAAATGTAGCTGCTTTGTAATTCACCTTTAGGGTTTTAGGCATCATGTCTGGTCTAAGTCGAGAATGAAACTGCCATTTCTTAGCAATTCCAGAGGTTGGCACAGGTAGCTGTGCTCTTTGGTGTTTGTTCCAGCGGTTAAATCTCAGGTGGGTGGCAGTGTGAGCAGGATGTTACTGCTGGAACACCTTATGACTAGAGCTTCAAAGGAGACAAGGTTCTCTGGTCTGGCTCCCACCCTGTTCTGCATTATGCTGGAATTTGGAGACTTGCAAAACATAACTGCGTTTTCCTCCTACATCCCTGTGCCATTTATTTTGGAGATTTTTTTTTAGATGGGAAAGCAGTGTAGTGACAGGTTATGCTTTGGGTGTGGCTGTCCCCCCCCTTCCAAAATAGTTTTTTTATATTATTATTAAGGCAGGGGGGTGCTGACTTTAACCTTAGCACTGTTTAAACGTCAGGCTCTGTTACCACTACCCCTTAAGTGTGCATGCACCTCCCAACGCGTAGCTCAGAATCTTTCTTTTATTTGAAGGTTACCCATAGCGGTAAACAATGCAGAGACTGTGAGGGCTCACGGCAGCCAAGTTTAAAGCAAACAGACGATGCTAGCAGAATTGTGAAGCTTTGCATTTTGCTGCTTCCAGGGCTTGCGCCAGCAGCTGGAAACGTTCCAGGACGAAAGGGTTTTTTTGGGGTTGTGGGTGGGGAGGCGGGGCCAGGGGAGCTGGAGAGCACCAAGCCAACAGTGTGATCTCTCTCTCTCTCACTCTCTCTCTCACACACACACACAATCACTCTCTGCTGCTGTGCTGCTGCCTCTGCTGCTCTGCTTTAGCTGAGGGGGATGGCTGCTGCCTCCAGCCACCTCCCCGCTCTAAGCTGAGCTACAGCTCCCTGTTTAACTGTGTCCGCTGGCCTCGCCTCTTCTCCCCTCCTGCATGCTGCCTCGGCTCCCATGGGCAGGCTCGCTCTCCACCTCTATCATGTAAGCGAAGATGTGGCTATATTGCATGGCCCAGTGACGTCTCTGGCAGAACGGTAAGCATCAGCAGAGCCTGATCACATGCCGGCCCAGTCACTAGTGCCGGCGGGATAGGAGGGTGGACGTGGGTCTGGGCGCAGGCCATCTGGTGCTCTGCTCCTCTCCTCCCCGCCACCCCTCCATGTCATCACTATCTGTAGAAATAATAGCTGCTGAATATCGTGAGATCTGGTTTGGGCTTCTCCCTCTGCAAAACTCCTAAACTCCCGAGCTCGTGCGTGAGTGTATTTTTATTTGTGTGTATTTTTCTTTCTTTCTTCCCCCTGTCTGAGCAGACTTCCAGGACTCCAAGGGAGTGGCAGCAAGCAGAATGCTCTTCCCACCTTCTGTGCAGGAAGGTCCGCGTGGTCTCCCAGACACCACTGACCTGTGCCTTGGGCTGCAGTCTCTCAGCCAGCCAGGGTGGGACAGGCCATGGAGCTCCCAGGATTCGGATGCTGCAGCCCAGCCTAGCCTGCAGTCTGGTGAGTGACTCTGCTGACGCACAGCAACAGTTGCCGGATTGCCTTTTTTTGCAGCTTTGTCACCAAGAGATGTTCCTGGCATAACGGCAGGTTCTGATTATTCCCGACAGCTTCTTTCTTAACATTATTGTTGTTATTGCTTTACTAAGGCACCCATTCCCTCAAGAGTAATGTTGGGGCGCTAAGTGAGACCTTTTGGGGAAGGGAAACTGTAGCTGCCCCCCTCCCCAATTAATAGAGAGCGATAAGTGTCTTAACCTGATACTGCATTGAGATTGCAATGGTAAATATTGGGCGGGGGCAGTAGTAGTGTTTTCTGCGATGCTCCTGTAGAGCCAGCTGGTTGGAGGACTAAAGTTGTGCTCCCCAAAGTGGCTTCGAATCGTGGGCTGTTGTAATATTTTAGGCTGTTGCAACGTGGGTAGGTGATGATGGCAAGGAGTTTAATTGTATTTATTTAGACTGTTGTTGTTTTTTACTGTGCTTTTCAACCCACCAGAAGTTCCCACAGCAATTGAAGCTGCCCCCTGCAGGGGGTGTAGAAACAAAGGAAAGGAGCCTCATTCAGACTCATTAGCAGATGCCCAAATCTTGACTCTAGGCAGTGGGTGGTAGCTCTTCCTGGGTCAAGGGCCTGTGAGAGATGCCTCTATCCCTATTGTGAGATTACTGATCTGTATCTACCAGGTTAGGATAGTATCTCTGGTTGGATGTGATTGCACTAAACTCTCACATTCCATTATCCTTTTGAAGTTTTCCTTCATGGGGGAGCCAAGCATTTGCACCTGTTTCTTCGAGTGTTGTCCTCTCCTACTGCAGAGTTTCTGTGATTTGCCAGCCTGTGATGAGTCAGGAAGATGAAACTTTGGAGAAGCCAAGCTAAGTAAAAGAAACCCAAAATAGTCTAGTCACTGCCCTCTGAAAACTATTCTGCTTTTGCTCAGCTGGGCTTCTCAAAGTTTACAATGATACTCAGTACAGTTCTTTGAGAATGTGTGTTGTATTGGCTTTTGCAGAAGAAACCAAAACATATTTTTATCCTGCTAAAGCCTTAGAAACTACCACTGGCTTTGACGGGTGGCAGGACAAATCAGTGTGATGTTTCGGCAGTATTTTTGCTGGTCCTGTCAGGCTTTTGTAAATGCTTTTGGCATCAGCATCTTAAATAGCTTCTGAGCGGTTCTGCAAACTTCTAGCAAGAATGGCTTAAGCAAAGGCTTGTATGCCTCTCCTGCTCACGTAATGGGGGTGGGTGGGGAACAGGTGGGTGTTCCCAGGAAGTGGGACGGGTGGGCTTGAAACCACATGCAGAAGGCCCATTTATGTTATTAGTCTCAAATGCAAAAGTTGCCTGTCAGAGAAGTACTTTAGTTCCTTCACCATTTTCATTTTGGGCTGTGCTCATTTTGGCAACAGATGTGTTGCATTAATACAACTAGCTTCTGTAGGGAAACTAATGCAGGGCTGCATTAGTGGAAGATGTTGGTTGCTCAGAGGACATCTGCGCTACCAAACTGATTCCCAAAGAGCCCTGTAAATGCAGCCATTAACTCTGCTGGGCATATATTGTGCTTTTAACGGGCTTGCTTGTATTGCAATAGAATAATGGCCGCAGTGGGCTGGGGCAAGAGCTTGGTGCAGACATCTTAAGGTGGGGCAGTATTGGCACTTGCTCAACTGTAGCCGTCTGTAAAAATTGTGTGTGCCACTTTGACAATCTCTGCAGGGGAGGTGGGGACTGTGGTGATTAAGGAAATGAAGTGGTCTGCTGGATGTACCCAATGTCCCATTAAAAGTGCATATAATGCAAGTCGGGGAGGCAATGTGTGAAGGGGTAACGTATCAGTAAGGATTTCCAGACAGTGTGCATGTGATCATGAAGGCCTCAAAGAGGCCCAGCATTAACCAGACATGCCTAGGCAACTACCTGAACAAAGCGTGCTCCGTAACTTACTTCTGTACTGTAGACCTGCTGCACTAGACTCCATTGTATTGCAGCAATATATGACTCCAGTACTTCTTAACTGCACTGCAACCAGCTGTAAGATACTGCTGCAAAAATAACTTCCCTCGGATGGGAGCCCCGACAAGCAAAGCAAACCCCGCTTGAGTATCTTTACAGTGATGCAAAACTTGCTCAAATTCTGCCCGTGGCAGAAGTCTGCTCTGATACCCACAGTTTGCCCTGACCACAAAAGTTAAGATTTCACCAACCTAGATAACTGTTTCCATTGACTATGAGCGTGCAATTTAGAGGCATTCTTGCAATGCAGAACGATCCCATTGGCATTGGGAGCATATTTATGAGACATAGGGCAGAAATAGCATTGCATATGGGCCCAAGCGCCAGTTCAATCTGGGCATCATGTGTTGTACATGTGGGCACAGTAAATTAACTGTTCATTGATCCCTGAAGTGTACAGCCCAGCTTTGTGACTCCTTCTCTACTCCCATCCCTAAGACCAGGAGATGTTCTGCATAGGTCTGTGTTAGGAGTGCTACCAATGAGCTATGTATATAACCTGTTAAATAAATCCATTAAGTTAACCAGTGTCACTGTAGAGCCTCAATTTGTAGCTAAGGTTCAACAGACAATATGCATAGCAAGAGATTTTCAGACCATACCCAATGTGAGAAAAGTCATATTAGAAATAGGACGAGTGGCAACACCCACACATCTATTAACCCACCTTGTTAAAGTAGAGGGCAGGGATTGTATAACATTCAGGGTGTTCCATCCTGTGTGTGTGTAAGCACTTATTTTTCTTAAAAAAAACAGCCAGCCCCACATTTCATCCTACAATAAGCAATAATTACATAAACATTCCATAATAAAAAGGGGGGAAATTGAAATCTACATAGAGTTGGTAAAGCATGAGACTCTTAATCTCTGTGTTGTGGGTTCGAGTCCCATGTTGGGTGAGAGATTCCTGCACTGCAGGGGGCTGGACTAGAATTCAGTGTTCCCCAACCTTGGGCCTCCAGCTGTTTTTGGACTACAATTCCCATCATCCTTGACCACTGGTCTTGCTAGCGAGGGATGATGGGAGTTGTAGTCTAAAAACAGCTGGAGGCCCAAGGTTGGGGAACACTGGACTAGATGATCCTCGTTGTGCCTTCCAACTCTACAATTCTGTGATTCTGTAAAATAAAACATTAACGGATAAAGAAGGGCATTGGATATTTTGAGAATCTTTCAGCAAAAGGGGACAGGTACTCTGGTGCAAAGCCTGACAGCAGGCCCAAGTTGGCAATATTGTGTGCCTTGTGGTGCATGCAGCTACATTAACTCCTCTGCAAAAACTGAACTATGGGTGTGTTGTCGTCTCGTGGTCTTAAGTCAGCTCTGAATCACATACCACTTTGATTCTCAATCCAAGCACAGAATTGTGCTTGAGCTGGGTGGCCTTCCCACCACCACCTTCAGCAAAAAAAAGTGTTGGCAGTGGCTGAACAGCAAGGAAGCAGCAGTGGGTGTCTGCGTTCCCATGCAAAACTCTGCCATTGCATGTTCACTGTTCTAGCCTCCCTTGCCCCTTACTGTTTCTTCTGCTTTGCAATGACACTGCAGAGCCAGAGGAACAGCAGACGAGAGCTGATTTTGCCTATGTATGGAAAAGCCTGTTTTGGAGAAGGAGTTCAAAATTTAAAACTGTGAAACATAGGAAGCGACTTTATACTGAGTCATACTGTTGGTCCACGCGGTTTAGTATTCTCTGCATGGGCTGGCATTGGTTCTCCAGGGTTCCAGACAGGTTTTTAAAAAGCAAGTAGCAATGTAGATGGCCTTCCCAAGTGCATCATTCAGCAAAGGAAGAAATCTCCTTCAGTTGACTGCTTTAGTAAGCGAAGACTGGATGCTTTGTCGAGAGTCAGATTTCCAGCAGGCAAATTTCCTTCGCCATGTCTTGGTGCAGCAGCTGGCATCTTGGCAAAGTGCTGGACACCAGGACTGCAGCATTGCCCAGATTTGTCTCAAGGCCCCAGCCTGTAGGTTGGGAGGGACAAGCCCTGCCAAGTACCAGGCTTTTCTGTTGGTTCTGAGCAGTTTAGAAGCTTCTATAATGACTCAGCTGTACAAATCTACAGGGAGCTGGCTGAAAGTGCAAAAAGTTCGCAATCATGCTAAAAATACTATTGCTGATCTGCACTCTTGAAGTGCCAGTGTTTGACTACTGATGAGTTCTGTATCCAAGCATTTACTTACTGCTGTGATTCCTTTAAATCGGCTTGCAGCTCCTCTGTGACTCGCTCTCACCATCCAGAGTGGTAAAGGCTGTGTGATCTGTAGCTTTATTATGCATTGCTTACAGCGGTGCTGCTTTCATTGAAGTATATAGTCCACAGCCTTCTATTTCACCAGGTATAGAAAGTGATTCCTCTGTTGCAGATTTGTCAGCTGGGCTTTGTGACCACCTTTCTCTGGTATATTTAGTTGCAGGGAATGGCACATAGTAAAGGGACGTCTGACCGTTAAGTCCAGTCGCGGACGACTCTGGGGTTGTGGCGCTCATCTCGCTTTACTGTCCGCAGACAGCATCCAGGTCATGTGGCCAGCATGACTAAGCCGCTTCTGGCAAACCAGAGCAGCGCACGGAAACGCTGTTTACCTTCCCGTCGGAGCGGTACCTATTTATCAACTTGCACTAGCATGCTTTCGAACTGCTAGGTTGGCAGGAGCAGGGACCAAGCAACGGGAGCTCATCCCATCATGGGGATTCGAACCACCGACCTTCTGATCGGCAAGCCCTAGGCTCTGTGGTTTAGACCACAGCGCCACCCACGTCCTGGAACTGTACTGAACTGTGCTGGAAGCCTATGGTTTAAATCAGTGTTTTCCTAACTTTGGTCTCTAGCTGTTTTTGGACTGCAATTCCCATCATCCCTGACCACTGGTCTTGCTAGCTAGGGCTGATGGGAGTTGTAGTCCAAAAACAGCTGGAGACCCAAGTTTGGGAAACACTGGTTTAAGCAGTTAATGTAGTTGTGACATATTGGTTGTTGTGAAGAGGCCATGGCTGTAGAGTGTCAAGTACTACCGCCTCTTGGGAGCTAGGGTAGGGACCGCTAGGACTTGGCGAATGGTTGAAAGTTTGATAGGAGATGAAGCAACTTGCCCAGCCAATCCTCCAGAGTTTGACTGAAGTGGTCTGAGAGCAAATCCTCAAGAGGTTGCAGACATTTGCATTGCAGTTAAGACAAGATAGCAAGGAAGAAAGGCAGCAATGAACCAGAACACAGTAGGAAAGGGAGGCAAGTTACTGAGCCAACAGTTGGGTTAACTGCCGCAGCCCCTGGCGACTGTCCGGAGCCTTAGCTCACTGGTGTAGAGCACATGCATTGCATGTAGAAGTTTCCTAGGTTCAATCCCTGGCATACCCAGTTAGAGTTGGGAAAGAAGTCCTGTCTATAACTTTACCGGGCCATTGCCAAGTTACTAGCAGATAATACTGACCTAGGGGGATAAATGGTCTGGCTCAGGTAAGAGCTACTACATTCAATGTAGTATCATACCAGTCATGGTCCCCCCCCCCCCCAAAAAAGAAACATGGGCACTGTAGGGTCTCGTAACAGCTCTGGGCAGTTCCCAGGATTCTTTGGGGGAAGCCATGACTGTACCAGAGGTATATGAGTGCTTTAAATGTATAGCATGGATGTGACATTGGCATAAGACAAATTCTGCCAGAATAGGAATGGGCAGCTGGGTATACAGAAGATCCGGCCGCCCAGTTTTGGGAGAGGGATGCTGACACCATCCCCTCTTACTCTAGTATACTAAGAATATTTCCTAATTTGGCAACTTGTATTCTACTTGCTGTTCATTTCTGAGCTGAAGGATACCTTATTGGTATGGCAACAGTCGTCCACAACTTCTCCAATTTCCCTGCATTCTGCATCATGGTAATGCAATGTCTGCAGCCACATCGTGTGTAAAGGTCACAAAAACGCACAATTTCAGTTGGAGCAACAATGGGAGAAAGAGGTTCAAACCCAGAAATAGCAAACGGTCTGCCTATAACGAGTAATACAATTTCTCAGTGTCGTTGTGAATGGGAATCTTGTTGAAAGAAGTACTCCAGCCTTGTAATGCTTTAGCATAACAGCATCACTAGAAGTGCCAGGTACCTCCTTTAGATTGCTGCAGCACCTACCATTTTAAAATTATTTTTATTTATGGGTGGTTACTAGGTCTCGGAATTGGGTTGTTTACCTGCCCTGGGTGACAGTTTGGTGGGTTCAGACCCAAATCCATTGCTGTCACTAGAACCCCTGGTGACCATTTGTGGCTCATTAGCAGCTTCGCTTGGCGCACCAACTACAACTGTTCCTGGACAGGGAAGTAAGGATAACCTTGTGACTAGATTACTGTAATATGTTGTAGGTGAGCATATAATCTTTGCAGTTTATCCAGAAGCTACAAGTTGCTGAACTGTAACAAACCCAGCATCTCTTTGGTTTTGCCAGTTTATGAGAAGCAGGCAAAAAACAATAAAAACAGAAACAATCAATGGTACAGTAAAATAATTGGTGTAGTTCCAAACATAGACCTTCTTATGCGGCCTAGGACCCTCATGCTTATGGGACCGCTTCTCCTGGTATGTCCTGCAGAGGACCCTAAGGTCCATGAATAATAATAGCTTAAAGGTCCCAGGCCCTAAGGAAGCCAGACTATCCTCCACCAGAGCCAGGGCTTTTTCAGTGATGGCTCCGACCTGGTGGAATGCTCTGTCCCACAAGACTAGGGCCCTTCAGGACTTGATCTCCTTCCGCAGGTTCTGTAAGACAGAGCTATTCTGCCTGGCCTTCAATTTGAATTAGCCTGATCCTCTATTCCCTTTCCCCTTTACTCTTCTATGAAGAAACCCTTTCTGGGATCCCACATTTAAATTCTTCCCTGGTCTCCTTGCTGGCCCTAGTAGGACCAACTTGGCCAGTTAGCTCTGGTGATAGTTCGATGTCTACTGACTGGGTCCCCCCCCCCCCCAAAAAAAATGAGCCCTGAATTTTTGAATTTTATTGATATTGATGCTGCATTTTATGTTGTATTCTATGCTGTTTTATGCTGTTTTTAAGTCACATTTTAATCAGTGTTTTATATTTGCTGTTAGCCGCCCTGAGCCCAGTTTTTAAACCGGGAAGGGTGGGATATAAATTATTATTATTATTATTATTATTATTATTCCCGCCCCCACGCACTTTAGAAGATGGAGGAATCTGAAATAAGTAAGAAGCAAGAGGAGTTGGAGGTTGTGTTGTGCAAAAACCTTGGCCACCATGTTGCAGGAGGGATAAAAGGGATGTGCTATCATCACTTGTATTTCTGCCTTTGACATGGATCCAAACAATTTGCAGCAGCGTGGATTAGGGTGGTAACAATATTATGTTTCTCTGTACTTTTTCCACTCCCAAGTCCTTTGAGGCCCAGTCAAGAGGTCAGAAACAGGTCCACTTAACTATGCCAACAAAAGGAAAGCCACAGCGAAGAAGGCATCAAATCCTCTTGTGACAACGACAGCGCCCTCCAAGAGGCCAGAGTGCATCTTGCTCTTGCATTTGAGAATTCTGTGCACGCGCTCTCTTTTTAGCCTATCACAAAAAATAAAAGAACACACCAAAACAGGAATTTGTTTCAAAATGGGAGGTCTTCAAAGTTTATTTGCAAAATAATTACAGCAGTTTAAACTCTGTCTCAGCATTTGAATAATTTCAGTAGTAGCTTTAAGAAAGATACGAGATCTAAGATAAATTAAGAATTAGTCAATCTATGATAAAAGTGTGTACTGGCAACAAGTAACATAATTGAAACAGGGAATAGATGGGAGGTCGGGTCTACAGTCCAAAGACCATTTTTTGCTTTATAATCTTGTAATTAATACTGTGTTTATCTCTCTTTTCATTTGTATTTTTGTTTTTTGTCTTTTGGTATATCAAAAAAAACAACACCATTCTGGGGTACTAAATATATGAACATATTGTCTTTAACGTTTTGTTCATCAGTCTAAAATACAATATTTCATAATAATAATATTTAATATTTAAAATCGCCAGTTTGTAAGTGGTGGTGGTGGGGGAAGCCCCACCATCTTTTCCTGTTCCCCACTCCCAGGTTTTCTCTTCTCTAAATATAAACAGGGTCATATAAGGCATTGTCAATGGTACCACAGTCTGGCTGTGTCTTGACAAACATCTGCACCCTTTTGCAGGCTAGATTGGAATATGATGTTTGCTTTCTCTGCTGCTGTATCGGAAATTGGAATTATAAGCAATATGTAACTGGTAGGAACAGTTTTTGACCCCAAGTCAGGGTATATCCATTATCTCTAAAGGCTTGTCATGTTTTGCTTATTTTCTGGTATTTCAACACTGAAGCAGAATATAGGGAATCGTTTTGTCATGGCCAAACTAAACTATTGCTAGGTATGTAGCTGAATGGACTGTTCCACTTCTGGGGAGTCTAGTTTTGAACGCCCCTCCATGTTAACTCGTGGCAAAAGCAAAGTTTAATATAGCAGGGAAACACTTGTTGTTTTCTGTGCTTTCTTTTTATTATCAGGATTTATTTTTTTAAAGTGATACAACCCCCACCCTACCATTCTGCCACTTCCTACAAGTACAACCAATGCCTTAATTACTTTTGTCCAATGGGAACTTGAACCCTAAGGCTGGATTCAATAATAGCTTTATGGTGAATATGAGCCTGCTTTCAACCTTAGCTAACTTGCTTTCTTGTACTTAAAACCTTAAGTCCTTTTTTCAAAAACAAAAAACAAAAAAAATTTCATCCTGTTGGTACATAGCAACAGGTCATGAAGATTCCCCCCCCCCCCCCTTAAATCTGCTGCCTGTATCCTTGAATGCAATTTGGCTTCTCTGATATGGAAGAATGGTATGCTTACCCTTGTAATTAAACCTGCTAATGTGCAATTCATTCAAGATCTGATTTTCAGGCAGAGCATAATTCAGTCAAAAAGCAAGTTCCTGGTCTTAATTTGCAAGATATATTAGCAGCGTGCAATTAGCATTTGCGGAATTTTCTTTGTTTTTTCAGCAGTAGGCAGAAAAATTTTCACAGGATGGATTTATTGTGGCTCAGTACAGAGATGTGCCCTTTCCCCCCATATCAGTAATGCTGCTTACAATAGAAAGTTTAGGTTGTACATAAAACTCGAATACTGTGTTTGAAACTTGGAGTGTGTTGTCCAAGCTGCCTTTGAATTGACTAACTTGGTGCTAAATAGGGATTTCCTGGCCTAAGATATGAAATGTTGGTGTGGAGTGCGAATCGCTGTGTACAGTTAACTTCTCTAGGGTTGCCAATACAGTTAGTCCTATCTTTTAACACTCCGTATGGAATGTTGTAATGATAGTACTTTTAGTAGTAATCATGTGTAATGAAGGAGAGGATAAAAACATTCAGAGCCCCTTCAGATAATCCCTGTTTACTCTGCATTCATGATTATTTGTGCTCATGATGCTACTGAGGTGGTCATAATATGATCTTGTTTTCAGTACCGTTTGTATCTGGAAAAGTTTCTGGGGTGGTAACAATTGCTTCGAAGGGACCCGGGTGGCTCTGTGGTCTAAACCACTGAGCCTCTTGGCCTTGCCAATCAGAAGGTCAGCGGTTCGAATCCCCGCAACAGAGTGAGCTCCTGTTGCTCGGTCTTGCCAACCTAGCAGTTCGAAAGCACGCCAAAAAGTGGAAGTAGATAAATAGGTACTGCTCCGGCAGGAAGGTAAACAGCGTTTCTGTGCGCTGCTCTGGTTTCGGTGTTCCATTGCACCGGATGACCTGAAAAAACTGACTGCGGACAAACACCGGCTCCCTCGCCTGTAAAGCGAGACGAGCGCCGCAACCCCAGAGTCATCTGCGACTGGACCTAACTGTCAGGGGTCCTTTACCTTTCAACAACTGCTTCACTTCCAGTCGGGGCATATTGTGTAACTTGATGCTGAAATCCCATAACTTTCCATAACACAAATGTTTGCAGAATTTCGGGACTGCTTTTGTTATGCCCCTGTGACAGTTTTAGAGAACAACCAATAAAGTAAGATCTGGAAACAGTCCAGTATAAATTCACCACTAATGCACTATTATTTGTGTCGGGAATGTGGCTGGATCTGCGCCATACATTTAAAGCGCTCCTACGACACTTCAACAGTCATGGCTCTGCCCTCCCCAAAATAATCCTGGGAACTGTAGTTTAAGGGTGCTGAGAGTTGTTAGGAGACACCTCAGGTCCCAGCATCCTTAAACTACAGTTCCCGATGTTCTTTGGGGGAAGCCATGGCTGTTAAAATTATTACAAGTGCTTCAAATGTGTGCTGTGGTTGTGATCCATGTTGTGGAATACACCTGGTGAGGAAAGCCCCCACAACAGCCTGGAAGGCCCATCGTAGCCTCATGCTGTATGAACTAGGAGCTCTTCTCTCTGACTTCCCATTCAGTTTCCTCCCCACATGTTGCTGGATTTGTACAGATGTGTACATCTGCACATTCCAAGTCGCTCTTCCTAGTTAAGAATATAACAAGAGCCTCCTGGATCAGGTCAGAGGCCCATCTATTCTAGCATCCTATCCTCACAGTGACCAGCCAGATGCCTGTGGAAAGCCTGCAAGCTGGAGATGAACACAACAGCTGGCATTCAGGGACACAATACCTCTTGACAGTGGATGCAGAATCTAGTCGTTGTGGTTAGTAGCTATTGAATTTGCTTTTTGTTTGTAAAAGCGTCGAATGTAGGGAAATTGTTGTTGTTGTTAGGGACGCAGGTGGCGCTGTGGTCTAAACCGCTGAGCCTAGGACTTGCTGATCAGAAGGTCGGCGGTTCGAATCCCCGTGATGGGGTGAGCGCCCGTTGCTCGGTCCCTGCTCCTGCCAACCTAGCAGTTCAAAAGCACATCAAAGTGCAAGTAGATAAATAGGTACCACTCCAGCGGGAAGGTAAACGGCGTTTCCGTGCGCTGCTCTGGTTCGCCAAAAGCGGCTTAGTCATGCTGGCCACATGACCCGGAAGCTCCCTCGGCCAGTAAAGTGAGATGAGCGCCACAACCCCAGAGTCGTCCGCGACTGAACCTAACAGTCAGGGGTCCCTTTACCTTTATTATTGTTATTGTTATTACTATTATTATTTATTTTTAAAAATTGTATACCATCCTTCACCTGCAGATCCAGGGCGGTTCACAACATAAAGTTACAATATAAAAAACCCCAAATGCATAGTAAAAATAAGAACAACAAACCAATAATCTCTCTCCCACAACACATTTAAAAGGGCATTGGATTTGGTCAATACAGCACATTGTTCCCTGTGACAAGGGAGCTCCGTGTAGACATTTGTTTAAAATTATTTTGTTGGCTGTTCTTCATTGCCACAGGCAATCCCAGAGCTGGGTGCAGAACTTGAAGCGAAACAACAAACACAGCCAGCAATACATAATCAACCCTTTTAAACCACCAGGAGGCTTTCTGTAGTACTAAAACAGCAAAGGCTCAGCATTAATGTTTAGCATCCAGCTGCACGCAGAACTGCTGTCAGCTGGCGTCCAAAATGCATGCAGATAACCGCCAGATCTCTTTGCAAGGAGGGAGTCCTTTAATTGGGGTGCCACCACCAAGAAGGCCCCAATGTTCCCAAGCAACTTTTTTTTAAAATGGAATGCTTCACAAATTTGCACGTCATCCTTGGAGTAAGCTCTGGAGTAAGCCCCATTTGAAGTCTGTGGGGCTTATTTCTGCAGAGACCTTTTTACAGAGGACGGGGGTGTTGGTGTAAAATGTTTTCCCATGTCTGCATTTCCTAAGCTTCCCACCCCACCTATGTAAGGCCTGGGTAGTCTTTTTTTATTCACCCTTGGGCTGTGTACACATTCCTGTTTCCTCTGTGACCAGTGTGCTCCTGCTTCTGCTTTGACATTTGCCACAATCCATATCTGTTCTGTATCTATCTATCTCATCGTCTCCTATGGAATACTGCATTTTGGTGCGTTTCCTCCCAAAACAGCTTCAATCCAAACTGAGAGAAATAATTACTTTTGTTGTGATTCTACCTCTGCAATGTTTATACAGCCCTAGCTGCTTTTACAATGGGTCCCATGGAACTGCCCCTCCCTTTTTATATTATTTCCTTGCTCAGAAGTATTCTTGCATATTTTTGCTAGATGCTCTTATGAGAGGCGTGGGAATACAAGTGTTAACAGCGGTGAGACTTTCTAATCGTATGCTGTCTTCTTTGACAGGATAGAGAGCCAGTATGCTGTCTGGCCTCTGAATCCGTGGAGTCAATTTACTCCTAGAAAGAGGAGTCCTTCTCAGTGCTTATTGATCTGGTATAGAAAAGAAAAAGTTCCACCAGATTATTCCATAGAGAGGGTCTCTCCAGTGCTTAATAGAACAGCTGAGTCACAAGTGATGATGCATGGGCTATTGCCAGCTTGGGAGTGGCAGTTCTTGGACAGAGCAACAGAATTACAGTACAGGAAGATTTGCTTAATTCTTCTCCTTTGGCGATGCCATTCTGGAATGAGCTGTGCTGGATTTAAGACCACCTAAGGCAGCCCTCTTTCTCCTTCCGCCAGAGACTCTATTTGACCATTCCTTTGTGTTTCTCTTCAAGCTTATTTTGCAGATAGCATTCACAAAATCATGTGCAGTTCAGTCTCTGACTCCTTGCTGAGTTCTTTGGTGTTGCTTCTGAACCTTAAATTCATCAGTCCTCCTAGGTACAGTGGTACCTTGGTTCTCAACGCCTTGGTACTCAAACAACTTGGAACCCAAACACTGCAAGCCCAGAAGTGTTCAGTTTGCGAACCTTTTTCAAAAGCCGAACGTGCTCCGTTTTGAGTGTTACACTTCTGATTTGAGTGCCACATTTCTGTTTTCAGTGTTACGCTGAGGTCTGTCTGTTTTTCCTATTTTGTGTTTTTGTAACTGTGTAGCACCCAGTTCAGCTACTGATTGATTGATTGATTGATTGATTGTGTGACTGCAGTACATTGTTTATTGGTTTCATTTTATGGATCAGTAGTCTCGTTAGATAGTAAAATTCACGTTAAACTGCTGTTTTAGGGGTTGTTTTTAAAAGTCTGGAACAGATTCATCCATTTTGCATTACTTTCTATGGGAAAGTGCACCTTGGTTTTGGAATGGACTTCCGGAATGGATTAAGTTTGAGAACCAAGGTACCACTTCATGAATATTAACTTTCCTAGGCCACTGTCTAGGGGACAGAAGTTTGAAAAATTGTCATTGTGTGTTGTGCTGTATGTGGCAAGCACATGAACATACCAAGACACAGCCATCTCAGTAAATTGTATCTTCCTTTATCAGTCGTTTGGGTCCCATTGTAGTCAGTTGCCACTAACCAAGAGTGTGGTACACTCTTGAGAGTGCTGTCTGCTTCACAGTTTTGTTCTCAGGCTGGCAATAAGAGGCAGAACATTGTCTCACTAAGATTGAGCTGTCAGGTCTTTGCCATTAAAGCATTACATTGATTAAGCTGCGCCACTGGCTCAAGCCAGTTTCCTTGCTTCCATTCCATTTGGCCATGTATGTTGCTAAAAGATAAAAGGATCCAGTTGAGAAAGTCTTAACATGTCTTTGGGAGAAGCTTTAATTCAGTCCTGTACTGGGGTTCCATGCAAATTGTGTATTCCCTCTCCTATTTACTTGAATGGAGAAACATGTTCCTTCTCTGTCCTTACGTCTGCCCCATAGTGAATATTTGCTAATTGGCTGTTATATGTGGAAGTTTCACAGGAGTGTAGGTCCGCAGGTGCTTTAAAATACACCATTTTTTAACAGTTGCATGTCACCTTTCAGTCCATTAAGCTCTCAAGTCCGCTTGCATCATTTTTAAACAATTCTAAAGCAATGGTTTTTAAAACCTGCATATATTAAAACCCAATTTTAAAAACTGTTTTATATGTTTTATTTATATATTTAAAACAACAATAATGCATATATAAAACCAATTCAGATGCAATGCAGATACCAACTGGAAATAGGAAATAAAAGCTAGAAATAAATACGCATACTTTCTTCTGAATTAGGGGAAATAAAACAATGGATCTCTCCCATTAGGGAAAAAGAATAAGAAATAATTTATTTGGAGCAATGCTGTGTAATCTACTTATAAATAACCTGGAGTTAGGTGAACCCTAATGTAATTTGCCAACTTGACTACTACAGACTATTCAATATAGTGAAACTACAGATTGAAGAGCTCCAGAACCTGGGCAAGTAGGCAATGGAATTGCAGAACTGGTGTGAGCACATGCAAAACCAAAAATCATATACCATAATTGCCTGAATATAAGCCACACTCCCCCCCCCCCCCCAAATCCAATTGTGAAAAGTCAAGTGCGGCTTATATTTGCGACTTTATGCCGCTGGCAGAGCGGCGCAGCTCCCCCCCTCCTCCCGGAAGCAGTGTGGGGCAATGGGGGGGACGCTGGCAAAGCAACATGGCTCCTCCCCCCCCCAGCAGCCCGGGAGTGTGGGGCAACGACACCCATCCCATCCCAAGCCTCCCCCAATCCGCCGAATTTTAAAGGTGCGGCTTATTTGCAGGTGCAGCTTATATTCGGCCCATACAGTAAATGCTGGTGGGGTTCTGATTTTGAAGTAGTTACACAGAAAAGGGAACTTGAGTTTTGTGGAGAGCAAACGGAAAAGTTTGTCTCAATGTACTGTTGGCTGTGAAAAGGGCAAATCTAGTGTTAAGGAATTAGTAGGAAAAATATGAACAAAACTATAAGCTTATTAGTGCTATCCCAAATCCTTGGGTGCAGCTACATTGAAAATATTGTGCAAATGTTCTAACAGCACCATCTCAAAGGAGATGGAGCTTGAAAACACATAGAAAATGGCAGCTGAAAAGTCATCAAGGGATTGGTACACCTTAACACTGAGATGCTAAAGCATTTGGGACTTGTTAAACTAGGAAAATAAATAACTGAAGAAAGGGCATGATAGAGGCTTTCAAAATTATTAGCTGCAAGGGGAATAAAGGAGGTAATTTCTTGGTCAGCTGAGGAATGGAGCCTTGCAGGATATGTGGTTAACTCATCTTCTAGAAGGCAGGGTTAAAACAAGAAGGTGTTTACTGTGAACATCAGGAAAGGAAGGGAATCTTCCTACCCATTCCCAGTCTTCACTGCTTCCAATAGAAGAGCTGGGTTAATGGTTCCTGGTCCTTTTGGGGCATGTTGGAGGATGTTGAGGCAGGAATTGTTAGTTAGTATTATTTTGTAATTTATTGGTTGTTTTCTCTTTTTTAAACCCTCAAAAGCAGATAAGCTAAAAAGATAGAACAATTTTTTAAAAAAATTAAATTTTGAAAAAACTAAAATCGGCAATAAACTAAAATACACACCTCTTATTCAGTGATTGGACAACTAGGCAGTGTGTGTGTGTGTGTGTGTGTGTGTATTTAAAGAGCGATTGCCACCAATACCAAAAGAAGATGCAAATAAGGTTCTGTAGGAGAACATTGCTCTTAGCTGGGCAATGTTCCGTCCCTAACTGGTTTGAAGTCCACATGCAGGAATAGACACTTTGCTGCTTCTCCCTTCCCACCTTATTTTTTCCTTCCTCCTTATATTTCAGACCTTGTGATATATCAGTATATTGCAATGTTTACCTGGTGATATATCACAGTGTTCAGTTCAGTTCGATTTATTGTGTTTTGCAAGCAGCCATTAAACAAATAAAAACAAGAATAACAAGAATACTGCTAATAGTGGTTTACATTTCTACTCCCCAACCATTACAGGGTAAATCATTTCCCATTCCCCCTTTTCAGTTTTATGACATGAATTTGTAAAGCCTCGGTAAGCAGTTTGGATGTTCTAAAGGTTATATACCTCTCTACGTCAGACAACAACAAAAAAGGGCTTTGCAAGAGACGTCCTTCCCTTCTGCGATCTTAACAATGGGTGGATATAATTTGTTTCGAAGGTCATTATAAAAAGCGCATTCAAGGAGTACATGAGTTATGACACAGAATTGCAGCTGCAAACTCTGTCCTCCTTAGGAACTCCTTTGTGTCGGCCCATCCAATCTGCTAACGGAAGGTCATTTAGTCTTGCCTGTGTGAAGGCTGTGCTCATTTCAACATTTGGCAAATCTACCAGATATCTTGGCAGGGTTGGATAACAATAGAATTTTAAAAAGCATACAATTTGTTTCACAGTGTTGAAAACCAGATATTGTCCATCCCTAGTTGGTAGGAAACATGCCACTCCAGCTTGTTTAGAGCATACAAATCCACACAACTAGTTGGGAGTCGAGAGTCGTCTTCAAAGGTCTTCTGGTCTTTGTGGATCTGTTGAAGCAGAGATATGTCCTGATTTGGACAGCAAAAACACATATCAAACACCAGGAGACATTCGCTCTGTGAGTGCTACAGGAGAAGGCCTCCCTGCTGCTATGGGTGGAAGTGTACCTCCTGTCTGTCTGTCTCAACAGGGAGTTCATGATGTCCACATGGACTGGCCGGAGTCAGGATGCAATTATTCAAGTGGTGTAACCTCTCAATGAATATAGCCATCAAGGCTGTCATAGCAAAACAGAGATTGACCGTGTGTGCAACCTCTCACAACCAGAATATGATACTCGGTATCTCTAGATTCTGGCTGCGTGACAGCGTTCCTGCCCCTTCTGTCCATGGTGCTTGGAAGCTCCTTTGGACATTCTGGCTGGCCAATTTTGGGAACCAATTTGCAGAATTAGGAGGGCCTTGGTTTCCCCACCACCACCACAAAACCCTTGTTGTAATATTGAAATGCTTTTTTCAGATAGGAGGCCACCTTGCTTTAGAACCCTTGCATCTAGAAATTGGCAGGATTGCAGGCCCACCACGAAGCCTGGAACATCGAGCTCTGAAGCTTCCGAGGCAGAATATTGCTGTTGCTGTAGAGTTCTGAGAATCTACTTTGTGTGTGGGTGGTGTTAGTATCTGGTCCTCTGTAGTTAAAGAAGCATTCAGTTGGTGTTTGCTTAATGCTTAAACCAAAGATGGTGTGAGTAAGCTTCCACCTGAGGTGAGGCAGGTAGATACCCAAAAGGAGGCACCAGTTATGGAATGCTTTCTCCGGAAAAGTTTGCCTTGCCACTGACACCCATTGCCTGATTTCAGGTAAAAGGACCTTTGAACAATTCCATCCCCAATCTTTTCCAATGTAATTTTAATCCTGCTTACTGTTCTTGGCTACTTCATGATTTTGTGGCTTACAGCTTATATGGATTTTACACTTCTTTTTTTGTAAGCAACCCTAGAATATAATTGAAGGGCAGTATAAAAGTAATTACAACAAATAGGAGCATCGTACTGCTTCTTGTCTCCTAGACAGTGTCTCTGTCATCACATTCTGTTAAAATTGAATACCACCTTACCTGAATCTGTTCTAAAAATGGGACAAATTAAATTCAGACAGGGTTTCGTTGGCTATGAAGCCAACATTGGTGAGGAGACGCCAGTTAGTTTTCATAGGAGCAATAAGCATCCCGAACAAGATGGTTCTCTGAGATAGCGTCAGCTTCCCTCCAAACCACCTTCGCATTATAGGAAACCACATTATGCTGAATCAGATCATTGCTGCATCTAGCTCAGTATTTTCTACACTGTCTGGCAGCAGCTGTCCAGAGCTTCAGGCAGGAGTCCTTCCCAGCTGTCCCTGGAAATTGAACCTGGGGCCTTCTGCATTCCAAGCAGATGCTCTAACCACTGAGACCTTTTGTCTTGCTGTTCCCACCATCAGATTGCTTGGACAAGAATGTCCAGTGCTGGTATGATGGAAAAGAAGGCATTAGAATATGAAGCGTTTGGGTTTCTTATGTTCAGACAAGCTGTTCAGCAGGGCAGGGAGCCTAACACAGAGGTAAAACGTGTTGCATTGGCATCCAGATATAAATACTCATTTGATACCCAGTTGCACGGTAACTGTCCCTTAAGACTCATCAAAGCAAGAACCACAGGCACCAGTGCACAGCTTATCTTTGCAGGTCTCTCTCCTATCAGGTTTGTTACTGTAAAAGCCAGGAATCACCTGGTTGAGCTCAATTCTTGCTGAGATTTCCATGTTAAGGAAATCCACGTTTGATACCCATACTTCAAGATTGGAACCCATAATAAATCATGCAAATAGAATGCTAGCGGGTTGACTTTACCTGTTATACGTTCTGCAGTGAGCCTACTCATGAGTTGTGTAAGCAGCCCCCCAGCCAGCATAGACTTTCATCTGTTGCGAGCGAGAAACAGCTGCCAGCACAATAATCCAGTGCTGCCTTTGCAGTGTTAAGCTGGACATAAAGATGATAGATAACATGGATAAAAATGTATTTACAGAAGACCGTGTAGGGACTTTGTTTACACAGGGACAGATAAGACATCTGAACTCGACAAGAATGTGAACTAATTAATTAGGAGACCCCAAGACTCTTCTGTTTTAGACTATTTATAGTTAATACATGTTGGCAATTTCCCATTTGTGTTTTAAGTTTCCTAAAACTTGAGTGCTAAGAGATGAGCATCCTTGCTAAGGTGATTTACCTGGGGTGAAGGACTAAGGAGTGTACTTTTAAAGGGCTCAGAGCTCCACTTGCTGAATATTATGACAACAAAGGATTCTGCATGTGTTCAAGTGCATACTTGAAATCATGAGGGCCGGCAACTTTTCTTTTTAAAAAGGTAAGGTACAATTCTCCTATCTCTGCAAACGTGCCCAGGTGCCTACTTACCAGCTTCACATAGCGCAGGTTCTTTTCTTATTCTTTACTGCGAGTAAAGCCTCTAGCTATTCTACTTGAAAATACAAACATAGAAGCCCAGTCAAGATGTAGCCAAGGGAAATGCCAGCGTCTTGGCAGTGCTCTTGCTTCTGCTTCACAAAGCAACACAATCTCTCTGTGTCTGGTGATTCGCCCCTTTGCTTGTGTGCAACTATAGAGAGTACAGTGGTGTGTTGGAGGGGACTGGGCGAGGTTTATCTGCGAGGGGAGCACACAGCAAGCAGAGCCACTGTCACCGATAATGCCCTTTGTGTAAACTGCTTTGAGCTGAAAGCATTGTTGATGACAGTGGCTCTGCTTACAGGCCCTAGTGTAAGCAGAACACATGGTTTAATGTAGTCTGTGTGCACAGTGAGATGAAAAGAACGAGGCAGCCTTGACAATTAGATTTGGGAGGTCCCATATCACTGAAGTATTCGAGATCGTGCATAACTTGCACGTTGCCTCTGCTTGCAGCTTTGTCTGGCATGTTGTGCTTCTCGAGAGCAAAACATGTTCATGGGACCCGTGGATCCATCTCCTGATGTCCTTGCCAGAGATGTTCATGTGGCCATGAGGCATCTCATAAATGATCTGCACCATTCCCCTTGTGTGCAAAGCCACAGATGGCAGGGTCCTGCATGCAGTACAGTGGTGCCTCGCAAGACAAAAAGAATCCGTTCCGCGAGTCTCTTCGTCTTGCGGGTTTTTTCGTCTTGCGAAGCAAGCCCATTAGCGGTTTAGCGGATTAGCGCTACAGTATTAGCGGGCTTAGCGGATCAGCTGATAAGCGGCTTAGCGATCAGCTGTTAAGCGGCTTAACGATCAGCTGATAAGCGGCTTAACGATCAGCTGATAAGTGGCTTAGCGATCAGCTGATAAGCGGCTTAGCTGATAAGCGGTTTAGCGGCTTGGGGAAAGGGGGGGGGAGGAAAAAAACCCGCAGGAACTCGCAAGACATTTTCGTCTTGTGAAGCAAGCACATAGGAAATTCGTTTTGCGAAGCACCTCCAAAACGGAAAACCCTTTCGTCTAGCGGGTTTTCCGTCTTGTGAGGCATTCGTCTTGCGGGGCACCACTGTAGTTGGTGGAACAGCAGGAGTCGTGGGACAGCAAATGAAAGCTTGGACAGGTCACCATATATTTATTTTCACTCAGAAGTATTGGTGCCAGTGTGCTTGGTATAGGTGGGCATCTGCATTGGAGCAATTAGCATAGATCTTTGTGGGCAGTCCTTTAGTTCCCTGACACAGCAATGGATGGTGATTTATAATCCTCAAGGAGGTCTTTTCCCCAAATTGATTTTTTCTTTTCTTTTTGAGAGCAAACAAGTACCATCTGGTTGAAGGGGAGCAGAGGGTACCAGGGCTGAAGAGTACATAAAGCATCACTTTGTCTCTTTTGCAGTTCTTAGTGTGTTTAGCAATCCCCTGGGGAAGCCCCCTGTGAATTTCCTGACAATGGATCCCATTGGCTCTGAGCTGACTGATAGCCTTCCGAACCCTTTGAGGGGTTCCCGCCTGGACAACGCCCGTTCGTTCCTGTATTCACGCTCCAGCAGCCCCTCAGACTCTGACACCAGTGGATTCAGCTCTGGTTCTGACCATCTCTCAGACTTTCTTGTAAGTTGCTGGGGAGGTTGTATCCTTGCGGTGGGGAGGTTGTGGCAGGGCAGGTGGGTACTCTGAAATTCTGAATTGATTTGATGGCACTTCGGAGAACATGGTCTGGCTGTGGACTCCCCATCCAGTCGCTAGGAAATGGGAGAATACTCAAGCAGCTGGATGGGTGGATTTAAGCTATTCTGCTTTCCCAAACTATAGCTTTTTACAAGCCAAATGGCACCAGCATAAGAGTCCTGCTTCAGATTGTATTCCTGGAGAAATAACCTGTGACTGCAAAACTGCTAGACCCTGATCTGCTCACAATTTAAATAAGCATTGCACATTCCGCTGGGTCTACTGATCATTGATCTGTTGGTCTTGTGCAAGATACACCACAACACTTGGTTTCCTGCTCATTACAAAGTTGGAAGGGATTTTTTTTCTACACTAAATTCCTTGGTTAGGGCAAAATAGCTTTAAGAAGGCGTAGAGGATCTGAAAATTGGGCGGGGAGCAGGATGTACAGTTGTACCTTGGAAGTCGAACAGAATCCATTCCGGAAGTCCGTTCAACTTCCAAAGCGTTCAGAAACCAAAGTGCAGCTTCTGATTGTCTGCAGGAAGCTTCACAAAAAAACTGTATGAAACACTCACTTCCAAGTTTTGATCATTTGGGAGCCAATTTGTTCAACAACTAAGGCGTTGGTACGACTGTATTTTGTAACTGCCGCAAAATAAACAGGTTGTGAAATGCAGTGCGTTTTTGGATGGACTTCTGGTGATAGAACTCACCAAATCACTTTTTGTTAGGGAGCAGAGTAAGGACGAGGAAAGACATCATTTAGTGGGTTAGTAGGAGTACAGAGACTGAGATGGATACAGAAGATTATCCCTCCTGTTGACTTGCTGTTAAGCTTACCCTCCTCTTTACACACAGGCTTCTGAGATGTTGGTTGTCACTGCCTTCATCTGAAGCCTTTCCTGAAGCTAGAAACGTAGCTTTCTTAACTCTGCAGAGAGTTGTAGAATTCTGTGCTGAATACTTTTTGGCCCCCTTATTGATTGTGTGTAGTTGATAAAAGTATTTATAAGACACCCTCTCACAAAACACCAGGGCACTTTGCAGCAACACAGAAACCGTTAAAAGTAACACAAGAGAAGCATCAAAACGACCAGTTATGCAAGAAAATTTTAAATAACCGCAGCTCTGTCCGACATAAAGAAGTCTCCAAGAGATGCATGGAAGTCCAAAGCAAGGATTGCCTTCCTAATCTCAGTGATCAGTCTGGGAGATCAGGCCTCAGAGGGCAGCCCTTAAGGTGTCCTGGACCCAAGTTGTCCAGGGCTTTGTAAAACAGGTATACTAGCCTAATACCAAGCACTGCCACTTTTGCCATAGGTCTGAGAAGAGATGTGGCAATAAGCTGTCAGTGTTAATATGAACGTTGCTTGTTGCATGTGCAGGGCCTTAGCCAGCCATATATGTAGCTCTGGAAGCTTGCATTTAATGAGCCTATTCTCGTTGCGTGTAGATGAAAGCTGCATATAATTTAATGAATGTGGCAGCTGCCAAAATACAGTTAATTATGCCTGCCATGGTAACGTGGATTTGGAATTCTTGCCCATTATTATTATTTATGATTAGCAGCATTTGCTTGTCACTTCATACAAAGAAGTCTTAGAGTGACTTCACTTAACAAGATAAAATACAAGCGTGCAATATCAGCTAAAAGCCATATTTTTAAAAATCACATGATACTCATTTTGGCTCTGAAAGAAAGAATAGATGCATAGCAGTTTGGGTAAGGATGGGGAGAAAAAGCTTGGAAGGAAATAAATGTTGCAACCTTGCTTCTGGGTTTTTAAGCATCTTTTTTACTGTGCTTTGCACAGAAACTTCCAACACGACTAGAAGCATGCCGTAGACAAAAGCAGAAATTTTCTATCATTCAACCTATTAGATTGCCTTAAATCGCACATTTTGCTCATCAATTAGGGTCATTTAGTACTTTCCTTGTGGATAATCTTCTGGTAATTTAATACTTTACCTTGAAGACTCAAACAGACTCCCCCACCTGCCTTTCGAGACATTCCTTACACTTTCATTATATTAAGCTGAGAAAATATATGAGGAGTCCATGATGTTCTATCACCTTTGGTACACGGTAAAGCCTGAAAAAAGGGACGCGGGTAGCGCTGTGGGTTAAACCACAGAGCCTAGGATTTGCCGATCAGAAGGTCGGCAGTTCGAATCCCTGCGACGGGGTGAGCTCCCGTTGCTCGGTCCCAGCTCCTGCCAACCTAGCAGTTTGAAAGCACGTCAAAGTGCAAGTAGATAAATAGGTACCGCTCCAGCGGGAAGGTAAACGGCGTTTCTGTGCGCTGCTCTGGTTCGCCAGAAGCAGCTTAGTCATGCTGGCCACATGGCCCGGAAGCTGTACGCCGGCTCCCTCGGCCAATAAAGCGAGATGAGCGCTGCAACCCCAGAGTCGGTCACAACTGGACCTAATGGTTGGGGGTACCTTTACCTTTACCCTTTTAAAGCCTGAAAAAGATGCTGTGTCCTTTCATAGTTTGAAATGGTTCCACTACCCCAATCCCCTTGCTTTTGTTAAGTATCCTGAATTCATAATTGTAGCTTTCCTCCCATTGGCTAAGGTGGGATCATAGAGAGAGATGAGGGATCTTAGGGTGCTTTAGATTAACCGCTGCATTGAAATTATACATACCTGGCTCCTTCAAACTGTGTTTCTTAACACGTTTCTCTTGCAGTCGAATCTCCGGATCTCCCCACCGATGTCATTCCTGCCTCTTGGTGGCATTGCCAGGGATTCCTTGAGTGGAGCAGGGTCCCACCTGGATCAAGATCAAGCTACTCTTGCTTCAGTCACTTCCACCCCAACCAGCATCCCCAAGCAGTGGTCTGGAGCATCTACCTGGCCTTCCTGGGGCATCCAAGACTCCGTGGACGACCCGTTCAGTATCGAAAGGGAAGCCAGGCTTCACAAGCAGGCAGCGGGTGAGTCAGAGACTTGCTTTGCATGGGGAGATTGGCACGGGGGAGAGTTGGGTGCAAGATGAATGCTGAGCTCTTAGACGAAGCTTCTCTCTCTTTTGATTCTTCAGCTGTGAACGAGGCAACCTGCACATGGAGTGGGCAGCTTCCGCCCCGAAACTACAAGAATCCAATCTACTCCTGCAAGGTGTTCTTAGGAGGAGTCCCCTGGGATATCACAGAAGGCAAGTAACTGCTAAGGCAGGTTGTGGAGTGAAGGGTCTGGCTTTCTCTAGCTCTTTTCCCCACCCCACTTCATTCAGGTGTGATTATAACTGTCTTGTTGTGACCTTTGTTCCTAATTTACAGGGGACGTTTCGCACTGTAGAGACTGTCCCTCCGGTTTCTCTAAAGCAGGGCTGGCTGACCTGCTGCTCTCCAGATGTTCTTGTTGTTGCTAATTCAGTTTATATACTGCCCTCTATCAGAAGATTTTAGGGTGGTGTACAACATTAAAAACACTTTGCAGAACATCAATGATAAAAACATATTGAAAAACCTAACGACAGATAGACAAATAGTAAAATAAAAATTATAATAACAAAATAATAATTACAATAACAGTCCACTTCCCCACACTTTCACAAACCGTAGGTTATTTAATAGCCATAGGCCTCAGAAAAGAGGAATGTTTTTGCCTAGTAACTAAAGACATGCACTGATGGCACCAGGCAAGCCTTTCTGAGGAGAGCATTCCACAATCGTTGAGCCACCACAGAAAAGGCCCATTGTCTTGTTGCCACCCTCTGAACCTCTCTGGAATGGGGGGACGCAGAAGAGTCTCGGACGAAAAGCACATGCATTTAGTTCATGTTGCTGAACTAAAACTCCCATTGCAGCGGCCATCATTGCCACTGGTCAGGGATGATGGGAACTGCGGTTAGCAATGTCTGGAGAGAGACAGGTTTCCCATTCCTGGTCTGAAGGTGGTTATTAATGTTTCAGAGCAAGATTAAGGGGTTTCCACAGTCTGTCCTCAGAACAGCTCATCCTGACTTAATCTGCCTCTTATTCAAGGGCACCAGGGCATGGGTGGGGAAGCTGTGACCCCCCAGGTAGTGTTGGAAACTCAACTGTTGGCCCCAGCCAGCATGAGCACTGGCCAGGGATGAAGGGATTTTTAGTGCATCAACATCAGGCTCCCCATACCAAGTCTACAGCCTCAAGGGATGTGGCCTATTCAGGTCAACTGCTCTTGGAGCTAGTCAGTTGACAATGCTAGCTAGTACAGCTGCCTCTGTTATCAATTGTTTGCTCAGCCTAGCTATTCTTAAAGTTAGTGTGTTTTCAGTATAAAGCATTGTGTTGCTTATCTGAAAACCTGGAGATAGCTCAGTGGTGCAAGAGAGCCCCATGTTGGGCAAAAGATTCCAGCACTGCAGGATATTGGACCAGGTGACCTCAGTGTCCCTTCCAACTATACAATTCAATGGTTATTTAATTTAGGAGCTACTTTTTTGGGGGGTGGCAGAGCTTACCCACCCCCCGCCCAGGAGCATACAAAAAAATACCAAAAATGATGCAACATTTAGAAACGTCAGCATGAAAATTGCTGCAAAGCAGAACAAAGCACAGAAAACACACACGCACCAAAAAGCACCACATGTTTTTGGAACCACATGAATTCCAGAAGCAGTTCACCAATTATAGGAGAGACCCCATAGCTCAGTACTAAGCCTCTTCGCTTTGCACCCAGCAGGTCCCACACTCAAATCCCTGGCATTGCTATCTACCATTATTTGGCACAGAAAAGACTTTTGTAAGAGAGCTAGTGCCAGTTAAAGTAGGCCATACGAGCCAGCTTCATGCATTGAAGTATATTCTTATATTCGTCTTCCTTGGTCTGTGGCCTAGAACAGAGACATAGCGTGCCGTTTATGCTCTGAACATGAGGTGGTGAATTGTGGTGAATAGAACATTGGACTTGGCTTGGTGACAGCCAGATTTAAGCCTCTGCTGGACAAGAAGCTTGCTGGGCAAACTCAGACCAGTCAGTCACAGATAATATCAAGAAAAATCCCCCCTCTGTGGCTTCCCCAGGCTGCTTTACAAGGGAAGTCAGGATAAAGATAGGTTCACATGGAGTGTGTGGGCTCTGCAAATAATTAAGACACTAACGGTGGAGTCCCCCACGTAATTGCTATTATGTGTTTCACAGAATGCCACTTAAAATATCAGAGCTGCTGTACTGAATTGCACAAAAACGGGAATGATTCAAGTGTCATTACATGAGAAGGCAGAAAATGCATATCAGGAGTAGCAAATAGAATTTGGGTTGGATATGGAGCACAGAAGTGCAAATCACAGTTTGCCAAAATCCATTGAGTGGCCAAACGACTGACCCGACCAACTCGTACATTACTACTGCAATGGAGTTTTTCAGCTTTCACATTCCAAAAATGAGGGATGCTAAAAAGTTGTAATACAGCTTGGGATTTCAAAAGAGATTTTGGTTAAATTAATAAAATTTAGTTTTGCTTGGCAAAATAGCATAGAAATCAAGTACTTGCAGTTATTTTGTATATCATCATCATTAGTTGTTATTTGGAATTAACTGACATTTTCAGAAGTCAAAAATTAAGTTCCACCCCCTAAAGTGACACTCCTACCAGTGGTTGATAATTGTCCTCCGTTGAGGTTCTTTGCTGGCCAGGAAACTTTCATCTGTGCTTGTCCCTCCCATGTGTCTGTTAAAGGTAAAGGTACCCCTGACCATTAGGTCCAGTCGTGACCAACTCTGGGGTTGCGGCGCTCATCTCGCTTTATTGGCTGAGGGAGCTGGCGTACGGCTTCCGGGTCATATGGCCAGCATGACTAAGCCGCTTCTGGCGAACCAGAGCAGCGCACGGAAACGCCGTTTGCCTTCCCGTCAGAGCGGTACCTATTTATCTACAGTGGAACCTTGGGTTGCGGACGTAACCCGTGACGGAGGCACATCCGCAACCTGCAGTGTTAGTAACCTGCAGCACTGCGTCTGCACATGTGCGTTACGCGATTTGGCACTTCTGCGCAAAGCGCAATTTAGCACATCTGCACACATGAGAGCGGCAAAACCCAGAAGTAACCCTTCCAGTACTTCCAGGTTTTCCGCAGTCCGCAACCTGAAAACACATAACCCGAAGCGTTTGTAACCCGAGGTACCACTGTACTTGCACTTTGACGTGCTTTCGAACTGCTAGGTTGGCAGGAGCAGGGACCAAGCAACGGGAGCTCACCCCGATGCGGGGGGATTCAAACTGCCAACCTTCTGATTGGCAAGCCCTAGTCTCTGGTTTAGAGCACAGCACCACCCGCATCTGTTAGCCGACCATTATTGATGCAGTGTTTGATGGAGCCATGGGGAAGTTTTATTGAATTACATTGCTGTATGTTTATATTTTACTGGGTTTAAAAAAAATGCACAAAGCATAACTCCATGCACGGGAGTTTTCTCTCTCTCTTACCCCTCTAAACTAAATATCTCATTTGTGCAGCGGGTCTGATCAGCACTTTCCGTGTGTTTGGCTCGCTGAGAGTGGAGTGGCCTGGTAAGGATAGCAAGCACCCCCGCTACCCTCCCAAAGGTAATATGCCTAAAGGTAATACAGACATGGTAGGAACCTTTTTATCCATGCTATGTATAGAGAGCACTGAGGGCTGCTGGGCTGGCATGGTTGCATGGAGGTGACCGGACAGGTAGAGCACCATAGGATTACAGGCCTCACTCGGGCGCACAGGTTCTTTCCGTTAATGTAATCTGCCAGCTCTTTCAGGGTGAGGGGCTGCACACAGCGGTGTTCACACGGTGGCAGTTACACAGGGAGAAGAACAGAGCTTTGTGTTTATTTGTGCTGAGGAAGCCGTAGCTGTCATCGCCATTCTCCCCAGTCAGTTGTATTAAGGCTTGAATTTCTGCTGAGCCAAGCAGAAAACCTTGCTTTGCCATTAAGGCATTTGGGGAAGTGACTTGTCTTCTGATGTTCAAGATGCATCAGCCCTAATGTTCAGTCTTGAGAAACCTGGAGTACTTCCATGCTCGGTCCCCCCCCCCCCCACTTCCCCCTCTCTCCAATTTTGGCACTGTTCCTCACTCGTCAGGAGGTTCGGATGCATTCCCATCTTTGGTTCCTTCCAGATGTTGCAGGCTACAACTCTCACCGGCTTAGCCAGGATGACCTATAGGGATGCCCAGTAGTTAGGGATGACGTCTAGGACATCTAGCAAGTCCCAAGAGGGGTGATGGTGGCTGTACTTAGAAGGAAGTGGGTGCTGTTAGGGCAGAGGGAGCTGCCTTTACTTTAGACAGAGCTATGGCTGCTACTGCTCAGCTCATGCACACGTTAATTGGGCGTGTGCACAGGGACACCAGTTTAGCCCATACACCTCTGTTGATTTAAAGTACACAATTACATGCTGACTCTCTCCAGTGCTAGTGTGTGCACACTCCTTTTTGCCGGGAGCGGGGAATCTCCTGCTTGGAATAGCAAGCCCTCTTTTCTGGGAAAAGTACATTGATAAGTATATTCTGTTCTCTCTCCCCAACTGCCTGCCATGGGAAGTTGGACATACCAGTGGTTTCCCCAGCATAGCCATCCCACCCTGGCTATCCCACCCACAGGGACTGTCTTCCGCTGTTAGCTCAGAGCAGGGTCTAGAAATAGCACTGTGTTAGCAAAATGAAAAAGCTCACTTCTTACGGTTTGCAAGCACCCTGGATTGCTTGGCACTGCAGTCTTTGTGCACCATTTGAGTACTTAATGGGGAGAAAATTGTGTCTCTGGCAAATGCGACGGTCTGGAGTAGAGGATTTCAATCTCTGCTGTGCCTAAGAATTGCTCAGTTGACCCAACTCTTCCATCTTCCATTAATGGAAGCGGTGAAAAGGAATGAGATTCTGTACATTGCAAGAAGATAGCCTAATATCATTATTTCCCCCCATCTCTATGCAGTGGTAGAAATAACCTGCTATGTATTTGTGAAAGTGGTATATAGACAAAAGGTTGTCTTTCTCTGATCCTGCACTTTCCAAAGCATTGAGAAGAGGGCTCATGAGCCACTGATAGATGTAAATGGAGCCTCAATGTTCAGAGGCAGCCTGCCTGATGAACCAGCAGGCAGGCAGGAGACCGGCATTGCTTTTGAGCATCCCCAAAACATCAAACTGGTCACTGTTGAACTAAGTCGGGTCATTGAGTACAACTGGGCAATTCTTAACACGAACTGCACTGCAAAAACACTCCCTAGGGAAGAAGGGAGCATGCTTGTACCCTGCGTTCTAAGTAAATTTCTTGTCTTCCACCCAAGGCTATGCATATCTGGTGTTTGAATCAGAGAAATCTGTGCGTGCTCTGCTCCAGAACTGCTCCCGTGATGTGCTGAGTCCCAGTGGCCTGAGCGAGTACTATTTCAAGATGTCCAGCCGCAGGATGCGCTGCAAAGAGGTGAGAGGATGTGCCGCTGTGCAGTCCAAACAAAGCACCCAGTTGGGTGGCTATAACCTCGTATTGCTTTATTTAGGAGCCATGTATTGCCTTCGAAGCGCTGGCAGCGGCCTCTCGTTCTCCAGGGTGACTTCTGCATAGGCAGCTACCCTCGGTGATGGGTGGATTTGCTCCCAGTTAGCACAAAGGCTGATTGTGCCATATGTTGCATAGTTGTTGATTCCAAACACATGCAGCTTTTAGCTAGACAGGAAGAGAGATAGGGATAGAGAGTGGCGCATTTGGAAAAGTGCTGGTTCTGAAGGTCTCTAAGCACATGGTTTGTGTTGCCAGTGGGTCAGAGGATGGGTAATGTGTTGTGGAGTGTGATAGATGCTGGAAGAGGTTGCTTGTGACTCTGCGTTGACAGAATTGGCAGCAAGGCTCCTCATTGATCTTCTCCAATAGGAGGTCTTTGTTGCTGAAGGATGGCTGCACAAGCAGTAAAACCATGAAGAATGCATCGCGTTGCTGGTTGGCTTCTGCTTTCTTGCCCTGTGACATTGCCAGTGGTGTGTGTGTGTATTCAGCATGTATTGTATAGTATCATCTTGAAGATAGCTTCTTTAAATATTGTTTCTAGTGCCTGTGGTTGCAGAGAGATGGCTGGATATGTGCTGGCAACCAGCCACAAAAAAATTCAAATATTTTTTATTTAGAAGACATCTGAAGGCAGCCCTATATAGGGAAGTTTTTTTAATGTTTGATGTCTCACTGTGTTTTATATTTTGTTGGAAGCCACCCAGAGTGGCTGGGGTAGCCCAGTCAGATGAGCGGGTTGCAAACACACCAGCAGGATGCTCAGTCCCCCTTCTGTGTTTTATTTGCATGTCCCAAATTAAGGGCAAGGTTGTGTTCTGCTAAGCAAACCATCCCTAAGATACTAGCACCACACATCTATAACAAGTTACCTCTGTCCCTAGTTGAATTCAGGTGTTCAAGTGAGATGCTCAATTTAGATGGCGTGACCCTTGTGAGATTGGTTTGGGCAGTGCACAAAGGATTAGGGCTACGACTACATCTTGTGTTGCTCTTCAGTCACATATCTTGGCTCTACTATACTCTGGGCAAGTGTTGCATAAATGTACTGCTTGCAAAGTATTGTTTCCATGGTGCAAGCATATGTTATCACTGGGTCATGCCAACCCTGCTGTTCACAGGGAATGCGTAATAAATGCAGTCTTGAAGGCAGAATATGCTTTTAACTGCATAGAGGAACTGAATGGAAAGGAGACTGCAGCCCCCTTGTTAACAGGACACAATATTCGGTTGAAATAGAGTAGTGAACCAGAGTGTACCAGAATTGGGAAGTGGAATAAAAGAACTATTCTTTAGCCATCTCTTGGCTTCCATAGAATCATCAAATAGTAGAGTTGGAAGGGACCCCAGTGGTCATCTAGTCCAACCTCCTGCAATGCAGGAATCTTGGCTAAGGCATCCATGATCCGATGGCCATCCAACCTCTGCTTAAAAACCTCCAGTGAAGGAGAGTCCACAACCTCCCAAGGGAGACCATTCCCATGTTGAACAGCTCCTACGTCCATCCTCTGCTCATGTTCCAGCTTGTCGACATCCTTCTTAAATTGTGGTGCCCAGAGCTAGGCATTATGCCTTCCACAACAGGGGTTTTGACTACAGTTCCCATCAGCTTAGTTTGTGTCTCTAATAGCTCAGATCCCAACAGGGCACCTTTGACCAAAGGCCAGTTGTACAAAAGTCAGATAGTCTGAATGTAAGAGCAGCCATTTGTGTGTTGACTCAGCGGTTTGGAAGGTTACAATGATTGAAGTGCACTTGGCATAAGGGCATGGGAAGACCATTTGAGGTGCACTTAGAAATAAGTTGGTTGGTTTGTTTTTCAAAGGGGGAGGATACTTGGCTTGTGGACTCGACTCGAACACAGTTTTCTCTTGGGTGACTTCAGGTACAAGTGATCCCATGGGTCCTGGCAGACAGCAACTTTGTGCGCAGCCCCACCCAGAGGCTTGACCCTGGCAAAACAGTCTTCGTGGGAGCTCTTCATGGGATGCTCAATGCCGAAGCTTTAGCAGGGATCCTCAATGACCTGTTTGCTGGCGTCGTGTATGCAGGTATCGACACAGACAAGCACAAGTACCCTATTGGTAAGTGAGGCTAATCAACGACTATTCGTTCATATTCTGTTGGTTTCTGGGCCTTTTGGTGGTACCTTACCATGGCCAAAAATAGGTACAGATGGTACCTTGTAATTGAAAAGGGTGTTGAATGGCTAAGTTGAAGACCCTGGATACAGAGGCAATTTTAGGGCAATGCGAGTGGTGCGGTCGCACCAGATGCGCAGCTGAAAAGGGTGCCTTCTCAGTGCTTGTCCACTTTGGGAAAGAGGCATGAGGGCTCTGGCAGAGTCCTAGAGTCCTCCTACCTCCTTCCCAAAGCTGGGCAAGCACTTATCAGGCTTTGGGACCGAGGTGGGAGGACTTTGGGACCCTGCCAGTGTCTCACGCCTCCTTCCCCAAGCCTGGCTTAAGCCAGTGCCATGAGGGTTGTGGGAAGGGTGTCAAATGGCCTTGCACAGGGTGGCATATTACTGCTGGGATAGCATGACTGGGGAAACGGTTGGTGGTCACTTTGATTTGTATCCCACGTAGTGCTAAGTTAAAGACCCTTGGTGGTTCCCTTGTTCGACTGGCAGTATTTTGTGGCTTCGGGATGGTGTTCTGCAAGACAGTGCATGAGAAGGTTGTTGTTAAGTTTGTTTCCCAGCAGACTGCACATTCTGCAAGGCAATGAGTTTCTGCTAGCGCAGCCACTGCATTTGATTCCTCCGTTGTGCAGCGTTAAAACTCAGCCACGTGCTAGTGGACAGAGAACGCTGGATAACAGCCCTTTAAACTGAACAGTTTCCCTCTGGGTAGGCTGTTCCAGCCAAAGACTTGCCTGCTTTGTAGCTTTTGATCTCTGCCTCAGGTTATCATGATGGTGACGGTATAAATCAGGGGTGGCTAACTTTTGCCCTTCCAGATGTTGTTTGACTTGATGGCTCTCATCATCCCTGGCAATTGGCCATGCTGGCTGGTTCTGGTGGGAGCTGAAATCTTAACAATAACTGGAGAGTCACAGGTTAGCTTCCCTTGCTGTAAATCTATACAGCATTATTTTGGCTTTTAACTTGAAAGGCTTTGAACCGTCCATTCAGCACTAGAAGTCTCTTGAGTATAGTTGGTCAAGATGAATAGGCAGCAGGCTGCTACTGGAAATAGATAAATCTGACTATTTCGGGCCAGTGTCACTTTCTCATGTGTTTACCCATAGTTTCATTCTTTTTCTACATTAATCTGCACTGTTGAGGAAGTCTAAATCACTTAAAAAAGAGTGATGTAGCACTTAAGAGCTAGGACTTGGAAGACTCAGGTTCAAATCTCCGCTTGGTTGTGAGAATAAAGGGGAGAGGCGGGTCGCCTTGCTGCTGTCGTGTGAAATCTGTTGGTGGCTAGGTTCCAATCTACACATTAGTCTGTGGGTTGCAGATCAGGACGTTCCATATAGGAATTTGCAAAGATTGAATTCCTCAAGCATCCCTCCCCTCCATTAACCTCTGAACCCACTCTCCCTCCCTGCTGTGGTAGACCTTGGCAAGCAAGTCATGTTCGTGCTGACTCATAAGTCTTGCATTACTATGCTGGTAGATACGTATCAGGATCTTTCCCTGGAGCTGCGCACTGCACTAATGGGCTGGGTTTTGTTTCAGGATCTGGCCGTGTCACCTTCAACAACCAGCGCAGCTATCTGAAAGCAGTGAGTGCTGCATTTGTGGAGATCAAAACAACCAAGTTTACAAAAAAGGTGAGAGGCACGAAAGGAAAAGACAAGCTCCTGTGTTGTGCTTATTGGCAAGGATCCCTAAAGTGGGTGCTGTTGCATAGTCCCTAGAAATAGAACAGAGATTCTAGGTGGGATAAAATATATATCCTGGGGGGACATCAGCAGAGAGCGAGAGCTTGCTAGAGCTGGGATGTGAATAGGAATTACCGTACTTTTCGCACCATAACACTCAGTTCCCCCCCCCCCCCTAAAAGGTAAAGGGAAATGTGTGTGCGCATTATGGAGCGAATGCAGGCGGGAGGAGTCGCTCTTGCAGGCTTTTCGGAGAGGTGCCTCTCTTTCTCCGTGTCTGCCTGCAGCCGGCAAAAGCTGTGCGCAGCGTGTAAAAGCCAAGGTGGGAGAAGGGAGAGCCTCTCTTTCTCCGTGTCTGCCTGCTCTATGGCTTTTTGGCGAGGTGACTTTATAGTCTGATGGGCTGACTGTAATTCAAGCAAAGGGAGAGCCGCTTACACACATGTAAGCGGCTCTTACTCTGCTTTCTTTACAATGAGCCGGAAGGAAGGACAAAAAGGGCATCCCCTCCCGTCCCTCCCCCAGCACCTCACCGGTAAATTCAAACAAAGCGGCTTACAAGGCTCGTGTCCCTGCGTCTCCTCCTCCTCTTTTTGCTCCGGTTCGAGGCAAGGCAGCTGCACAAATGTGAGCTTCCTTCCTTCCCTCCCTCCCTCCCAGAATATTTTTTTTCTTGTTTACCTCCTCTAAAAACTACGTGCGTGTTATGGTCAGGTGCGTGTTATAGAGCAAAAAATACGGTAAACTAGTAGGACTTCTTCCCCTAAATACTGATTTCAGTAAGTAAGCAGGGAGCTGGGGGGGAAATAGCAGATATAAGGCACGAGGAGTTGGGCCAGTGGTTCACCTATCTCAGTACTGTCTCTTCCTGGCAGAGATCTTCTTCCAGCATTGCAGAGGAGGTTGGATATTCCAGGAATCTTAGCATCAAGCTTATTATATGCTGGTTTTCCAAAGTGTGCTCTTAAGTAGCTCGTGGGAACAGTAAACAGATCAATATATAGGTGCATCAGAAACAGTCATAAATACATCAAACATATTTCATAATATATTTATATCCACACTAGCAAGCTTGTAAAGGCATTTATTTCAAGAAATTCCTTCTATGTAAAGCATCCCTTTCATAATTTAGGATTGCAGAGAATAGCCGTGTTAAGGAAGCTAAGCTTCAAAACATTACCCTTGGCTCCTGATTAAAACCTTACCAAAGCAGCCCTGTTGTAATAAGGCCTCAAAAAAGGGTGCATTAGCCTCAAGTAAGCACACCTGGTTCTTCATATAACAGGCACCAAAAAGAGCGGTTTTTCTCCTTCCCGAGCAGCCTTTGTAGATGGAGTCTGTGGCAGGCCCTCCCCAGGCCTGCAGAAAACCCTGTTTGAGCAAAGAAATGGTGGGAGTAGAAGAGGCAAGGGCTGTGGCGCAGTGGTAGAGCATCTGCCTTGCGTGCAGATGGTCTGAGGTTCAATCCCCCGCGGGAGGGACCCTGGAGAGCTGCTGCCAGTCATTGTAGGCAATTGCAATCTTGATGGACCATGTGTCTGACTCCGGCAGCTTTCTGTTTTCCAAGTAAGCTGGGAAAGGGCAAGACCTCTCCTCCTCACAGAGGGGAGGTGTTGTGGGCGGGACGCGATTTCTGCATCACGCAGGGGGCGTTATGCCCCCTGCCCCACTCACCTGGCTGGCGCGCCACGCCCACAGGTAGGCACCCAGCCGGGCGGCTTGGTGGGGGCATGGTTTGCTGTTTAAGATACAGCCGTGCCAGCCATTCTGCCCATTTTCTTCACCTTTTCACCGCGAGTCACCCACCCACCACTCCCTTAGGGCTTAGGGCTTAGCTTTTCTCTTGACCTTGCTATGGACCTATGGTTGGCCGCCCAGGGGGCCTGGTAGGATTTTTTTCCAACTGGCATTAGGCCTTTTGGGTTTTTTTGCCTACCTCGTAGCAATCGTCACAACTTTCTTGGTATTTGGCGGTTAGGCATTGGAATGTGTTGTTGGTGTGTGGAAGGGCTAGGTGCGGCCATCGCCTACCCCTTCAAATTTGGGTATTCCGTTAAAGGAATCCGGCGGTTGTGGATCCTGTCCGATGCCTGTGTGGCGGGGGGCCATGGCACGACCCTCGGTGACATCAGGGGAGAGCTTATAGTTGTATTAGCATCAACAGGCTCCCCCTACTGGTGAATAACCCCTCTTTAGGCTCACCCCTCTCCGAGTGGGTGGAGTCAATCTTCCGTGGTCCAGTGTCTAAGCCAATACCTTCTCACTTGCTGTAATCAATAAAGTTGTGGCCTTTTCTTGCCCACTAACCTTATACACTGTGTCCACGTGTCTGTTTATTCCTCAAAGCGGGGATTGGGTCCTCGAACCACAATCTTTTTCTCCTTACGCAGTTACTGAAACAAGTCTGCCAGTCAGCCTCAAACTGGCTTTAGTGCCTCAGAAGCCACTATGACGAATGTGTATAAACAAGCCATTCACTCTGGGATACATATTATGGGAGGCTGCACCTAGTTGATTTTCATGTTCCGTGCAGAGACCACTATCCCGTGGTCCTCTTCTGGGGAAAGGGGCAGACTTCTCCAGTGGATGAAATGAAAGCAAAGCATAGGCAAACTCGGCCCTCCAGATGTTTTTGGGACTACAACTCCCATCATCCGTAGCTAAAAGGACCAGTGGTCGGGGATGATGGGAGTTGTAGTCACAAAACATCTGGAGGGCCGAGTTTGCCTATGCCTGCTTTAGCCAGATGAATCTGACAGTAGCACTGGTCTTCTTCAGCATCAAGCCCTTGCAGCTGCTTTCGCAGAAGACTCAGAACTCTTTCAGCCTTTGCTCCAGCTTGTTTCCTCTGAAGTGCGTGCCCCCGTTTCTTCTTTCCCCCTCTCACCATTAAGATTGCACTGTGAACTCCAGCTGTGCTGCTTTGTCCCCTGGGCTCCTTCCCTCTGGCTTTAATTTCCTTTCCTTGCCTCCGGGGCAGGTTCAGATTGATCCATACCTGGAAGATGCCATGTGTCAGATCTGCAGGTCTCAACCAGGTCCCTTCTTCTGCAGAGACCAGGTAAGGCTCTTAGGTTTTTCCCTTGTCCACCTTAGACCTGGTTGAAGGGGCAGCGTTTCCTACCACACCCACTCCTGTAGTGCACAGAAGAAACTTCTTGAGGGCTCCTTCCCCTTTGCCCCCTTTTAAAATGTTTGCCCATTTTCACCATCTTTGGAGTGAGTGGAAGCTGCTCTGTTGCACAGGTGAAGCAGCTGTCGTTGGTGTCCTGTGTTCTGTATAATTAGCGGGGAGAAGGGCTGTAGCTCAGTGGTAGCATGCGTTGCATGCATGCATGCCAAAGGTCTCTAGTTGGATCCCTGGCATCTCCAGATAGGACTGGGGAAGAGTCCCTCTCATAAACCCTGGAGAACTACTGCCAGTCATTGTAAACAGTACTGACCTAGAAAGACGAATCGTCCAACGCTGTATAAGGCAACCTCAGATATTCCAAAGGAACAGCAACCAACGTAGATGAGAACAGTCTCCACTTGCCCAAGGGCAGCCTCTTTTCAACTTCTTGGCAGGCTTTTCATGGATGAAGAGCTGGATGTCTCCCTAACTCCCAGCCCAAACTTTTTGTTTTGTGATGGTAGGAGGCAAGCTTTTGGCGTACGTGTCTAGCAGGTGTGGGGAACTTCTGGCCCTCCAGGTGTTGACGTGCAACTCCCATCATCCCTGACCATTGGCCCATGCTTGATGGGGCTATTGGAAGTTGTTGGCATCCCTCTGTCTCGAGAGACAATGGAGTGCACCTCCAGGGGTGAAGTCAGACCGCTGCATAAGCAGCACCAAAGTGACCTCCCCGGGGCGTAAGCCTGGGCAGTGTGTCTGGAGATCATCTGGGCAGCCCAGGACAAGGCCCCCTGATACGGTCCAAAGAAAAGCAGAGCAATGCATTTGGCACCAGCTTTGCTGCAGCAATTGCCAGGAGGCGCCATTCAAGGCGCCATCCAACCACCTTAGAAGTTCCACTCTGGATATGAGTATGGTTTACTCCTTTGCCTTCTCTCGCAAGGCAGCAGAGGTTTGGGGTCAGGGTTATCCTTCTCCTAGATAGCCTTGGAAAGGCAGCCTATCTATAATCCAGGAAATTCAGGTGTCTTAACCCTTCTGTTGTTGTGCTATAGAGATCCTAGCAGTGGGCAGCTCCCATGTCAGAACTTCCTTTTGGCAAAATGCCTTCCTAGTATCTGTCCACACATTTAGTAGGAGATTTTTGAATGTGCTCTAATTATCTGATCTCTTGATAAATTGCATTCCAGAATAATAAGGTAACCTTGTTGGCGTTCCAGCCAGAGATTGAAATAAGTTCCTTTTATATCCCTGGGGTGTGGGTGGGTGGGTGTAAGTGTGTAAGCAAAATTCTATAATCTTACGGTTAAAACCACCCCACCACCCCGTTCCTGCTGCATGTCAGAGCATTTCATGGAGCCAGACTGATGCTTCTTGATCCCTCTCTGTCTCTTCCCACCCACCCACCCCTCTGCATAGGTCTGCTTCAAGTACTTCTGTCGCACCTGCTGGCATTGGAAACATTCCATTGAGATGTTGCATCACCACCGCCCACTGATGCGCAACCAGAAGAACAGAGACTCCAGCTAGAGCAGAGGTGGGGGCACCAGGAGCCACTGCAGTCGCTGCAGGAGGAAGTTCTCCTGTTCACCTGCCACCAGAAGAGAGCCCGGAGATGTTTGCCGGTGCCACACCCAGGCTTGGGGTGCCCGTCGGAAGGACTAACGGGGAATCTTGCCTTCACGTTTGCACTTGCTGGTCTTTATTTGTTTCTGCACTAATGCACAGTGAATTTTTTTTTTGTCGAGGGTTTGTTTGGGGATTTTTTCAGAGGGGAGGGCCCCTCAAATGATTCTGCAGTTCCCAGACTTTGGTTCCTTGTTGCTGCTGAGAAGCGCCAAGGACCATGTGTTGAGAAGGTGTTTAATGCAGATGCCTTCGCCTCGGTTTCTTATTTATCAAGGGCCCTTTTTTATCTTCCTTGCAATACTGATGGTAATAATGCAGGTCTCATTGGCTCAGTTTTTTTGCAGTTGCCATACAGTGCCTTTCCATTCATTTAACCCCCCCATCTGAACGGAATACACAGATTGTTCAGCTGGAGTTTTTTACTGTAACAACAAGGAGACTTTGTTCTTCACTTAAACCAAATCATATTTCATATTTTACGCTCCAGGATTTTTACCAGTTCCTTTTTACACTCTTGAAATGGTTTTTAAGTCGTTTGAGACGAGATTTTTTTTCTTTCCTGGCAGCTTTTAACATCATTGCAACTTGTGTCTGGGAGCTGTTCAAGTTTAAAAAAAAAAAAAAATGAAGTTTGCCAGTTGTGAATAGCAGTATTTGCAACCCAGAAGGATAGGATTTTTGGATTTTGAAACTGGACCGGATAAATGGAACTTCGAGCTGCTGTATATAGTTCGTTGCACTAAGGGGGCTTGATAAAGGTTTTTAATCACAAAGTTCCAAGACTTCAATTTTCTTTTTATAACTGAGCTGGTTTAAAGGGCTGTGCTTTAGTAGGAGCCCTTTTCTGTTCTGAGGAAACAAGAGGGTACCCTTAAGGAATGTAGTCGAGCCAGCAGCACAGCCCATAGATTGTGCTGGGAGTTGAAGTTTTGATTTTGTTTTATTATTTCCCCTCTTTTGGAAGCTGTGTGCCAAAGAACCAGTGTCCTAAGTTCTCCCTTCTTCCTGCTGAGCTGATGTTGCATATTCCAGCTGCTCTTTGTGGGGTTTTGTGAAGCAGTATGTGAAGTCTCTACCTCATTGTAGTATATGCAGGCAAGACTGCACTCTCCTACAGATGCGTGGAGTAAGCTGTGATGTTCTTGGCACATAATAAACACGTTGCAGCAAATCCTCAGGTGCCCTTTTTTCCTTTGAGGGTGTGTGTGAGAGAGAATGTGTGTGTCTTGGAAGCTTCCAAACAGTCTTTTAAACAAAACAAAACGAGCCACTTTTTTTCTTTTTCTTTTTCGCATTTTTGATACAGAGAAACATGACATTGATAGTGGAAGGGACACTTGTTCTCCAGCCCAGCTTGAGGGTTTCCCACAGACTTCTGGCTGGTCACTGTGAGAACAGGATGCTAAGAACATAAAAGCCTGCTATATCATCATCAACCTTTATTACGGTCCAGAGACCCAACAAATCGTTACAAAGCAATACACAATTCATACAGCCTACCTCCAGGTTAAACAAGCATTTTGTTCAGAATATAGGGATCACTGGTTCTTGCAACCACCGATAAAAACTTTGCCACTGCTAATGTTCTAGCGTTTGTCCGGTCTTCCAATAGGAACCTGACATAGTGAGCCTCTGATTTTCCCGGAAAAGGTACCAGCAAGGGTAATACCAGTTCAGCCCTGGCTTTGTATTGAGCACACGAGCAAAGTCTGCCCTGGTAGGGAACTCCTCTCAACCTGCCATCCAACACTGCCGAAGGAAAGACGTTTAGTCTGGCTTTGGTAAAAAGCCTTCGATAATTTGGTACTGTCAGGTTTTTAATGTAAGATGTTAAAGACATGCCCATATTGTACTCCTACTGCCAGCGGACTACAGACTGAGATCGCAAGTCACTGTGTGCATTGTCCCATAATCTTAGCTTTAATGTCTTTAGGGTGCCTTCATAACCCAGGTAATACAGTTGGGGGGGTGACAGACCAATAGAGGTGGCTTTTTTAGCTATGGTTTTCTGCTATTTGCTGACAAATTCCTCATTGGTCAGGTGTTGGTACATCCCTTCCCTAGATCAAACACTGATAAACCGAGTGACTGCTATATCAGGCCAGTGACCGATCTTCTCCAGCATCTTGTTCTCACAGCGGCCAACCAGATGGCAAGCCCGCAAGCAGTGTTTGAGCACCCCTAAAGTGCCTTGCTGCATCCTCCTCACTGGAAATACACTACTTGGGATCTGTCTCATTTCATCATAACCTCCCAGCTGGTCCCTACCGTAGTTGGAGTAATCACACCAGGTTGTTGGGGAGACCTTTAGCACTGTACAGTGGTGCCCCACAAGACGAATGCCTCGCAAGACGGAAAACCCGCTAGACGAAAGGGTTTTCCGTTTTGGAGGTGCTTCGCAAAACGAATTTCCTATTGGCTTGCTTCATAAGACGAAAATGTCTTGCGAGTTCCTGCGGGGTTTATTTCCTCCCCCCCCCCTTTTCCCCAAGCCGCTTATCAGCTGATCCGCTAAGCCGCTTATCAGCTGATCCGCCAAGCCGCTTATCAGCTGATCCGCTAAGCCGCTAAACCGCTAATGGGCTTGCTTCGCAAGACGAAAAAACCACAAGACGAAGAGACTCACGGAACGGATTCTTTTCGTCTTGCGAGGCACCACTGTAATGCTGTAATGAGCAGGACTTTCTGTCTGCACGGCACCTTAATATGGTGCACTTCACCATGGCAAAGATCCTTTCTGATGCTTATGAGCAATCAAGTCCCATTCAGCAAAAGGTCCTCTCCAATGTTATTTGAATGCTTCCTGTTGGTCAGTAGTGCTCATTTTATTGCTTCCTGTTGAGCGTCATTGTGGGATTCCTGATGCAAAATATTGTAATTCGAATGGTCCCTCGAATGCCCTTTCATTACACTGTCAGTTTATATAGGAGGATTATTTTTTAAAAAAATACATCTCCCCCCCCCACCTTTGTAGGAAAATAGCATTTTTCTTCTTTCATTTCATTTGAATGGCTCCGCTCCCCCCCGCCACAGAAACTATCCTACTGTAAATTAAAGGAAAGTGTTAAGGGAGCCATTCAGAAGCACTACTGCAGTAATCCCACTACCATACTCGGCAAGAAGCAATGCATTGTACAACAGGAAATCTAAAACGCACAAGGGCTGCCATGCCTCTGTGGTGCTTTGCCCCCAAACGATTTGGCAACAGCATCATCCGAGTTCTCAAATGGAAACTTGAAAGTAAACAAAGGCTGGCAATTCTAGAGGAAAGGGCTAGTACAAAAGCAACCAGAATCTATTTACACGCGGGTGGGTGCACTGAAGCAGCCTCTGCCTTTTCTGGCCTACGTTCCCTTTCAAAGGCTTGCATTGTTCCCTGTGGATTATTAGACCAGCCAAGGCATCAAGTTTCCACACGAGTTGCATGTGAATAATGGATGAAGCCCAGGAACGCTCCATGGTGATGACACCTGGCTTTGCAGCATCACCCTGGGAGAGGCTGCCGGCGGACCCTGCGGAGGAAGCCAGCTGTCACGTCCCCTGTGTCAGAAGCCTGCTCTGTGTGGTGGTGACTGACCATTGGCTACTTCCCTGGCATCCTTGCTCTTATGAAAACAGACCTTCATTCTGTAAAACCATTCTCTCTAAAGCAGCATTGCACCACTTGAAACAGGCATGGCTTCCTGCAAAGGATTCTGGGAACTGCATTTGGTTGAACTGAGCATTGTTAGGAGACCCCCATTGCTCTCCGGAAACTACAGTTCCCAGAATTCCCTGGGAAGAGGGTTTGATTGTTAAGCCAGTCTGGGAGTTGTATGTCTGTGAGGAGAACAGGGCAGCCTTACTCTCTTGGTACTGTTAAACTACAGTTCTCAGGATTCTTTGGGTGAAACCATGACTGTTTAATGCTTCAAAATTATAGTACACGTGGAACTTTCATCTGAGTGTTGCCATTACAGAATACAGTAGGGAGGAAGAAGGTTGGGGCAAAAATTGGAATTGGTTGACAGGGCCTATCGTCGGTCAGGTGGACAAGGCAATATAATTTCCATAGCAGCAAAGCCTCAAATTATGTATTGGCTCAAATCCTAGTTTCATATATAGCTCTTGTCTCTCAGCACATCAAAGAAACGGATGAGACGTTAAGATAAGTGAAGAGAGTGATTGTCTGCCATTTACATTTGGCAAATAAACAACTGTCATCCCAGACAAAAGTTAAGTTAATTTTAATCCGTGTTCTCTGGGGCCAGGCATACATAAAAAGAGCATTTAAAAAGAGTGGCTTTGCTCAGAACAAGCTGGACAATTTTTAATTTATACATTTTTAGTAGGGTTTTGTAATATAAAGAAAACAAAGCCATCATCCTGATGCTACTGTTTCATGACATCCTAATTGCTGGCTGCCATGTCAGGATGTGATGGAAGTGTGATCCCATTTCTGCTTCTGGAGACTACTTAAGAACAGAAGCTGTTTTTCAGGTGACTATAGTGCTTCAAAAGCTGTCAGCAATGTACAAACTGAAGCATATCCAGCTGGCGTTCAGCACGGTCCCAGTGTGCCGCAGCTGTGAAAACGGTGAATTCCATGCTGGGAATCATTAGGGGGGGATTGAAAATAAAACTCTCGTAATGTTGCTGTGCAAATCTGGTGTTGACCCCATTTTGAATACTGTGTACAATCCTAGTCACCTCACTTCAAAAAATATTGTAGAGTTGGGAGTATGTTCTGTTAAGGAAAATTCTGTAATTTCCGTAACAGTTCAGAAAGGGGTAGCCAAAATAAGAGTGGAGTAACCCCCCTGTGAAGAAGGGTGATAGCACTTGGGGCCTATTATTGTTATTACTACTACTATGACTTATTTATTAAATTTGTATACTGCCCTTCCTCTATAGATGTCAGGGCAGTTCACAGCATAAAAATGCAATATAGAAATGCAATATACATAATTAAAAAAACCAAAACAATTTCCTCCTCTCCCAACCCCATCCCACAAACACATTTAAAAGGATATATGATGTTAGCCAAAAGCCTGGTTGAAGAGGAATGTTTTTGCCTGGCACTTAAAGGTCTATAATGAAGGCACCAGAGGAACCTACCTGGGGAGAGAGCATTCCACAAACAGGGAGCCACTGCAGAGAAGGCCGGTTCTCATGTTGCCACCGTCCAGACCTCATGGAGGAGGCACACAAAGAAGGGCCTCACATGGTGATTGGGGGTCTGGGTCAGTTTATATCTGGAGGGGCAGTCCTTGAAGTATTGCAGGCAGTCCTGAGCCATTTAAGGCTTTAAGATGTTAAAACCACCACATGTAACTGGGCCCGGAAGCAAATTGGCAGCCAGTCCAGTCAGGATGTAATATGCTCAACATCTTGCCCCGGTGAGCAGCCTGGCTGCCGAATTCTGCACCAGCTGAAGTTTCCAAACCATCTTCAGAGGCAGCCCCACGTATAACATTTTGAGAAAAAGCAAGTAAGAGTTGGCATGATGGAAGTTCATAAATTCTGCATATCATAGGGAAAGTGGATAGAGAAAAGTTTTTGTCTCAAAACACTGGTACCTGTGGACAGCAAATGCACCTGAATGTTGGAAGTTAAACTATGGAAGTCACTCCCACAGAAATCAGTGATGGACACCAACTTGGACGGCCTTTAAATAGGATTAGACAAATTCCTGTAGCATAAGGCTAGCTATGAAGACTGTTGGGCCTACATGGTTGGGGGCAGTAATGCTTCTCAGTACAAGTTGATGGAAACCCCAGGAGGAGAGACAGCTCTTGTCCTCCGGTTCTGCTTGTGGGTTCCCAACAGGCATCTAGCTGGCCAAACCTCTGTGCACTTTAGAACCAGATAGCTTCATTCAAGGAATTCAAATGCTAAGGCAATGAAACACAGTATAAGAAAGAATTTAAAATCAACGTTCTTGTTTAAAGGGGACATGCCCCGGACCACCTGAACAAAGCTTGTGGACCAAGCCACCAGCGTGACTTGTCATAAGGCCTATGAAAAGGAAGGCATGCTCTGTTTTCAGCTGAGGGTTGTGCAGGTGCCATTTGAAGCATCAACTATCCCAGAGAAGAGGTGGAGGTTAGGACCCAGTGGAGCTGCCTGCCTCTTTCCCAGCTGGGTCACTCCAGCCATTTGTCTTCAGTGCTGTCAGCAAGTTATACAGGGCTTTGTGTGAGGCATGTACCGAGCTTACCAGCCTCTCCTACCAGCAACCAACAGGTACCTGCAGGAGAAATGGGACAAAGCCAGTTATCAGGAGCACTGCAGGAAGGTACACTATAGACTACAAAAGGGATGTTGTTGGGGTGTCTTATTACAGCTGGCATATTCCTCACTTGTACCCCCAAAGCAAACTGTAGGGAGTGGGGTGGGGTGGTGGGCAGGTGCACAGGTAAAGACTTTTAAGGAAGAGAACCTGTGGGCACTTGAGATGCTGTTAAGACTACAGCTCCCATCATCCCTGAACATTGGCCATACTCACTGGGGGGTTGATGGGAGGTGGTGTCCAACAACATATGGAGAGCCATCTGTTTTAGAGGATACTTTACAGCAGGTGTAAATGTAGAAGAGACAGCTCTCTCCTCCCCTTGCAGGAAGGGATGCCTCTTGGAAGATAGAGCTCTCCATCAGCAGTATTTACAATAACTTGTACTTCATTAAAATAATAAAATAAAGTGGTTTAAATCTGCTGCTCAGTTACTTGGGGACATGTTTTACTTGATAATAAAATTATTAAATGTTGCAGCCTTATCATTATGCTTTCTTCTGTTCCACTTCTCCTTTAGAAAGGTCAGAGTGGCTTATATCACCAGACTCTCACCCTGGGTCTCAGGAAGCTGGACTTGGATGAAAACAATTTCAAATGCCTAAAAAACATCTTCCAAGATGATGTTTTTACTCCCCATGGCAGGGTGAAATTTAATAGCCCCAGAATGAGTCATTCATGGGTTTTGTTGCTGTTTGTACCTAAACGCTGCAGGAGAATCCCCAGCAGTTCCAAACAGGACTGGGAGAAGATTCCTGTTTGAAGCCATTCCCTGACAGTTTGGGTAATACCAATGTTCTAGTTACTTGACATAACACAGCTTCCTGTCATCCTATCTTTGAGCCTGATTTGCTGACATGATAGATCTGGGAGTCTTGTTAAAATATTTAATTGTAGCCATGTCTAGCTCTTGTGAGCTGTAACAATGCTGTCATCATATCTAAACTGACCGGTCAAAGAAATACAAGAAACAGTGTGAATCCAGATCATTAGCTTCAGATAGTCCTGACACTCTCTCAACCTTGCAGGTGGAACTAGCAGTTCCTGTGATCAACACAAAAGCCCCACCTACACCTTTGCATCTTCAGGTGAATTTGAAGAAACTCCAGGTATTGTGGAATGGACTGAACTGGATGCTCAATGTGGGCTTGTTTATGCAGTCACAATTCAGAAGTTTATATCCAAGAGGGTTGGGGATATCCTGGGATAACTGCCCCTTGCATATGAAAGGTGAATGAAAGGTGGTCTTCTGCACTCCAGAACTGAATGCAATTGTTGGGCTCACATATTTTTGGCTCAGCCAAACAAATCTCCAGATGGAAAATTAAATTGCCATCAGCCTCTCATGTTGTGTGTTTTCAGCTGGAAAGAGAACGCCAAGCTGTTCGGGACCAGGAAAACCGCTCACATTCTGCCAGACTTTGGCATATCAAGCAGTCGCCGGGACGGGTGGACAACTGGAACTTCTATTGCATCCACAGGTCTGTAAGTAGTGGGTTTAAATTAGGCATGGGCAACTAGTGGCCCTCAGACAAGTATTGTGGGTGGGTGGGCGGACAAGAAAGAGGGAATGGGGTGGGTGAGAGGAGGACGAGGATAAGGACACGTCTTGCACACCTATAGCCCTGTCTCTGCCCACCATCAGCATGTGGTCCCTGGCAGGTGACCCATGAGAAAATGGAGTCCTTGACAAAAGAAAAAGTTTCCCGAACCCTGGTTTAAACAGTGACTAGGGCAGGTTCAGCAGAGATGCCAGAGAGATCCAAGTTCTAGTCTGATGGTGGGAGGGAAAATACAGTGGTACCTCGGGTTAAGAACTTAATTCGTTCTGGAGGTCCGTTCTTAACCTGAAACTGTTCTTAACCTGAAGCACTACTTTAGCTAATGGGGCCTCCTGCTGCCGCTGTGCCACCGGAGCACGATTTCTGTTCTTGTCCTGAAGCAAAGTTCTTAACCTAAGTTACTATTTCTGGGTTAGCGGAGTCTGTAACTTGAAGCGTCTGTAACCTGAAGTGTCTGTAACCCAAGGTACCACTGTAATGCCAAAGGCATGGGTAGGCAAGCTAAGGCCCAGAGGCCAGATACGGCCCAATTGCCTTCTCAATCCGGCCCACGGACGGTCCGGGAATCAGCGTGTTTTTACATGAGTAGAATGTGTCCTTTTATTTAAGATGCATCTCTGGGTTATTTGTGGGGCATAGGAATTCATTCATATATTTTTTCAAAATATAGCCTGACCCCCACACAAGGTCTGAGGGACAGTGGACCGGCCCCCTGCTGAAAAAGTTTGCTGATCCCTGGCCAAAGGGCACCTCCTGACATCAATAAGCTATTTCCAGGAAGGGGGTGGAGCCAAATGCAATCTGAATTCAGATCATTTGGGGCTGGCTGTGGCTCAAAGGGGGCCAGGACGCGATGCAATAAACCTAGATCTAGAACAAAGGGTTTCAAGATGGAATGAGGAAGCTGTGGATCTCTGTACGCTTTTGGACTCAAACTCCCATCATCGCTGGCCATTGGCTATGTTGGCAGGGGCTGATGAGAGTTGGAGTCCTACAAGCTCTGAAGGTCCACAGCTCCTCCTCTCCTTCTTTAAAATAAGACCACCCCCTCCCCTGTGATCTGCTCTTCCCCGTACAGCTTGAATTGGGGGAAGCGGCAACGCGATCTTGCACACATCTACTGGGAGAACCAAGAGCTGGCGAAGCGTCTGGAAGGAAGGAGGTCAGAACTTGCTCAGGAACGCTGGCAGCAAGACTGGCACAAGGAGCAGCTAATCCGTAGCAGCATTGCCCGCTATCCCCGGGAGACAGTGAGCTGCCAGGTAGTAAGAGTTGGATTTGCACCGGTCGTGGAAAGTGGAAGGAGGAAAATCCATCTACAGTCCCCTCCTTTTAATAGACACTAGCCTAGGGGCTGCCAACACAACCCTGTGCCCACCAATACTTGTTTATTTATTTCTATTTATTTTAAGAGTTCTAACTCGCGCTTTCATAAAATATATCGAGGTGGCTTACAACATAAAATGCAGGAAGATCAATCAATAAATATCTGCAAAACACAATTGAAACAGCAATAGATTAAAAAGAAAAAATATTCTGAAGACCTGCCTAAAACAATTCAGCTTTAAAATAAGGCAGGGGCATTTCCTGCCTAACCTCTACAGGTAGTGAGTTTCACAGGGCAGGGGCTGCCATGCTAAAGGCTTGGTCCCTAGTGAAGGCCAACCAAAACTCAGGGTTGCGGGGAATCGCCTGAATTGCCCCATCAGAGGATCCCAGTGATCAAGGTCATGTATTAGCGATGTAGATCTTGGATTTTCTCCCCCAACTCTTGTGGCCAGCGTGCTTTTTATTACTATAAATAACACATATCAGATTGAAATGGTTGCCCCACCCCAGAATGTAAGATTAGAAGAAGGCCAATCTATTGTTTCAATTTCATGTTTAGTTCTATTTGTGCTGGTCTGCGGCCATCTTAAAATTTTCCTTGATTTGGTTTCTGCACCCATGCATTACTCCATTACAAACTAGGAGTTCACCATCACAGTGACATGAATTTATGGTAAAATAAATAAATAAATGAAATAATTGTCCAGTAGCACCTTAAAAAGGTAAAGGTACCCCTGCCCGTACAGGCCAGTCGTGTCCGACTCTAGGGTTGTGCGCCCATCTCACTTAAGAGGCCGGGGGCCAGCGCTGTCCGCAGACACTTCCGGGTCACGTGGCCAGCGTGACAAGCTGCATCTGGCGAGCCAGCGCAGCACACGGAAACGCCGTTTACCTTCCCGCTAGTAAGCGGTCCCTATTTATCTACTTGCACCCGGGGGTGCTTTCGAACTGCTAGGTTGGCAGGCGCTGGGACCGAGCAACGGGAGCGCACCCCGCCTTAGAGACCAACTAAGTTTGTTCTGGGTACAAGCTTTTGTGTGCATGCACACTTCTTCAGATACGATACTTGAATCTATGAATTTAAAGATGAGTTAAAAGTATATTAAGGGTGTGGTAACTTAATATACATTGTTAGGCAATGTGTAAACATCTACAGCAAGAGAACACGCCACTTATGTTTTTGTCTTAGTGCCAATGTGGCAATGCTCTCATTATGGGATACTCCAGTTCTGGGTCCTGAAAAGATACACGCGTATGTACTTTGAGTAGTCTCAGAACAGAAGTTGGCTGTTGAACTCATGATCAACCTTTACTAAATAGCAAAACCAAATAGTAAATTAACAATGTCACAGCAGCAATTAAATGGCAGGAGTGGGAAGGTATAATTAACAGGATCACTGCACCTCGTTCTTTATCACACTGACATACCATTCATTTTCAATCAGTTATTTATTATGATTAAGTTAGATACTGCTTTGGTGCAAAAAGGGCTCTGTTCCCTGCATGGCTGTGGTGGGAATGCCCCAAAAGTGGATGGATGGGACCAAAGTGTGCTTAGAGCCGGCAATTAATTGGCGGAGCAAAGCTGAATAATGCAACTCTGAAGTTACAGCAAAACTTTGACAGCAACACACTGCTCTTCCTCACCACCAAGGTAGTTAGTTTTCTTTGGTGGCAGTGAAAACTTCAGTCCATTTATAAAACTAGCCCACCGTTTCTGTCTCATCTGCACACCTAAGAAGTGCCTAACCATCAGCATTGTGTTTCCCAGGCAAGGAATAGGAGAAGGAGGCAGGCATGCCAGAACAACCATATTCCCCTTTCAGCCTCTGGCAGGAGAAACCCCAGCATAAACCCCAGCAGGACCCGTGAACCTTTCAGCAGCAAGAATCACAGCAGAATGGGCAAGAGCTTTTGGGGAAGTGAGAGTGAGTCCACCCAAGAAGAGGAGATAACAACCACCAAATGCTCACCTTCCTCTTTGGGAAAAAGAGATCTGGCCGGGCAACTCAGCAAAGAGACTTCTCTGCTGGCCAAGATTGCATCTGGAGGCTTCTGCCATAGACATGTTGATGGTTCCTTGGTCAGGACGGATTTGGCAGGGGGAGGTGCTCTTGAAAAGCCCAGAGGTGAAGCAATGATGATCAGCAGCAAACCTCGCACCTCTGTATGCTTAAGGGGGAACCTCGGACCTTTGGAGACCAGCCTGATGCCTGCTTCAGGGGACACGGAGAAGAAGGCAGCATTTTCATCCACTAAAAACATTTAACCTTGCTGTAGAAGGACTGGGAGGGCTCCCTCGTTTGAAGGGAAAGCCACCCTCTGGGTGTCAGTGCCTGTCGAGTGTCTATAAACCACCACTTGGGAAATATCCTGAGTGGTGTTGCGGTACATCAGGTGAAGCACTGAGCAGATTCTCCATCTCCTCTGCAAAGCTTTGGCGAAATTCTTTGGCCAAGGTGCATGAAAGCAGCTCTGGCCTGTTGCTCAGTCAGCCTGCTTATAGGCCAGAACAACGTGACAATAACAACTGCAAAATCATGAGCGTCACTGATCATTCATTTACATTACAAACTGTCTTATCATGAGTCACTGATCCTTCATTTGCATGACTATCTACGAGTAATCCCCCTAGCTGGCTTGACCTGGTATAACCTTGCACAGTTAAGTCCATTATATCTTCCATTGAAAGGTGATGGAAAAACCCCTTCTCTTACGATGACCCTGGAAAGCCTCTACAGGTCAGACTAAACAATACTTCACTAGATCAGAAAGTAGTTTGGCCAAGTATAAAGCAGCTTCCATGTGCTTTTGTCAACCTCTGGCCTCCAGATATCAAATACAGCAGGACATATGATTGTGCCCAGCTCCTAATATCTGCTTCAGAGGCTCTTCTGTCTGTCAGTAATATAAATTAGGTTGGCTGATAGCAGGTCAGGGCCTTCTGGGTGGTGGTGCCTCCAGAGTTGGGTGGCATCCTTCCCAAGGAATTCAGTCAAGTCAACCTCTCTTGTAGTCTTTAGATGTGGAGTAAGTACTTTATTTCTCATCTTACATTGACCGTGTTTTACATTTTAATCATGCATGTTTGTGGTGGGTTTGTTTTTTCGTTTTGTTTTTTGGTGACTTTATTGTTATTGTGAGCCACCTTGGAATAATTTTATTCTTAAAGATGGAATGGTTGATTGAATAAATAAAAAGTCTAATGGTTTAACATCGTTGCTACAGCCTATGGCCAAAAGAATCAAGTGGGGGGAAATAATTTACAAAAAATGTTTTGGACATCCACTGCCCAGCAGTAGGGTTAGAAGAACAACGGAACTCTTTTTGCCCTGAAAAAAGAAGCCTTTCTTTATTTTGTTTTAAATAAAATTTTATTTATTATTTCTTTGCTCCACAGAGCTCAAGGTTCTCCCTCCTCCAGACCCTCTTTCCCAGGTAGGTCACTGATTTAGAGAAGCTGTCCCGGGTTATGATTTGATCCTGGAATGCCCCACTTTTCTTCAGAATGCCCGTATTTTCATTGGAGCCATTTTATCTAGGTAGGCTAGGTAGTGACTGGCTGAAGATCATCCAGTGAGCTTTCTCTGTGAATGGGGATTTTAACCCTTTCCTTCCAGGTGCTAATCAAACACCCTAACCCCTATACCACACTAACATGTTTTAGTGGTGCTTTATAGAATTGTGCATATATATATATATATAAAGATTTTGTAAATCTAAGTTTGACCTCATTGAGGGGCAGTATTTCAAAATGAGTAGAAAAAAGCACTGTGTATTTGTGTGCGCACACACACACACACTGGTTTGAAATTGTTTTTAAAATATATTTTTTATGTACTGCCCAGAGAACAAGAGTAACTGGGCTGATACTGATAAACCGAGTGACTAATTAACTGAATTAACTGTCTTGTCAAGACTGTAAAGCGCCGCAGATTTTAGATTTTATTGCAAGGCTTTGAAATAACCCTGTACTCCTAAAACTGAAATTATGTTAGATGGGGATGATTTGCCACTCCCTCTCCCGCCCCCATTGGGCTCCTGTTCATTTAAATGTCTCCAGACAACCAAATTCTCAGGACGTGGAGATTCATTCGGCAGTAAATCTATTAAGGGGTAGTTAAAACAGCACGGGGAGACGTGCAGCTCAAGACTGCAACTCCCACCAGCCCTAACAATTGACTGTGCTAGCTGGGGCTGATGAGAGTTGTAGTTCATCTGCAGTCTAGGGCAGACCCATCCCTGAGGCAAGGCGATGTAACTGCCTCAGGTGGCAGGATCCACAGGGGCAGCATGATCCCGATGTGTATCTTTATCCCCCGCCCCCGCTCCTGATGTAGATCTTCAAGCACCCCTTCTTCCCTGGCAGCTGAGGGGAGCTATTTTAGGGTTCGCTTGAGGTGACAAAATGCCTTGGGCGGGCTCTGCCTGGAGTAAACTCATCCATTTGCCAGTGCCCACAGTAGTACAGTGTGTCTGGTTGGTGGTTCGAGCCCACCCAGGGACGGCTGTGGGCAGAATTCCTGCATTGCAGGGGGGTTGGACTAGATGACCCCGGGGTGTCCCATGATTCGATGATTAAGCGAGAAACGGACCTTTCTGGAGGGAATGCCAGCGCGGGAGAAAGGCGGGTTATAAATATCTTAAGTAATAAATGAAATCAGACAACAGCCAGCAATTTCAAGTACCGCAACGCGAAGCGGGGATTTATTCTGAATGGATTCTTACGGCTTCAGTCACCTTCGTCCAACATGAGCCGGAAGTGAAGGTTTGCTGCAAAACGCCCCGAGCCTCTCTCCCTCTATATCACGCCGGCCTGTAAAAAAGCTCCCTCCGTGCCGCTAGGCGGCGCTGGGGAGACCGGCGACGTCGTTTTACTTGGCTGGTCCTTCTAGCCCACAGCGCTTTATAGCTCTCTTCCCGGCATGCTTTGCCCTCTTTTGGACCGGCCGCCGTCGACATGGTGAGCAGGAGGGCGGCGGAATCCGAAGCCATCCGCCGCCGGGGGGCCATTGGAAAGGGAATGCGGGGTGGAATTAGCACCGGCGGAGGGGGCTGCAGGTCGCCCGGTCGGTAGTCCGGAGGTTAAGCCCCCACTTCTTGTCCCTGCGGGCTGAACCCGACTTGGGGGGTGGGGGGTGCCCTGTTTCTTCCGGTACAGAGATGGCTGCATTCCGTGAGTGAAGGCTCCAAGGCCGTAGTTAGGCCGGCCAGGCCTTGCATGCATTTGGGGGGGGGGTGCGGGGCGGCGGCTGGGAGATCCAGTGGGAGATCGGGTTTTGTCATGGCGGCGGAGGCGATCCGTGCAACCTTTTCGTAGGCCGCTGTTAACTCGCGATGGGAGAGAAAGGGAAAGGAAGGATTGGGAAGGAGCCGAGTATAGGGCAGCCGCCTTCTCTTTCTGGACCTTGGGGCGCCCTGATCCCCGAGTACCTGTCAGACGGTGAGAAATCCGGCAGAATCAAGTTTCCCTTTGGCGTGATGGGGCAGCATGTGTATTTGCGTGTGCAGCAATGCATCTGGGTATCAGGGGATTTTAGGCTTACGATTCAGGTATAGGAGAAAAGGTGTCTGGCGTGTGTCTCTTAAATATGGTATTCTCACCTCAAGTCTTCCTCGACCTTAGCTGACCGACCATTAAAAATGCTGTTGAAAAGTAGCTCACCCCGACTTTTGCCCTCCCCTTGCCAAAGTGCCTAAGGTTTGTCCACACTTTCATTTGGATGTGACCCACCTGGATTTGTGGACAATTTAAGGCTGGGCAAGGACTTTCCTGCAGCTAGCTTGGGACCTTTTCCCTGCTGTGCCTGGGGGTAGTGGTGCTTTTTTATGTTTTCTGGCCATGAATGGGTAGTGCTGACCCTTTGCTCTATGAGTTACTGAAGTTTACCCCAAGTTTAGAAGCTTCTGTCTCACCCTTGCCAAACCATGGCCTAAGCAGTGACACAAGGCATAATGTTTGTATGTAGCACAGTGCAACGTATGCCCCGTAAATAAGCTTCCCTTCTATTTAATAGAATTCTATTAAATGCACCTCTAACTCCTGATAGAGGTTGTGTTTAAACATCAGTCAAAAAGTTGTGAATGTGAAGCCTTAGCATGTTCTTATTAAGTCCCATCTTCTCCAGGTGTTTTGGATTGCAACTCCCATGGTCTCTGGTGTTTGGCCATGCTGACTGGAGCTGATGGATGTTGTAGCCAAAAACATCCGAGAGTCCCAGTTTGGGAAAGACTGCCTCAAAGGGACTGTTTCTACCAATGTCACCTTTTCTGAACCCTTTTGAGATAAGGCTGCACACGTCTGCCACCTTGCCCCTGAGTGTGTTGATAGTAAGGCCATTGAGAGGGAAGCTGCCTGGGGATTCTTCCACTCTTTGCAGCGGAGCGGTTCTCAACCTGTGGGTCCCCAGATGTTGTTGGACTACAACTCCCATCATCCCTGAGCTCTGGCCTTGCTAGCTAGGGGTGATGGGAGTTGTAGTTCAACAACATCTGGGGACCCACAGGTTGAGAAAGGCTGCTACAGAAAAGGCTAGGCTGAAGATTTTAAGCCCCTTGCAAAATTTATTGTGTAGCCATTCTGTTGCATCTTACTGATTTTGCTTTTTTTGGTCCTTTGACTCTCCCAGGGACGAGTGCGCACAAAGACGGTGAAAAAGGCCGCCCGGGTCATAATTGAAAAATACTATACCCGTCTTGGGAATGACTTCCACACAAACAAGCGAGTATGTGAGGAGATCGCCATCATCCCTAGCAAAAAGCTGCGCAATAAAGTTGCTGGGTAGGTTGTTTGGTTCTGATCTGCTAGCACATGCTAGGTGACACAATGAAAATCTTACAGCCAACTGCTCTGGGGAGGTTCCAGTGAGCTAGACACCTTTCTTAACAACCTGCATCGAAAGTGACTTTGGTCTTGTTTGTGGCCTGGTCATTGATAGTGCAGGAAGAGAATTCTTGATAGCATTTCCCGTGTTTGGAGGGTTAATTCTCATCCCTATCAAACCCTGAGCTTCTCAGACACTCCTGTGGGCTTCTCCTTAATTAGCCAGAAGGTTAGAACGGGTGGAAGATTATTTCTTGTGTGTGTCTTCAGTTTTTCCTTAATGGGACTTGAGAGAATCACAGTCAAACTTAATCAGACACCCCTCTCTTTGCAGGTATGTTACCCATTTGATGAAACGCATTCAAAGAGGACCAGTTAGGGGCATCTCCATCAAACTGCAGGAAGAGGAAAGAGAAAGAAGAGACAACTATGTCCCTGAGGTAGGTTTCGAAAGCTCAGATGAGTTACTTGTGGTGCATAGATTCTCCACTCTCTTCAGACAGCAAGGAATCTATTGCCTCTCCTTTTTTTGCATGCTTTGAGAAGTTGCATGTATTATTTTGACATTCTTGGTCCAGTACACTTGGCATACTGTACATGCTCTCTAAGAAATGCAGCATACACCTAGGTGGCCTTACTGCTAACTCAACTTCTATCTCCCAGTGTTGTAACAATGAACAAATCAGGTCACAGGTGAATGTAATGCTGAAAGCCAGTTAGGAATGCCTCAAAAGGGTGATGGACACTAGGATATGGCATACTTGGATATGAAACTAGCATTGCATATTGTTGTTTGAGTTGGTCCTTGAGAATTGGACACATTTAGGTAAGAGTATAGAACCTAGTCTAATAAAGGCTGTCTGTAATCTTATGTAACACAAAGTTCCTACCATTTTCTCAGTGCTGTACTTACATTATTACCTGAGACAATCCCCGTCCACAGGCCCATAGTTAATACAAATGTTACAAAAGGAACGGAGAGGGAAGAGGAAAGCAAGCCTCAGAACAGTTGCAGCTAGGATATGCTGTGCTTGTTCACTGACATGGAGAAGGACTGACAAACCTGCATCGAAAGTGATTGTGGCCTGATCATTGATACTGCAGGCAGAGAATTCCTGAAAGCATTTCCCGTGTTTGGGGGGCTTCTTTCCATCCCTTCCAAACCCTGAGCTTTTCAGACAATTTTTTTGTGTGCTTAATGCAGTAGTGTGGTCACTACTTGAGACTTCTCAAATGCTGTGTGGTTTTTTAAAAATGCCTTTTAGTAATAAGGGGCAGTTTTGCTGGACTCTTATCTACCTGTGTCATGACAAAAACCTTACTCCTGATTTTCAAAACTAGTGGCTGGTAATCTCTTTGCAGAGAAGCATCAGAGCAAAACAGCTTATGTACACAACCTCTCAGTAAAACACTCCATTTCTTTTCGAATAACTTTCAGTGTCAGTGTCTTTTCTGACTGCTTGTAGCCAAATTCTAGGCCAGAACCCTAGTTGGCTAGGACTGAGTACAGGCTTCCATTTCACTTTTGTTTAGGCACTACCCATCTGATGTGGATTTTCACTTAAGCTGCATAGGAGGAATGGGCTAGTTTCTCGCTTGCTCTGCATTGGCAGCGGTTGGCTTTCTTATGAGTGTTTGTAGGAACAAGACCAAGGGCTTTTTTGTTCGTTCACAACTTGCCTTTTCACAGTTTAAAGCAGCATATTTATTGATCCTATTGAGAGTAGCCAATACAAGCAATACAATACAAGCCTTGTTAAAAATGTAGCATGAAGAAGTATTATGAGATGTTTACCATTGTTCTGGCTAAAAAAGCAAGATCCAAGAAGCCTGTAATCGACAGACCTTTGGTACTTTCGGAATGAATCAAGACGGGGGTCACTTCCTGGGGACTTAGTGTTGTTTCTTATGGATTATCCACCTAGTTAGGATACCACTGGTATGACTTCTAGGATGCAGTTGGGAAGTTGAAATGTGAGGAGTGTCTGGTTCTTGTTTCCTGCCTAGTAATTTGCTTCCATGTACTGAAGATTGCTGTTCTCACACTGGCTCCTCTGCTTATGTAAAATCACGTTTCAAATGTGTCATTGCCTGATGTTTCTAATTAGTATTTTGGTAAATATAAGCCTAGATTATTAAACCTTGAGCAGTTGTCATGGGTGATCCATGTGTATGCTTGGTAGACCAAGAATCTGGGTATTTAATGGAGCAATAGAAATAGCCCTTCTGGTTTCTTTGATGAACTATGAAATACTTTCCCAGTCGCCATACTCTGGGGTGTGTTTGTGTGTGTTGGCCAAGTGCTGTCTCCTGTCACTTCCCTTTCCTGATCTATTCTTAGAGCTCTGTAGCTGCTGGTGATAGGCTTTTGTCAAGAAGATTCTGCTCCTTTTAAGCATTTTCATTTTCTTCTGAAAGTTGCCAGAAGATAGTGCAAGGCAGCCCAAATCTTGAAATTTTGACTGTAGCTCCATCTAATTTGGTACTGCTGGCATGTTATGCATGAATTTATCTGCTTACAACCGCTGTTGGTGTCACAATGCACTTAATGAATGGTAACTGTACATAGGTGGAGGGAAATTGTCATATATATGTTACAATCCTAAAATGTGTTCCCTTAGTAAGTTAAGAGATTAGTGTGACTGATGGCACCAGAATGAAAACTTTGACTGTAAAGTTGGGAGATGATTGTACAGAGCCCATTCCCATACCAGAGAAATCCACTCCAGTGTCGTAATATTTGTGGACTGGTGTATATTTTGATATTGCTATTGGCACACTGTTTTGGGGTGCTCCTCCTCCATTTTTTCTTTTAAGCCAGTCATTAGTAGTGGCCTCAAGCAGACTACGGAACCATTGTCTGGTATAATGTTTGTATCACATACATGTGCTGTGTTGTCCTGGTGTTAATTGTGTTTATAGTCTGTTGACCACTATTTAAACCAAATCTAACCTCTATCTCTTTCCCCATCAGGTCTCTGCCCTGGATCAGGAGATCATTGAAGTGGACCCTGATACCAAGGAGATGTTGAAGCTCCTGGTGAGTGGGGCAAGGGGATTGGCACATCTCCCAATAGGAACTGCTCTTATAACCGTCAGCTAGCTACTTCTTGAGAATCACTGTCAATGCAATGTTCTCTGTGCATGTTTTTTTTTTTTTAGTACCAAGAGTCACACTGCCAGGCAGCAGTATTCAGAGTATTCTTGGGGGTATTTTTCTTGAATGTTGAGTGTTAAATGGTCATTGGATCTTGTTGGCTAAGCCAGACTGCTTGGGAGATCATTATTGTGTTCTCCACAAATACAAAGTGCTGTTGTTTATTGTGTCAGTTTTGTACACCTTTCAAGTTAGCCTCAAAAGTTAAATGACATTATTCCTTCGGCTAGTCAGGATAAGGGAATGCCCTCTTTATTTATCAACACTGAAATCTGCTTGGTGTGTCTTTGCTAAGTGTTCGCTGTTCTGTGTTTCTTCCAGGACTTCGGCAGCCTATCCAACCTGCAGGTCACACAGCCTACTGTAGGGATGAACTTCAAAACCCCAAGAGGCGCCATCTGAAGCCATTGTCAAATTTTCACTTTTAAAATAAATATATAGAAACAAAGCTGTGACTTGTGTTCTTGTGTGTCACATTTGCGTCATCTAAGTTTGATACAATACTGTGTGGAGGGGCTCTGCTGTGGACATTCTTAACCCAGGCCAAGATCTGGCTTACGGGGGCCCATGAGAAGAGGGGTTTTCATGCACAAACTAAGCACACTGTTGTGCTGTATGTAGCTGGATTGACTATGAGCGACATTTAGGAAGGTGAATGTGCAATGTCACTTGAAAAATGCTTCCCCCTTAAATTAGTGGAGGATCAGATCAGAGATTACTACATACCCAGAACAGTGGTCTGTGGTGTGTCCCATTCTGTGAGAGAAACCAAGAACCCAGTTTTGTGTCACAGAAAAAAGCCAAAAAGTGTTCTGTAGTGTCAAAACAGAGGAGGCTCATTGGTACCACTGGACTTGCAGCTGAATCTTGGAGGCCTTATATAACGTAAGAACTACTTTGATAGAGAAAGGGTAGAAGGTTCACAAGCTGATCAGTCAAGACATGTCCCAGTTGCTTTTGTCTTGGACCAGTGGTAAACCTTGTGGGAGGCAGTTCCCTGTGTTCATTGTAGCTTTGCCAAATGTATGTTCATTGTACCAGTGCTGGGGGGCTTTTGGTTCTCCAGATGTTGGATTCAAATTCCCATCAGCCCCAGCATGCACGATCCAAGGGATGATGGAACAGAATTCTGTAAGGCCAGTGGTAGGCTGCTTTGTGAATGCTTACATTAAAAGGCAAAATATTATATGTAACTCAATAAATATTTGGAGAACTGCAGCTTGGGGGAGGGGGTAGAAATTTATGTTTTGCATGGACAATGCTCGGAGAGTTACCTTAAAAGCCTTCACTGGTCAGGATCTCCCAAGTGATTTATTGAAAAAATTAAGGAGAAGACAAATCAAGCATCTGAGATGTACTAAAGAATACAAGCAGATGACACACTTGAAGATGAGATTACAGTGGTATCTGGTTACAAACGCTTTGGGTTACGAATTCTGCTAACCTAGAAGTAGCTGCTCTGGGTTGCCCCAGAATGAGAACGGAAATAGTGTGCCCGCGGCAGCTGGAGGCCCCATTAGCCAAAGTGCGCCTCGGGTTAAGAACAGACCTCCGGAACACATTTAAGTTCATAACCCAAGGTACCACTGTATTGACTAGAGTAAAAATACAGAATATGAGTAATTTTCAAGCAACATTTTGTAAGTTTTCAGCTCTACACAGATCTGTGTATTTCTATATATGTTACATGTAACTAATCCTTAACTGATAAAATCTGTTCCATTCCCCCTGGACACACTTGCCTGTCACTTGTTCAATGATCTCCCATCATTCCCAACCTTTCCTACTATACTTCTGATGTAATGCTACAGTTTTAACATTTTGTGTTGGTGTCTAATCACTGTTAGCATTTTTTGTTATATGGAACTGTGAAATAAAAACGTTTTAGGAAATAAAAATAACCCTGCTAATCTTGTAAACGGATATGATCATCTACCAGAGAAAGTAAGAGGGAGATTTACCAGGAATGGCCACGATCCCACTGTTCTCCATCATTTGCATCTGCAGAGCTCTCTTCTAAGAACCCAAGCACAGCCTGTTCCTGCTTAGTGAAATAAATACACCAGCCTCTGCAAAGGTCAACAGACCCTGAAACAAAAGGAAAAGGTTCCCTTCTCAGAAAACATGAAGGTCATAAAGATAAAGGACCCCTGGACTGTTAAGTCCAGTCAAAGGCGATGGGTGCAGCGCTCATCTCGCTTTTCAGACTGAGGGAGCTGATGTTTGTCCACAGACAGCTTTCTGGGTCGTGGCCAGCATGACTAAACCACTTCTGGCACAATTGGACACTGATGAGCGCCAGAGTGCAGGAAAACACTTTTACCTTCTCACCGCAGTGGTACCAATTTATCTACTTGCACTGGTGTACTTTTGAACTGCTAGGTTGGCAGAAGCTGGGACAGCTATGGGAGCTCACCCTGTCGCCAAGCCTGAGAGGCTCAGTGGTTTAGGTCACAGTGCCACCCGCATCCCAGTTATGTAATAGGACAATCCAAAAAGCTGGTGTGTAGAAGCTGTTTCCTCCAAGAAGAAACACCAATCTTTGTTTCAAGGAAAATACCGGTATGCTTGTTGTTTGTTGCAAAGATTATTGTAGTTGCTACCAAAGCCTGGAAAGCCCAAGACATTATTCTGTTAAGTGAGGTGCATCAGGGCACAAATACTTGCCCCAAGCAAATGTGGAGCACTCCAGCTAGCAACCAGGGAAGGAAGAGGAGGCGACTGTCAAGTGAGGGGGGGGGATTCCTTTAGCTGTGGGCCATGGATTATTTGCCAACCTGCTGCCCTCCAGATGTTTTTTTGTTTTTACTATAACACTTGATTTTTTAAAAAAAACCTTAATTCTCTGACTTGTCAAAACGTATTGTCCAACTAATTCACATAATGCATAAAAACCCCTACATTCCTGATGAAAACAGTTTGTTCCTTTATTTTAGATGTTTATTTATTAAATGTAAAACAAAGTGATATGTCTCTTCTGACAACTGGTATTCTAACAATTAAAAACACGCTAACAACAACCAACTACAACATCCAGCCTAATTTTTGAACTCCCCCCCCCCTTTTTCTCCCTGCTGTGTGTCAGCAGTTTGTGAAACTGAGGTCAGCCCTAATAAAGGTATTGCCCAGTTATAGATTTCTGCTCTCAGCATGGATTGGTGGGGTCACCTTTGCTTTTTGATCTTCTTCCGACTTTTGCCACTGTATTGCACTCTAGAAGGGCACAACAAGGTGGGATTTGCTGGGGGGATGGGGCAGAGCAAACCCAGAGCAGCGCCTCATCCTGTATAATACAGGATTGTCCCCTATGTCAATGTAAAATACTGTGTCCTATACTGATACAGTTTCGTCTTGCATTTCAAGTCCCCCACACCACCAAGTTAGGGATCCCCTCCACATGCATGTGTTTGGAAAGGTGTGTGAAAGGCCATGTATTTAAGCTCTGGGTAGCCAAGCTCAGATTTTACAAAGTCATGTCCATGTGTGTGCAAGGGGGCATGAGTGTGTATGTGTGACAAATTCCAGAGGGGCCATCCTGTTAGGCTGCAATAGATTGTAATGGATTGCTTTTGTTATAGGAATTCTAAGGTCTTAAATATAGAATAAATGTTGATAACTGCACAAAGTAAACACACATATGTAAGTATATAAACCGCATGTCTAAAACAGTACAGGAGAGCAATCCAAAAGCCATCTGGGCTCTCCTAAAGACTCTTAAGTATTTCCCCTGCCTCCTTCATCCCCCTTGCCTGAGAACAGGTAGGCAGATAGCAATCAGGGGAAGTTCCAGAAGGGATCCCTCTCCTATATCTATGAACCTCCTTTGTATTAAATGTCATTGTTTGCCCAGATGCTCTGCATTGAGGGATGTCTGATGGGCATCCCAATGGTCTTACCAAATGCTAACATTTTGTGTAAACTATGTAAAACTTGCTAAATCCTCAAGAATATCACCCCTTGACCTGCCTGAGTCACAGTAACCCCACCTTAGGTAAAGGGACCCCTGACATTAGGTCCAGTCGTGGATGACTCTGGGGTTGCGGTGCTCATCTCACTTTACTCGCCGAGGGAGCCGGCGTACAGCTTCTGGGTCATGTGGCCAGCATGACTAAGCCGCTTCTGGCGAATCAGAGCAGCACATGGAAATGCTGTTTACCTTCTCGCTGGAGTGGTACCTATTTATCTACTTGCACTGGGACCGAGCAATGGAAGCTCACCCCATCACAGGGATTTGAACCGCTGACCTTCTGATCGGCAAGCCCTAGGCTCTGTGATGAATTTCTGACTGTTTGTGGAACGGATTGTCCTCCTCCTCCATGCCAAAATCCAAACCCTTAAAGAGATGTTTCTTCTTGGTTCGAGGTCTCTCTTTCCTCTTGGCAAGGAGGGGAGGGAGCTCTGTTGCAACAGAAAAATAAAGATCTGCCTTGCTTTCACTGCATCTTGCCTCCATCATTCATCTCTGACCGATCATGGACTTGGGGGGGCTCAATACCTTGGGGAGCTGGGCAACAAAAGCCAACCACCTCTATTTTTCCTATATCACTTTTGCACGAGATGGAGGGGGGGTTTAATCTCACCACCACCAACCGCCCTACCCCGTCCTGTATTTTGCACTGCCAGCTTCCTCCTTGCAAACCAAGAGAGCAAGAGGAGCAACCATCTTGCGCCGCGCACGCTGCATAGTGGCAGGGAGAAAAGGGAGCGCGCGCGCTCGCTTCCTGCCTGTCGACCACTAAATGCGCGCAGAGGAAGGATCCTGCCGCACCGCCTTCTAAGGGTTAGCTCGACGGAGCTGGATTCCTAGAGTGGAGAGTTGATTTATTTATTTTTTTGGAGGGGGGCGGGGAGGGAGAGGGAAGAGGAGGGGCGTCCTCCATATCTAATGCCCGTTCCCCTCCCGGATCCACCATTGGGGGAGAGAGAGCGGCCTTTGTCTTGCCACACAGCTGCATCGGGGCGATTTGGTGAGAGGCGCTGGGCTCATCTGGGCGAAGGGGAGCCCCGGGAGGCTTGCAAGGAGAGAGGGGGGGGGGGAGGAAGCTAGGAGTGGGGCGGGAAGACCCAGAGGGAGATCCTTGGCCCAGAGCCCAGCCAGTGAGTGGAGAGAAAAGGCGCAAGAAATGTGGGTCGCTTGCAAACTGGGAGGGGTCCTTTGCGGAGCTGGGAAGAGCGAGGCGAGCCTAGCTCTCTGTTTCGCCCCAAAATGGACAACATTCCCCGCTCCCCGCAGTATTGGGGGATCCGTTTTCAGTCGTCTTCTCTGCAAAAACAAGCAGGCCTCTTGAATTCGGCGATTTTTAAAAACGGGCGCAAAACGAACCCACCTGGTTCTTCGATTATATATGCCTCTACTTCGATTAGAATGAGCGATCCCCTTTGAAAACCGAACAAACCTCGCCTCCCCCGGTGCATTTTTGCACGGGGCAGAGCAGTGCTGCCGGGGGGGGTATTTTTAAGCAGGACGCAATTTCCTTTAAAGGGGAAGGCTGAAAACAAGAGGGAAGAGAGAGAGCCCAGTCGGTAGATCGCGAGATACTTACTTTCAGGGTCGTGGGTTCGAAAGATTCTAACACTGCAGGGGGTTGGGCTAGATGACCCTCGCGGTCCCTTCCAATTCTGTGATTCTGTGGTCGTTCTCGGTTGTTGCAGAGCTTGAGGATTCCGCTGCTTGGGAACTGGTTACTTTCCTGTGCAAACCTTTGCTTTTGCTCTCACAAGGCAGTTCTCAGCTGCGCGAGAAAGAGAACCTGCATGTACCCTGCCAGTATACCAGAGAAATGTTACTTTGTTTTACATTGTTCTCCAAATATAACTAAAATAGAGAAAATAAAATGGGTTTTCCTTAGAAATGGGCAGTTTTCTTTGAGTTCCATTGGACAAAAAGGCAGATAATTAATAAAGTGCAGTATCACCCATCCAGTGCTTTTTTTGTCGTGGCCCCAGTCACAGTGCCGCCACCCCACCCTCACCCCCGGGCAGGGGCTAAATGTCATTAATATAACTCAAGCAGGCAATGATATGGATTAGAAATGGCCACAACTTTATTGATTACAGATCTAGGTGGATTTTTGGTTCAGGCATTGGGTGTACAGTGGTACCTCGGGTTACATACGTTTCAGGTTACATACGCTTCAGGTTACAGACTCCACTAACCCAGAAATAGGACCTCGGGTTAAGAACTTTGCTTCAGGATGGGAACAGAAATCGTGCTCTGGCGGCGCGGCAGCAGCAGGAGGCCCCATTAGCTAAAGTGGTGCTTCAGGTTAAGAACAGTTTCAGGTTAAGAACGGACCTCCAGAACGAATTAAGTACTTAACCCGAGGTACCACTGTATATCTGTTCCAGCATCCCCAGACAAAATAATAATTATTATTTAATTTTTAAAAGGTAGGGGAACTCAGTTCCCCCAGGTTTCTGCTAAAACAACAACCACCACCCTGCAACCATCAAGCAGCAGCCTTGATTTAAACTATTTTCACAGTAGCTTAAGAGTAACAGGCTTAAGGAGAACAAGGCAGTGAGGAAAAGGGGTTGCTAGAGGGAGGGAAGTGGGTTCAAGGTTTTAGCAAAAGGCATTCACTGCTTTTCCTTCTGGGATGAGTCCATGTTGGTAGCAGGAAACATCCATACAGTGGTGCCCCGCAAGACGAATGCCTCGCAAGACGGAAAACCCGCTAGACGAAAGGGTTTTCCATTTTTGAGTTGCTTCGCAGGACGAATTTCCCTATGGGCTTGCTTCGCAAGATGAAAATGTCTTGCGAGTCTTGAGATTTTTTTTTCGCTTTCCCCCCCTTTATCTAAGCCGCTAAGCCTTTAATAGCCTTTTAGCAGCTAATCCACTAAGCCGATAAGCCTTTAATAGCCGCTAAACCGCTAATAGCACTAATCTGTTAAGCCGCTAATGCGGAAGGGATTAATTTCGTCTTGCGAGGCACCACTGTATTTGTTGGGGGGAAGTCTTCCTTGCCTGGGCCATTAATGGACCTAACAGAAGGATGTCTTGGCTTTGCAGGCCTTATCAACACCACTAGTTAGGGACATCTCTGCCTTGAGACGAAAAGCTGGCAGGCAAAAGACGCAAGCCTTCTCTCACGCTGGAGGCTTCCAAGATGGAAGAGCAAGACTCCGCTGCCTCTGAATCAGGAAGGAGCCCTGAAAACATCAAGATTGGGAGCAGCGGGGAATCCTGGGAGAAAACCATGCAGAAGACTCTGAGCGAGAACTTGCTCAGAGCTGATGTGCAGCACCAGCGCTTCAAGCAGTTCCGCTACCAAGATGCCGAGGGCCCCCGGGAAGTGTGCAACCGCCTCCACGACCTTTGCCATCAGTGGCTGAAGCCGGAGCAGCACACGAAGATCCAGATCCTGGACTTGGTGATCCTGGAGCAGTTCCTGACCATCCTTCCACCGGAGATGGAGCGCTGGGTCAGAGAATGTGGAGCAGAGACCAGTTCCCAGGCAGTGGCCCTGGCAGAGATTTTCCTCCTGACTCAGGCAGAAGAGAAGAAGCAGGAAGAGCAACAGGTGAGAGCACTTTGTTCCAGGGGCCCAGGAATGTGAGGGAGGATACCCTAAAACTCCCCACTAATTGTCCAGCTGTTTGGGGAAATAATATCTGCAATCCCAAGGCCTTTGCTTCTGATCACTCCTTTTCTCTCTAATCAATGTCTTCTCCCTAGTCAGTGTCTCGGATCTTGTTGATTTTTCAGGGGCAGGGGCTGTTTGGTGCTGATTTCTCCGAGGCAGAGAAGACTTCAACAGACACCAAACACAGCCCCCTACGGAAGGGGATCATGCCAGAGGGTGACGGTGGGACCAGCTGGCAAGGTATGGATTTGAACTTGGTCTCCCCTATTGAGGATGTAAGAAACCTGTGGGCTCTTTTTGTGCCTCCCTGGGTCTCCCAAGTCTCCAGTCTTTTGCCGTAATTCAAAAAAATGGGTTGCTTGTTCAGTATTTGGAAGACTTTGCTAGCACTTTGAATTGTGCCCAAGATGAAAATGGGGAAGAGCGTTTTCACCCAAATTAAATATAAAATGGGTATAAATGTATTCTGACAAGACATTTTGTAACATTCATGTGTGCTTCGACATGCACCACTTAAATCTCTGAAGCAATGATGTGTTACTGCAGTGATGTGGGTGGCCTTCCAAATGATGTCTGAACTACAGCTCCCCTCAGTCTAAGCCAGTATGGCCAATAGCCAGGGATGATGGGAGATGGAGCCCAATAACACCTGGAGGACCACAGGTTCTCCATCATGTGCAACTGGCTTCCCACCACTTTGTCTCTTACAGGCTATGGAACGCTTCCAGCAATACGTGCTCAGCAATCTCTTCTGTGCGGTGGACGAGAAACGGCTTCTGGGCAGCCTGATAAGGTAGGGGGCGAGGATTGTTGAGGAAGCTGATTTAAGACGGATTCTGTGCCTCTGTCCTGTCACCTCCCTAGACCTGAACAAATCTCTCATGGGCATAAGAAGAGCCCGGCTGGATTCATCTAATCTAGCACCTGCTCTCACATTCACCCAGAAACAGTACATGAGGACAGCAGTGTTCTCTCCACTTGTGATGCCCAACAACTGGTACCCAGAGGCATACTGCCTTCAGAGAGGAGGCAGAACATGCCATTGATAGGCTTGTCCTCCATGGATTCATTTAACCCTTTAAAAACCTATCCAGCTGGCTGCATCTTCTGCTGTGAGAATAAGTGCTTTCTTTTGTCCTGAATTTACATTCAGCTACATTGGATGGCCGCAAGTTGTAGTGTTATGGGACAGGGAGAAAAACTTCTCTCCCTCCACTGTCTCCACTTTGTGCATCATTTTATTTTATTCCCCCCCCCATTTTTTTTATTAGTTTTCCAAATTTATAACAGATATAACGCAACACACAATAACAAACAAATAACAAAACATATTAAAAAGAAAAACAAACATACAAAACTTCTTACAGTTAAAAATCCAAGTTAAATTCCATTATTAAATGACTTCCTCAAATCCTTCCTAACTGATTTTCATTAAATCTCATTTTAGCAGTTTTCCAATATCCACTTTCTAATAAAATTAACTTGTTTAAATTACTAACTTCTTTTACTTTTAGCTTTTAGCTTTTGCTGAAAGATAACATCTCTTGTTATATTCCTATGAAGGAAAGGTTCTTGTCTTTCTCCCCCAGGATCTGGCAACCTTGAAGGGGTCTGCTATGTACCTTTCTAAGGAGGAGAGGGCTTTGCTGGATCCAGAACAGAGAGCTGTGCACAGGCAGCTTGTGATGAAGAGCTGTGGGATCATGGCCCCTCTAGGTAATGTTTCTTCTTCCCTGGTTGATGATGAGACCTGTTTACAAACCCAAAATAACATTTGTGTCTAACCTGATGGCCCAACCTTTAACCACCTGGCTCCATCCAGATGTTTTGGACTACAGTTGCCATCAGTCCAGCCAGCACAGCTGATGGGTTGTAGTTCAAAACATCTGGAGGGCACCAGGTTGGCAAAGGCTGCCGTAACCAGTGTTAACAAGGTCATCTGGTTAGCTGGGAGCTGAACCCTGGTCTCTATGAACTTAGTCCAACTATATCATGGCAGCTGTCACTTAATGCAAGGAACGATCTCCCACCTAATATTTTAGTCGTTTATCACAATGGCTAATTGTAGCTCAATTATTTTTAGGGCCCCATTTCTTAAACTCGCTTATCCCTGTCCTGCCCTTATTCCAGGAGGTGAAAGATGGGAAGTGGAGAGTAAAGGAGAAACGCGAGGGATGTCGCCGGAAAGAGGGCGGTGCAAAAAGAGTGAAGAGCAGAAAAGGAAAACCGAAGTAAACCATAAAAGGAGGACTAAATCCCCCGTTTCTGAAGACGGCGACTATCATGAAATCACAGTCCAAGGGAAAATAGGGAAAATAAGGAAAAGAAGTGAAAAACGTAAGTGCCATGTTTGGGGGCGGGGGGAGTTAAAATTCTAAAATCCTGAAGCTTGTTGCAAAATCTGCACAGGAGAGAAATGATTTAAAATACGGGGGTGTGGAAAGAACGTAACTGTGAGTATGCAGCTCACTACCCATGGAAATAATCAGCACAGGGGAGGAAACGTATACATGCTCAAGCGTAGCGGGGTGTGCGTGGCATCCACAAGGTTCTCCATCTACCTGCCTGCTTTCTGTACCCTCACTCAGTCCAGGCAGCTTCTCTGCCTATCAGCTTCTTCCTCCATAGGCTCAGTCTTGCCCTTGTAGAACACAGCAAAGAGGAAGATGGGGACAAAACTAGAACTAATTGGTTCTGCCTGTCATTGGCTCTGGCTCCACCTACTGTTGGTCCTCCTGCCTTTCCCCCTACCAATCTCAGTGGGCACCAACCACCACTGGTGCGTGTGAGAGGCACAGCCAAAGTGGACCCCATGGCAGCAGTAGAATTTGGACTCTGATTTCCTGGGTGTGCTGTTATTGTAGAGTTATTTGCTTTTTCATATAGTCATTTATTTCTTTGGCTTTGGTGACTGACTGTTTTCAGAGACTTGATTTGCTCCTATATCAGTTATTCCGGTATTAATTACCGTATTTTTTGCTCTATAAGACTCACTTTTTCCCTCCTAAAAAGTAAGGGGAAATTTGTGTGCGTCTTATGGAGCGAATGCAGGCTGCGCAGCTATCCCAGAAGCCAGAACAGCAAGAGGGATTGCTGCTTTCACTGCGCAGCGATCCCTCTTGCTGTTCTGGCTTCTGAGATTCAGAATATATTTTTTCTTGTTTTCCTCCTCCAAAAACTAGGTGCGTCTTGTGGTCTGGTGCATCTTATAGAGCGAAAAATACGGTACTCTTGCTTTTTAATAAGGATTTTTTATTTTTTGCAGTTTGGCCCTACATGTGAGTAGTAGCTGAACTGAAGTTCTCTTCTTTTCCTCCCCCTGCTGTACTAGCTGTTATTAAAATAAGTGAGCCGCCGACCGTTAAAAGGCAGAGGACTTACTTTTTCAACAAGGAGTGGGAAGAGAGGTATTGCTTTGTGGATCTGAATGGCAAGTGCGTCTGCTTAGTCTGCTCCTCAACTGTTGCCGTCTCAAAGAAGCACAATGTCCAGAGACACTATGAAAGAAACCACAGCAGTTTTGCAAAAGATTATCCCCTAGATTCCGAACTTCGGAAAAAAAAGGTCCATGAAATGAAATCCAAATTGGCGATTCCACCGACACCGGCCACCAGACCTGTGGTGCAATCCAAGAATAATACGATGGCATCTTTTAAAATTGCAAGCTTGCTTGCAAAGAGGAAAAAACCTTTTGTGGATGGGGACTTGTTGAAAGAGATATTTTTGACCGCCGGTGACTCAATGTTCGAAGGTTTCCCTAATAAAAAAGAAATACTTGCAGCGATTCAAAAATTGCAGCTGTCTGGAAACACCATCACAAGAAGAATTGAGTCTATATCCAGAGACTTGGATTATCAGCTGCAAAGTGATCTTCAGAATTGCCTTTGGTTCGCACTTCAGTTTAATGAATCGACAGATATAACAGACCCGTCTCAGATGGCAGTTGTTGCGAGAATGGTTTTGAGTGATCTTTCTGTGATAGAGGAGCTACTCAGAATACTACCTCTGAAAGGAAAAACAAGAGGTGAGAATATATTTCAGACTTTCAAAGACTTTGCCATGGAAATAAATTTGCCTCTTCACAAATTGTCATCTATCACCACCGACGAGGGAGCAGCAACAGGGTGTATCGGTGGGTTTATCGCCCAGTGCCAGCAAGACGAATCTTTTCCAAAGTTTGTTTCATATCACTGCATCATTCACCAGGAAGCATTATGTGCTAAAGTACTCCGGTTTAAACACATAATGGATGTGGTTAAAAAGATAATAAACTCCATCCGGGCCGTCTCCTCAAAACACAGGCTTTATAAAGCCCTTCTGGAAGATGTTGATGCTGAGCACAATGATCTCCTTTTGCACACTGAAGGCAGGTGGCTGAGTAAAGGAAAAGTTCTGGCCAGATTCTTAAACCTGATTGAAGAAATTAAGGAGTTCTTTAGGTCTAAAGATCAGTATGTTGAACAACTTGACGACAGGTTTTGGTTAATGGACTTGGCTTTCCTTGCTGACTTGATGCAAAAACTGAACATTTTGAACTTTGAGCTTCAGGGTAAAGACAAGCATATTTCTGGGATGGTCACTGCAGTCAATGCCTTCAAAGATAAACTGAGGTTGTGGAAGTCACACCTGGAGAGGAAATCGCTCCTTTACTTCCCCTCAATGAAGCAAGTCATTGGAGAGAATGATTTCAACGGTGTGCCATTTGTGGGTTACCTGGAGATCCTGGAGGAGCAGTTCCTTACTCAATTTGAGCAGCTCATTGACATCGAGCCTGTCGTGTCCTTTTTTGCAAACCCATTCGACTCCATCGATGTCACAGTGACTGCCATGGCCATTGCAGAACTCTGCCAAGCTGGGCTGGAGGAAATAGAGCTGGAGATTGTGGACTTGCAAAATGACTTGGTTTTGAAATCTCATTCAGGCCACGACAACTTTTGGAATCAGGTTGGTTCCCAGAAGTTCCCTTTGTTGAAAAAGACTGCTGCAAAGGTAAACTCTTATTTTGGGTCAGCTTATCCGTGCGAGTCCCTTTTCTCTGCCAGAAAGTTTATCAAGTCAAAAAACAGAACGCGGCTGACGCCTAAGCATCTGGATGACTGTTTGCGAGCAGCCATCTCGTCGTACACTCCCAATTATAGCAAGCTTGCAGATGACATGCAGTGCCAGGCTTCACATTAGTCTTGGAGCAGTGGCACAATTTATGTGAGGTGTGGTTGCTTTGTGTTAATCATTAGCTTTGATTGGGTTATTTTCAGTGGCTTCTGTTCTTTTCTATGCTGTGTTTCCTTTCAACTGTAGCTGATATATCACTCTTAAATACATCATTTTACTTGTGACCGTGGGTGTATATTGTTGCAGTAACTCAGCCCAGGTATAACCAAAATGTCATTAAAAATGGCAAGCAAGCTTTTGAGTTCTCCGGACTGCTTCACCACACTTGAGTGTTAAGCGAAGTGGATGGGGAGCTAGCTTAGTGTCCCAAAGACTGCATTGGCCTCAGCCCCCATCTGCACTATACAGCCGCACCTTGGAAGTCGAACGGAATCCATTCCGGAAGTCTGTTCATCTTCCAAAACATTCGAAAACCAAAGCGTGGCTTCTAATTGGCTGCAGGAGCTTCCTGCACTCAATCAGAAGCCGCGGAAGCAATGTCGGACGTTCAGCTTCCAAAAGAATGTTCAAAAACCAGAGCAATCACTTCCAGGTTTCGATCGTTTGGGAGCCGATTTGTTCGGAAGCCAAGGCATTCGAGATCCAAGGTACGACTATATTTAAAGCGGTACTATACCACTTTACAGAGTCACAGCTTGCCAAAGAATCCTTGGAGTTGTAGCTAATAAACTCTCAGAAGTGTTTTGAGAGTTGCCCAGAGACTCCTAATCCCCTCACAGAACTACAATTCCCAAAGTTCCCTGGGAAGAGGGACCAGCTGTCGGACCACTCTGAAAACAGTAGCTCTTTGAGAGGAATAGGGGTCTCCTAAGAATTCCCAGCAGCCTTAACCAGCTCCATTTCCCAGGATTCTTTGAGGGAAGCCATGGTTGTTGAAAGTGGCATGATACTGTTTAGAGCAGGTGAGGCCTGCTCTAAGTAGAGTATGGGAAGAGGTTGTAGTCTTACTCGAATAAGCTTCCTCAGCTGCTGCATAGGTTTTAGGTGACACCAAGAGATGCTAGGATAAAGACTGATTCCCCATTTTTGAAAATACAAAATCCAGCAGTTAGAGAACTTTTGGGAATGTTTCTTAGGGGTTAACACAGGTATCTTATTGCTTTTTGTATAATTATTATCCTGCTTGCCTTCTCTTCATATTGGGCTAAGGATATGGAAGCCCAAAGAACTTCAGTGGGGCTAGAGAAATATTTGCCATAAACAGCAACAAATCCTATCGGTTTATGCTATTTTTGCTACACTTCATTTACTGCTGAGCAGTGTTTCAAATTAGCCAGGTGCCATGCGCATTTTGCACCTGACTATTGGCCACTTACAACCAAGTGAAGATGCCTGGGTGCCAGGATCAGGCCTGATGTCTCCATCACCTGGAGGTGCATGCCTGGGAAATCCTTGGATAAGGACTGTTTTCACACACTAATACCACATCCTGTAGAATTCTATCAGTTATATTTTATCTGCACAATCAGAATGAATTTCAGGAACCAAAATGCTTTTTTCTGTGCAGCCTGAGCAACAGCAGTGAACAACATTATAGTAAATTGTTGTAGCTTGTCGTCACTTACCTCACCCCACTGCCCTGCTCACAGCTGTGAAGAATATCCCTACGTTATGAATGGTCGGTGTCACCATTAAGAAAAAGAAGTGGGAATAGGCCAATATATATGTGGACTGTCCCTGGATCAAGTGGCTTTTCTTCTTCAACGTCTCAAAATTCTTAACGTAGCTCAAGGTTGTCATCTGAACTAGCCAGATGTTTAACTGAGAATCAATCACAGTTAATCGCTTGAAAAATAGGACTTTAGAGCCATCTTGCCCCAAAATGGCAACTACACATTCTGTTTTGGCCACTGTAACCTTGGCTTAAGGATCCATTTGATACCTAGCTTATATATCTGAGTTTCTAACACTCCTGCTGAGGAATTTCCTGTGCAGTCTGATCCTACTTGTTTTGTTTATTCAAAAGTGCTGCAAACACAAGAAACCAAGCTCAACTCAAGCGGATGTGTAGCTGTAATTCAGTGCCCACCACCACTTTCTAAAAATCTTCTTTCTGTTTCAAAAAAGTTATTGTTAAACCATTTGTAAAAGTCTTCTCCCAAAATTATCTGTCGCCACAGGCTACAGGCACTTTGGAATAAAACTGGTAAACTGTCAAATAGAAGATTTCAACCAGTTGTTACTAGCAAAGACAAACACCTTCAACAATGTGAAAGAGATCTATCTGCTCATTTATAAGCATATGAAAAGGGAAACTTAACTGGGGATGGTGGTGCGGTTCTCTGCTTTTCTACGAAGAGGTTACACAATATTATACCCTTCAGCATAGGGTTAGAGGATTCCTAACTACCCTTATCAGAACCCTAGGTTACTGCAAAAAGGAAAACTATTTTGAGAGCAAACAACCTTATTGCCATTTCAGAGCACCTTCTCCCAGCAGGAGGCAGTTGCATGGACTTATAAAATTGTTTTCTGGACTTTTCATGAAATATAGCAGGGCACAGAAGTCCTCTCCCTTTACCACTTGAGCTCCTACTCAGGTGATACCCTGAGAATATATTTCAGCAGGCATTGGCCACCCACTTTCAAACACGTTGTCTAAGTAATAAAAGCTAGAAACTTGCTGCTTTTTTAAGAAGGACTTTGAGAATCTCCAGAAGGTCTGTTTTACACCCTGATTCTGTACCTTTACTGGTAGCATTGTAGTATATATTTGGCCCAACCTTTTATATTGAACCTGGAAACTAACAGGTAAACTGCACCGCTGGGAAAACTGAAGTGTAATCTGCTTACTGTGGCTAGTTCAGTCTGGCTGAACACCTAAGGACCACTTTTTCACATAACACTATATAAAGAGCATCATTATGGTGCAATATAGAAGCTATTTGGGGAAGAAGGTTGCAGGATAGATCTCAAGTTATCATCAAGAAAAAGCTCCAAAAAAGGTGCTTGTTCAAAAAAAGGAATCCAGATGTTGCCACCACCATATTTCCCTGGAACAAGAACAAAGAGAACTAGTAAATATTAGGTGCCTTATAACCATCCATACCGGTGTCAACCTGAACTTTGTACTCCAGTTCAAAGCGCTGACCAGTGCTTTTTTTCTGGGGGTACTCAAGGGTGCGCAGTACTGGCACCTCCCCCCCAAATGTTAAAAGTGTGGCACTTAGTGTATGTAACAACTTCATGGTGAGTACCGGCACCTCCTCCTCCCCATATTTTTAAGCGCTGGAGACTTAACTTGCAGATAGATACGTACACCAAGCTATTGACTGACCAGTCAGTAGGAAAATAATCTTTCCACTATTGAATGAACTTTATCAGAGATAATTTCATGGTGGTCATTCATAGAAGTCAAATATACAAAACTCGGGAATTAGACACTGTGTTGGTGCAATTGTGGGACTTTAGGGACTTTCTGGCACCTCTAGTGATCCTGCCTGTCCAGTTTGCACCTTTTGGTCTGTTGTGGCAGTAGAAATTGGCACCATCATTGGTACTTGTAGCAAAAGTGGACGTGGCTTAGTTCCTTCTTCCTATACTTAGAGACAACACTTCTTCGATTGTATTGAAACTGCTGGTCCTTTACCCGCCGGTGGCAGCCAGCTTTGTGGTTGCCCAGGGATAGAAAGATGGTTCAAGCATTGCAAATGAACATTGGCTTCAAAAAGCAACGCATATTGCCTTTACGGAAAAACTCACCAACTCAACAGTTTTGCACGGTACTATGAAACCAGAAGATTACGCAGCTGTTTGGTGGACTTCCATGACCTATGTCAATAACCGCCCACGCTTTAATATGGTCCCTGCTAAGTATGAGTTTATCTGGAAATAACTCTGATTTTTTTACCCTAGCTACTTACCTTTTCGCTATGTATCTTGGCAAATGCTTTCATACTCTACTAGCTTTGTTATGAACATGTTTTACGCTGCTATCCCTTTATCGTAATCCCTGTACATACTGCTTGTTCACTTTTATGTATATTTACCATTTTAGTTGCTTCGTCTTGTTTTTCCCTTCTCCTTTTTTCTCTTACTCAGTGCTGTATACCTGTTGAAATAAAATAAACCATTTAAAATAAAAAAATAAAAATTCTGAAAGAACTTTACTGGGTTCCATTGTGTTTTCAAGCACTTCTCACACTGCTAGTGGTTAACTTTAAAAATGGCCCTCCTGAAGGAGCGTTTCCACCCCATCGTTCAGCTTGGACACTGGGGTCCAGCTCCGAGGGCCTTCTGGCGGTTCCCTCCCTGTGAGAGGGTTGCAGGAAATAAACAACTACCTGACCTTTAGAAGACATCTGAAGGCAGCCCTGTTTAGGGAAGTTTTTAATGTTTGATGTTTTATCATGTTTTTAATATTCTGTTGGGAGCCGCCCAGAGTGGCTGGGAAAAACCAGCCAGATGGGCGGGGTATGAATAATAAATTATTATTATTATTATGGCATGGGGAGAGACACAAGCAGGCACCTGGAATTGTCTTTAGCTACCACTTTCTCCCTCCCGTTTCATGAGGGGCAGCTGTGCTGGAATTCTGAAGCTCCAACAAAGAGTTGTGCAGGACTTTAAAGGGCCGCAGATTTATGATGGCATAAAGGCTTACGGACTAGAGTCCTGTTCATTAGAACGTAAGAAAAGCGGTACTGGATTAGGCCCCAGGCCCATCTAGTCAACCATCCTGTTCTTACATGGGCCAACCGGATACCCATGGGAAGCCTGCAAGCAGGAGCTGAGGAGAATAGCACTCTTGCATCTTGTGATTCCAAGCAACAGACATTCAGAGACATGCTGCCTCTGACAGCCATTGTGGTAGTAGCCACTGAAAGCCTTATCCCTCATCAGCTGCATGGGGTGTTTTCCTCAAGTAACAGGAACACATACATCCATACATTATGGGAGGAGTGAGATTACAGTGGTGCCTCGCAAGACGAATGCCTCGCAAGATGAAAAACGCGCAAGACGAAATAGTTTTTTGTTTTTTGAGTTGCTTCGCAAGACGAATTTCCCTATCGTCTTGCTTTGCAAGACGAAAACGTCTTGCAAGTTTGTTTCCTTTTTCTTAAAACCGTTAATATCCAGCGTGCATTGCTTGAAGAGGTGCAGTTGCGACTTGACTTCGAGGAGCAACTCATAGCACGCGGTGTGGTAGCGTTTTTTGAGGTTTTTGAAGACTTTGGTGATTTTTGAAGCTTTTCCAAAACTTCTTTTGCAGCCATTTGGTAAGTTAAACTTTTAAAACTTTTTGGGGGTTTTTGGATTTTGGGTTGGGGTGTTTGGAATTCAAGGACTTGGTGTTGGGGAGGGGTTTGCAAGAATCTGGAAGCTTGTGTGTTTTTTTCTGCATTTTTATGATTTTTTGTGACCATTGGGGCACTCTGCTGTTGTTAAAAAAAAAGATTTCTGGGTTTGGATTTCTGTGTGGTGGGTGGCTGGGAGGGTCAGGGAATTGTTGAGAAGGGGTTTGCAAGAATCTGGAAGCTTGTGTGTTTTCTGGGAGGTTTGGTGCTTTTGAATTTTTTGGATGTGAAGCACTGATTTATTTATTTTTTGGGTTTGCGAAGGTAGGAGCTGTGCTGCCATGGGGCCCAAGAAGACTGCTGCTGCAGAGGCCGGCGAGAGGAAGAAGGAGAAGATTACGCTGGAAATGAAGAAGGAGATCATCCGGAAGCACGACGGTGGAATGCGTGTGACAGACCTCGCCAGGGAGTACGGGAGGAATCCATCGACCATCGGGACCATCCTGAAGATGAGGGAGAAGATCCTTGCGACTGATGCAGCCAGGGAGTCACCAGGATCGTGAAGAACCGCCCAGCTGTTCTGGAGGAGGTCGAGAAGTTGCTGCTCATCTGGTTAGAAGAGAAGCAGCGTGCAGGGGACACAGTGACTGAGGCCGTCATTTGTGAGAAGGCCAAGGCCTTGCACACAGACCTCGTCCGGCAACAGCCAGGAACCTCAGGCGAGCCAGAAGTCTTCAAGGCAAGCAGAGGCTGGTTTGACCGGTTCAGGACGAGATCTGGAATCCACCGCGTGGTCAGGCATGGAGAGGCTGCCAGTTCTGATGTTCCTGTGGCTGAAGACTTTGCAGCAGAGTTCCTGGAGGTTGTGACGATGGAGGGCTACGTTCCCCAGCAGGTCTTCAACTGCGACGAGACCGGGCTGTTTTGGAAGAGGATGCCCAAAAGGACTTTCATCACTCAGGAGGAGGCCAAGTTGCCTGGCCACAAGCCCATGAAGGACCGTCTGACCCTGCTCTTCTGTGCCAACGCAAGCGGCGACCTGAAGATCAAGCCCCTGCTGGTGTACCACTCGGAGAACCCACAGGCCTTCAAGAAACACAAGGTCGACAAGGAGAAGCTGAGTGTCATGTGGCGATCCAACAGTAAGGCTTGGGTCACACGTGTGCTGTTTGTGGACTGGGTCAATCTTGCTTTTGGCCCTGCTGTCAAACAGTACCTGCTGGACAACGACCTGCCGCTGAAGGCTTTGCTTCTGATGGACAATGCTCCTGCTCATCCTAAAGGCCTTGAGGAGGACTTGTTGGAGGAGTTCAGCTTCATCAACATCATGTTCCTGCCGCCTAACACCACGCCACTGCTCCAGCCGATGGATCAGGAGCTCATCGCCAATTTCAAAAAACTCTACACCAAGGAGCTTTTCAGGCGATGCTTTGAGGTGACTGATTGCACCAACATCACCCTGCAGGAATTCTGGAAGGACCACTTCGACATCGTCACCTGCTTGAAGATGATCACCAGGGCCTGGGACGGGATCAGCCAGAGAAATTTGAATTGCGCTTGGCGCAGCCTGTGGCCGGACTGTGTGGCACCAAGTGACTCTGATGCACCAGAGTCAACAGTGGTGCAGGACATTGTTTCCTTGGGGAGGACCATGGGCCTGGAGGTCACAGAGGAGGACATCAGCGAGCTGGTGGAGGAGCACGACCACGAGCTGACCACCCAGGAGCTGGTCGAACTGCAGGCAGAGGCTGCGCAGGAGCAGGCCTCGCTGGAAGAGGAGGAAGCAACTGAGGAACGGCTGTCCTCCAAAGAACTGAGGGACATTTGCCAGAAGTAGAAAGATGTGCAGGCTTTTGCACAGCGGCACCACCCTGACAAGGACCTGACACGTGACCTTGCGAACACTTTTGATACGAGGGTCATGTCGTCTTTCAGGGAGGTGCTGAAAAGGCGGATGAAGCAGCAGACCATGGACAGGTTCTTCAGCAAGAAGCAAAGAGTGGAAGAGGAACCTTCTTCGAGTTGTCCCCCAGAGTCTTAGAAAATGTATGTACAGTGGTGCCCCGCAAGACGAATGCCTCGCAAGACGGAAAACCCGCTAGATGAAAGGGTTTTCCGTTTTGGAGGTGCTTCGCAAAACGAATTTCCTATGGGCTTGCTTTGCAAGACGAAAATGTCTTGCGAGTTCCTGCGGGGTTTTTTTCCTCCCCCCCCTTTTCCCCAAGCCGCTAAGCCGCTTATCAGCTGATCCGCTAAGCTGCTTATCAGCTGATCCGCTAAGCCGCTTAACAGCTGATCCGTTAAGTCACTAAGCCGCTTATCAGCTGATCCGCTAAGCCGCTTATCAGCTGATCCGCTAAACCGCTTAACAGCTGATCCGTTAAGCCACTAAGCCGCTTATCAGCTGATCCGCTAAGCCGCTTAACAGCTGATCCGTTAAGCCACTAAGCCGCTTATCAGCTGATCCGCTAAGCCGCTAATAGCGCTAAACCGCTAATGGGCTTGCTTCGCAAGACGAAAAAACCGCAAGACGAAGAGACTCGCGGAACGGATTCTTTTCGTCTTGCGAGGCACCACTGTACAGTACAGTACACTTTGGTTATTTTAAAATGCTTTTCTGTCATGTTTAGAAACTTAAATTATTGTTCCTTCAATTTTTGAAATGCTCTTTACAGTATGTGTGACTTTAAAGAGCACTTAATAAACTCTCTTTGTACCCAATTTGGCTTTGTTTGGACTTTTTTTGACCATAGGAACACATTAATTGATTTTCAGTGCATTCCTATGAGAAACCGTGCTTCGCAAGACAAAAAATTCGCTAGACGAAAAAACTCGCAGAACGAATTAATTTCGTCTTGCGAGGCACCACTGTATATGAATACGTAAGAAGGTGCACATTGGGACAATTCCATTAAAGGTGTGCACATTTGTTTTGGTAAAAATTCACAAAGCAGTGTTGATAGCACAAACATCCTGGCATTGGTGGGCTTATTAACATGAAATGTTGGATTCCATCAGTCTCGAGATACAATGGAGTGCCCATCCAGAAGGCGAAATCAAACCATTGGCGAATCTCTGCGGCTGCAGAGACCGGTAACTCGTAACCGCTGCCTCCTGTGCTTGGTTTTGCTGTGTTAGTCTGGGCAGTGTGCGAGTATGTCCTAGACTGCAGCGGCGTAGCGTGGGTTGTCTGCACCCGGGGCAAGGCAAGAAATTTGCGCCCCCTAACCCAGGGCAAGGCAAGTAATTTGCGCCCCCTAACCTGCCGCCGCTGCCAGCTTCTTCTTGCTGCTGCCTGGGCTGGTCTGGTGTGGTTCTCTCCCACGCTCAGCGCTGCGCTGGGCGGCCGCTGCACTGTCCCTCTCCCAGATAGTCCCTCACTCTCTCTCTGCACCGCACGCCTGGCACCCACCCCCTCCACAGTGGGCGGCGACCCAGCGGCTTGGATCGGATTCACACAGCCAGCACTGCAGTGAGAGAGAGTGAGTGAGCCAGGTAGGGGCAGAGAGCTGCGAGTGCGAGCGCTCCCCCCCCAGATGTTGCGCCCGGTGCGCCCGGCCCCCCCTGCACCCCCCACACTACGCCACTGCTAGACTGCCCAGAAAACAAGACCCTGCTCACGGCCTTGCTGACGTGATCCAAAAGAAAGCAGAGCATACAACTGGCACCAGCAGTTGGAATTGCCAAACTGAGGCATAATCCAACAATCCAACCATTTTAGGGATTCCACTCTGATTTTGTGTAGGGCTTACTCCTTAGCATTTTTCATCTTTGTCTCAATGCAGGTGACAAGACATCACAAGTAGACACAAAAAACTCAGTACGACCAAATTGCTATTAAAAATCCACTTTCCTACATGGCTCCAATTAGACCGGATGAATGTGCATTTTAAAAATGTGTTTCTGTCATCCACCTGTATGTGCCAGGAGAAAGGAAGAGGCTCAAATCCTTTTAGAGGCACCTGTACACAGATTTGAAAGGCACTTCCCATCTTTATCTGGCTACCCTGATCTCCCTCTTAGCTGCTTCTGTGGATTCTTCCTCCCAGTCAAAATTTAGGCCGTAAACTCCTCAGGTCAGAGACCTGTGTGTTATGATTTTGTTGCTCCATATTATTCATTGGTGGCAAGAATATACACAGAATAGTAAGTGGTTATATTGGTAACTGGAATTCTTTAAGCCAAATTAAATTCACTGTGCCGCCTTGTATCCTCACCTAAATTATCAGCAGATTAGCCTTTCCAAAGGCCCCAGGAAGAAAAGAGACAAGCCTCTTTCCAAATACTGTGCAGGTATTCCTGCTCACCCTCATACAGAGACTGTAGTCTCTCTCCTCCCAATAAACTCTGTGAACTGTAGCTCTCTGAGGCGAATATGGGGGTCTCCTGCCAACTCTCAGCACTAATTACAGTCCCCAGGATTATTTGCGGGGAAGCCCTGGCTGTTTAAAGTGCCATGATGCTGCTTAAAATGTTCAGCGCAAATGGGGCCTTAAGACAACTTTATCCCTCTGCCTCCTCACACACTCCACTACGGGAAACTTTGGCAGGGTCAGGCTTGCCTGAGGACTGAATAACGGAGTCTCACTTGCCTTGGGTTGCACTGAGTAGCGAGAAATGGATCCCACCTACACCAATGCATTTTGGCGCCCTTAAGTGAACCACAAAATGGCGGGGTAAGTGAAGATCTACATCAGGAACACGGGAAGGGTGCAAAATTCCTGCACTGCAGGGGGCAGGACTAGATGATCCTCAGGGTCCCAATTCTATGATGTGCATCAGGATCCTGCTGCCTCTCTGGATGCTGCTGCCAGAAGAGCTTGCCTCATTTTGCCTCGTGGGTGGGCCAGCCCTGCTTCCCCCCACCATCCCAGCATGCATGCATCTCCTCTCTCCATCCCCTTGCACAAGCCAAACGCCCCTTTCCCCATATGGGTTGCGGGATAGGAAGGGCGTTCAGGAAGGGCAACCGGCACGGGAAATAAAGATAAAAGAAACGCGGAGGCGCCTCTCCGGTTCCTATCGGACTCCCCGCCTGGCGCGCACGGATGGAGCATCAAGAAGCACCACCTGCCCAGTGCGCATTGCTTGCTTGCGTTTTGGATGCTCCAGGGAGAGGATTCTTGTTGCGGGACCCTGAAAGGGTTAAATCCGGGTTTCCCAAACTTGGGTCGCCAGCTGGTCTTTTTTTGGACTACAACTCCCATCATCCCTAGCTAGCAGGACCAGTGGTCGGGGATGATGGGAACTGTAGTCCAAAAACAATTCGAGACCCAAGTTTGGGAAACGCTGGGTTAAATGAATCGAGTCGGATTCCTAGAGAGACTTTATTTTATTGGGGGGGGGAGAAGGAGGGAGAGAGGACGTGAACCCTGGAGCAAAGGCAGCCCCAGCCCTGGACGCCCCTTCCTGCCCTGTTTCTTCCAGGAGCGGAAAGTGGCCCCTTGGCTTCCGTAGGCGCTGCAGCGGCGCTTCCTTCCTCCTGCGATCTGGTGAGCCTCCGCCCTTGTGCGTTTGGGGAAAGGGGAGCCTGGGGGCTACAGGAAATGGGGGGTGAGTAGGGGTGGGATCCTGATTCTGGAAAAGGTTCCCAGGCTCAAACCCTGCAGAGAGGAGGTATCCTTTGCTTGCTTGCTTGCTTGCTATTACAGTACTGTATATCCCACTTTTCCACCAAGGAGCGGAAGGTGGAGTTCATGGACCGTCCGCTCTTGCAGGGATGGCTGTGGGCAGGGTTCCTGCCTTGTCGTGGGTTGCACCAGATGGGGAGAAAGATACTGAGAAGAAAACAGGAGAGGAAGAGAAACTTCCTGTTCCTGATGGGCACAAAGTTTGGGAGCGGTGTCTGGCTACTGTTGTGAACAGGATACTTCAATGCGTCAGAAGTGGGGAGCCAAATGTGGTCTCTCTATGGCCCTCAGGACTCACCCCAGACCACACCCCTTCCTCAGTCACATCCCTCAGCGGCCCTAGTCAAATGAGACGACCATTGCCACCACAGAAAGGTCCAAGGTGGGAGGAAGCGGGGAACGCTCCATCTTCTGACCCTCAATCACATTGGATGCTTTAATCTAAGTGCAAGTACTGCCTTTCAAGACTTTAGTTAATCTCAGCCTCCCCTTTCTTCCTAGTAGAAGTATTAGTTGGTAGCTGCACTAGTGTGACAGGTTCTGCACCTTTTGAACCTCAGTCAGAACGAGGGCTTTAATCTATAGCCCTCAAGTGAAGGAATTCTTCCTCATCCCAACCTGTGTCTCACAATATGCATTCACTGCCTTTAGTTTTGGGACAAGACATGGTCGCTTCTGAGCTTATGGGAAATCTCCCTGCCTTGACAAAGTAATAATGCACTTACAGAATGATGTCTTGGCTTTGCAGGCCTTGGTAACGGCACCAGTTAGGGCCATCTTTACCTCACGGCAAAAACTGGGAGGAGGGAAAAGCGATCCTCTTGCAGGAAGAGGAGGAGCAACAAGCCAAGATGGGCAAGAAGGATTCAGCCGGCCCCAAGGAAGGAAGAGGCAGCCTCAATGCCATCAGGAATGGGAGCAGTGGGAGATCCTGGGAAAGAATGGTGGTGCAGAAGACCCCAGGCGAGGACACAAGTAGCTCAGTTGTATGGCGCCAACGCTTCCGGCGGTTTCGCTACGAGGATGACAAGGGGCCCAGAGAGGTTTGCAGCCAGCTCCACCATCTTTGCTGCCTATGGCTGAAGCCAGAGCAGCGCACAAAGAATCAGATTCTGGACTTGGTGATCCTGGAGCAGTTCTTGACCATCCTTCCAGCGGAGATGGAGCGCTGGGTCAGAGAATGTGGAGCCGAGACCAGTTCCCAGGCAGTGGCCTTGGCAGAAGGTTTTCTCCTCAGTCAGGCAGAAAGGCAGCAGGTGAGAGCACTTCATCCTGGTAGTTCCATGAGCCCAGGAATGTGAGAGAGGATACCCTAAAACTCCCCACTAATTGCCTATCTCTTTTGGGAAATCATCCAAGGAGGGATGACCCCAAATCCAAGCCTTTGCTTCTGATCATACTTTTTCTAAGCCTTCTCCCGTTCTGTGTCTATGCTTCTCATTGCTGTTTCAGGAGCTGGAACTGTTTGCAGAAGTGGGCTCTGGTTTCCCCGAGACAGAGGAGGCTCCATCAGACATCAGACACAGTCCACCAGGAAGAGGGGTCATGCAGGAGACCAACAGAGGTACCACCTTACAGTGTAAGGATTAATGGGGCATATTTCAACTTGGTCTGCCCCTATTTATTATGCAAGAAATCCCTAGCGTGCCTCAAGTTTTTGACATATTTTGATTGCAGCCAAGAGCTCCCAAGTTTTTTTTAGGCTGAGGGGAGGGAATTGAGTGGATGAGAGATTTCCCCCCCCACACACACACAGCTGAAATGGGTGCTGACATCCAAAATCCATTCAACAGAAAATATATGGGCCTTGCTTACTTGTTTTGCTAATCCAAGCTATGGCTTAGTTCAGGTCTGGGGAACCTTAGGACTTTTGGATGGTGCTGAATTACAACTCCCATCTGCTGTAACAAGCATGGCTAATAGCCAAGGGTGATGGGATTTGTAGTGCAGCAACAATTGGAAGGACAAAGGTTCGCCACACCTGACACAGTATGAGGCTGCTAGTTGGGAGATCATGACTGCTTTGCTTCTCTCTCTGGTCGTTTTGCTGCTGTGCTCCACTGAGCTGAGCTCAGCCGTGGCTTGGCTTAGCATGGCATCCAAACTATGGTTCATAGTTTAGCTCTCTGCAGAGGAACTTTGTCATAGTCAATGTCTCCTGCCCGTTTGCATCACAGCATGGTTTGGCTTGGATATGCATTTGTACTTGGATATGCATTTCTTATTCTATTTCTTATTCTACTACCTTCCCACTATCTTTGTGTGTTTTTTACAGGTAATGGAATGGTGCGAGAAAAACATACTCAGCCATCTCAACTCTGTGGTAGATGGGAAATGGCTTCTGTGAGACCTAAACAGGTAGGGGCAAGACTCTCTGCAGAGACAAAAGGGGAAGCTTGGTGTTCTCTGTTCCCCTGCTCACATTTCTGGAACTCGATGAATCTTTCTCTTTCTGTTTGTGTCTCTCAAAGCTGTCCACTAGGAAATCTATGAATGCAACTCGTGAAAGGTGTAAATCCTGCAAGATAATAGCCATCTTCCCCACTGCACCTCTGCCATAACTGGCCTTTTGGATCTTACTGTCTTATCTATAAGGAGGAAACATTTTCTTTTTCTTTCAGGGCCGGGTGACCTTTGAGGAGGTAGCTTTGAATTTCTCCGAAGAAGAGTGGTTTCTGCTGAATCCTGACCAGAGAGCCCTGCACAAGCAAGTCATGGAGGAGAGCTGTGGACTTGTGGCCTCTCTTGGTAAGGCTGCCTAGTTCAAGGTTGGGGGATTTGTGGCTCTGCAGATGTTTTTGGACTCGTAACTCCCATCAGCCCAAGCCAATATGGTCAAGGAAGATGGGAGTTAAGAGTCCCTAGATGATGAAAATACCTCTTTACATGTCTTAACATGTTTTGGCACAGTTCTTGCCATTCAGCATCTCAGGTCCCCGGTCTAGTGGGACGTATCGGTATTTTTATTTACTAAAGCATTTATATCCTGCATTTCCATTTAACTGAAATCCACAAAGGGGAAAGCAATAATTAGACATGAATACACAATGTTAAAGCCGCAGCATAGTGAAAATGACTTTTCGGTCAGCATCAGGTAATTGACAGTGGGGTATATTCAGAGCCATAATAAATAGAAATATAGTCCAGAGCCATTTTAGAACTGCATTAGCCTAACAGAACCACACTGTCATTGTTTACTGCCTAAAAGTTAACAGTAAGAGAGAGGAGGGAGTCATGTGTCCCTAGGGAACAGGTTGCACAGCTTTGGTGTCACTGCTGAGGAAGCTCTGCTGGACAAAATTATTGAGGGTATAATGTAAGGCGGTGGGGAACTTCAGGTCAGGGGGCAAATGCAGCCTTCTAGACCTCTCTGTCTGGCTCCAGAGCTCTCCTCAGGACCCTCTTTGTGCCTCAGGTGTTTTTGCCTGGCTGAAATGTGTCCTTGAACTCTGATAATACCTCTTGCCTGACTGGAGGGTGGAGAAGGGTGTGTGAGTCTGTGTGTAGAAACCAGGTCAAATTTACATTGTTTGCTCCACCCACTTTTGCCTCTGGCTCCGCCCACCACTGGCATTCTGCCATCAGAAAGTTGCCCAGAAGAAAATGCGACTCCCGATCTGGAAAAGGGTTTCTCACCTGTGTTGTAAGAGGAGTGGGGAAATGGCTTTCGTTGCCACCATCCACGTTACAGATTAGCTAGTACAGTGGTGCCTCGCAAGACGAAATTAATCCGTTCCGCGAGTCTCTTCGTCTTGTGGTTTTTTCGTCTTGCGAAGGACAGCTATTAACGGCTTAGCGGCTTTAAGAAAAAGGAAAGAAACTCACAAGAACTCGCAAGACGTTTCGTCTTGCAAAGCAAGCCCATAGGGAAATTTGTCTTGCGGAACGACTCAAAAAACGGAAAACACTTTCGTCTAGCGAGTTTTTCGTCTTGCGAGGCATTCGTCTTGCGGGGCACCACTGTAAAAAGTCAAGCTGTACATTCGCCACAAAATAGATATGAATCTGAGGTGATGTCACCTGCCTCGGCCACCTCAAAATCCATTGTGGCTTGAATATGAGACAGTCCAAGGTCAAACACACTGGCCTCTGGTGCTTCAGAAGGCTTGTGAATATTTTTCTGATGAGTTTATACAGTCTCGTAGTCTCCCTTAAGGTCATCATCTGCACTATTCATTTAAAGCCCGTGAGAAGGGTAGGCAAGGATCTGGCCTTATGGCCAGTATACTGTTCCCCACCCCTTGTTCTACATCACACCAGCAGTCAGTCAACGCTAGATAGAAGAGGTTGGAAAACGTGTGCAAAAAACTGCCTCCCACCTAAGTATTTCAGCTCTTCTTATATCAGAACAGTTATCTGACGTGGTTTGGTGATACGAGACTCCTGGCCTAACTCAAATTCTTATCAGTTCCCTGTTTTCGTTCTAGAAGGTGACATCCGAGATATGGAGAATGAGGGAGCACTACGTGAGAGTTGGTCCTTTGCTTCGAAAGCCAGTGGCTGCTATGAAATTGCAACCCAAGGTGAAAGAAACGAAACCAGCAACTGCCCTGTGTCTCAGAACAGATCTGACTCGAACCCAAACCACGAAGCTCACGGCAAAACCCACGTAGAGGAGCAACCATTTAAATGCCAGGAGTGCGGGAAGAACTTCGGTTGGAGGTCACAACTCAATAGGCACCGAAAAATGCACACCGGGGAGAAGCCATATAAATGCTTGCAGTGTGGAAAGAGTTTCAGGCAGAACTTTCACCTGACTGCCCATCTAAAAATCCACAGAGGGGAGAAACCACATGAATGCTTGGAGTGTGGGAAGAGCTTCAGTCAGAGGAATGACCTCGCTTCTCATCAGAGAATCCACACAGGGGAGAAACCATATAAATGTTCGGAGTGTGGGAAGGGCTTCCGTTCGAACACCAGCCTGACTTGTCATTTAAGGACTCACACAAGGGAGAAACCGTATAAATGCTTGGAGTGTGGTCGCACCTTTGGCCAGAGCTCATACCTAAGTAAACACAAAAGGATTCATACGGGGGAGAAACCATATAAATGCCTTGAGTGCGGCATGAGCTTTTGTCATAATTCATCCCTCACGTACCATCAAAGAAATCACACTGGCGAGAAACCGTATCAGTGCTTGGAGTGTGGAATGAGGTTCAGTCAGAGTTCGGCCCTCATGTACCATCAGAGAATTCACACAGGGGAGAAACCATATCAGTGCTTGGAGTGCGGAAAGAGCTTTCGGGTGAGACCAAGCCTCACCTCTCATCAAAGAATACACACAGGAGAGAAGCCCTACAAATGTCTGGAGTGTGGAAGGAGCTTCCGTTTGAGCACAAGCCTGACTACTCACCAAAGAACTCACACAGGGGAGAAACCTTACAAATGTCTGGAGTGTGGAAAGAGCTTCAGTGTGAGGAAAAGCCTCACCTATCACCAAAGAACTCACACGAGGGAGAAACCAAATAGATGCGTCAAGCAGGGCTGGGGAGCCTGCGGCAATTCAGATGTTGTACCCCCAACTTCCACCAGCGCCAGCCAGCATGGCCAACAGTCACCGATGATGGGAGTTGTGGACCAACAACATTTGGAAGGCCCCAGATCCCCTGTCCCTAGCTCTCAGGGTAAGAAAGAGCTTCATTAAGTATCACAGGGCTTACGCAAGGGAGAAACCAGTAGACATGCTTTGAGTGTGGAACAAGTTTAAAATCAATAAAGCCAATATTTCAGATTGGAGAAGCACTGTATAAGTGAATGTCACAGGAGCTTTATTTGTGTGCTGTAACAAAGAAACTATTTTTTGTCTTAAATTCATATATATATATGAGAGAGAGAGAGTAGGAAGTAATTATGTATACAGATGTGTCCACAAGGAATTGAAACTGGAAATAACTTTTTATGTTCCTTTTTTCGGATACAAGTCAGTTCTGAAACCAAGAACTGTAGGATTATGCATTATCCCTTATAAGCACATAAAAGGGTATTAAAATAGTATATTTGTCTAACAAGTCTCCCTTATCATCATGTTCAAATAACATTTATGGGCTCTGTGCCACAAAATTTCCCATGTGTCTCGTGGGATCATCCCCCCCTTCCCGGGCAATACTTTGAGCCCATTTCCCCATTTAATCTGCTAACTTTTTCTGGCCCACTGTTCTATTTTAAGAGCAACCTGTAGATTTTGGATGATACATTAGTATCAGCCTTTTTAATTAATTCATCAAATGTTGTAAAATCTCTTAGGTTGTCATCCTAACCCCTGGCCTACACTTCTGGTGAAGGTTAGGATCCAGTAGAGGTTCCTGTGGGCTGACAGGGTGCCACCACTATGGAGGTCCCTGCTGCAGGCACAGAAAGCAGAGCAGAGGCAATGCCACCATCATCTCAAGGAAATGCTGGATATTATGCCAGTCCAGCTCCCAGAAAGGGGCCTGATGTGGACATCTCTTCTGTGACAGAAAAAGAAGATATACCCACCATCACCCTGGCTAGTATGAACTGCAGGGCTTCAAATAAGGTGGTGGCATAAGCTGCTTCCCCCTGGGCAGAGATTGGATTGATCTGTGCAGTGTCAGTTTGCTCAGTGATCCAATTAATGCAATTTGCAATACATAATACAATACAGATTTAGGTCTGAAACCCACGGATGACAGCTTTTTTTTTTTTTTATCCCGCATATTTATCCCCCTTTATTTCTTGGCTTTTTCTTGATCCAAATGATTTTTGAGAAGACACTGCCATTTGTTAATTTGCTGAGCCAGTATCTCAGTTGATAAATGTTGAAATGAAGTGAAAAATCTTCGGGCAATCTGGCCTGAAAAAGATACAGTTTCTCACATTGTTTTGTAAGATTGCCAGTTGGTGTGTGTGTGTGTGTGTGTGTGTGTGTGTGTGTGTGTGTTGCTCTTGTTATTCTTATGGGATCACCACCACCAATACCCTATAATCAATTTTTTCCCCTGGAATCTGCTGTCATTTATATCCATATTTTCTGCTTTTACTTTATTCAATGCATATTACACTAAACATCCAGATTCAGCTGCAAGTTTCACTAATTCTGTTAAAGATCATATAGGCTCTGTAAATGTTAAAACTATATATTAAACATAAGAATATGAGTCCCTCCCAATTTCTGTTCATCTTTGCGCCTCTTTTTATTTTATTCTCTTACTGTAATTGCTAATGTTTCCAGAGCTAGAATGAATAAAAAAAGTAGAGAAGGGACAACAACCTTGTCTTTTTCCTTTTATATACATAATGACCTATAGGCCACAGGTATTCCCAGGCAGCAAAAGGAACTGGAGGATGCAGTTCTTATTTTAGTACTAGCAAAATCCAGGGGAGGAAAGTTTGTTTTTTCCCTTTGAAAAAAGGCCGCATTCCCATGCACAGTTTAACGATGTTTCTCAACTTGAGGCCCAATCGAGGTCTTTATAATGGGGCTTACATGGACGTTTGGAAATTGCTGCATAAACATTGCAGAACTGAATTTTAAGATCAGAAGAGTGAGAAAGAGATAACCAAAACTGACAGCTGTGTCCATTCCTATTTGATAATATGCTTGTACATGTGTAAAGGTAAAGGACCCCTGGATGGTTAAGTCCAGTCAAAGGCAACAATGGGGTTGCGACACTCATCTTGCTTTTCAGACTGTGGGAGCCGGCGTTTGTTCACAGACAGCTTTCTGGCCAGCAGGACTAAACTGCTTCTGGCACAACGGAACACTGATGGAAACCAGAGCGCACGGAAACGCCGTTTACCTTCCCGCTGCAGCAGTACCCATTTATCCACTTGCACTGGCATGCTTTCGAACTGCTAGGTTGGCAGGAACTGGGACAGAGCAATGGGAGTTCACTCTGTTGCAGGGATTCAAACTGCTAACCTTCCAACTGGCAAGCCTACACGTATGTGCTTGTGTGTGTGTGTGTGTGTGTGTACACACCCACACCCACCCCACCTCTCACGCTAAACTCAGGCCTTCATTTAACTACAGTCATACCTCAGGTTACAGACGCTTCAGCTTGCATTTTTTTGGGTTACGGACCGCTGAATTCCAGAAGTACCGGAACGGGTTACTTCTGGGTTTTGGCAGTTGCACATTCGTAGAAGTGCTAAACTGCGCTTTGTGCATGCGCAGAAACGCTGAATCGCAACCCATGTGTGCACAGATGTGTCACTGCAGGTTGCGAACGCTGTGGGTTGCCAATGTGCATCCCATATGGTTCACGTTCGCAACGCAAGCGTCTGCTGTACATAGTTCTTGGATTGCTGAACTGAGACCTTCCCCTAGATGGCGCCATAGCCATGTTCAGAATTCTCTCGTAAAACCAGGAAGACCCAAGTGTCTTCATCAGGGCGGCCAACTTTTCATACCAAGTGGGCTGCATGGGCATAGCGGGAGGGGGGGGGATAATTGAAAAGCATTTAAAATACTCAATTAACTGAGATTTTGTGCTGCCACCCCAAAATCTGTCCCCCCCAACAAAAGCCAGCCCTCCGTAATGTCCGCTTTTGGGTGGTATTTTTACACTTGATCTTTATGCCCCTCCTCCAACAAGAATCCTGGCTACAGGCATGGTGGGCCAGAGTAGTTCTTCGACACGGAGCCCACGGGAGGCACATTGTCTTGTCACACTGGTGGTGGGAGTGAGACCAATTTTGACATCTAACCCAGCCCTCCTGCCACCTTCCCAAAGCAGGCTAAGCAAGGAGTTGGGCTTTGGGAAGGAGGCATGATGCCTCTGACAGGGTCCTAGAGTCCTTCCTCTTCCTCTGGAAAGATCATTGCTCTGCCAATTCATGCCTCTGGCTCACCACTAGTATGTGGCTCCCAGAAGGCTCCCCATGGGGGGATGTGGCCCTTGCCCCCAAAATTTCCCCCAACCCTGGTTTAAGTGAATAACAACTTACAGCTGACCTGGTTGTTGTGTCTGTTTTTAGAAGGAGGAGATTCTGTCTTCAAAACCAGATAGCCATTGTGCTAGATGGAATTTGCCTCCCAACAAGCTGGTTATGAACACACCAGTTTAAGACAGAATCTGCTCTGCCTGTCAACACAGCTGTGTGTGTGTACACACACACACACACACACACACACACACACACACACGGGTTTATTGCAGTGTGCTTCTGTTCCAGGGCCCTGGCTGCTGCTATGACCTACTTTGATTATTATGAAGGATGTGTGCGCACATGCGCAAGACCCCTTTGCAAGCACGGAGCGTGTGAATTATTCATGCTCAGCCCATGTTAATGCAGGATTTAAACAATCTCGTCTATAATTCAGAGGGCAGGGTGCTCCCACGGTTGGCTCTAGTGGTCCCCAGGGGCCATTCATGCTTAGGTGAGCAAAGCTGAGTACTGTGGCTGGTTTGACAGACAGGAGCGGAGGGGGAAACGATTCAGCAGGAATCAATGCACAGACTGAGCAGGTGCTGGTGGCGAGAGAAGCCACTGGAGTAAAAAGAAAGGAAGTGGGAGGCAACATTTTCGGGGATGGGGAACCTGTGGCCCTCCAGGTATTGTGTGTCTGCAACACCTATTATCCTTGACTTCTGGCTGTGCTGGCTGGTGGCGTGATGGTGACTGGAGTTCAATGACAGCTGAACAGCCACAGGTACCCCTCCTGTGTGAAGGTGACAGAGGGTGTAACCGTAGCTCAGCAGCAGAACATGTGCCCTTGGTACCTTCAGTTAAAAGCGCAAGGGAGCAGGTATAGGAGAGATTTCTGCCCAAGACCCTGGAGAGCTGTTGTTGCTTAAGAGTCTGCACACAATGCCTAGATGGGCAAAGAAGCTGGTAAAGGACCCCTGGATGGTTAAGTCCAGTCAAAGGCAACGATGGGTTGCAGCGCTCAACTCGCTTTCAGGCAGAGGGAGCTGGCGTTTGTCCACAGACAGCTTTCTGGGTCATGTCGGCAGCAGGACTAAACCGCTTCTGGCGCAATGGAACACCATGACAGAAACCAGAGCACACAGAAAGACCATTTACCTTCCAGCTGCAGTGGTACCTATTTATCTACTTGCACTAGCCTGCTTTCAGACTGTTAGGATGGCAGGAGCTGGGACAGAGCAACGGGAGCTCACTCCGTTGTGGGGATTCGAACTACCAACTTCTGATCAGGAAGCCCAAGAGGCTCAGTGGTTTAGATCACAGTGCCACTGGCTGGTATAAGGTGGCTTGCATATATGGGAAGGGCTTGGCTCTACTACATATGTTCCAACTGCAAATGTCCCCAGTTTGACTACTGGCATCAACAGGTAAGGCTGGGGAAAATACCTGTCATACTCCAGAGTGCTGCCATCACTCAATGCAGGCAATGCTGAGGTTAATAACATATGCCAGGTATAGGACAGCTTCCTGGAAGCCAAAGGGCAGCCAAGTCGATTTCTTGAAGGAGCTTTGTCAGGAAAGGTGACCCCTTATTTCATAACACAGGCAGAATAAAGGGAGACCCCATGTTCCATGGGTTGTACTTTCATTAAAAAAAATATGTTCTCATGCCCTTTAAATAATCTGGAGCAGGTGTGGGGAACCCTTGGCCTTCCAGATGTTGCTTGAGTTCCTTGAAGGAAAGGTGAGCTATAAATGCAATAAATCATCATCATCATTGGATATCCCTCATTGACTCACAAGATCAGGTGAAACCAAAAGCTAGACTCTTTGCTTTAGCTCCAAGAAGATGACCATCACCACTCAGAAAAAAAATAGTTTTTGCCTTCTTGGCAAAAGCCTAGTATACAAGTGGCAAGTCAATTTTGGCTCAGGATTGCAATACCTTGAGGACTGCCTCTCTCCGTTTGAACCTAGTCAGACCCTGCAACCATCATCCGAGGTACTTCTTTGCATGCCTCCTCAAGAGATCAGGAGAGCGGCAACACGAAAACGGGTCTGTTCTGCAGTGGCTGCCCATTTGTGAAATGCTCTCCCCAGGGAAGTTCAGCTGGTACCTTCATTATACACCTTTAGTCATCAGGCGAAAAACGTTCCTCTTCAATCAGGGTTTTGGCTGAGTAGCAGCACCATATACTTCTTTTAAATATGTTTGTGGAATGGGGTAGGGGGAGGGGGGTTATTAGGCTGTGTGTTTTGTTTAGTTCCTATTTTTATTATGCATTTTGTGCTTTTATATTGCATTTTTATGTTATCAGCTGCCCTGAGATCCGTATATTAATAATTTTCCTTCTGTTGGCTTACACACAGATCATGGAAGGTCTTTGACAGAAAGGGGCCTGTTCTTAGATACGACTTGGGATTTTTGCTCTAATTGCTGCCTTGCCTTCCTCTCGTAAGCAATGCTGTCCCTCCGGCTTCAGATTTAGCAAAAGGGTAGGGAACGTGGAGAAGATAACCAAAAGTTAAGGTGTGCCTAGGGGCCCTTGGCAAAGAGTTGTATGGGCAGTGCCCTCTGAAAAGAAAAAGCCACTTTACTGCAATAGCCACATTAGAAATTATTACTACATTTTACACAATCCAGGTAACTGAAACATCCAGAGGGAGGGTGGGGAGAGGATGAAAGGCAAAAAATAATAATTGTGTGCCTCTGTGCCATGGTGCGAAGAGGACAGAAAGCTTTTTCCATGTCTGATCTCGCTGCAATAGCAGTGTTATGTCGACAACTTCCCTTAGCCAGAAAGTTGATTTTTTTTTATGCCCTGTGCCTGTGGCAGGGACTGGTTTGACCAAGCTGTGGGTATGCCTCTGCCAACAGCAGCAAGGATAAGGGGGCAGATGGAGATGCCACTTCAAAGCAGGCAAGAGGGGATACAGCCAAAGTCAAGATCAACCATCCTTACACCAGACACAGCAGGGTTGCACACCCATGTCTCATCAAACACAACTGGCCTCAGTCTAGTATATCTGAAGGAGCGTCTCCAGCCCCATCGTTCTGCCCGGACACTGAGGTCCAGCACTGAGGGCCTTTTGCCTGTTCCCTCACTGCGAGAAGCAAAGCTACTGGGAACCAGGCAGAGGGCCTTCTCGGTAGTGGCACCCGCCCTGTGGAACGCCCTTCAATCAGAGGTCAAAGAGAACAAAAACTACCAGACTTTTAGAAGAGATCTGAAGGCAGCCCCGTTTAGGGAAGCTTTTAATGTTTGATGCATTACTGTATTTTAATATTTTGTTGGAAGCCACCCAGAGTGGCTGGGGAAGCCCAGTCAGATGCGCGGGGTATAAATGATAAATTATTATTACAGTGGTGCCTCGCAAGACGAAATTAATCATTCCGCGAGTCTCTTCGTCTTGCGGTTTTTTCGTCTTGCGAAGCATGGCTATTAACGGCTTAGCGGCTATTAGCGGCTTAGCGGCTATTGACGGCTTAGCAGCTTAGCGGCTGTTAACGGCTTAGCGACTTTAAGAAAAAGGAAACAAACTCGCAAGAACTCGCAAGACGTTTCGTCTTGCGAACCAAGCCCATAGGGAAATTCGTCTTGCGGAACGACTCAAAAAACGGAAAACTCTTTCGTCTTGCGCATTTTTCGTCTTGCGAGGCATTCGTCTTGCGAGGCACCACTGTATTATTATAACCAGAAGAATCCAGTGACTGACGTTCCCAATAACATGGAGAATGCATAGAAGTCTGGGTTCGAATGTTGAAATAGTTTGTATTTGGGAGACACAATGTCTGCTTTGGATTTGGGAAAGGGGCCGTGCAGTTTTACCTGCATTTGCGGAAACACTTCAACCCTCCCTCCAACTGCTGCCTGCAACCTCCCCCTTCCTAGTCCTGCCCACTAGGGAGACACCTGCACTGCAGGAAGGGGGGTGGGGAAGAGTTATTTGGTGCTGGGGAGAATGTCGCTTGGCTGAGCAGTTGTTTCAACATGAACGGTTTACTTGTTATCATTTATTCATGAAAACAGTCCCTGCCTTTTGGTGACGGCAGCGCATCTTGCCCCTCTAATGGAACAGGTGCATCCACACAGCAGGCAAAAAGGGAAGATCATTCCCTCCTCCAGAGGTGCCAAATTGGTGGGCACTGGTCATGGCAGCTTGGGCTTCGATGCAAGCACACCACGAAGCAAAGAGGACAGGGACAGCAGATGACCAGGCACGTGTCAGGCGGTTATAAAACACAAAGTGGAATTCATTCAAGGAAAGGGCAGGTATGAGAACTGATCATATGGCTAGGCTCTGAGGTTAAGTGTCCATTCAGACTACCAGGGCAGAAGACAAGGAGCCCGAACGGCACGTGGAACCAGAGCCAACTAATTCCAGTTTAGTCCCCACCATCTTCCCTGCTGAGGACTACAAAGGCAACAGAGAGATGAGGAAGGAAGAAGCCAACAACCAAAACCAGTCACTGGATGGCTTTTTGGTAGACATTTGGGCAGGCAGGTGGAGGGCCGGCTACGTTCCAGCCATGCAGAAGTGAGGCCCAGTTTTCAACCAAGCGGCTAAGTCTGGATCTAGGTGTTAAGTGCAAAATTCTCTCCATATCAAAAACTAGGGACTTTCCCCCCAGCAGCTTTCTACATGACACGACTCTTTGATACAAGCAGAGTCTGAAATGGTGCAGCACAGACCACCAAATCAGCAAGACCAAATCTCTATTTAGTCCAGACCCTTTTCTGCCAAAAGGAAGCTCAGAAGCAGGGCATTTCCAGCAACTGGTAGTTCGGAGGTACACAGCTTCGGTTCCTAGAGATAGGAACAGAAAGATTTCTGCGCTTAACATACTGCCGTTTTGTGCGTTTCCTCTAATAACTTTTGCACTTGACCAGGAGAAATGCTCAAGCAGTGATACCGATGCAGAACAGAATGTCCCTATTTTCATCCGAAGAATGTTGGAGGGTGTGATACATGTTCCTGTCCAAATTGCCTCTGGTGTATGTTTCCCTCCGTGGCCTAGCAATTCTGTTCTACTCAGAGGTGTACCACCACAGCGAGGATGAGGACTGAGGGGTGAGGGAGGCAGATGCACAACATCCAGCATACATATACAGTGGTACCTCGGGTTACATACGCTTCAGGCTACAGACGCTTCAGGTTACAGACTCCACTAACCCAGAAATAATACCTCGGGTTAAGAACTTTGCTTCAGGATGAGAACAGAAATTGTGCTCCAGCGGTGAAGCAGCAGCGGGAGGCCCCATTACCTAAAGTGGTGCTTCAGGTTAAGAACAGTTTCAGGTTAAGAACAGACCTCCATAACGAATTAAGTACTTAACCCGAGGTACCAATGTATACATTTAATAGTCATGCCTTCTTGCAAAGAATCCTGGGAAATGTAGTTTGTTAATGGTGCCGAGAGTTGTCAGAAGAGCCTGTTCCCTTCAGAGCTACAATTCATGGGAAGGGGGTCTGAATTGGGAATTTTAACTCTGAGAGGGGCATAGGAGTCTTCTGGCAACTCTCAGCACCCTTAAACTACACTTCCCAGCATTCTTTGCAAGAAGTTATGGATACTAAAGTGGTAGGCAAGAACTCTGAAGGTGTGGCGCAAATGTAACCCCATGCCACATTTCCAAAACACGACAGGTTTGTGAGCTCTGTAAGTTAATAGCCACGTTCCCAAGTATGAAATTCACGGCATGTAATGTCCTAAGAGAAAATTTAATGAAAATGATTTATAGGTGGTACATGACACCAGTCAAGCTTGCAAAAATTTATCATTTGCCCGACAATAAATGTTGGAAATGTAATGAGACTGAAGGTACATTCTTTCACCTTTGGTGGACATGCCCAAAGATTAAGACATTCTGGGAGATGATCTATAACGAAATGAAAAAGGTATTTAAATATACCTTCCTGAAGAAACCAGAGGCCTTTCTCCTGGGCATGGTTGGCCAATTGGTGTCAAAGAAGGACAGAACTTTTTTTATGTATGCAACAACAGCAGCAAGAATACTCATTGTGAAGTATTGGAAGACACAAGATTTACCCACTCGGGAAGAATGGCAGATGAAGTTGATGGACTATATGGAATTGGCGGAAATGACTGGCAGAATCCGAGACCAGGGAGAAGAGTCGGTGGAAGAAGACTGGAAAAAGTTTAAAGACTATTTACAGAAATACTGTAAAATTAATGAATGTTAGAAAAATGTTGGAATGAAGTTATATGGCTTTAGTAGAAATGTTATAAGGAATTAAGTATAAATAGATCAATAGAGTATTAAAGGGAAAAATAAGGTTAGAATCTGTTAAGATAATTAAAGGATAGAAAGCAGAGGAAGATGGAAAGGAATTGCTGAAACAATCAACAGAAGTGGAATACAAAAAGGGAGGTGTGAGGAGGCCACTGAAATAAGTGAATGAAAGATAAGATACTGAAATTGTTTGATGTCTTTTAAATTGTTTTTGTTTTGTCTTGTTAGTTTAAGGTGTTATGTAGTGTTTTTGTAATGTATTGTATTGTGTGTTTTTTTCTTTTTCTTTTTTGTTTGTGTGTGTTTAAATTGTTGGAAAAGTAATAAATATTATTTTTTTAAAAAAAGTTAATAGCCACATTCCACCCTTGCCCCCACCACACTAAAGAGTCAACACACCACTGAGTACAATTCATATATTATCCAGTTTCACATTCTCATAGGATATAGCAACTTATTTCTCAAGAATCTTAATACAAGCGAGACAGCCATGGTCCAATAATACTTAAAGCACTTCCAAATACCAAGCAATAAAATGTTAACAAAAATTGCACAACTTCTTGTTACTATGCCTGACTGAATCAGTTACAGAAAAAATTCTTTTTCTCTTCAAGCTTTTAACTAAACATTTAACTTATCTTACAGATTACAGTTTCTCTTTAATAATAATTAATTGCACAAAAACCACAAAATCTTTTATGATGCATAAATACTTCCTTATTACACATGGTACAAAAATACTCGTACATCTTTGTTCGGTATTCCCATAAGGATGGCTGATTATTTGGCAAGACTGGATTCTCTCCAATCAGAGGGATGTGGAAAAAAAGGTTAAATATTTTACAGCTGTTCTATATATAGAAGTCTGACTGAAAACACACACAAAAACAACCCTGACTTTTAACTGGAGAAGGGCAAATGGACAAGAAACCCAGTGCATTGTACTTTTGAGAAGAAACTTTTTTTTTCTTTTTCAAATTCTAGTCAAAGCAGAAATTGGAAAGGGAAAACTGGAGGAAAAAGAAAGCCAAGGGGATTGGGGGGGGGGGGGGAGAGAGAGAGGGCAAAAACTAGGATAGTGTTTTCCAGAAGCAAAGTCTTCACAGAAGCAAGATGAAAAACTTCAGTGATCAATAGCTAGGCCAAGACCCGTTGCTATGGTTACACAAATGCTAGAACAAAAACAAGCTTTGCACACTCACACACGCACACACCCAAGTTAAAGTGTTTTAAATTCATGCCAGAAAACATGCAAAACTGATTGTCTTTCGCTTCCTCCAGCGGAACTGCATAAACAATGTTTAGGATAAGAAGGCCCTGGATATTGCACCGTACACACAGCTAGACCACGTTTTTGTGCCAGGAACCCAGCTGGAAACCAGAAAAGAAAAAAAAAACGAGAAGAGAAAAGGGGTCTGTCACCAAAACCGAGTCTCTCCAACTAGGCCTCAGCATAGCAGGAGGAGAAACTCAGAAATGGAAGTTTGCTATGAGTTAGCGGAGGGCGAGACAGGCAGGCAGGAAGGCAAGCGAGAACACAGACCATGCAGAGTCCACTGAGTTGGGTGAGGGGGTGGGCAGTTTATGTTCACAGTCCTGGACGGGAAAGCCCACATCTTCGTTCACAAGAAGGACAAGGTACTGCAGTTGAGCACCTTGCTGGTGCCCACAAGAAGGGCTTGGAAGGAAGGTTTCCAGCGATCCAGATAACTTCATCTCTGGCACATCACTCCATGGAGAGACAAAGGGGGGAAACGTGGACCAAGAGGCAGCTCTTGAAAAAACAAGGGAGAGAGCATTGCTGAGAACACCATTCCCACTAAGTCCCACTATGATGCAAGGAGGATACCTTCTACGTCCATCCTCCCTATCAGTGCTTGTTTGCTCAGAGAGGAGACCAGACTTCAAAAAAATGGAGGTCTTCAAACACTAACCAGGGCAGAATCCTCCACCCCAGACCCCAAGAGTCTAACTTAAAGAGTAACATTACTATTGTCACTATTTATTAAATTTATATACCACCCTTCATCCAGGGATGACAGGGTGGTTTGCAACATAAACACAAAATAGATAACACAGTAAGAAAAAAACAATACCCCCCTAACCAGGGAGTCTGCCACCTCTCCCACTTCATGTCATAACATGTAGAAGCACCTGCGACATCAGTCAGCATTCATCACATTGTTCACATGGCAGGTGCTTCTGAACATTATGACTGAAGGGGGCAGTGGGACCTGCCATGAGGGAGTCTTGCTTTCACTGGTATTCCCATGTGCGGGCAATAATATGTAACCCTCCCATTCCACATAGTTACCGTATTTTTTGCTCTACAAGACTCACTTTTTCCCTCACAAAAAGTAAGGGGAAATGTGTGTGCGTCTTATGGAACGAATACAGGCTGCACAGCTATCCCAGAAGCCAGAACAGCAAGAGGGATCGCTGCGCAGCGATCCCCACTAATGAGAGATTATACCTGAAGGAGCGTCTCCACCCCCATCGTTCAGCCCAGACCCTGAGATCCAGTGCCAAGCGCCTTCTGGTGGTTCCCTCATTGCGAGAAGTGAGGTTACAGGGAACCAGACAGAGGGCCTTCTTGGTAGTGGCGCCTGCCCTGTGGAACGCCCTCCCATCAGATGTCAAGGAAATAAGCAGCTATCTTATCTTTAAAAGACATCTGAAGGCAGCCCTGTTTAGGGAAGTTTTTAATATTTAATGCTGTATTGTTTTTAACACTCGATTGGGAGCCGCCCAGAGTGGCTGGGGAAACTCAGCCAGATGGGTGGGGTATAAATAATAAATTATTATTATTATTTTGAGCCAAGTCATCCAAGCCAGATACTCACTAAAACTAACAGAACTGACGAGACTTCCATCCTTGCTGGGTAGCTTCAGAGGGCGGATACCAGCGCATCTAGAAGAGAATGACAGAGTATGATAGAGGAGGGGGAAATATCAGTGCATCCAATGAAGGTAACTAGTGCTCCCAAAAACTCTACATAAGCTACTTCTCTTAGGCTGCTCATTATTCCTCAAGATCCTCTGGAAAACAGGACTGCCACTCTTTTCTGGCATCATGTATTGCTCCCTGCAACCTTTTGAATAATTGACACAGGGAGACATACTCAAGCTTGCTAAGCCCATAACATTAGCAAGGTCCCATAATGTCTTCTCTGCCCCTTCAAGGCAACTGATACATCTTTTCTCAACTCCCAGTTCTAAGGAAGTTTATGCCTTGGAGGTCACGTTTGATGAATGACCTGCAGAGCTGTAGGTTTTGCCACAAAAAGGACATGGTGGCAACAATGGCTGTCTTAAGACTCAACCTACAGCTCATGGGCCTCTTTCCTGACCCACATTACAACTCTGCAGTGATGCATTACTTCTTGGCTGTTCCTCGCCATCACAACCAAAGTAGTCTCATGTGCTCCAACTGTCCACATTTATCAGAGCTGGTACTTCTCGTCTGGAACCAAGTCTCTGGTAAATAAATGTTCCTATTTGAGATTTTAAAAATAGATCACATGTGCAACACTTACAACCTGCTTCCTTTCCAATCTCTACTGCTTCCCAAACAACTTAACCACCTAGTCAACTTGACCAACCACATTTCAAGTTGCAGCTATTTTACAAGAACAACCACTGGCAGATTAAGGTGTGGTGGTTTTTTAAGCTTTGGTTTTTTCAAAACTTACAATGTTTATTACAATGACTAAACTGTTGCAGATAGCCTTCTCTTGCACACGAGACACACCTACTCCAGAATTCGGTGCAGAGGAGGCTGCTTCAGAGTAAACAAATAAAGCAAGCAGAGCCTGAAAATGTGCAGTAGTGTGCGAGGCTTGTGCGCAGGGACCCTTTGTGTGAGAATAGTGAGGTATCAAATGTACAAGAGCCCCTATTTTGACACCTGCAAAATGCTGAGAAGTTTTGGGGCTAGGGCAACTTAACAGGGGAGAAGAGGTAACATCTGGACAGCTGCAGCAGCGTTTGGTCCAGAAGTAACCCAATAACCATGACCTGTAAAAGCAACAATGGGGGACCTGTGGGCATCCAGTCATTGTTGGATTACAAATCCCATTATCCCTGTGCATTGGCCATGCTAGCTGGGACAGCCTAGGACCATCTGAGGGGCTGCATGTTGCCCATCCCCAAGCTAAAGCAAATAGAAATTTCTTACTGCACAGGAACCAAGAGGAACATATCTTTGAGGATTCATGAAGGCAGTTGCAATTGGACCTTTGCCCTCCTCATAAGGCATAATAGTAGGACCAATGTAAATATAATTAGTACTATATGTGTTCCACCCAATAATACAGTTGGAGGGGAGTCCTTGAAGGTCCAATCCCCGTTTTAACGCTAGGAATTCAGAGCTAGAACATTCTGCAGTCTCTGCTTAAAGACCTTTTGCAACTTAGACTATATCCACAACATACATTTAAAGTACTCTTAAATTATATACCCACTGTAACAATCATGGCTTCCCCCAAAGAATCCTGGGAACTGAAGTCTGTTATGGGCGTCAAGACTTAGGTGACCCCCCCCCCAGAACTACAATTCCCACTCAACAACTACAGTTCCCAGGTTTCTTCAGGGGAAGCCATAACAGTTAAGAGTGATGTAAGAGTGCTTCAAATATACAATGTGGATGTGATGTAATATAAAAGTTGCTCAGGAGGATTAACACACCTTCGTACTGGTACTACTAGATGCACTATAATTTATATATAAAATCTGCTGCCAATATTAACATCTGGGGGACTGGACTTCTTACTCCCTCCAACATCTGCACAGTCTGTGAGTACGGCTTGCTCTGCAGCATGCCTGCCAACCTCAATTTTTTCTTACCATTATCCTTCCTTGCAAGTTAAAAGTTGCATTTAGTTCTCCCACCTGATAGTAGCCACCAGCATTGTCATGTTTTGTATTTCTGCCCTTCCACAAACTCCCACCACTCCCAAGCTGTAGCTTAAGCATTTCCCAGATTCCTACATCCATCTCCCCCGCACATCTGGAATTAGTTTTGTTCCTTCTGCTCAACAACTGAATGGAAACAGGAAGTTTCCCTGGCCGGGCTGTGCAGTGCTCTTTAACCCTGGAAAGAAAAACCCCAGTCGCTAGATCTGCAGGATCCTGCCAGGAGAGAGACAGCCACCCAAGGTGCACATACAACCCAATGGAAGGGCAAGAGGTTGGCTCTATGCCTGTGCTAAGATGACAATTGTGTATCTGAAGGCTGCTTTGATATCTGTGTTGACCAGACTGAGAGCATTGGCGGAATGGGCGGTTCTCTCCAGAGTGTTTTTAGTAAGCCAGCTGCTTCTACATATGGGCTGTGTACATATTACCAGCTTCAAAAAGGGAGCTAGGGTGTTCTTTTTCTCAGTTTGGACCAAAGCTGGCTGGTGGGGTGGGGGGAAACACATCAAAACACAATTATTCGATATGCAATGACAGGGAAGATACAGGATACATACGGACTGCGGCTAACAGTCCATATCACGAGGGCCCATCACATGACTCTACTCAATTGATCACACTTGCACATGAGTAAGCAACTGTGAAGCAGCACACTTTTTAAAAAGATGCCTGCGTCACCTTTAGAGGTATCCCCTGATAAAGGGAGATGTCTTATAAGACTGGTGCTCTCATCCTCTAATGTAAGTTCTTACGAAATCTGTAAAGTTTTTTTAAAAGCTGCATGTCAGATCAGCAGAACCCTTTGTTTTACTAAACACTGCAGCCCTAATTTCCACCTAGGGAAGGGAGGGAATTCAGTTCAGCTTGCATTTAAAGCCTAACTTTCTTAACTCATGCTTCACTGAAACAATATGGGAACTGAAATTCAGCTATGATTCAAAACTTCAACTTCTCCGAAGTCTGCAATTCAGCTCCTCAGCTAAGCAATATGTACAAAATGGGGTAAAATGTGCACAAGAGTGCATGTAGCTATGAAAACATGTGAACAAAAATGCATTATTATTAGGGGAAATGGTTTTCAAGACGTGCATTATGCAAAATTGCATAAAAAATGTATATATTAGGATAAATTCCCTTAAAAAAAATCGCACTAGTGGAAACGTGAACCCAAATTTAAGACTGGAAAAACAAGAGAAACCACAATTAACAGATTTGTCCAACCCTACTTCCACCCTCTCCAGCATCTTCCTCACCCCTTTCCTATGAAGTTCTATGACATAGGCAGCAACCGTATCAGACTGGAGTGAAGGAGTAAAAGAACAAAATTATATTAAAGGAAATCAGGAATTTTTTACATTTGGAAAGAGTGTGAAGAAGGATATTCTGGTCTCTTGTCAAGGATGGGTTGTCCCTTCCTTGACAGAGTCCATAGCGTGACTGATGTGTGTGTGTGCACCAGCTGGCTGTGCGGGGGAAATTAAATCCGTGTGTGCTGTTGCTACGACTACAATCTCAACCCCCCTCCCACCACGTGACTGTGGTGAGTGAAAAAAGGTGGCAGGGAGCACAGCACCATGTGGCAGGATTGCCACCCGCTGAGGCTCCTCCCCTCCCACAGGCAGGACCAATCCATCCCTGCTCAGTGGGGCCACTTTCAACACAAGGGGTGCCATGCTGTGGTGCCATGTCATGTGTGCCAAGTTGGCAATAGGTGGGTTAGAGAAATACCTGGCATTTCATCCTGCCTGGGCTTTTGGTGGGTGGATAGCGTGGAGGCCCATGCACTGGGTTGCCAAGGAAGAGATGGGGCAGAAAAATAATAAAAAAAAGAAGCTTGCGGAAAACCCCGTTGTGCCCAAAATGGCAGAGAGATGATGTTACCTTACCAGCCTTTTTCCAGAGACGGGACCCACCATCCTTAAAGGCTTCTAGGAATGAAGCTGTTGTACAGCCACTCCACTCTAGCAGGGGCAAGCCAGGACTATGGTGTCCCACAGCTCCAGGGCCAGCCTTGAGCTTCAGGGCTGGCCTGCGTAGGCATCCTGGCGGCAGGTCACTGAAGACATCAAAGGAGGGATCATTTCAACCACCAGTTGGCCGCTGTGGGAGCCCCTTGGGGGGGAGGGGGCAAGAGGCATTTTGTTGGCAGCTGCCAGTGATCATGACAACCTGTAGGTCCTGCCAGGAGATTTGGTGGGACGGGGAAGAGGGTGGGAGGGAATCAGCATTCGGGAGCAAACACAGAATCCGTAGTCATCGCTGTTCAAACCACTGGAATAACCCATCTAGAGATGCCTCTTCTCTTCTTGGGCTGCAAGAAGGGCTACAGAGGAAGATTTCTTGCATTGTCATTTGTTAGTTCATTCGGCTACGGAGAGGGTGGAGAACCTGTGGCCTGCCGGAAGTTACTGAACTCAAACTCCCATCAGCCCCAGCCAGCAAGGCAAATGTTCAGGGATGACTTGACTTGCAGCACAACCACCTGTGGGAATGTGGCCACAGGTTTCCCACCCCAGAAATAAAGTGGTGTGTTTTAGTAGAGGGAAACATTGGTACTAGAGAAACTCCAGCAAGTCTGTAGTCATTGGAAGTTGCCCACTTTTCATGTACCTTTCTGCAAGCAGCTTCTCTGCAGAACTCTTTCCCACAGCCCAGGAGCAATTCTGACTAGGGCTGAGCTGAAAGCAAAGGAATGGGAGGACTCACAAGTGCTTCCTTGGCGATTGCACTGGAAGGGTGCATGTGTTCAGAGCAAGGGCAAATTCTTTCCGAATTGGCTGTGTTTGTCCTTAGCGGCAGCAGAAAATTGATTAATCTGATGTCTAGAGGGTGCTTATCTGCATTTTACTTTCCACCACTTGTTCCAGGCATGGTCAGTGTGTTAAAGCTCCATGTCTGAGTGCCCTGCTTTTTTGCTCTGGAGTTTCCCCTGCAAAAAACTGATCTTTAAAGCTCAACTGGAGCAAACAGCACTCTGTGGAAAACCCAAATTGACATTTGCTCCAATTGAGTGCTAAAAAGTGGGGTTTTGTGAGGAAAGCTCTGGGGCAAAAAAAATAAAGTACTCGGACACAGGTAAGTGCAGATAAGCCTGTAGTCTTGCAACACTGTCTCATCATTCACTGTAAGATTCCTGGCTGCCTGGGATTTGACTTGTGACAAAGGAAGACGAGGATACAGTTGTTAGAAAAATGCCCCAAAAGATGCCAGAGATGGGAGCAAGCATTCAAGAGATTGGGTCTTTATTGTCCCCGCCAAAGTTGCACCACTTTGGGGAGACTATTCACCCTTGTTGTGTTACGTGGAACTGCAACAAAACACCTCATCTGGCTGCTTTAACCACATAGGCAGAAGGGCTTGGCAAATATCTCCTGGTTAGGCTTCCTTCCAACACCTGTCAGCAAACTTCTCCCATCCTTAACATTCACACACCAGGCTTCCAGCCTCACGTATTGGGCGGAATGCTGCGCTGACAGTTGTTTAGTAAGGAGGGGCGAAGTAATGTTTAACCCTATAAAAGCTTTATGAGTAACACATTCATTCATTTCAAAGGACGAGTTGCTGGGTTCATTCCAGGGAAATGATCTACCCAAGTGGACAGGAGGGGTGAGGGGGAAACACCACTGTTACGAGCTCCCCCTTTTGCAGGAGCAGCAAAGCATCACGTCCAGCACTGTCCCCGGCTGATATCCTGCAACAGGCACAGTATTCTCCCAGGCAGGAGGTACTCAACTTTTGAACACACTGCCTGCACAAGCCACACAATGTAGTCAAATGCATTTATTATATTAGATACTATAAATTTGACACACTTGGTGCAGAAGCATCACGCACACAGAAAGAGTTGCACACCAGGGAGGCGCAAGCACATTAAGAGTCACATGGAGGGGATTTGGCCTGTGTAAAGCAATGCATTCTAGAACTCTCCTCGACTTTGGGATCCCTTATGGAGGGAGAAAAGAGCCAGGATGCTATGCTATGCTATTCTATCGGAGGCAATGCAAGAGCATCGTGAGACTGTAGAGCCAAAAGGTTGACATCTATTTCCCCTTTATAAAAGAGGCTATACTAATTCAATCGAGTGCAAGCCATTAGCTTGGCCAAAGACAGAGGGTTTTGGCTCTCTGTACTATGTAGTCCTTATTGGGACAGCCTCCAGCAGTACAGCAACACAGCAAAGCACTTCCCAGTCCTTTCAGTGTTTCTATCTGCATCTCATCTTCCTCACTTCAATGCTTTCAAATTCTAGGCCAGGTCCTTTTCCTGAACTCTACATAGCAGACCAACACAAGTCGTCTTCCCCTTCCCTACCACTGCACTGAGAGGGACTAGACCACGTATTATAATGCAAATCTGCCACTCTTGTAGACTACTAGCAGTTGAAGGGCTTAGGGTACAGAATTCTTTAAGGGATAGCTTTTCCTTTGAGACACCAATCCTCCTCTGTCACCAAATTGTGCTCTCCTCCGCTAATTCCCCAAGCAAGCCACTATTGTCTGGGTGAGCGGCGGAGGGGAATGACTATTTAGTAACCTTATCAAACCCCAACCAGGCTCCGGGTCCTGAATTTCCCTGCAGTTGCAATGACAGGACCAAGGTGCAGGCTATTCTGTTGGAGCTGGAGGGGGAAGGAGACAGATTCCTGCTCATCTCAAAAAAAAGGGGGGGGTGGCATTATGGACTCACCTGAGCATGAAGTGCAGCAGCAGCGGCAGCAGCTGGGTATGTGAAAGCAGCATGTGGGATGGCAGGGGTTAACTCCGTGGTGTAGAGTGGGTAGGGAGCCCATGCCTCTGGAGATGCTGGGATCAGGGTTGCTCCAGTCAGGTCATCTAGACATGAGGGAGCAACAGCACGTCACTCAAGACATGGACGGAGAGAGAGGGAAATAAACCAAACAGGCTGGGTTGTGTAGGGGCAGCAGCACCTCTGGCGGAAAGAGCAGCAAGGTAAGATGCAAATACACACATCTGCACCACATCTCATAACCCAGCTCAGGACCAAAGGGCTTCCACCCAGTGGCATCCATCCATCCATCCATCCAAGCAGCCCTGCTCAAGCATCTCACAGAGGTGTGTGCACACAGGTTCCTCCTACCCCACACTCAAAGACGAGGGATGAATCTAGGGCAGCCACCCCCCCGGCCTGTTTGCCTCCAGGTGCTTCTGCACTCCAACTCCCATCACTGGTCACATTGGGTGGGGCTAATGGGAGTTGGGCCCAGCCGCACCAGGAGGTTGAGCTCCAATTCTTTCAGATACTCTCCCCTCCATGTGCAGCAGATGTAGGTGTTTTGCTAAGGGTTGCTTCACATGGGTTTAAACACACAGTAAAAACAAAAGAGTTATGCATAGGCATAGCTGCCACATTCATACCAAGGTATACAATGATTTTAATCTCCTTGCGTTTTAAAGCCCCTTCAACACCTCTTTTTTTGCAAACAGATGCTATTATCAATTAATACAAAAGTTTTGCTACAGCTGACCCCATCAGTGCTCACTTGGGGAAGACATTTGCTGCCATGTGTGAGGCAACCCTCAGTAAAAGCAGGAAATGGCAGCCTGCGCCATCATCTAAAGCAGCCTTTCCCAACCACTCAGATAATGTTGGACTACGATTCCCATCATCCCAGACCACTGGGGCCATGCTGGCTGGGGTTGTAGTTCCACAACATGTGGCGACCCATGGTTAGGAAAGGCTGATCTAGGGCACCAACCCCCCCAGTGCAGGCCTGCACCCCTCCCCCTGCTCCACAATATTCCTCACAAGGGTCCCGTGCAATGAAGTGCGCTCCCAGGGCAGGGTGGAGGTTGGTGGGATTCGGTGTGGCCATCAGCTTGCTTTTTGCCATCTTGGTGTTGGCCTTAGCAAACTCTAACCGCAACGTCTGGGGGTTCTCCGGGTCAAAGCGGATGCCCTGCAGCGGCAGGAGAGAGAAAGAACAGAATGGAATAAAAGCCATGCAGTCAATCTTCTTGGAAACCACACTGGAACACAATTTGGCTGAAGAGCGGTACATAAAACGTGCAAGGCCAATACAGAAAATGTGCTTTCTTGTCAATGCAAAAGCTTGGGAAGGAGAGGTTGTCTGTGTGCCTTTCCCAGGGATCAGGCTGGGTCTATGTATGTAACAGTATTGGTAGCAGGAACAGAGCCTACTGTTTCAGACTGCCGACAAGAGTTTTTGAAGGCTCCCGGCAAGCAGCACACACAACAGAGCATCAATTGGCCTTTGCAGTCCATGAGTGGTTGAGTATGTTTGGTCCTTGCCAGCTGTGCTCCCAGCTCATTTCATCGGCAGCTGCTTGCCTGCTGGGGGTGGGGAGAGCGCCACAGCAATAGCCTTGTGGCAACAGTCATCACTGGGACAAAGTGGCAGTGAAGTTGGGACTACGAGGATGCAAGCCTGTCCCCTCTCTCTCCTGGCAAGTAGAAGCAATTCTGCTCTTGGGAGGCTATTGCTGTGACTCCACCCCACTGCGAAAGCTGTTCCTGCATTAAATAGCTTACAGGTGAGAGCCAGGAAAAGAAGACCTTTCCATGCATCTCAACAGATGCCACAGATTCCTAGGTTTTCCCCTGAAGCAGGGCTGGCCCACCCATGAGGCAAGGTGGGGCAACTGCCTCAGGTGGTAGGATCCACAGACACAGCAGATCCCAATGTCGATCCTTCTCTCCCCCCCCCCCTGTTCCCAGTGTAGATATCCCCTCACCCCTTCTTCCCTCGCAGAGGGGAGGGGGCACCATTTGTGGGTCTGCCTCAGGTGCCAAAATGTCTTGGGCCAGTCCTGCCTTGAAGGGCAGAAAACACATGGCAGCCATGTCATCTGGGCTTAACTGGTGCAACACAGTTAACCCACACAGCTCACTAATGCCCTGAAGTGCTCCAACTCCAGATTAGCTTGCTTTGAGCATCATTCCACCACGTGGGAAGGAGAACTTGCAAAGTTTGCAAGTATGTGTTATAATAGTTATTGGTATGAGTCCCAAGTAGCTGGAGATCTACAGCACTTCCCTTTCAATGAAGTTACCGGATATGAGATGGGATGGAATTGCATGCTGAGCCCAAGTCATTCTGGCTATTGGGCTGTGCAAGTACCTGAACTGCATGGTCCTCAATACTCACATTCAGTGCATTCTTTGCAGCTTCCGCACCGGACCGGCTGTCGAAGGTAACAAAGCCAACCGGCTAGGGAAAAGAACACATGGTTTAAACAACATGTGCATGATGTGTGCTTGGAACTAACTGATCTAGCCACACTGCTGAGTACAGCTTGTGGTGATGGTTTTGTTTCGTTTTGTTTCCAATCCATTCCATTCCAGGTGCCCTTCACAGAGCTGGTAGCTCCAAACAGGCAGCCTGGCAAGGGACCTGGTGCCCCAGCAAGTTCTTCTATGCCTTTCAGCCTACCTAGCTTCCATTTCAAGGGATGGGAGATGTGAAGAACCTGCTGTTGCTGAGCCCAGAGCCCAGCTTGTTCATTGCACTGGAGGCAGACTAGCTTCTGTTGCAGCTTTGGGTGCATCCGACAGGGTATTCAGCAGCACAAAGGACGCCTTAAGATAAGGTTTGCTTCTTTGCCGTGTTGGCAGATGTGGGTGTTTTTGTTAGCTAGAACAGCAGAGATGGGGAGCCTGTGGCACACTCCAGATCATTGGGCTGGACTCCATCATCCCTGGGGCTGATGGGAGCCTGGAGTCCAGCAATACTCAGACTCTGGCCATAGTTTCCATATCTGTACAATAAAGCAATGTCTTGGGAAAGACACTGCACTTTTGCAGGGAAAGGGAAACTATGTACACAAAACATGCAATATGTAGACCATTAGAAAGTGTCAGCCAGTCCATGCAGCACAGTTAGAACTGAACAGCCTTCAGACAGGGGCTTTGGATGGGATAAAAGCAGCCCCAGCTTTATTTGAGTGTATGCTATTGCCCATCCCTTTACTGTAATCCTAGGGTTGCACCCCCCTCCCTCTTCCTAATTAGGGCATCTGATCTACAGTTTAAGCAGTTAAGGGCAGAACTGGGAAGCTGCCAGAATGAGGACTGAGGGAGGCATTACCTGTTTTGATGTTAGCTTGATCAGCGATCCTTCATAACCCTGAGGAGAGAGAAGCCAGCAAGTTAGTTATTGGATTCCTTAAAAGGGAAAGAAAAGGATGCAAAGCCAGGCCAGCACCCTTAAACAAAGTGCCAGAAATACTTTTGCAGCCCTGAAAAGCGAGTTAACATTAAGACGTAGTTATTATGTTAGAAACACTTTCACCCCGTCACCACCATCCCCACCACAGATGGGCTATGCCCTTCCACCCTATGAAACTGCTTTATACGGAGTCAAGTCATTGCTATATGTAGCCCAATATTGTCTGACTAGGGACACGAGTGATGCTGTGAGTTAAACCACAGAGCCTAGGACTTGCCGATCACAAGGTCGGCGGTTCGAATCCCCACGAACTGCCAACCTAGCAGTTTGAAAGCATGTCAAAGTGCAAGTAGATAAATAGGAAGGTAAACGGTGTTTCCGTGCACTGCTCTGATTCGCCAGAAGCGGCTTAGTCATGACCTAGAAGCTATACGCCGGCTCCCTCAGCCAATAAAGCGAGATGAGCGCCGCAACCCCAGAGTCGGCCACAACTGGACCTAATGGTCAGGGGTCCCCTTTACCTTTACACTGTCTGACTGGCAAGGGTTCCTTCAAGAGTTCAAGCAGAACCCTTTCCTAACCCTGCCACTAAAAGCCAGCTAACTGACAAATGCTGGACAGAGGACATTCTACCTGCATCCCGACATGTTGCCATCCCTAAATATTAATCCCATTAGTTACTAATGGCAGCTACACACTTAACAAAGGGAAGTTCCTACACTGGATCAGACCATTGGCCCATCCATCCGGGAAGGCGGTTGGTTAGCTGGTCAGGGATGCTCAAGAAGTATTTCCTGCATCGGAGTTGGATTGGCTGACCTCTGAGGCTCCTTCCAATTCTATGACTTTTGGGGGTTGGGAGTTGGAGGGGTGGTGGTGAATCTGGGGTTGAATACCTGCTCAGCCCTGCTCCCTGGTGACCTTGAACCAACTTCATAATTCTTCTCTATAGCCAACAGGGCACAAGGCTGCCATATCAATAGACTAAGGACACAATTGCTTGTTGGGGTGCGTGTGCTGCTGCTTACCTTGAATGGCCGGAAAAGCAGGTAAAGCTCTCTGGGCTTGATGTCCACAGGAAGGCCACTGACAAAAAGTGTCCGCACCTAGAAGAGGTGGAACAATGCCAAGCAGGTTTAGAGATCACTGTACCGCATCACAGGGTATCTTATTAGTCACAGTCCAAGGTTCAAGCGCCAAGTCATATGACTGACAAATGCAGGAGTGCAATCATTCTGCGAAGAATATTCAAGAGAGTTAATAGCCACTGTTGACTGCGAGACTGTCCAGTTGGAAGGATCTGTCAGTTTTGGTTCTCTCATTTTTTAAAATCTTAAATTCAGTTCTCCACATTACTGCAGCAATTTGATGTATTTTTTTTAGCTCTCATGAAAATTCTTCAGCATTTTCAGGTCAATTTCTTCCAACACACACTTTTCTACACAATTTTCACGCCATATTTTCAAATCACAAAGCACACCTTATTTTCAAACAAAATTCGGAAAAGTGCAAATTTGGAAGGACGGCAGTGTTCCGGTTCTCATATTGTTTCACAAAATCATAATTTGATAAATTTGCCTTAAATGTTATTGAATTTCTGTCCCATTTCTAGCTGGAGAGTAGGTGGGATTATTTGATTAGAGGTTTGTTTATTTGTTTGTTTGTTTGTTTGTATAGACTAGATACCTGCATATGTATATACAGCAATTGATCCCTGAAGCTGGGCAGAGGATGGAGAGATGTAAAAGATTTTCTGTGGCAGTTTGCCAGTTGGCTTTTTTGAAATGTGGTTTAACCAAAGTCAACTAGAAATGTAACTGCAAGCCCTAGATGTCATTTTTTACTGTTGTACTTAGCAATAACCCTTTTTTTAAAAAAAGTACTAGTGTGTGGAGTCTTTCCCTTACTAAGTACCCAGTATTTTGTTTTTGTTTTTAAATGTATTTTTATTAAAGCTTTTCTTGATTTACAAAGGTATGTGCAATGTCTCTCGTATTTTTCCCCCCATGTAACTTTTTTTTTTTTACAAATCGTTTTCATTTGTTGAGACATTAGGAAGAATAGGGGGAAAGAGGTGGGGGAAAAGATGAGTGGGGGTGGGGTCAGGTGGTGATGTTTCTATTATACTTAATATATGTGGGGTTTTGTGTCAGCACTGCTTGTGCAGGTTCTCTGCTGTTCACTTGTGTTCCTTTGGTGGTGAGAGAGGTTGGGGTTGGCCTAGGGTGTGACTGTTCATTTGTGGTTGGCTGTGGTGGTCTTTGTTTTCATGTGTGAGTGGAGTGGGTGGGTGTTTTGGATCAGGTTAGCCATATTGATTTGTATGCTGTTGGTGGATTTTTGTCATTGTTTTGTTGGGCTGTGTATGTGATAAAGGGGAGCCATACCAGGGTGAAGGCGTCGTCTTCTATTTGTCCCCGTGTCAGTTTCAGTTTATTGGTTAATTTTTCTAGTAAGGCTGTTTCCCATGCTATTTGGTACCATTGGTCCATGCTTACTCCTGACAGGTCTCTCCAGTGTCTGGTTAAATTGTTTAGGGCTGCTGAGAGTAGGTGGGTTATGAGTTCTTTGTGGTATAAGTGGGCATTGTTGTCTTGGAAGATGTTTAGTAGGGCCAATTCTGGGGTGATTTCTAATACTTGCTTGGTTATTTTATATATTTCTCGTATGGCTGTTGTCAAGAATAGTTGGATTTTGGGACACTCACCACATGTGGAGGTATGTGCCTGTGGAGGTGCACCCTCTCCAGCATTTTGGTGAGGTTCCTGGGCAAAGTAGCGCTAGTTTTCTTGGTGTTAGGTACCACTTGTAGGTGATATTCAGAGTGAGTTCTTTTCTTTTTATTGAAATGGATTTAAAGGTGGGTTTAGACCACATTCTGGTCCATTGAGTGGGGTTAATCTCATAGCCTATGTTAGCCTCCCATTGTTTTTTTGATTGTATCTAGGCAGTTTGTGGGATTTTGGAGTAGTATTTTGTATACTGCGGATACAATTCCTTTACCATGTCCCTTTGTTGTTAGGAGGATGTTTTCGAAGGTTGTCAGGGGCCTAGTTGCTGCTGGTTTTACTACTGGATTGTTTAAGAGTGCATGTAATTGGTGATGTGTTAACCAGGACATTTAGGTGTCTTCTAGTTTGTCTTGTATTTCTTGTGTTGACAAAGGTTTGTTATTTTTATAGAAGTCTATTAGATGATATAAGCCTTTGGTTTGCCAGGTTTTTATCTGGAGGTTTGTGCTGCATGATGGAATAATGGGTGGTACGCCAGGGGAATTAGTGGGGTTGGGGTTGGGAATAGTTTGCCTATTTCTGTTTTCCATGCTTTGAGCATGGTCTGTGTGAAGTACCCAGTATTTTGTTAAAGTCATTCATGGGTATTAAGATGGTGTTATCTTTCTTTTTATTTTTCTAAGAGCATGGAGAAGAGCTAAAGTTCAGCAGCAGAGCAAATACTTTGTATGCATAATGGCCAATATTTCAATTTCAAGCTTTTCTAGTTAAAGAGATCAAGAAGCAGATTTAAAGGGAAACTTCCTGGACAGCTGCTGTCAGTCAGAGCAGGCACTAGCGGGTTAGATGCACAATTCCTCCCCATGCTGTTCACCAGCAAACTGCTAGTATTGTAATTTACAATCCTTGTGAACTTTTCAGAGAAAGGGCAAGATACAAATTTAATAACTGAAGTGCAATTCTCAAAACTGGCTGCCTGCTGAATCGCTGCTCTTGACCTTCCTCCCTCCCTTCCAATCATGTGGCAGCCCCAGAGCAGAAACTAGGTAGGTTTTGTAATTCCTACTCTTCTACACCTGGAAAGCTTAACTTTTAGAATATTCAAAAGAGCAAAGCGAGAAAGTTTTAATTCACAGTAGTGCTTGTCTGGGGCAACACTGCTTTGATGTCCCTTGCAAAGTGCATGGCATCTCTCTCTGTCTCTTTGGTAAAGTCTCTATTTCTCCAGTATCTTTTTTATTTATTTTATTTATTTATTATTTGGCCCTTAAATGCATTCCATATCAGACATCTATCAGGCAGGAACCTCCTTTTCTATTGCCTTTTGGTTCCTGAAAAATACATTCCTCTTTCAACAAACCTTCTAAATGGCAGTCTTTATCCCAGCTGATATTTCTCTGAATTTGAACTGATTTTATGTATTTACTGCTGTTGTTTTAAACTGGCTTTATAAATATAATTGCCTTATAAAACTGCTTTTATATGTTCATTTGTTTTAACAGTTTTTATATATGAGTATTCTCTGTTTTCATTATATTGTAAATTGATTTGGGGTGGCCTTACGGGAAGTGCTTCATAAATAAAAGCCCACTTTAAATAAAACTAGAGCCACAGTTTGATAACTTAGTTATTTTAATTTCTGTTTTAATTTCCCAATATAGCAGTGAAATATGCTTCAAATTACACCAATATGTTGTCAAAACAACTTGTTCCTTTTTCAGGGGGGACTTTTTCAGCTCCTATTGCAGCAATATTCCCAGATCCGGAAGCAAAGCTGGCCTTAGATGACCAAGCAGTTTGTGTTTTCTGTGACAACTCAGGCATCCAGAACGACACACACTGTCCATGTTACTTCTGACCCCATGATTGCTCAGAAGGATCATGCTGAAATAAAAACACCTGGCCTCTAAAGTGACCTAGCACAAACTAGGCTCAACATGTACAAATCTTGCTTTGCTCTCTGGGAGATGGCAGTGTTGAAGAAGTGAGCACTCTTTGTCTGAAACTGCTGCACCGGGCCTCTTTAGAGGTAACCAGCAAAATATGTCCTGCCCACTAAATCTCAGCCTGGTATGCTCTATTCCAGGGGTCAGCAAACTTTTTCAGCAGGGGGCCGGGTCCACTGTCCCTCAGACCTTGTGGGGGGCCGGACTATGTTTTGGGTGAAAAAATGAACGAATTCCTATGCCCCACAAATAACCCAGAGATGCATTTTATATAAAAGCACATGTTCTACTCATGTAAAAACACCAGGCAGGCCCCACAAATAACCCAGAGATGCATTTTAAATAAAAGGACACATTCTACTCATGTAAAAACAAGCTGATTCCCGGACCGTTCGCTGGCCGGATTTAGAAGGCGACTGGGCCAGATCCGGCCCCCGGGCCTTAGTTTGCCTACCCATGCTCTATTCCCACAGTCTTATTAAACTTGCTGGAACAAGAGCAGTGACCAATCCAGACCGTATCATATTTGAATACATCTGCTTGACAGTGCAACCCAAACCCTCATGCTTTCTAGTGAAAGACTGAGGTGGCAGATCAGGGAGATGCTCCTTTAAAACTAACATAAGACAGCCTAGTTCAGAAACAACTTTCTTCCTATAGTGAGGAGGAAGGATGCAAGAGCCTAACTCTGTTTCTAGACAACTGTAAATAGAATTGCAGTTGACTTGCTATACTACTTGGGTGTGTTGTGGGTTTTTTCTGTGTACATCCTGCTTTGTCCTGTCCACACCAGTTGAAGCTCAGCATAAATTTACTATAATCCTTGTGGGTGCCATTTTATGACTCCCCACCTTTTACTTTTAATTTAATTATCATTAACACAGATCCATTTAATCCAGGCCACTGGTGGCATTGATCATATTGCCCAAAGTTTTATGATTATTCTGAATTACTGCTGCACATCTTGCCAAAGGAATTCTATAATTCTTTTCGTGTTGTGCCTTTTTAATTATGTTTTATTAGTTTACTTTGTTTAATGTTTTGTAAACCACCCTGGCATTTCCAGATGACAGGTGGTTTCAAAGTTTAAAACAGTATGCCATACAAATTCACAAAATCCCAACAGAATATTTAAAATATTCTTTCCATGTAAGGTGCACAGACCAGCGTGTCATTCAATGGAAGAAGAGATTAAACACAACATCCCGGGCTATTCCTTCTCAGAGTAAACCCACTGAAACGAATGGCCGTAAGGAAGTTAGTTTTCATAGATTTCAGTGGGTCTACTCCAAGTAAAACAGCTAGCCACAACCCAATGTATATCTCTTAATAAGACCCCAAGGTCTGTTTAAAATTAGTGAGAGTTGTGGCTTCTCCAACCTCGCTTGGTACCGGATTACATGGTTGCAGCACACTGTTGAAGTAACCCTGTTCTCTCTATTTGTTGTCCTAGCTTTTATTACAGGCTGGCGTCTCAACAGAACCTCAGAAGTAGATCTTATGGTACTGGTAGGTCAATATTAGTACTGGATTTAGGGTAGTGCAGACAGTTCCCCCCATAGGAAGCGAGCCAAGGGGTTGTAATAAATAATAATAATAAAAATAAAATAATAACTTTATATAGGTAGCGTGCATTTCTGTGCATTCTGGCACTCATCACTGTGTTCTGTTGCACCAGAGGTGGTCTAGTCCTGCTGGCCACATGACCCAGAAAGCTGTCTGTGGACAAACGCCGGCTCCCTCGGCCTGAAAGCGAGATGAGTGCCGCAACCCCATAGTCATCTGCAACTGGACTTCACCGTCCAGGAGTCCTTTACCTTTACCCTTACCCATTTGGGTAGCTACTCAAAGTAGCCAAAGGAATTATTGTGAAAATAAGGGGGGTAATGGGGGGGGAGAGACCTAATTTTGCGCTCGCTCAAGGCACCATATTACCAAAGTCCGCCCCTGTCAAGATGGTTCTGGACCCTAACCGTTTAGGGCAGGGATGGGGGCCCTTTCTCAGCCTGAGATCCACATTCTCAAATAGGGAGCCTTCCAGAGATTCCGCCACCCACTTGATGCCAAGGATGAACTGGCATGAAGGTCACTCTGCACCATTTGGAGTCTCCAAAGACCAGTTACCACGTCCGCCAATATTGCAGGCTGGCTGCGCCTGCAAATTTGCTACGCTTGTAACAAGGCACTTTGGCACCTGTTAGCTTCAGAACTTGAGTCAGCATTCCAGGAATCACCCTGCAGCTTCCTCAGCAAATGCTTTACTGACCTGTAATGCTCACATTTCTAGGTGAGGCACAAATAAAACAACATTCGGGTAGGATGAAAATATACAAAGCATGATGGGGATTTAGCACACATCAAGGGCTCCTCTTCAGGGTTCTTGCCATGCCCTTTCCCAGGTTACTCCATTCTATTCTGCCATTCTATTTCCATTCTCTCCCAACAGCCCAGTCAGCGTTCTGGGTCTACAGAGCATGCTCAGCCTTTACTACCTCCCCACCGTTTAATTTTACTCCCAATGATCTTTTGTACTTCCGAAAGCCTTGGAGTCTCCATAAGCCCCCTAACAATTCCTACTTGTGCATGGACAATGCCACTTACATAAGAATTCACACTTGGAGAAGGAGTTTGCCATTAATGTGCAGAATACTGCACACACACACACACACTCTAGAGCTAGCCAAGTTAGCCCAAATCTCCCAGCAACCATAACAGACTACAGTTTCCTGGATTCTTTGGAGGAAGGCATGATGGCTAAAGTAGTATCACAGAGGATTTGGCCAAGGACTCGACTCAACAGCCCCTCATCAAAACGACACAGGGATGGGTAAAGTAATAAACATTTCCCTTCTTTAGATGGGGGCCTTCAAGACCACCCGTGTCAGACTCTAAAGTTACCCAACCTGCTTCGCCAAGCAGACAGAGTGCAATTCAAGCAGCAAACTTTTAAGCATAAAGAGATGTCCTTCAATATCTGCCAAGGTACTGCAGAAAGCTTGTAGAGCAAAAGGTGCATTGTTTTCCAAGACAAAACCTTGGCTTAGTTCTCAGCAAGGTGGCAAGACTATGTTTGGCCGGTGACCTCTTGAGGCGAAGGTGTCCTACAAATAAAAATATCCCTTGCATATAAAAAGGTAACATTTCAGGGAAAAGGCTAGGTTAGGACACACTCCATTCCCCAACATCTAGTTTTTACACATGGAGGCTCTCTGCGCACTGCAAGGACCCTTCTTAATGCATTTGCAGCCCTGTACACTGGAACACAGCTGATGCAGTAGCCAATGCAACAACTGTCTCTTTTGTACAAGCTACGAACTAGCCTTCAGTTTAACGACTTAAATATACTGGTCGGGTCTACTCTGCTGTTTTTCACCCACTTCCCTGCAACTCCCAGGTTCGGCCGTGTTGCTAGTGGGGAGGGGCTGCGATGGTCAGAAACAAGTGGGGGGGTTCGTGAGATTACTGTAAGTAGGCCAAGACATCTGGGAACAAACACCTACTACTGTGTTCTGTGCAGCGCAAAGTTAGCTGCAGCAGCAAGGGAGATTCTTTAATTCTGCTGCAGAGGATTTTAAGTTACTTTGGCAGTGGTGCCATCAGAGCAGAAGTCCAGAGTCCAGAAGGTCTAGCCTGCCACATTTTGAAGTAACAATACACACTGCCATCTAAAGAGAAGGGCCTGCAAAAAGTCCACAGTCTAAAATTACTTTTGAGTACACTCTGAAAACTAATTGAAGTGTGATCTATTATATACAACTGAACCTTCTACGTGGTTGAATCTGTTTTTGGGAGGCAGGAGGCGGCACATATTCTGTCTCATCAAAGGCACACGTGGTGTTCTCGGCTTGATGGGTCACTGTAGAGCTGGTGACCTGTACCGCAGAGCAGATTCCAGGTCCAGAATAAAAATAAGCCTTTAAAATCAAATAATATAGTAGCTTAAATCGGCCCAACTGCTCACACATCTATTGCATCTTCCCTCAGTGTTAGGAAACAATCTGTAGAAGCTTACAGGATCAGAGTGACAATGCAGTAGAAGCAAGAGCAGTTGCAGCTCAGTGGTAGAACATCGGCTTTTCATGTAGAAGGTTCAACGCCTAGCATCTCCAGGTATGGGTGGCAGTAGAAATGGAAAGATCTGTTGATTTCAATACTCCCAGTTTCTCATTTTTCCAATCTTAAATTCAGCTCTCTACATTTCTGCAACAATTTGCAATTTTGTTTTTTCAAAGCCCTCATGAAAATCTACCAGCATTTTAATACTAATTTCTCCTAACAAAAACAAAAGGGTGCATAAAAAGGAATACATTAGCGAAAATAACATGAGAATGCACATGAAATCACATGAAAAAACATTCTCATATATTATTTTCACTAATGTCTTCCTTTTGATGCAATTTTTTCTCCTAATATGCATTTTTATAAACACTGTTGGGTTTAAGAACTGCATTGCAAAATTCAGATCAGTGCAAAATTTCCAAAGCTGGCTGTGGTTTGGTTCTCGTGTTGTTTTGGAAAGTGCAGATTAGATAGATTTGCCCTCTGGAGCAGGTGAAAACAAGCTTGCTCCAACTTCTATGTGACAGCCCTTTGAAGTCTCCTTGTTTCCAAGCTAAACACACCCAACTCCTCAACCATTCCTCCTAAGGCTTGGTTTCCAGACCCTTTATCATCTTAGTTGCTCTCCTCTGCACACATTCCAGCTTATCAATATCCTCCTTAAACTGTGGTGTCCAGAACTAGACACAGTATCTCCAGGTGTGGTCTGACCAAGGCAGAATAGCGCTGTACTTTTACTTCCTTTAATGAGGACACTAAACTTCTGTTGATGCAGCCTAGAATAACCTTAGCCATGGGTAGGCAAACTAAGGCCCAATCGCCTTCTAAATCCGGCCCACGGACGGTCCAGGAATCAGTGTGTTTTTACATGAGTAGAATGTGTGCTTTTATTTAATATGCATCTCTGGGTTATTTGTGGGGCATAGGAATTCGTTTTTTGTTTTTTTCAAAATATAGTCCAGCCCACCCCACCCCCCAAGGTCTGAGGGACAGTGTACCAGCCCCCTGCTGAAAAAGTTTGCTGACCCCTGGCCTTAGCTTTTTTTGCTGCTGCATCACACTGATGACTCATGTTAAGCTACTAAGAAGTCACAGACCAAATCTGGGAGATTCTGCCAATACAAAGCAGCCACTCTCCAACTGCCATCATCCCTGACCAGTGGCCATGCTGCGTGGGGCTGATGGGAACTGGGAACATCAGCAACATCTGGATAGCTACTGGTCCCCTTCCCACCCCGCTGTAGAGCACAGAGGTTTTTACTGGTCGCCTATGTGCTAGGGGACAAAAAATGGCAGCCTGTACTGTTAAGGGATCTCATGGCTCACCCAGACTGAATGGTATACCAGACATTTTGAGTAGAACTGTTGTTGGGAGTTGACAGCATCATTTAAACACAGTGTAGACGTCGTACCTTCTTGAGACTTGGAACCGGGCAAAAGCAGCACACTCTCCAATCGTGTCTTATCTGGGGCAGAGCTTGGGCACAGGCAGCAATAAGCCATTCCTGGTCACAACGAATCAAGGCTCTGGAGAGCAATCTTTTGCTCTCCAGAGCCTTTTGTCAGGTCGATCCCGAGAGACGCAGGATAAGATGCAGCTGGAGCCCCTTGACGCTAGCCAGATGGAATGCTGTGCTGCAGCAGTCAGTTTTAAACACCAGGACTTATAAGGCACTGAGCAATATCAAAACACACACAAAGAGCACTTGCGGGGGGGGGGGGAATTGTAGGAAGGAGAACATTTGGAACCTTCAAGAAGATTAGCTGCTAATAGCATATTCCTAAACTGCCAGTCCTGGAGAGAATAGCAGATGCATTTAAGTCCTGCTTAATCAGAGTGGAACATGCTTGTTTAGCTGTTAATCAAACAAGTTGGGTCTTTTAATGAAATGGCAGGCTGGACAGTATAGTAACTGAACAAGGGCATGGGGCACCTTTGGTTCAAGGGCACAGATGGCAACTGCCAAGGCATCGCCTCCTTAGATATTAGGGTTTCATCCCCAGTGTTTTCTCAACGCTTCATAATGGCGACAAGAGTTCTTTGGCATCCAGTGGGACTAAAGTAGGCAGGAGTAGAAGCCCAGCAAAGCTGCTGAGAAACCTGCTGCATCCAAGGTCCTTGCTCTCTTCTGGTCAGTGCAAGGTCTGGGGACCACCAGGGGCTGGATATGTGGTATGGCAGGCTGGGACAGGGATTTTTCAGTGATGGCTCCTCAGACAAAGAACTCTCTGAGGTATGCCTAGCCCCATCTCTGTAGTTTTAGGTGGTCAGTTAAGATGCACCTTTAGGAGGTACAGTGGTACCTCAGGTTACATACGCTTCAGGTTACAGACTCCGCTAACCCAGAAATAGTGCTTCAGGTTAAGAACTTTGCTTCAGGATGAGAACAGAAATCGTGCTCTGGCGGCGCGGCAGCAGCAGCAGGAGGCCCCAATAGCTAAAGTGGTGCTTCAGGTTAAGAACAGTTTCAGGTTAAGAACGGATCTCCGGAATGAATTAAGTACTTAACCTGAGGTACCACTGAAGTCCATCTAATACTGTTTGCACAATGGCCTACAAGAACAACATCAGGAGGATATTTTTGCAGGCACTTGGTGGAAGAGAGACCCATTGCTGCTACTGTCACTGCCATTAGTAATTGTTCTTCAGTGATATGCTTTTTTAAAAAGCTTTGTGTTATTTTATGGGGTTTTATGTCTTTATTTGCCTCATTTGTAAACTGTTGCACGGCTTATACACATCTTGAGAAATAAATCGTCTGAACAGCAAAACTCAAGAAACCAAACCAGTTTAAACCTTTCACCCAAAAGGATCCACAGATAAAACTGCTTTTTTGCGCCTATTAATTTAGGTTAGCCTCATAAACATCAGTGGCGTCATTAAAGCTGAACTTCAGGGTTAAAGGACTGGACTCCAGCAGCCCAGAGAGTAGGGGGGACATAAAACCACCAGGGATTGTGGCAAACCAGGGTAGTGGCGCAGTGGGAAACAGGACTGGTGTTGACAGCCAGCATAGGCAAACTGAGTCTGGCAATGGTTGCTACAACTTCTTTCTCCCTTTCTCTTTGTAGATTTAAAGGTGTTGGTCAGTGCACTGTGCAATTAAGTGCTCCCAAGGCCCCAGTCACACTGACCATATTCATTTCTCTGGCTTACCTGAAACCTTCTAAAGGTTCGAGAAAAAAGGACCCTCCACCTGACACTGACTGGTAAGCTTATGGTGGTGAGGAGAGCAAAGCAACCAGGGCAGCTCAGCATGCAGAGGGCAAGAGGCCCCTAGAATCTGGCAGTGCTCCTAGCAAGTACTCACCTGGTGAGTGTTAAGAATTGCCTCTCGGTGGCCCAAGGGCCTTTCCACTGCTGCCAAATGGAGCATAGATGCAGCTTCTACAGAACTGCTCCATTTCCCTAGCTGCAGAGAAATAGTGGCTGCTGTGTCTACAACAGGGGTAGGCAACCTAAGGCCCGTGGGCCACAAGTGGCCCATGGGAGTCTAACTGGCCTACGAACTGCCCCCGAAATGAGCCGCCCGCTCGGCGAGTCCCCGCACGCTGCGCTAAACCAGCGCGGCGCAGTGCGGGGACTCACTTCCGCAGTGCCGAAAATCACGTCTGCACATGCTCAGATGCCGAAAATTGCGTCTGTGCAGACGCCAAAAATCGAGGCCCTGCGTGTTCACGCACATGCGTGATCCAGCCCACGGAAGGATCTCCGCTGGAGTGAACCGGCCCAGGCGAGGTAAACCTTGCCGACCCCTGGTCTACAGAGTATGCATATCCAGACCAAGAATTATAATGCTCCTCTTTCAAGAGCTGTAACACATGCTTTATACTTGAAGTAACAGGTTCAACCCCTGGCATCTCTCAAGACCAGAGTCTTGCCCAGAACCACCTAAATCCCAGGAGATCCTGTCTGTGTACACATTACCAAGCTGGAGCAATGATCCAACTCTGAATAAAGAAGCTTCCTATGTTTTCTATCCCCTGCCGTGCAGCAGAGTTGTGTCCTAACACAAAGGATCTTCCTTTGCCGAGCAAGTTCATGGGCAGCAGCAGATAACCGATGGTGGTTTTTCCAAGCCCGGCTCTGAAGCAGAGATTTTAATGTAGCCCATGAAATATCACTGAACTGCAAGACAGATGAGAGGTGTCAAGCCTGGTTTAGAACTGGCTCCTTGGGGCGACTGCAGGATAGGAGCAGGGAAATTCCAGCTCCCAAGTTTGGTTGCCAGTGCCACTGCGAAACCATCAACTATGCCCCCAGATCTTAATGCTGTAGGATCTGAAAGATAAATCAGGTCTTATACAGATCTTACCACCCCAGGACAGGTGATCCTTATAAACAATGCCCTGGTTCAGCGGCAGTACTGATGGTCCTATTTACCAGTACTGAGCATCAATCCTAAAGGTACTTACAGGAAGGGAAAAAGCAGACACTGATTAGATATCTGCTTTTCCCCACCTCTGCTATGGGCCAGCTTCCCATATTTCCTATGGTGCATAGGGAGCCAAGTATGCTGCACTCTGAACATTCTGCCTTTATGACTTGCAACAGTCAAGGCTTTTTGTGCAACCATCCATGAATCACATTTTAACACTTTCTGGGTGAGAGTGGCAGACCGAGGCAGAGGTAAGCCCCCCGCTTCCACACAGACACCCTAGAACAGGCATGTCCAAAGTGCAGCCTAGGGGCCTAATCCGGCCCGCCATTTGGTTTAATCCGGCCCCTTGTGGCAGTTTATTTCCTGGGGTAAAATCGTATTAAATCCTTTTAAAAAGCTCTACAACTTTGGACGGCCCTCATGCATGTTCACTTCATCAAATCTGGCCCTCTTTGAAAAAAGTTTGGACACCCTTGCCCTAGAACATCCTCTCTCAACCATGGGTTTCCAGATGTTGGACTACTACCACTCCCATCATCCCTGCAGGCTATATGGATCATGAGAGTGGTAGTCCAACATCGTGGAAGCCAAGTTTGAGAAAGGCCACCCTATAAGAACATGCCAATTTGGGGCTCCCTGAATGAGTGCAGGACCCCACTGGTGGAGCAGAGGCTGTTTCATAAGAGGTATGCCCAGCTATGAGGCATCCAGCAGTGAAAGTGGGGAGGAGACAGCAGCGTGCTTCCTTAGCTCCTTGGAAGGTGGGGGTGGAAATGGTTTGATGCAGCTTGTCTTTCAAATACTTCCTGCTGCTGCAAGGAAGAAAGACTTTTCTAGCACCCATGCTTAACCACTATGACTGCAACAGGAAGTGTGCGCTCCAAGCCACTAGGAAAGTTAAGGCCAACACTGGCTCTGACATGGAGGAGCAGGAAGCACATTGGCCAAGATATCCTATGACCAAGGCCACTTGCATCTAGTGCCAGGAATTTATACTATAGAGCTCACAGCAAAACCATATAGACAATGTGTTCCTTTGCTTTCTTAAAACCCAAACACACTCAGCTAAGTACTTCCCCTGCAGGATTGTAGAACAGAATAGAGAGACTTGATTACTGCAGCAGAGGGTATTAGGAGATAAGTAGTCAAAGGGGGGTATAGATATATATTAGGGTGGAGGCTGTGACTGCAGAGCTCATCCACACTTTCGCTTGTCTCATGCCTAGGAAGCACAGGTCCAAGTGGTTTTCCTCTTGTCCCATTTTCTCTAGGCATGGATCCAAGTGTTTTTGCCTTTGCCCTGCCACTTTTCCCCAGAAAACCTGCTCTTTAGCACTAAAAACCCAATTTGTATTTGCTCCGATTCAGCAGCAAACAGCAGGGTTTCCTGGGGGGAAGCAGTGGGTCAAGCGGAAGTGTGGGTGAGTCTTTAGTTGCTTGGAAGGGAGGTTGGTTGCTCCAGCCCTCCCCAAGCCATCTGCTACTTTGTCACTAGAGATGGGGGAGGAAATTGGTTCCAGTCTCATTTAAAGCAAAACCCATTCAACTCACACTTTCTAAAACAATATATGAACCAAAACACTGCTATCCTTTGAAATTCGCACTTAGCCAAATTTTATTGTGACGTTCACCAAACGATCTTTATATTAAAAAAAACAAACATGTTAGGATGAAGTGTGCATAAAAATGAGCACATTGATTAAAATAACATGCAAAAATACATTAGGGGAAACTGCTTGCCAAAATGTGTAAACAACAACAACAACAACAACAAAATGTGTTTTTAGGAGAAAGCTGCTGTCAACTGCTGATTAATTTTCATGAAGAATTCTGCAAACTTCTGCAAAATGTGAAGAACTGACTGAACTGAAGACTGGAAAAATGAGAAACTGAACAAACCAAAATGGACAGATCCTTCCATCCCTATTTGTCACCATATTATTTTTTGCAATATTTTTGCAACCAGACAATACGAGTGCTTTATGGGTATGGGGGAAGAAGAGAATAACATCACTATCCTCATGAATTGGCATAACACCTGCCCATCCCAAAGCAGCAGTAACAGCAGCACAGGTGTGATTTGCTCAAGGCAAAAGAATTGGTTAATCCAAAAAGAATAAAAAGTTAGTGAATACCTGGACATTAGCAACATTTAGCCCTATTACCACCCTGCATCTTGTTGTCTGTCAGAGCTCAACACAACTTGGTCCAAATATGCTCAACAGGAACAGGCTACGTAAATTAGTTAAGTGTGTCAGATGTTCTCCAGGACTTTTGTGCCCACTGCAAGAACAATCCTTTGCGCATGAGATCTATGCTGCTTAAGATGATCTGTTAGCTTTTTAGAGGAAGCTCTGAGTTTCTCTGCTCCTGAGTTCTCTAACCTTTATACACATGGGATGCAGAATTTGAGTTTTGTCACATCTGGAGGGCCATAACTCCCACCAGCTACAGCCAGCATCACCATTGTCCAGGGGGGATGGGAACATAGGAAGTGACCTTATACCGAATGAGACCACTGGGCTCATCTAGCTCAGCATTGTCAACACTGACTTGAAGTGGCTTCTCCAGGATCTCAAGCAGAATTCCCTCCTGATCCTATCTGGAGATTGATCCCGGGACGTTCTGCATGCAAAGCAGATGCTCTACTACTGAGTTACAGCCCTTCCCTTAGCTCATTGAGAACTGGGGTGCTACAGGTTCCCCCAGCCATGCTGAACAAGTCTTGACTTTGCAGCAGGGAGATCCTGTTGATCCTTGACAGCTACCTGTGCTACTTTATTCTTGACCAAATCCCAGCCTAACCTCTGCAAACATTTTGCATGCCGCATATGAAGACCCGCAGCTTCTTACAGGATTTAACAAGATTTCTGTCAAGCTTGCAGCTTTATCCTGATCATATTAGATGGCCCACCTCATCTAGGTCACAGCAAGCACCAAACAAGCAAATTGCTGCTTCCCTGTCCTATGTTACAAGGGTGGCGGACCTGATGCTCTCTAGATACTGTTAAACTCCAATCAACCCCAGTCATGGCCAATTGATGAAACTAAGTCTACTGTCCAAGTGGTGACTGATAGGCAAATTCAAGGTCTCTGATCTCCCTTTCTCATGTTTAGAACAGAGCTTTGAGTTGCTTTAAGAAAAACTGACCAGTACAATGATTAACAAATAATAACTTTGACAGAGCAACCCTTTAAAGAGGATAATTTCAAGTTTTGAAGCTGAAAATAAAGTCATCTCCTACTGAAAAAGGGATATCCATCTCAATGGTACAGAAAACAAAGAACAACCCACACAGTAATCATAGTACTACGCAAGATGGAAAGTAACATGAAAATAACAATATCAGATTTTGTATGTTGAAGTAGCACACTGTACTTAACAGCCCTTCTTGTGTTCCTAGGGCAGTAAACGTTACCTGGCATAGGCTTCACATCTTCAGGATACAGATGCTCACATGACAACTTGCCTCCAAGCCTGTCAAAGGAAATGTTCTAGCCTAGCTTCCTATCCAAGCTAGTTGTCTATTAACTCTTTCTGGATCAAGAAGCATGCCATCAAACATTCCTCTGCCTGGAGTGCTGATGTGCTATAACCTAGAGTTGCCATACGTCTAGAATTTCCTGGGCATAGCTGGAATATGGCCTTTGGAAGCAGTGTCCAGGTGGGAAAATCCAGGTGGCAACCCATGTCAGAAGTCTAGATGTTGCTCAAAAAAGCTCAACAACAGTTGTGTCTGGATTTTCACTTTTTGAAATATAGCAACCCTATCTTGTAAAAACTGGGGAAGATTTCTTACAATATATAGCTTGTTTTTCCACCAATGACACTCAAGGCAGCAAACAATTTAGGCTGTGCACATGCTATGCATTTAAAGCACATTCAAAACACATATTCTTTCCTTCAAATAATTATGGGTAATGCAGTTTACCCCTCACCTAATTAAAAATGCCCAGCAACCTTTAATAAACTACCATGTCCAGAATTCTGGGAGGGAAAGGATGTGCTTTAAAGGTATGGTACACATCCATAGGAAAATAGAAGATGAATGCAGGAAAAAGCCAATCTGAAAAAGGTTATCACATAAAAAAACAACCCAGGCGATAATGAATATAGGTTGATCTGCCAGCTGTACTGATAAGTCAAAATTAATAATAATAATAATAATAATAATAATAGTAATAATAATTTATTTATACCCCGCCCATCTGGCTGGGCTTCCCCAGCCACTCTGTGCGGCTTCCAAAAAAATATTAAAATACTGTAATACATCAAACATTAAAAGCTTCCTTAAACAGGGCTGCCTTCAGATGTCTTCTAAAAGTCTGGTAGTTGTTGTTCTCTTTGATATCTGGTGGGAGGGCGTTCCACAGGGAGGGTGCCACTACCGAAAAGCTTCTCTAAATTCAGAAGTCTTCATTGGTGGGCAGACCCACAGGGTGGGGACCATCCTCTCATTTTCCTGACACACTATGAAGAGAGACACTGCCATTACCCACTTCTAAGTCTCTGGGATGGAGCAGGCGACAAATTTAAGGCATGAACACTTGCGGTATCTCAGCTAAACCTTCCCGTTTGTGAGCTTTACCAGAAACCTAGGACTCTTGCAAGCTTTAACTAGCAGAGACCATCTGGCATTTATATTTTCCCCTAAAATAAGCTGATCAAGGGAAGTTCCAGGAAAGGTTCTCCAGCAGAAGTCTAGAGCCAAGCTCTTGCCAGGAAGCAGCCAAACTCAACCTGGTACACCCCGATAACTTTGGGTGCCTCAAGACTGAATCCCACTCCAAAATAGTGACAATCCCCCTGGGAAATGTAGGTTGTGCAATTGAAGCAGATTTGAAATTCTTGTGCAATATATACTCAAGGGCCATTGAAAGAAACAGATTTAGACCAATTTTTGAAGACAAATGGACTACAAAAAATATCTCAAGAAAATAAACTAATTTTGAATTATAGAATAACCGAGCAGGAAATAGAAGGTGCCATTCAAAACATGCAATTGGGTAAATCTCCAGGACCAGATGGCTTGACCTCTAGATACTACAGATCTTTAAAAGAATGGTTAATTCAACCATTGAAAGAGGTCTGCAACGAAATAATGGAGGGAAGAGAGCACCAGAGTCGTGGAAAGAAGCATATATTACTCTTGTACCAAAAACAGAGACTGAAATGACACAGCTTAAGAACTACCGCCCTATATCATTACTTAATGTGGATTACAAAATTTTTGCAGATATTTTGGCTAAGAGATTTAAAAAGTGTTGATGGAAGAGATTCACAAAGACCAAGCGGGCTTTCTCCCAGGAAGACATTTGTCTGACAATTTGAGGAATATAATTGATATTTTGGAAAAATTAGAAGTGAATATAAACACTAAAGCAGTGTTGATATTTGTAGACGCGGAGAAAGCCTTTGACAACATTTCTTGGAATTTTATGAAGAAGAATCTACAGGGTATGGGGGTAGGCCAAGGTTTTGAGAATGGTATAAGCGCAATTTATTCAGAACAAAAGGCTAAACTAATTGTAAATAATGTTGTGACGGAAGAACTTAAAATTGAAAAAGGGACACGACAAGGTTGCCCAATTTCCCCACTTCTTTTTATTTCGGTCCTGGAGGTTTTGCTGAATATGATTAGAAGGGACCAGTCGGTTAAAGGTATACAGGTCGGAACTAAACAGTACAAACTGAGAGCATTTGCAGATGACTTAGTACTGACGTTACAGGAGCCAGAATCTAGTACTAAAAGGGTTTTAGAATTGATTCAAGAATTTGGTCAAGTGGCAGGATTTAAATTGAACAAGTCAAAAACCAAGGTTTTAGAGAAAAATTTAACACCGATTGAAAGAGAGAGGTTTCAGAATGAGACAGGTTTAACAGTGGTTAAGAAAGTTAAATATTTGGGGATTACCATGACAGCAAAATGTGGGAACTTATTTAAAAATAATTATGAAAAATGCTGGTCTGAAGTGAAAAAAAGATTTAGAAATTTGGTCAAATTTGAAGCTTTCACTGCTGGGCCGTATTGCTGCGATAAAAATGAATGTATTGCCTAGAATGTTGTTTTTGTTCCAAACTTTGCAGATTGTGGACAAAATGGATTGTTTCAAGAGATGGCAGAAAGATATTTCTAAATTTGTCTGGCAGGGCAAGAAGCCTAGAATAAAATTTAAAATACTAACAGATGTAAAGGAAAGAGGTGGATTTGCCCTGCCAGACCTCAAACTTTACTATGAATCAGCAGCTTTTTGCTGGTTGAAAGAATGGCTACTTCTTGAAAACACTGACATTTTGGACTTGGAAGGTTTAATAATGTATTTGGATGGCATGCATATCTATGGTATGATAATGTCAAAGCACATAAAGCATTTAGAAACCACATTGTCAGGAAAGCGCTATTTAATGTTTGGTTAAGATATAAGGACTTGCTAGAAAACAAAACCCCAAGGTGGCTGTCACCAATGGAAGCGAAAGCCTTGAAAAAGGTCAATATGGAGGTCAAATGGCCGAAATATTGGGAAATTTTGGAACAAGACGGAGATAGACTGAAATTGCAGAGTTTTGAAAAACTAAAAAACAAAGTGCGAGACTGGCTTCATTATTATCAGATAATGGAGGCATTTAAATTGGACAGGAAAATTGGCTTCCAGGTGGAAAGATCCAAATTAGAAACAGAATTGTTAGAACCCAAAACTAAGAATTTGTCAAGAATGTACAACTTGCTGCTGAAATGGAATACTCAGGATGAAACGGTAAAATCGGCTATGATTAAATGGGCACAGGACGTTGGACATAATATTATGTTTGCTGACTGGGAACAGTTATGGACCACAGGTATGAAATTTACGGCATGTAATGCCTTAAGAGAGAATATTATGAAAATGATATACAGGTGGTACATAACCCCAGTCAAGCTTGCAAAAATCTATCACTTGCCCGATAACAAATGTTGGAAATGTAAAGAAACTGAAGGTACATTTTTTCACCTTTGGTGGACGTGCCCAAAGATTAAGGCTTTCTGGGAAATGATATATAATGAACTAAAAAGGTATTTAAGTATACCTTCCCTAAGAAACCAGAGGCCTTTCTCCTGGGCATAGTCGGCCAAATGGTGTTAAAAAGGATAGAACTTTCTTTATGTATGCAACAACAGCAGCAAGAATACTCATCGCAAAGTATTGGAAGACACAAGAACTTCCCACGCTGGAGGAATGGCAGATGAAACTTATGGACTATATGGAATTGGCGGAAATGACTGGTAGAATCCGTGACCAGGGAGAAGAGTCGATGGAGGAAGATTGGAAGAAATTCAAAGACTATCTTCAGAAACATTGCAAAATTAAAGAATGTTAGAGTGATGTTGGACTGAAAATAAGCGGTTTCCAGCTGTACAGGTTAAAGTTAATGATAGACTAAGATTAAAGATTAGGGTTAAAGATGTTTAAAGAAATGGAAATTTGACATTAAGAGGGAAAATTTTAACGTTATATGATACTAAGACCAAAGATCAGGTTTAAAGAAGTTGAAGTTACATATTTCAATATTTTATTAAAGCTAAAGATTGGGATTAAAAAAGTGGAAAAGAAATTGCTGGACAAACAATTTGGATTGGAATACAAAAGAGGGAGGTATGAGGAAGTCCAGGAAATAAGTAACTAAAAAACAGAAATGGAAAAGAGATATTGTTTTTAATTGTTATGTTTTTTGTTCTTTTATTGTTGAATCTTGTTTTTTGTTGTGTTTTTGTTATATGTATTGTGTATGGTTTTTTTTTTCTTTGTTGTTCAAAACTTTAATAAAAATTATTTTTAAAAAAAAGAAAAGAAATTCTTGTGCAATAAACCATTACCCCCCGCCCTCCCCAAACCAAACTTTTCATAATAGGGAAAAAGACAGGGGAATGCACTGGAAAATGGAGTGAATTTGCTTGACTCATCATCATCTAATCTTCCCACCAATTTTGTGCAACAAATCAAGATAAACGCTGAACGAAACAGGTTGTCTGGAAGCGATCAGAGACTACCACTCCCGTCAGCTCCAATCATTAGTCAACCTGGCTAGAGCTGATTGGAGTTGGGTGTCCCATCATCTGGTGGTCTGCAGGTTGGGGAAAATAAAGCTTTATATGTTGAAGCTGCCATTTAGATGACCCTACAAGAACAGAATTCAGCCTAGATTTTTAAAGAAAAGGGAAGCTTGATTGCTGGTCATTAGCACTATTGCACTTTGAGCATGAAAAGGTTTTAGGTCAGGAGACACTTTTAAAATTCATAGCTACATGCTGCAACTTGTTTATATGATCACACCCCCCCCCACAGCAAACTGCTTTGACCAGATGTGTTTACATGGTTAAAGGGATTAATCTGGAGCCAAATTGAGATCATCCCTGGAGTACTGAGGTCACTTGCCTTTTGAGGGCTGCCTGCACATGCCAGCAAACAATTCTTAGACATAAAGGGATAAGAGCACTCAAGTGTCCACAAGAAAAGAAGAGGTTAAGATACATGCCTTGCATCTTGCAAGCCCCAGGTCCAATCCCAGTCATCTTCAGGTAGGTCTGGGAGAGACCCTTGGTCTGAAACCCTGGAGAGCCAGTCTCAGGCAGGGTGGACAGTATTGAGCTACATGGAACAATGGTCAGTCATTGTAAGGTCTGGTCTTCCTAGTGGTCACTTCAGGGAAGCAAATTCCAGACGGAGCACCATTTTCCTGCCTCCATCAGTGTATCCTTAAACAAACTGATCAAGTGAGGGGTGTCCTCTTAGGATTTCCCCCCCCCCCCGCTGAAAGAGTCCAGAGGTCAGCACAAGCACTGCCATCAGGTTAGTGTCACCTGCCCCACAGGGACTGCTTTAAGAAGATGCCCCCATTGGCTGGGTCTCCCAGGGTGCTGTGCTTGTACACTGAACATCGGAACAACAGAAGGAACTTGTGTTCAGACGGCTTTATCGGTTTTAAGCAGAGGCCTTGGAAGGGAGTTACATGCCCTTTCTGGCTCATGCCTTCGCCATACATGGTCATCATTTGCAGACAAGTGGAGAGGGAAGGAAAATAAGAGCAAATGGGAGCTTGCTGGCATATTGCGCCTGTATCCAAGCTGCATTCTAGAATGGAGCAAGAGGTCAGTGGCAAAAGCAAGATACTCATCTGAACTATGTAGAACCTTTGGATGGGACCCAGATCAGCTGGCATGGCGGCTTTGGGTAAATTAAACCTCAGCCTCCAGCTGCTGTTAGACCACTCACTGCTCTGGATTACACCGGAGCGTGGCAATTTTTTTTACAGATGATTTGAGCCCCACTCCTAGCCAAGCCAAACCACATGTCCAAAGCCAAGAGCTTTGCATTTCGGGTCAGGGCTGCCTTGTTTGGAATTGCTGTGCCCTATTGCAGCCTTTCCCAACCTTAGGTCCTCCCAAAGGTGTTGGACTGTAACTCCCATCAGCTCCCTCCAGCATGGCCAATGGGCTGAGGTAAAGGTAATTGTAGCCCAACATCTAGGGAGGGTCTTGAAGCAATCTGCAACTATTATTAAGTTTTTTAACTGCCCTTCTCCCAATAGGAGTCCATTTATGTATAAAAACCAGTTAACACCATTGTGTGAGTGTACCAATTATTAATATAAAAATGATTTAAAGCATTCCACGTCAGGGCAAGTCATGGTTTCCCCCAAAGCATCCCTGGGAACTGTAGTTTGTTAAGGGTGCTGAGAGCTCTTAGGAGGCCCCTCACAGAGCTATGATTCCTGGCACCATTAAACTATAGTTCCAAGGACATGGAGGGAGGGAGCCATGTGTTAAAGTGGCATAGGTAAAGGTAAAGGGACCCCTGACCATTAGGTCCAGTCGTGACTGACTCTGGGGTTGCGGCACTCATCTCGCTTTACTGGCCGAGGGAGCCGGCGTACAGCTTCCGGGTCATGTGGCCAGCAGGACTAAGCCACTTCTTGCGAACCAGAGCAGCGCACGGAAACGCCGTTTACCTTCCCGCTGGAGTGGTACCTATTTATCTACTTGCACTCTGACGTGCTTTCGAACTGCTAGGTTGGCAGGAGCAGGGACCGAGCAACGGGAGCTCACCCCGTCACGGGGATTCGAACCGCCGACCTTCTGATCGGCAAGTTTAACCCACAGCGCCACCCACCTTAAATGTATGCTGTGGATGTGACCCAAGATGCATTAGCTTCTGAGTCAGTCATACACGTCACCAGACTAATGGCGATTCCTTCCTGTAAGGTGTGACTTTTCAAAGTTGAAACTAGTAAGTAGGGCCAAGGCTGGCTCTGCTTTGTTTACTTCACCAAGCTGAGGAAGAAACAGTTAATTTGGTTAATGTTTTACCCTCAAGCCTTGCCCACCTGTTGCTGTTACCAAGGCCACATTCACACGATACACTTAAATCACTATGGTACCACTTTAACCAGTCGAGGCCCCACAAATAACTCTAGCTCTGTGGAGGGAAATAGGGGTCTCTGTACAACTTTCATTACCCTTAACAAATCACAGCTCCCAGAAGTCTTTAGGAGAAGACATGACTGTTTAAAGCTGTACCCAGCGCCAGATTTAGGGTGGTGCGGGCAGTTCCCTTGTACAGGGCACTCAGCCAAGAGGGGCACACAAAAAATAAAAAATAAAAAAAGCCAATTGTTGTGAAAGTAATATTTTTGCCAAATTTTGTCCAAGCTCAGAACCAAATTCTGCCCCTGCTGTATTGCAGCGCTTGAAATGTATGATATTAATGTGGCCTTAGGCAGTAGCAAAACAACAACAGCAAAACTGAGGGCTGCAAAGGTGGTGGGCAAGTTGGACCATCATCCTTGTTTTTCCAAATCACAGCAGATCTAGCTATTGCAATTAAAACCAGAATACGGATGGGGGAAATCACTGACCTGACAAGGGGAGGTTTTGAACATGAAGGCTGGCTCTTCCAAGAATGAACAGAAGATGCTAAAACAACCTGGATTCAAATCCAAACCTCAATAGCTCTCAGGCTGTGTGTAGCCTATAACTTCAAAGCACATTCTTTCTCTCAGAGAATTCTGGGCACTGTTATTTACTCACCCAGAGGTACAATTCCCAGGAACCCTTAAACTACAATGCATGTGATTGTGACTCTCCTTGGATTCAAAGCTGTATGGAAGACCTGGGACTCCTCCCTCCCCCCAAATAATTTTTTATTGGTTTTCCAATATTTTCCCAATAATAACCCAATTAGAACAATGCCAATTAATTCCCAATTAATACACTTAAGTTAAAGTGGCTCCCCACATGGTGGATTTGATACATCCTCTGGGACTCCTTTTCTGGGTGAGCAAAACTCTTGTGCACGACTGCCATTGACCTCGGCATGGAGAGCACAGAAGAGGCTTAAGCAAACCGATGGGGTTTGGAAAAGGGTTTTCAGGAGCCGAGATAAAGGAGTGTGGTGTTACAGACAAAAAAAACACTGAAAAAGTGTAGTGAATATAGCACAGCTTTTGAGTTAGTCAAAATGAACAAGCAACTCTCAGCAAATTTGAAAGGTGTGCACCTGTTGTATGGCATAAAGGGAGAGAGGTTTCACCCATACCTGTTCTCCTTCCCAACCTTGCTAGTAAACCACCGGGAAATGTGGATTCAAGCTCTGTTTTCAAGCAGACAGCAATTATTTCAGCTAGGCAAGAGCCTAGCTGTGAGATAGGAGCCAAAGAATTGTGATCCAGTTGCAAAGTTAGCTGTGATATCTCTGCGATGAAAACAACGTCTCTCAACTTCTAAGTTCTAGCATTCTTACAAAAGGAAACATCCAACTAGTCATAAGGGGCACACCTTCTGATTTAATGGATTTGGTTTAATCCATAAGCTGTTGAAACATGGTTTGCCTTGGGATTCAAGGTCTGAACAACTAGAACTGTTCTCATGAACAGTTGGTAGTTGTTTTTTAAATTAGGAACACCTGCACATTTGGAACACACTGAAGATACTCACAAACACGTTTGTCCTCCAGATGCAATACAACAGGCGACAATCCCATAACAGGAAGGCATTTGCCACCAATATATCCCAAGAATGCAATGCCTGGAGAGCCAGCTCAACAGCTATAAGTGTAAAGATAAGCACTGTAGACCAACAGGAGCAAGTATCCATCAGAGGTCAGCAAGGATTAGCCATGGAGCCTGTGTACTTCAAGTTCTACTGTTTGGCCTAGAAGAATGGCACATGGTTGATACACGCTATCAAGATGCAAGTGCCAATCTAGGTATTGGGCCAGTATCTTTTGCTCACAACACAGGGTAATGGGAAGAGCATAGGATGGAAGCTGCCTTATACAGAGCCAGACCATCGGTTCATCTCTCTCAGTACTGTCTACACTGACTGGCTGTGGCTCACCAGGGGTTCAGGGGTTCTTTCCAAGCCCAAACGAGAGATGCTGTGGATTGAGCTCAATACCTTCTGCATGCAAAGCAGATGCTGTAACCACTGAGCTACAATCATGCCACCCAGTGTTAGAAACTCAGGTATATTAGCTAGGCACCAAACGGCACCTTAAACCTGGATTATTGGTCATCAAAATGGAATGTGTATTCACCGGGGGTTGGGTTAGATTACCTTGGGGGTCTCTTCCAGTGCTATGATTCTATGATTCTGTTGATCTCAACTACATTGCTTGACGGTAGCTTCCTCTTACAACAAGTCACTTGTTCCAGTAGGCAAGGAGAAACACACACAGGGGAAATGGAAATAGTATTAACTAAGGACTAAGACAGAGGTTTTAAAACTGGTTGCCAACCTAGCATCCAGAAATCTCCACATAGTCACAACTGGACCCATGTCAGTAGCAAAACATGCCTCGTGCCTGGCTAGCTTTGAACACTGATGTCACCAGATGCATCTTTGTACTAGCCTTCACCCCTAGGTAATCCACTCCTCCTTACACTGCAATACAGTGGACGCTCGGGTTGCAAATGTGATCCGTGCGGGAGGCACATTCGCAACCTGCAGTGTCACGTCTGTGCATGTGTCGGTTGTGATTTGGCACTTCTGCGCATGTGCAAAGCGCGATTTAGTGCTTCTGCACATGCCCAAGCGCCGAAACCCAGAAGTAACCTGTTCCAGTACTTCCAGGTTCGGCGCAGTGCGCAACCCAAAAAACACACAACCTGAAGCGTCTAACCCAAGGTATGACTGTATATTGTATCTCCCCTCCCCCCCACACACACACACACAAAATACGATGCATAAACTTAGAGATTGTCCGTATAGGGATGCATGAATGATGTCGCTATGGCTGTTCAGCACTGAGCAGAGCATGAGCTTAGTATGTAAAAGGTTCCAGATTCAATTCACAGCATCTGCAGTTAAGAAATCAGACAGATGTTTATAGACACAGACAATACTGAGCTTTGCAGAGCAAAGGACACCAAGTCCATAGAAGACACTTGGAAGCCAAAAGAGCATTGTGAGTGGAGAATATTGTCTCTCTTGCAAGTCAACCTGTTCTCTTCATCCGTACTGTGAGTTCCCTGAAGCGGGCAGTGGGTTCCTTTAATTAAGTTTTAACTTAGAGGTAATGGTAAAAATCCAACAGTTCTGAAGCAAAGAGGAATCTGGCAAAATTAATTTGGGCAGCGGGGCTTAACATGCAACACCCTGCGTTATATCAAGGCTTCCAACTTTTCCCAAGGCAAAGCTGTGCGCAATGCATCAGTACATACGCAGATTACATAATATTCTGCGCCAAGAGAAAGCCAAATTCCATGACCTGCATAAAACAAGCAGAGCAAGCATGCAAAGGAACGATGTCCCTTTTGAGATGCTGCAGCTGCCATCACTCAGAAACTTTCCAAGCCTCTCTCCTCGGCCATAACTGCTAGACATTGCGCTTCAGGAGTAGAAGCAGAGATTTTAAGATGCTGCTTCCCTTCACACCAAATTTCAGAATGTGCTCAAGCCCTGCTAATAGGTGAATCTTCTGCTGATACGAGGTCTTCAGGACCGTGCCTGGTCAAGCATTTTGAGGTAGACGTCTCAGTCCCCGGCTCAACCGTGTGAGCAGGAAGAGCAGCCCAAATGCAGCAGTGTTTTGAAGCAAGTTTTATACATCCTAATCTAGAACACTTCCTGTCCCCGCTGCTAGATCATAAAGCCCCAAGTCTAAAAGTAAGTAACTTTGCCACTGGCCACTAGTACCTCACCCACAGGGCAGGTGCTGCCGTTAAGCCAACTGGGCAGCCACCAAGGGCACAGACCTCAGAAGGGCACAGTACTCTGACCTTTGAGGGGCGCAGTTTTATGCAGATTTATTTTTCTTATAGCTGTTCATTTCTGATATTTTTATTTTTTTTATACAAGACAACTGTTTTTGAAAATTGAAGCTAGAAATTTCTTTTGGTGGGTGCAGTTAGCTTTGCCTAGGGCGCAAAATAGCTTCACACTGGCACATCTCTCAGTGATCACAAGCTCAAAGCTTGTTCCTTTTCTAAAGAGCATGGGTTTTGTTAAGTTGTGGGTGAACCAATTGGACCAATTAGGGAGAGGCCTGGCAAGCATAATTAGGCCCTTCCCCTGACATGGGTTTAACAAGGAACTCAACAGCAAAAGCAAGCTCAAAACCTGGCAACTTAAAATGGTGAAAATACCCTATGAGGGACGATTTACACACCTCTGCTTACAATGACCCGAAGATGAAGCAGCAGCGTAGCATAGGTTGCCGACGTCCGGGGTGAGGCAAGTGTTGCGCTCCCTATCCCCCATTAACTGGGCAGCTGGGGTGGAGGTGCCAGGGTGCACATAGGGGCTCAGTTGGTGAATGGACACCCACCCAAGCCAGCACCCTAGTGGCCAGGAGCACCACCAGAAACCTCAGGGTGACAGCTTTGAGGGGACATAGGAGTGGGTTAAAATACAAGTTCTACATTCGTGTTTCACAAATGTAGAGACCACTGGCCTCCAATACAATTAAGTATGAACTCATGAGATTCCCAGCAGCCTGAGATCTGTGTGTTCCAGTGAATCACAGGTGTTAGTAATTGTGTGCTACTATTCTGTACACCATTTTTTGATCCATGTATGCAGAAGCAGACTCTCGTACCCACAAAACTGGAACAAGGAATATGCCGATCAGCCCTGGGAGTGTTATCTGTTACAGAATAAACTGATGTTATGATGTTATGATGTTGGTAGTCTCTAGATTGCATTTACTGCAGCAAAGAGAAAGCAGCAGCCAGAGAGGGGGAGCCCTGGCTTCTTTCTGCTACTTGAACCAGACAGGCTCACTCGCCAGCAAAAAGCAGCTGCCGTTGCAAATTGGGCTGCCAGGGCAGCACGAGAAGCAAAACGCATCCCTCAAAAAACTCTGCCCAGGGCCACTGCCCCTATGTCATCCCCACGCGACACCACCGAGGTGAAGCCATGATGTGCACTGACTCTGTGCATAGTGGAAGTAAGCATGCAGAACTTTGCATCACACCCAGTTCTCAGCACATGTCAACCTTTCACAACACCATAAGATACACATCTGAAGGAGCTGGGAGTCACAGCATAATGCGATGCCACTCTATAAGGTCACCTTACTCCTTTCAAATCTCTCCTGGAAACCTGGCTTTTCCACAAACCTAAACTCTCATGGAGGGACGCGGGTGGCGCTGTGGGTAAAACCTCAGTGCCTAGGACTTGCCGATCGTCAGGTCGGCGGTTTGAATCCCCGCGGCGGGGTGCGCTCCCGTTGCTTGGTCCCAGCGCCTGCCAACCTAGCAGTTCGAAAGGCCCCTGGCCTCTTAAGCGAGATGGGCGCGCAACCCCAGAGTCGGACACGACTGGCCCGTACGGGCAGGGGTACCTTTACCTTTACCTTTAAACTCTCATCCCAGCTGAAACAAAGCCTAGAAGGCCACAACATGCATTTGCTCTCCTCTCCTTCATTTCTTCCATGGCCTATTTTTTCTCCGCTCATTGCATGGTACTCTCCTACCATTGCAGTTTAATGCTGTAAGCTCTTTGCAGATGGGATCCAGGTCTTAATTATTAAATGCCATTAAAAGCATCATGTATGCTGCTGCTGCAGTAGCCTGCAGCCAGCCACATGCCTCATTTTACACGGAATCCAACTCATCTGGCTGGATCCACATCATGTCAGCATGAACAGGACACTTCAGTGAGGTCTCTGAAGGGAAACGGCAAGAGGCTTGTCAGAGCTATATACTGAGAACAGGGATCAAGCATTAGCTGGTACCCAATGAGATCAAGCCATGCCAAGGGCTGGAAGCCACATTGAAGTCAGAACCTAGGACAAGTATTGTCTATACCAAGAAACAATGGCATTGTGTTAGCAGGGGTAGGGGAGGGAAATCTCAGATCCGGGGGCAAAATGTGGCCCTCCAAGCCTCTCTATTTGGCCCTCAGAACCTTCCCAGGCCACCCTCCCCCTAAGCAGATATAATGCCATTAAACAAATCTATTGCTGAAGTCACATTTGGAATACTATATACAATTCTGGTTTCCACCCCTCTAAAAGGATATTGTAGAGTTGGAAAAGGTTCAGAGAAAGGGCAACCAAATTACTATGCAGATGCAGCAGCACCCTATAAGGAAAGGTTGCAGCTCCTGGGACTTTCTAGTTTAGGGAAAGGTTGAATAAGGGGCAACATGATAGAAATTTTTAAAATTATGTGTGGCGGGGGAAAAGCGGATAGAGAAAAGTCTTTCTTCCTCTCATGTAACATTGGAACTTGGGTGGTGTTCGAAGAGGATTAGACCTCTTGCTTGTCTGGATGGGTAACAGAAAAGGGTGGGCAAGTTTGTCTAGAATCTTGTGCACTGTGCAAAGATAAAATTCACATTTGTTGCTCAGTTTACTTTGGCTCTGGCCCCACCCACAGCAGACATGTGGCCCCTAAAAGGTTGCCCAGAAAGGAATGTGGCCCTCTGGGTGAAAAAGGTTTCCTATCTCTGTTGCCCTGCCCTACTGAATTCAATGGGACTTACTTCCAGGAAAGCATGGTTAGGATTTCAGCCTAAACTGCTATATAGGAAGGTTACCATTGCCAAGTCTAACCTCCATTACGTTGGCTACAATGAACTGCGATAGCTCCATGTATGCTTCCCCGAGTTTGTTAGACAGAGGTTGGGTTACAAATCTGAGGTGGCATCACTTGTGTTTCTGAATGTCTGTTAGCTACACAAGAACTGGAAACAACAGACTTGCCTCTAAGTTAGTCCCAATATTGCTTCTGAAAGATGTTCAGGGTCCAGCAACTCTTCTGCCGCAGCCTATCACCAGAAAATGTCACCGTGCACAGCCTAGAAGTGCATCCAGACAGAGGGTTCCAATTCTGCCTGTTCCCTGAAGTGGGAGACTGTTTGCTGTCCCAACTTCAGAAGGTATGGCCTTTTCTGGTGCGTAAGCATCTTCCTGGAATGGGAAGGACATCGCCCAGTGGACAGAGCTGTCGTCTCCCTTTCCCCAGTCCCTCATAGTCACCACGCGTCCCTTCTCTCAATTCTCCTATTCCCTTTTTTCTCCTTCTGTAGAAAGCAAAAGATGAGCAGCTTTTCCACAGGAGGAAGCATACTATGGCTCCTTTTAGAGACTTGGCATTCTGTACCACAATAAATTGTTCATGGACAATAGATACTACAGCACAGCGTGTAATAGGATGCTGACTTACAAATAAAAATGATGTGTTCATTGATTCATTTACATACCACCCATCATCCTCCAGTTAGGATTTCAGGGTGGGTACAATGGCTTGTTGGGACGCGGGTGGCGCTGTGGGTTAAACCACAGAGCCTAGAACTTGCCGATGAGAAGGTCGGCGGTTCAAATCCCCGCGACGGGGTGAGCTCCTGTTGCTCGGGTCCCTGCTCCTGCCAACCTAGCAGTTCAAAAGCACGTCACAGTGCAAGTAGATAAATAGGTACCGCTCTGGAGGGAAGGCAAACAGTGTTTCCATGCGCTGCTCTGGTTTGCCAGAAGCGGCTTAGTCATGCTGGTCACATGACCCGGAAGCTGTACACCAGCTCCCTCGGCCAGTAAAGCGAGATAAGCACCGCAACCCCAGAGTCATCCGCAACTGGACCTAATGGTCAGGGGTCCCTTTACCTTTACCTTACAATGACTTGTACAAGTTACAATAACAGACAAAGCTGCTTAAAACTTTCAAGTTCACATGTATGTGTGCGCAGATGATTTTTTTGGCAAAGGCCAAAAGGTCTGCAACGCAACCGCCAGGGAAGCCTATTTAGGGAGGGTATAAATAGCAAACTTAATAATAATATTCCAAAACCAGGGCCAACAATGCTGACAAAGCCCTTTCCACTTGTTAAGTTACAAACTTCTACAGGTACCCACCTTACTTCTGTGATTTCAAGCTGCTTTGGAGTTTAATATTGTATTTCAATTGTTGTAACCCACCCTGGGACCTTAAAGTAAAGGGTGGGCAATTAATAATGAAATAAAGAATAAAGAGGTATCTGTAGGAAGCACTAAAGTACACTCCACCAGATACTCTGGTCTACAAAAGCCATAATTGTGAACCACCCCGTGATCTATGGGTATAAGGCTATAAACAAAGTTAATAATGAATACATAATTAATACACCACAGTATTTCCATACATATAAAGCACATGATTCCCCCCCCCCCCACGGAATCCTGCAAACTTTAGTTTAAAGGTACTGGGAATTGCAACTCTAGGAGGTGGTGGGAACTATGGTTCCAGGATTGTTGCGGAGGGAGTCAGTGCTTTAAATGTACGGTGTGGATCCTACCCAAAGTCCTGCAGGTTCCCCGAGAACCGTTGTATAGCAAGAACAACCAACCTAGGTACCGCCACCCCAGAGTTCTTTCCATGGAAGGAGTTTTTCTACAGGCAAAAGATTTAACTCCCTCTCCAACTGTTTCACTTGTTGTTTCCTGGGAGAATGGAAAAATGTATATTTACCTGGCCACGGCCCTTTAAAAGCTACAAATACAACAAACGGTAAATATAGGACACTTAAGAATGTATTATTTGGACAATCAGAACAACATTTGGTATTACTGTTTATTATATATCTTTTTCCGGGGGGAGGAGCTCCACCAAACCAGATTATGGGCCTCAAATTGGTTTCACTAGGAGTTGCATTATAGCAGATAAACTCAAGAATGAAGAAGACAGTGTGCCTACTTGGCTCTGCAGGGTGTAAAAAAGTCTAGTGCAACAGGGTCATTTCCACTATGAGGTGGAAGAAAACCACCCTTATGAGCTGTGCACCCCTGCCCCAAATACCATCCTATTCTGTAGAAAACTCAGTGTTCCCACTACAGCAGGAGACGCCAACTATTTGGGGCCAGTGGGAACATCTGGAACCTTGAGAAATGGCAGTGAGCAGCAGACCCCAAAATGGCTGCAGTGGGGGAAAGGTGTGGCATAATAGAAAATGGCTGCCAAAACACAAAATTGTGCCCCTGTGCACATACACACAATCAGCCATTCCTTGAACGGGCAAAAGGCACTTACAGAGAGAGCAAGAGAGAGGGCCTCTCTGAAACTCTCCTCTGTTCAGGACAGATGGATTGATGGCTTCCACTTCAGACATCAAGATAAATGTTGGTGTGCTTAAAGAGACATTTGGTGTAAGAGGCTGAGCCAGTCCCAGCAAGAAGAAAAAGCAACAATCTCTTGAGCATTGGGAATTTTTGAAGTGGTATTTACAAAGACCTTCTGTGGGCATCATGGGTGTGTGTGGGGGGGGGTAATGGCACGCACCCTGCTGCCCGCTGGAGACCCTTGCCCTACAGGGAAGGGTCTCAACTTTATAACAGCTTAGGGCACAATCCTAAACACATCAGTCCTGCTGAATTCAATGGTGCTTACTCCCAGGTATGTGAGGTTTGTATTGCAGCCTTATCTGAAACATATTGAGCATTGTGGTTCATTCCACCCTTCCTGGAATTATCCATGCAATTCCATCTAAGTTGACCACGTTATCTGAAACCTGAACTAGTCCTTCCCTATTCATGAAGGTTTCTTGGAGTTCCAGGCTTCCACCCATCACATTAAAACAACAACAACAACAACATATCCTTCCTTTGCACTCTAGGGGTGAGGGACTGTAGCACTCCCAATCCTACTGGACCATACAACTCCCCTCACCTTTGACCACTAGCCATACTGGTTGAGAGGAATTGAGTCCAACAACATCTGGAGGGCACCGGGTTCCCACTTGCATCCAGAGAACATGAGTATTGCTGCATCAGTCCAGAGGCCGATCCCATCTAGCACCCTGCCTCCCACAGCAGCCAACCAGAAGGACAGGGTGACGGCACAGCCAATCTTCCCATATTTCATCATGTAGTTAAGAGTCAGACCAGCACCATTTGGGGAATTTAACTGCATAGCCAGGGAGGGGCAGCTGCATGCCTTCAATGACAGATGCAGAATCTCCGCAGCAAGGTGGGGGGGAGAAGGATTTAAAGATGCAGTACAACAGGCAGGGAGGGTCCCTGCATAACATTCGCAACCAGCAATGAGACCCACATATATGTAAATACACTTGTAGTGCACTTCAGAAAACAAGCACACAAAGATCATCTTTGGTGAGCATGTCCACAAAATTCCTCTTGTTCATGAGTAACTGCAGAGAACTCCTTTAGCTAATCCGTTTTTCCTCTCCTTAAAGATACAAACCCCCAGCAGTTACACACCACATCACTTGTCCACAATTTGCACTATTAGAGGACCAGAAAAGCTACTACCGATATACTTGACAGCATTTGGAACCCCCTGTGAAATAAAAATAAATAAAACGTGGTGAACACACAGCATGTCATATTGAAATAGCACTGATCTCAATCATAGCATCAGTCATAAATTCATACTACTGTACTTTTCCTTCCAGATAAATCAAGTTAAACCCCAATAGTGATAGTTTACTTGGCGCAACATACAAAGTGCTCTCCCATACATACCACTTTGTACTTAAATGCAGAAAAACATCCTCAAATATATAAATGTTGACCCCTGCATTTCCACACCTTTAGGAACAGCTCAATCAGAACTACTGAATTTCTTAGCAATAGGAATGGGGGTTACAAAGCACATAAGAGTAAGCCATATTCTGATCTGTTAATGTGCCTGAGAATGCTCAATTACCTTCTCTCCCCCAAAATTAACTTTATGTAAGAAACAAAGCAATCTGCCATCAAGCTCAGTATTGTCTGCAGCAACTGGAAGTGCCTCTCCAGGATTCCAGAAGGGGTCTCTTCCCAGGCCAACCTAGAGATACTGGGGACTGAACCAGGCATCTTTGGCAGGCAATGCAGATGCACCAAGACCTTCCCTTAGAGAATCACACATGCTAAGTTTATTGCAGGGATGGGTCAAGTATTTGGTCCACTTAAGTTTTATTACAACGCCTGTGCCCTCTAATGTGTTAAATTTGAAAAGCAGGACTGCATGCTCATGGCAATCTAGATTCAGTTAAATTTGAATGCATAGTCACGGCAATACACAAATGCCTTCCTGAATGAGATTAAAGCCCACTTAATACCGTATACTGGAGACGGCAGGCAAAAGCCACTTCAGTTTTACGGAGAACTTTCCAAAGTCTCACTTGAATGACTGGACAAGTCCACAATGACATAATATAACTGAACATTTTATTCATCACTTCATTTAACCTATTTCACGCAAGAAAAACAAATTATCTAAATTTATATTTAAAACTTTTGCTACTCGTTTACGTTTGTACAGTTCATGTATTTCATAGTTGTCATCTTTTATATATTGAAGGCAAAATAAAATGACATCAAAATCCACCTACTATGCATTTTTTGCTTGAATCCCAGTATACCAGCAGACACTAAGCAATATGCTAGAAATTGGCCAGTTGCTCACATTGGCCAGGTGGCTACTATTCCATCCAGCCCATTCCCTGCTTTAAAGTACCTAAGACTACAGAACTAGAAACGGTGTTAATGCAAAATGCATACAATCAGAATTGTGCCTCCTACATGGTTGGCCTAGCAAAACACCTCTGAACTGCCAGGCGTTTATTTGGCGATTTGCAAGTTCTAATCTAGGACCTGCCACCAAGTTTATTTGCAATGGAAACTGAAGGCTTAAGCGTATCCTCCAATCCCAGATGCAAGGGACTATTCTGGCTGCTGTTGTTTTTAACACGCTTCAACCCAATCCATCATATTACTGTTCTGTGGCCCTACATAAACACCTTGCAGAAAGACGGCTTAGCAATGACCTGCTGCCCTGTGGACAAAGGGGGGCATTTCTGCCTCTAGTACGCACAAGTAAGGCAGCTAAGATACAGAAAGTGTTAGAAGCAGCCTACCATGAACCTCTGAGGCTTTGCCAGCAAATTGGTCCCAGAGCCCTCCAAACCATATATAAGCATGCAGCTATTTCAATAGAATTAAGACACTGTACAGTACTGTTTTAACAGAGTTACCTAGTATATAAGAGAACATCAAAGGAGGACAGCCAACCCAATTGAAGCATATCACATAACGGGTTCAATAAGGATTTTTTTAGGGGCAGGGGAGAGCCACCAACCTTCTTAGATTGCAGGCACAAGCAAAGTATTAGCAATAGGTTATTCCCATTTCTTCTGTATGCATATTAAGAATGTACTGTAGAGTTTTTACAATGTTTAGAAGGGTTTAGAACCAGAATGGCCGCCATTCTGCGCCAAGAAACCTACACGGCTATTTTTCAGAGGGATGGGGGTGGGGAGGAAGACAAGTAATCGACTGCAGCAGCCCAAGGGGAATTGAGGTTTCTTGGCATTTCAATAGCCATGCACACAAAATGGAGGCAACCGGGTCCTAATATATATATATATATATATAATCAGCTTCCTATGGCTCATACTACAGCTACTTACTTTGCACAAACAGGTATAGAAAACCACAAAAGCTTGAGTGTGCCACAAAGAGGAATTTTCACAGAGAACCTGCACTACCTAATGAGGTGTCTGTGCGACTTGCTCAGATCTATGATGGCCAGTCAAGGACATACAGTCTTCACAAGGTGGTGGTGATGCAGACAAGAAATGCAGAAGACTGGATGGAAGATGGGAGCAAGCAGAAGGGAAGCCAATGGCAGGTTCTCCATTGCAAGCCAAGTCCAGAAGCCACAAGGTACCAGACAGCTTTAGCCCTTTTGCATGGAATTAAACTGCGTTAGGATGGTTGTTTCCAAAGCTTTCCCCAGTTCCAAACTAGAAACTTAAGACTTGGATATAGGCATGACTTGAATTTCTAAAGTTCGCAGAAGTGACTTGCTTTGTTAGTTTGGGCTATTCTTTTTAATTTTAGTTATAATATGTTCATAAAAAAATTAAAATATACACTACTGCATCTGGATTTTGACTACACAAGAGGAAACAAGGAACACCTAGATGTGGAGGAGGAGGAGGAAGAGGAAAGCCAAGCATCCGTCTGCTTCTTCCAAGCTACGCCAAGGTCCAAAGCCAAGCTCTAAATCAGCAGAGACGCCCATGCAGCGTCTAGTCTTAACAGGCACTGCAGGGTTTTATGAGTAGGAAGTGCAGGTTTGGTGCTCCAAAGGCTGTTTGCTCAGTAGGTCTGGGCTTCCTGCTACTAGTTAAAGAGAAGCACCACAGGTTAAGTAAGGAGGCCACAGGTTAAGTAAGGAGGTGGCAGACAGGCTTTCGGAAACCCTCCATTTTTTTACAGTAAAGCCACCCTTAGGCAGCAATCACCGCCACCAGCTGCGTGCACAAAGGAGAGACTTCAAGAACCAACAGCACTCCTCCTCCCTAGGAAGACTAGGAGAAAAGGGATGCATTCCTCTTTTACCACTCCCATAGCGGATGCATTATAAAACAAACTTTCACCCAGCCCAGAAAACGGCCATAGGCCTTTTGCTCGCAAAGTCAAGAAACCGCAAAAAAAGGAGCAAGAGGCATTTTCGTTGGCCCAGGGAAAGAGCGCGCACGCAAGAGGAAAACTTCAGGACGAACCTCCTCACCACGCAGCCCAGCCTTTCCCCCCTCCGAGCCCGCAGACCTTGGCCAACCCAAGGGAAGGCTCATCCCCGACGGGGCTCCCCCCCCCCAAAAAACCCCTACCTCTTCCTCGAGGCTGTTGCTGCTGTGCTCATTCTCCTTGGGCAGGTTGCTCATGGTGGGTGCAGGGCAAGTCCGAGGAAAGCAAGGCAGGGGGGCTCGCGTGCTGGTCCTGGGCGGCTGCCTCGCCTTCTTCCTTTCCTTTGCGCCTCCTCCTCCTTCTTCCCCCTTCTTTTATCCTCCCCTCAGAGGGGAGCGGAGAGGGCGAGGGTCTGCCTTAAGCGGGGATAAGGTGGGGCAGGTGCCTGGTGCGAGCCGGGGACGCGGGGGACGCAGGTAGGTAGGTAGGTGCCCGAGGGGTGTCTGAGGACAAGGAAGGGGTCCCGACGTGCGCTGGTGCTGTGCAGGTGGGCGCGGGGGGAAGTGCGGCTTATTTGACGCGCCCCAGGCTCACATCCAGCTGGCTCGCGCCGCCGGCCAATGAGCGGCGAAGGGGGCCAACGAGCTGCAGCTGCTGCCGGGCCCCGCGCAGCCCGCGCTCCTCGCCTCAGCTCTTCAATTGCGCGCACCCACAGGGAGCGCCCGGCCCGGCCGGGGCGGGGCGGGGCCGCCAGCCCAGCCCCTCGCCCTGCATCACCGTCGCCAGGGGAACTCGCCAGCCAATCCCCGCCGCCGCCGCCGGCTGCAAACTTTCTTCGGCCCTCGACGGGTGTCCATTTTTCCCTCTCTCCCCCCCCCCCCCGTCTTTGCTCCTTCCTCCGCGAAACTTTTTAAACTTTGATGAACTCGCCCGATTGAACTTTCTTAAAGGGCTCGCGCGCGCTTCTTTTTTTCTCCCCCTCCCGTCTCCTCAGAGGGGTTTCCTTTCCCCGAGGGGGCGAACCAAGTGCCCGCTCCCGGCGTTGGGGACCCCCTCAGGTGGGCAGGTAGCCTGGGTGCCAACTTGAATACAATATGCGGGGGCGGGTGTGCAGGGAAGCCCCGCCCCGCAGAATCGATCACAAGACGCAGCGCAGGCACATCGTTTGATTGGCACATCAACTTTGCGAGGGCAGCCCCGTCAAATATTTTATTGGGGGTGGGTGGGAGCGAGGCCCAGGGCAGACAGGCAGGCAGGCAGGCAGTTCTCCTGTGCAAAGCGCTTTGCAGACGGCCAGTCCGTACCAAGTGAGGGGCCGTCAGGGCTTTGGGGCAGACCGTCTAAGACCAACACCCACACCCAAACAGAAGAAAGACACACACACACCCCGCGCCCCCTCCCCAAAAGGCGACAGCGGTAAAACGCGTTTTAAAGTAACGCAAAGCAAGTGCCGTCTAAAGAGCAGCCCCCTCCCCCCGCTCTAAGATTATTTAAATGTCTAAATTAAAATCACTTGGCTTCTGATAGACGGAGCAGGACGGGACAAGGGACTCTTCCGGTTTTTTTCGGGGTGGAGGCAGAGAACTGCCCTTTCCCAGGATTCCGGCGGGCATTTTTAGCCAGCCGCTCCCCAACCCTATTTGAGAGAGCGAATTTACAGGCGCCCCGAGAACTCCCCCCGGAAGGAAGTTGGAGGGCGCCCTTCTCCCCCGCGTTCCATTGGTGCATTCCGTCGAACTTTTTAATGCACATGTTAGAATTCGAACTTTTAAATTTACATATTAGAATCGAACCATACGCTGAGAATTTAAACTACGCAGAGAATTAAATGTAAAGCAACAAGGCTGCATAAAATCAATAATAATAATAATAATAAAAATACGTGTGTACATGGGCGTAGCAGGGGGCGCACACCGTCTTTTTCCAATGTTTTGTTCGAGGGCCGCCAGAGGACGAGCGACCCAAATGCTGCAGCGAAATGAGGGGCGAGGTGGGAGGCGCGGAGACGACATGGACCAAACTTGTGTTTAGGGAGCTTGTAGAATCATAGAATCGAAGGGACCCCGAGGGTCATCTAGTCCCTGCAACTCAGGAATCTCAACTAAATCATCCACGACAGGTGGCCATCCAACCTGGGGGAATCTAGGGTTCAAATCACCGCTCAGCCACGAAGCGCACTGGGGTGTGTGTGTGTGTGTGTGACCTTGTTGTCAGTCACTCCCTTCCTTTCAGCCTAACCCTAACCTATTTCGTAGGGGGGATAACCATGTACTACGCCGCCTCCAGCTCCTTGGAGGAAAAGGAAGGCTATAAATGCAACAGAAGTATAAAACTATTAAAAGGCAACTTTTGCAATTGTATTAAATTTGAATTAATTATATGTTTTTGAAAAGCACTAAAATCTATTGGAATAATAATAATGCCAAAACGTCGGAAGTGTACAGCGGGCGCCGAAGCCCCCCGAGCGCCACCCAAATCCCAGATCTCCGGCGGGGCTCATCCTTTCGCCCTTCGCGTCGTTTGACCTTGTTCCGTTTACTTAGATGCGTCCGCTCAGGATCCTGCGAAGCATCAAGCCTCGTCCGCCCCCCCCCCCCGGCTGCCTCGACGACGTGTGATGAAGCCCAGCCACTACAGGAGCCCGGGGTGGTGCGTTGGGGTCCTGGGAGGGAGTTAGTTAGGGGTGGGGGACTCGGGCTTTTCTGAAAGTGCAGTAAACGAGGCGTTGCGTGGAATAGGAGTGGGGGTGGGAGAGGGAGGGGTTTTCGTTTCGTATTCCTCCGTGGGCCGAGGAAGGCGCACGGCGTCTCGCTTCCCCAATTTAGGGATGTGTTTTTTTCGGACCCCTTCATGCAATCAGCAGAATCAAAGCAGCACAGCTATTCCTGGATCGCAACTTTTTAGGCTCCGGGGGAAAGGGCCGCGGGATTGCAGACGTTTGCATGTTCCTCCACGAAAACAAAGCCAACAAATAACTTTATATAGAAAACATGGCAACAAGCACGCGCAGCTTTTCCCACGAAGTGCTATTTTAAAGCGAGGGACTCCTGCTTTCTTCGTGGGAAAAGCTTTCAGACGTACACATACATACGTATATAATAAATACGTACACGTGGGCTGACATGCTTCAGGCCTGGAGAAACTTTACGCAAACTGCTTGTGAAAACCAGGGCTGGGGAACCAGCGGTGGCCCTGCAGATGCTCCCACCAGCCCCACAGCCAGCATGACCAGTGGTTAAAGGGGGGGGGGAAACCATCCGAGTGGCTGAACTATTTATTCCCTGAAGCAGATGCTCTGCTTTGTCACCGGCGCTTCGTTGTTGTCAGTGGCTGCCTGCAGCGGTTCCTTGGGAGGAAAGGGAAAGGCGCTCTGTACATGCTCAGAACCACTGCCGTAGTCGCACATGCAGCCCCACTACGTGGATACGAGGATTGTTTCTCGCTGTGTCAGCTGCATGTCGGAAAATACTTACTGCGGCCGCCCCACTGACACTGGTAGGATCGCGAGATATAATTTATCTCCCTTGATACAACCTTATTTCTCCATCCCACCCTGCGCCCGCTTAAAGGGATGCATTAGTATTTTCAAAGTTTCCCTCTACGTTCTTTCGTCTACTTTTTTGTGGAATGTGGGTCCCCCCCTTGACTTTTGCTTGGCGGGGGGCGGGTAAACAGGCGAGAAGGTCGCTGCCATGGTATGCAAAACTTACCGCTGCTTAACCCACGATGCACACAGTGGAGCTTACTTCTGAGTAAATCTGTGGAGGATTGAGTTGTAAATGCTCAACCCAGGTTTTTCCCCCTTCCCAAGGTTTGTGTGCAGTGCCAGATTTAGGTATAAGCTAAACAAGCTATAGCTTAGGGCCCCACTCTCTTGGCCCCCCCAAAAAAAATTTAAAGGAAAAAAACCTGGATGTACATTTCCAAAATATAAGATAAAAACAAATAAAATAAAACCTACATACAGCAACAGTGTTTTGTTTTGTTTTGTGTTGTGTAGGCGCCTGTGATGTAAGTAATGGGCCCCGCCTGCTCCCTAAAATATCACTGGTTTGCTCATTTCTACATACAGTGGTACCTCCGGTTAAGTACTTAATTCATTCCAGAGGTCTGTTCTTAACCTGAAACTGTTCTTAACCTGAAGCACCACTTTAGCTAATGGGGCCTCCTGCTGCTGCTGCGCCACCAAAGCATGAGTTCTGTTCTCATCCTGAAGCAAAGTTCTTAACCCGAGGTACTATTTCTGGGTTAGCGGAGTCTGTAACCTGAAGCGTATGTAACCCATGGTACCACTGTATAGGGTGCCTACATTCTGCATGGACTGGTTGCATGTGTTTGCATTATTAAGTTTGTTATGAATAAAAAATTATTTTAAGTTAGAGCTTAATAATTATTTCACTATTCATATACTACTTCTTAATTGTATTTCACTATTAATACACTTTTAATTGTATTTCAGTTCAACAATTACTTTGATAAAATACATATTTTGTTATGTGCAAATGGCTTTAGATACCTATACCATATAGCATACAGTGGTACTTCGGGTTAAGAACTTAATTCGTTCTGGAGGTCTGTTCTTAACCTGAAACTGTTCTTAACCTGAAGCACCACTTTAGCTAATGGGGCCTCCTGCTGCTGCTGCACCGCCGCTACACGATTTCTGTTCTCATCCTGAAGCAAAGTTCTTAACCTGAGGTAATATTTCTGGGTTAGCGGAGTCTGTAACCTGAAGCGTCTGTAACCTAAAGCGTATGTAACCCGAGGTACCACTGTATATTCCACACAAAAAACAGCAACAATTTGTTGTTGACAAAGGACAGCTGGACATATAAAGGGCCCCATTACCTTCAGTAGCTTAGGGCTTCATCAAACCTAAATCCAGCCCTGTTTGTGTGTGTTGACAGGAGGGAAATTAGACTACCTGTAGATACAACCTTAGTACCTAATTTCCTGCTGCTGTCAGTGGCAGGATCAGGAAACATATTACCTGCGGGGGGGGGAAAGGGCTGTAGGGACTCAGAGCTAAGTCCTACTCAGACCAGACCCTTTGGAACCAATGAACCTAAGTTAGTTAGAACCTAACTTCAGCAGTTCTACTCTGAGTAGGACCAGCACTGAATAGCATCCACAGAGGGCTGCCCCCGCCCCCATGAGGCAAGGTGAGGTGATGGCCTTGAGTGGCAGGATCCACAAGGGAGGTCGACCTGGCCTCCAAGGGATGCATTGCCCCTTGCCCACTCTCCTTGGAAGCCCCCATGCTGCCTCCGCAGCGGCCTCTTGGTGAATAGGAGCCACTGCTGGTCTCCCCACCCCAGGCCTGGAGAGGAAATGGCAGGGCCTGCTGCGCTCTGGCGCCCACCTGGTGCAATTCTTCTGAGTGGGCCCCTTTTCCCCTGTGACAGCCTTTGATTCCCAGTTCAGTTGCCGTGTAAAGTTGATTTGATCCCCGCTTGTTCCTTCACTCCCTGCTTCTTCCCTGGCAGGGTGTGTGTGTGCGATTTTGTGGCTTGCCTCAGGTGGCAAAATGTCTTGGTCTGGCCCTGCATCCACAGATGGGGTAAAATGCATTTCTGCAGTGCCGGCAAGAACTTTCCCCCATGCGTTAGATTTCAGGACAAATATTGGGGAGGGGGGACGCGACTACTTGTGTGGAGGTGCTTGTCTGCTCAGCATCCCTCTGGTCCACATCTCTCACCGATATAAAGAAGTTTGTGCAGAGTC